TCATTTTTAAGAAATTCACTCTCCCAGGCACGGTTAATTTCAAATTAATTTGTTGCTATCCAAAACTCATACTTCATTTGTTATTTGCAAATAATTGGTTTGATCCGACCCTTAAGGTACCACAAGAGGTTGAATATTTCAATTTTTTCTGGACTTAGCAACATGACTTTTTAGAGAAAATGAGTCAAGACATGAAGTACGGCTCCGCATAACAACAAGAGCATTTGGGTATTTTTAAGAGCTCCCCGAGATGGAGGGGGTGGACTTTGAGGTCATAATGGTTGTTATTTGGAATCATTATATATTTCTGCAGGGTGTATAATCCGTTTATGGGCTCACTTGTGTCAGGTGATGAGATGTGAACCATTTTTGTCCTCAGAAACATAAAATAATATGGAGGGGCAAGTATAGAAATGCTGTTTCGGAAAGTATGGAAGAGAATATGGAAATGAGACCCGTTATGCTCCCCAAGTAAAACTATTTCGCACGATGTGGGAGTCGTCCCACGTTTGTGCTCCGTATGGTTTTGACGCTAGGACGTTTTAAAAAAAATCATCATGGTCGACTATTTTGGATATAAATACGTAAGTATAAGTAACAGCAGAAGGGGACATTTACCAAAATTTAGAGCAGTATATTTTTTACAAAATTTGTATTTGAACCAAATTTCTACCTACTATAATTTCTGAGAAAATTACAATCAAACTGAGTGGTATAATTCCTTGCCAACTCTCTTGTGGTACCTTAAAGCCCTGTTATGTGCATGAACCGATAGTATCGATAGAGCTGTGCTTACCGTGCATATTTAAATAAAAATTCCTGGGTTACATAAAGACAATCATCGGCGGTTGCATTATTAATTCATTGTCAAAATGAGCATGAAAATCTAAGGGTACACACTGTGTAACTGGTACAGTGCCGTGGATTAGAATCCTAAAGGTTAAGGAATCAATCTCCTACGAGTATAAATATTTATTTGTCTGGTAAATTATTTATTAAATGATTTATTTTCCATCCAGATTTCGATATCCAGATTTTCGGGTTTTATCACCAGTTCTCACTCTCGGCTAGCTGCCTTTGTAGTAGTAGTTAAAGATTTTGAAACTGTGCCATTGTGTTGTCAATTGTAATTTCTCGATGGCGATAGTTTGCTAATCTAGGCTTTGATGATGCATAATCAAGTTTTTTTATCCTTTCATTGCAGAACGTTTACAGCGTGATGTGAAACTCGTTCCATTATAATACGTCTTCTTATCAAGACATTGTACGCAACTTTAATATATTTGTAAGTTATCATGAAAATGAACCGAATCAAATAATAGATTCGAGGTTAGAGACGACATGATTTTATTGACGTAAATGTAACACTTTACACATTACACAATAATGCGATAACATGTGGTAATCAGTATTTATTTATGATACATACTTAATTATGCCAAAAATATCATGTGCTAATGATGCGATTCATATTTAATTTCCTGGTTACTGGATTCTCATCGTATGTATAAAACAACTTAAAATATGATGCTCAAAATTGTGCGACACTGTGCAAGGAAATTTAGTTAGTCGGAAGTTGGTGGTCACCTATTCCAGCAGGAACCAGTTCGTGGGGCTCACCGTACGGAAAGTGGCATAGATCACGCGTTATATAAGCAAAAAATGAAGTTGTGCTGATTGAAGAAGAAGCTGAAAGTTAAGTTATACAACAGATTCATGTTGTGCATTGTCGCTGACATAGACAAGCAAAGCTGCTGCTATTTGTATGACTACAATAGAGCCAGAGATACAGGCTGCGAGCTTACACGGTGAGGGAGTATATCGTATCAAATTATTTGCTGTTACACAGAGATAAAGCACTACGCTGTTGTACCGAACGTGCTGTAAAACGAATTTGTATCCATCATTACAACTGCACATTTTGTTTGCACTGAATTCGCGATGAGCCAGAGCCAAACGCTTGGAAGAGTGAGAGATGGAAATTGAGGACGTGACTTGTTACATATTAGGTGTTACATAACTACTTATAGCTTATTATCCTGTATACGAACGTACGTACACATAAGGCTTTGTGGTTTTTTGGAGTTGTTATATAACATCACGGACGTAACATTTGGGTTAACACTGTTCCCTTCTTGTCAATCAATATTGACTTGAAAATCCCCCTAAAAATAATATGCAGCGTGCATACCGTTGCTGGTGGGAACTCTGCCGTCAAGTATGGCACCGACTTATTCCCCGGTTGGTTGAACGTGGCTGATAGCTTCTTCATTGCCCCATGTTGCACGACATAATAATGCCACCACACGCTTCATCTTCGTCTTTTTCCATACCAACAAACTCGACACTATTCATAGCCGCATACTTTTTGTTACGTTATGTAACGTCCGTCATCCCCTGTTGAATAACAACTCTGCTGCTCTTCAGCAGATAACACGAAGCCCGAAATTTTTGCCTTGCATGAACACACTCAATCTCGGCCCAACGACGACATCAAACCAAGTCCACATCACTGCAGAGTAAACCCCATTTGGCTGAATGAACTAACGCTGTTATATAACCAGGCGATTAACAAAGTATGTACATGAATACTCATAGTCACCCACCATTGCTTGGTGCGTTACTGAATTGAGCTTATTCAGACCAAGTTTGCCATTTTCATCACGTAATGCACACCATGATCACGAGAGTCAGTCGAATTAAGTGAACCCCTCTCTCTTCATACGTAGATTTGCTTTGCTCGTATGGTCCTCCAGCAGCGGAGAGAGATGCAGGTTAAGGATGCAAGCAAAAGAAAGCAGGCTCCAATAAATTAGCGGATCAAAGATGTATGTGCATATGCAGTAGGTTCAGCCACTTTTGCCCGTAAATAATATTCCGATGTCAAGCGCGTCAATAGCAGCACCACCGCAAATTTACTTGCTTACATGCGATGTGATCGGATTAAATTGGATTACAAAGGTCCATAGTCTGTGGTGCTGTATGTGTATGCACCGAGTGTTTCGACATGCATGTTACTTACGTTACGTGTGTATAAATACTTGAGTGACCTTGATTTTTGCACTCGAATAACATTTTCAGACCTACCCTACTCTTTCCTCGATTCTCTAGCGAGTGAACTTTTGATCCGAGCAATCCATGCAATGACGGACTAATAATGTTGTGCTGGCTAAAACACAACATCTTCGTCGTCGTCGTGGTCGCTGCTAGGCATCTCTAATCTGTGGGCATGTACGTAATATGTACACATTATATGTACACATAATACTGTTTCTCGGTTTGTTCTCCCCCAAGTTGAGTTTGAGAAATGACGACGACGAGGAATGGCCACCAAAATGGCTAACAACTGCTCAGGATTTCATAATCTCTGATCTTTATCCGTTTCATAAAGTCACCACACACGCTCAAGCTTTCACCAAACGTATAAATACGCAGTTTTTGACATAATAAAGGAAGAATATCGGTGGCATAATTTACATATTTTTAAATTGTTAACAGATTTTTACCTGAAATATTTACCATATAAATACTAGTTCAGGGTGATACAGCCAGTCAGAGTTTATTGTTATGGGCTATACGTATGTAGGTGTGTACGTATGTATACCATCACTTATCATGCTACTAGAAGTTATTGGGTGCAGTACCAGTCGTGGAAAATCATTAATTCCACCCATTGTATGCGTGTACGTACGTATGGATGCACGAGGATTGGAGTTGCATAAGTGGTATTAGTTGAAATGTCTCAATTTCCAAGTTCCCTGCAATAATATTCTTATAATCGGCTTTCGATAACTGTGTCATCTTCAATTTGACATTGTTGTGGTTGAATAATAAATTGTTTTACCAGCAGTGCAGATAATGTCTGCCTTTTCACAGTTTCATATAGTTTTTAATATGTCATATGTGCACATAAGGTGCATTTACTGGATGACAATGGATTGAATCAATTTCTACAGATAAATCAAAGATATTACATTTGCATGATCATGTGATGTTAAGCACACACATTTGAAAATAATCAGTTGATCAATCAACGTTAGTTGCACTTGTTTGTCTTTATTTTTCTGTTGTTAATTATTTTGACCAAACGGGTTCTTGGAGTTGTTTATGTTATCTTGTTGTTTTACGCTTAGAAAGATATGCTTATGGAGAATATTGTGCAGGGACCAAGAGTGCGGTAAATTTTGTTTACGTCAAAAAATGACATGCTCACGCTTGCTTTTTTTGCAAATTAGTCTAAAAAACTGGGCACTGTTACAAAGTATTGAGCGGGGTCAACAAGTACATCATCATTCATGATCTTCTTTTAAGATTCACAATAACAAAGTTTAATAATGCATCTTCTACGTAATAACCGTGCTCTACAATTTATGTACTGAAATTCATGGCTTAATAAAAAAAATTGCTCACCAATACTTGTTTTCTTCTACTTGCTGTCGTTTGATTACCTGGTAGCCCACGGTCGAATGTGCGGTGCAAATTAATGTATCAACTCTGTTACTTTGTACGAAGGAAAATATGATGCATCAAGTCAATGAATTTCTTGTTGTGAGTCATAAACTACTCGAGACAACTCTTGCCAAAAGTCATATAATATGTACTACACGCAAATATTTTTGGGTCTATCACGACATTGGGTGAGCATTTGTAGCAAGTGTTATTTGCAAAAATTGTGTACAAGCAACCAATGCAACTGTCTGTACAATCATGTAACTCATTTATGAAAAAAATAAGTGTACCACATTGAACTTGTTATGAACATAAATGCACGAATTAGATTAAGTACAGGTAGGTAGAAAAACATTTAAAATGAGCCAGATTAGCAATTAATTAGTCATCAAAGTGTGACGTTGTTCCCCACTCACTGTACAAATAGATAAATAAAAATATATGTAACGGATAAATATGTAATATCGCATCATATGTAACGTTCATATCTGAATTTGTTTATCGATACACTGGAAAGTACAATGTTCACGAACAAACAGTTTGATTCGAATCAATCATTAGCCCAAGCTGCTGTCCCAACATTCTTTACGCAATCTCGTTAATTTATCACTAGATTTGTCCTCACCTTCAGTCAGCCAGTCAATTCGTGTAACAAACAACCTGATAAGTATTTTAAAGAGTTTTCACGTGTACACTAATGTACATAATCTAAATATGGGTAACTACTTCAAATATACGTGACAGCAGTTTGTTAATAAAATTAAAAGCTAGACCATGACCGTGGCATTAAGAGCGATAATAATCGTATGAAAGTAAATTTTAGAGGTGATAATAGTCCTAAATTTGTTTTCTTCCTCGCGGATTAGTAAAATTTTGGCGTAGAAATAAAGTAAAACATTGATCGCTTTCGTTGATTTAAAACTAATTGAAATAAAAATCTCATTTATTTAGAAACAAGAATCATGTGACTGCGAAGCTTAGCTTTGATCAAATTTTATCATGATTAAATAATATAAATAAGAAGTATCTGATTTAACTGATAAATTTTGGCATTTGTTGACACGTGTTAATTAGTTTTAAATTACGCATCGCTTTAGTAAAGGTACCCACGGGATGGGTGTTGATTGAAAGGTGACATTCAAGAAGGATGATGATGACGAGATGAACTTTTTTTCCTGCAGCTGGATTGCATATGAATGATTTTATCGTCAATGATCATCGCAATCTAGTCATGATATAATTTTATGTAAGTCGGATAAATGCCATGTCTAAAAGGGTAAAAAGAATTGGTTTACATAACACCGATTTTGAGACAACTGTCAGCATACGGAAGAAAAAAGTCCACTGTGCGTTTATGCCCACTGCCTTCGTCTCATTCATCCATTCGTCATAACTGCTGTGTGGAACTGAATTCTGCATGAAATCAAATTGAATACCGACTGAAACAGAATTGGATAGTCATTGTTACCTGGTCTATGCATGTCATAGCCAAATTCTGCTACCTTACCACCACCCCATCATCCATAAGCCATCCAGATTCATCATCGCCCAAGAGCTCGGAGGTAGCTCTTCTAGATGTTTTGACGCTGCAACTGCTTGTCGTCGTCGTACTGAAATTGCAACCAATCTCTCTCCACAACACCGTTTTTGCAGGTTCCCAATTTCATTCTCTTCTTCTTGGGCGATGATGAATAGTTTTTCATGTAACAGCCGAGGAGGAGGCAATAAACTGTGAAATTATATAACTCTCATAATTCTACAGGTCGCCCGAGGGCTTATTAATAACCACAACAGCGGCACGTTATATGCACTTGTCCTCATTCGTTATATAATGTCTGAATCACCATTAATTGATAATGCAATGCCAACTGGGTAGGAGCTCGGGCAAAATTTCATAATTATGATACTGATCTGTGCGATAAGGGATTTGAAATAAATTGTTGTAACTTTGAGGAAGGTTAGTAGAAAGAAATGCAAGCCAAAAATACTGGAACAACGTACACACACAGTATGAAAATATGTAGGTACATACTATCACAAGCTTCTTTGTTTGAAAAACATTGATTTTCATGTTTCTTGCAAGGAATACATGTGCATCTGTTTTCTTATGATCTGCTCTGCAAACAACTATTCTTTGTTCTTATTCTCTGATTTTGCATCTTAATTTGATATCTGCTTGCCCAATATTTCTCAAACTTAATTTTTTTTTATAAATTACATTGTTGTATTATTTTACTTTACTTTCGAATATTAATTTTAAAACTTGGGCATCATCATGGTTTACTTTTACAATTATTACTTCTTTTATTGAGGTTCTCTCGATTTACTTTTATCGCTCAATTTTATCATCTTATGTACGTAGGTCAGGTAAAGAAATGATCTAAATGTATGTATCCTGACGTAATCTATATACAAAGATTGTCCAACATATAAATATGTGTGTATGCACATATGTCGACGAGAATGGTGGGTATTACCCACTGGGTAAGTGTGTTACATCGCTTACAGTGTTACCTTGCTACTTATCCTCAAAAATACGACGTAAATTAAAAGCATGATAAGGAAATTACGCAATGCTGTCCAAGTAAGCAAGCAAGTGCAATAGCCCTCTTGTTGGGCTCATCATCCCGCATCAGCAAAAGTGCCAAATGCTGTGCTGTGATCACCAAAATAATTCTTCTAATAGTGGCGAGTAATAAATATGTACAGGCGAACTTTCCTGTGGTCGTGCTCGTATAGTGTCTGCAACCATTATTCTATTCCTGGCATCCTCTTCATGCGATGAATATGTTCCCTGACCTGCGGATTATAGGAAAATGGGGGTCATACCCCTCTCTGAATGCGAGCATTAAATGTATCGAAGCGAACCATTCTTCAGCTGCAAGGAATAAAATGCTGTATAAAATAGTAAATATATTTATACGTATGCATGGTGCATTTTAAGCAACGGCGTCTTTTTATAAATAATCCACGGCATTGCACTTTATTGGTAAAATAATTAAGCTTAAAGTGCAAAAACACTTACCAGAGGTGCTTCTAGGCGCAAAAACACGTGCTAACACAATGTCAGTGTCAATACCATACCAATACTGGGAGTACATATGTACATAGATACTGGGAGTCGTAGGTTGGGATTTTCGAGATTTGGCAAACGAGAGTATCATTTTGCTGCATGGGTTCCAAACTCGCGATGATGATATGAAATTGGCAACTGTTGCATGTTGCTCGGAAGAAGATCATCGGCTGTTGGTTTAGGAGCCAGACAGTCAGTTCACCATAACCTATCCTACTCTCCTTTTATTGTGCATATGTAGCCTGGTAGATATCCAACAAACCTCCTGGCTTTCTGCAAAAGGGCAATAAAGTAAGTTTAGCACTTATTGCAATGAACTGCAATAATAATTCGTTTGATAATCATAACGTGGAGGCATATGTATGTGTGTATGTATGTACATATACTCCTCATGATCATTACCCAATGTTGAGTGTATGTAACAACGACGAAGCACCATGCAACCGGTTCACATATTTAGCACTTATCCAGTTCATAGGAATGAGATGTGGTCACAATTACGCTGCGGGTGAGATTTCAGCATCGCTGATTATTACTCGTACTTAAATATGCACTCTTCTTCTTCGCTTGCACCTTATTCAAATTTATAAATAGTTTAAAGGTATAAGAGATTAAGAGGTCGTAATAGGTTTTGAGGTAGTTCCGCTAGGTCTGTGAAGTCAGAACATGATTATTTGTTATAATTGAAAAATTTGATAGATATGGATTAAAGAAACTTCAGTACCCGAATTATGTTGCGCTATCTGTTATGCTGATACATAAACCTGGTTAGGTTAGGTCAGTGATGCGATATAACACCCTCGTCGAAACAGGTGTGGATTAAATAACCTTGAGCACAAATGTGTTGGTTGTTTTATCAAATAGTTTCCCTTTGGCCTTGAATTCGTTCTGTTTGTTAGTTTCATAATTATTATTATTGTCTATCGCGTTAAATTTCATTTGTTCATATCGTCGTCATCATATAAAAATGCATGCATACTTGCGTACCTATAAAAATATATGTAAGAAATAGAATTTATTATGACGGAAACTTTTTCTGTCAATGGATGCTTAGAGATTGGACAAAAAAAGATGAATGGACAATTACTTACTACCACGCTGAATGTTCTCATATTTCGACTTTACACAAACAAAAATGAGCATGCGACTCGCAAATTGTGAGTCGAAATCCGTTCACATTTTCATTCTCATGTCCACCATTCATCATAAACGAATTTGTTCATATGCACATTCATAAATTCATAAAATCATGGGGTTCTATTAAAGTTTTATGAAGTTGGCATTGCACTTGGATGAGATTCAAATCTACTCACAAAAACTGTTTTACATACTCATTGTGAGCGTTGGCCTGTCGAACTTGAACCGGAGTACCTCGTTTAACATGTCTAAGAAACAATATATAAATTATCTGATAAAGGTGTTGATTTAGTTCTCGAATATCATGATGTGCTGGAGATGGGTGAAAAATGGGGAAAATACTTTTAACTGTGTGCTATTGAGGTAGGGTAGGGCAGGAAATACGTCTGGCAAAATTTTGGCGAAGTGCCTGTGATCATGATAGTGTGACTGAAGGAGTTTTATTTGCTGCGTCGCATATTAAGAATCATAACTATGTAGTAAACATACATAGTATATTCTTTAGGAAAAAGTACACATAAAGATTTCATTTTTGATAATAGATAAAGCGAGTTTTGCGCTTTATTAACACACCCCGTGAATAAATAAGTAAATTCAATTTCAAGTACCCGAGCTGTTTGTTTATATGAAGGCACAAGTAGAACATTATTATCTGCTAATTAAATTTAATGTACTGAACGCTATGACTCTGTATATTGTACTACAATGTATTTTATTCAAGGGTAGAAGAAGGTGTCTGATATGTAACTATCCATCTCTACGGATATTTTGCTAATAAAATTTGGTGGTGCACGTAAGAAATCTCCAAAATTAAGATATTCTAATTATAGCAACTACTGGGATAGTTGGATGATGAGAATTTGAATTGAACTTTGTTGTTTGTGTGTACGTATGTACATACATGACATGTCTCTAGATGCATATGTACATACTTATACGTCTGCATAGGCACAGATATAAATACATACGTACAAATGTCCTGAAAATGCACAAGATTACATTTTCATTCTCAGCCAATTCAATGACTCTTATTTTTAATTCGACAAAGTGGTGTGGCAAGTATTTGGTTGAATGGACTTGTCTCAAATAAACTTGCTCGTCATCGACAGCATATACATGACCTTTCTTTATTGATGTTTACGTTAACATTATCGAGATTATGCTTCTATTAGCCGTTACTGATAGAAATGAAATAATTTGAGAATTAATATTATTTAAGTATTTTAATAACGAAACTTTATTTTAAATTTCCAGGAATTGCATGATTTTCCCTGCCAGCACCCAGTCGTGATTCTTCACGGGGTTAAACTCAAGGATTGGGAAAATATTATGAGGTTGATTTATTGTGGATCATGTCATGTCAGCTCAACGGAAATTGATGATTTCATGTCAACGGCAGAATGCCTCAAAATTGACGGACTTGCAGCCGAAGACCGTGCCTCATCATCTCAGGAAGAGGTGCGTGTTAAAATTACCTAATGCAATGCATACATGTAATATTCAGATATATTTTTTTTATATAATATGACATTTTTCTTGCACTGAATTTTGTAGACCACTCCCCCATACGAGTACTTTAACCGACTATCGGCCAGTGAATTTCAGTCCCCAGAAGACATGAGTGCACGTAGGATGGAGTACGAGGACCAGCAAAGGAGAAGTCGCTCATTCCCATCATATTCCCCTCATGATTTCAGCACTGCCAAGGACTACAGTTGTGACCGTGGAGGAGGAGGGGTCAGTCCTGACTCTAACCACAGGGATGATGGGAACCCTGATGCTGTCTTCTCTGAACAGGAATCCCTGCTCATCAGATGTCGTAGGCAAGGAAGTTCCGGCTCCCTCGGAGTCATCTCTTCTGCTCAGTCAAGTCCTGGAATAGGAACTCAATCTGGTAATGCATTTAAACTGACCCACAACGTATACTTTAGCAGTCTACGCAGAAAAATCATGAACAATTTTTAACAGTTAACCGGGACACCTTAGTAAAAGTAGAGACGAACGAAACGTATTCGCATGGCGATTCTTCGCAAGAAGACGCTCCAATACCTTGTCCGGCAGAAGGGTTAAGAGGATACTCACAACCAGCTTCTCCAGCAGAATCTCGAGTACAAGCAGTTAGGCATCCAGGTGGAATTTCTATTTGCATTATTTTTATGCATACTTTGTTGAATACTTATACTGACGAAAGGTTATATATTTATGCACTTTAGTAATTTCGAGACGGCATCGTGATGCATCATCCGAGTCAATTGATGACCCATTTGAGGTTGCATCTCAAACTAGCTCAGGAGGATTCCTCCCATCGTCGAGGATGGTAATAACCTCTCGGAACGGAAGGCCCTCACCTTATCCGTCAGGTACAGTTTGACCTGTTTTATAATGAAAATAAGCCCTTTGCCAATTTTCTCGCGCGTTGAACGGTGAATGAATTTTTGTTAACATTTTTAGGTTGGGGAGAGCACAGAAGCCTGAGTAATTCCAGTGAACGTGACGCTCTCGTAATTGATGACGCCGAGCGCCACTTTCCCACTGTTTTAAGTGGACAACAATCTCCTGTTCAACAATCAATAATGTCCACGACATCCACGGGTCAAGGGGTCACGACTCGGTATCCATTGTCCGTGATTTCACGTCAACCTCCGGCAGCCATTCCCCTCCAGCAAATTCTTAGCCCCACAGCTGCAGGATTTCTTCACCGAATGCCGCAGTTGCATTTACTTGCTCAAGGTCAAAGGTCCCCACATGACCCTCATCCCTCCCTGAATACGGGTGGTGGCGTCATAACCACAGTTCCTTCTCCTCATTCGTCTCCTCAAAACCATGATCACCACCAACAGTCTGCGTTAGCAATACTTCGAGCAAAAATTGCTTCAGGACAGCCAATTTATTCACGAGGATATAGATCTGATAGGCAAAATCCACTTTCCAACCCCTTCAATTTGCCTAGGTTTCCCTCAGTTTCTGGCACCCAACTAAGTCCTCATAATCATATGGCTGGTCCATCAAGGTCCAACATGTTTATACCAACGTCCATGACTATGGCGGCGGTTCACCATCAACATCAACTTCAGCAATCCGTTCCGCAATCCGCAAGACCCAAGACTAAAGCTATCCGCAGCTCTCAAGTCCCACAATCTGCTCGTTACACTGCAGCCGAGGTGGACTCGATGGTTGACAAGGTTCAAAATTTTCCAGGCAACATGGTTAGATAATTGCTAACATTTTTTCCAATTATAATGAAATTATTCTCATTTTATTCTCATTCCTAATATCTATTGCAGGTCCCTTGTGCAATTTGTTCAAAATTCGTTAAACGGGAACGGCTTCGTGCACACATTCACGAATGTCATTTGCTGCATGGAAAGAAAATCGTGTGTCCACATTGCGGAATTGGGCTAAAGTCTAAAGGGAGTTACAGGTACACACATTTTAAAGTTCATGTTCATAAGTAAATTTGTGCACTTATTAAAGTATTAAAAATTAGAGTTAAATGCTTAATTTATTTCCAGGGTACACATTTGGCGACACAAGCGAGGGGCACTTCCAGCGGGGAGGCAGCAACGTCATTCTGATTCCCATCCAGAATCGCAGAATCCACACTGACAACTAAATAGAGGAGATCACCACTTTAATAGAGCTGTTGTTTTATTGTACTTTTAGATTCATTTACATCAATGAAATGTACCTACTCGTATGTGTACGTGTGTTCACCGTATAATTAATTTACTGCTTCAATCAACAATATTCGTATATATTTACTTAACCGTCGTTATGATCATATTTAACTTTTGCCGTATGTACAGATATACGTACCAAATGACTGCTTACAGTTCAGCCAGTCAGTGGCATAGTGCTACTTTAATACTAGTGATGATTCCGTATTAATTGTGGAACTTGGAGAAACATTTTGTGATAAATGCATGCATTTATCAATATTTTGGCAAATTGGAAAAATAGTCTTGTGGCATGCTAAATAATTATTTACCTGAATTCATTATACTATATTTTGAGGGAAATTTGCACACAATGTTTTAAAATGGCACATGCAAATCATTTTTTAAGAGCATGATTTACATATGTATGAATGTATGTAGTTGTACACAAAGTTAATGATGCTACGGAACTAGTTTTTCAAATGCTTAAATAATTAAACTGTAAAATTGACGATGAGGATGTTTGTTAAAGATCATAAGAAAACTGGAATGAAGATTTTATTCACAATCGTCAATCGTGTAGTTTAGAAATTATCAAAGTCCAAAATTTATCTGAAGCAAATGAATTTGAAACATCATCCAATTATAACCTTCCGTCCGAGGATATGTAATTAGTTATACCCAAAAAAATCTACTATTCATATGTAACGAAACGATATATGTACCTACCAGTGATTGATATGATTGTTTGATATGATTAAACTGAGTTTTTAATCAGCACGAGTTTGTGAATTGGACTAGGAAACTTCTGTCCACTATTCTAGTTGTTATTGTATTTAAATGTTATTATTGTTACAAATATGTAATTATCAAGTCATTATCGCGTGCTTTGTATTGGGTACCATTTCATTTCGTTAGTCACTAATATCAATATAATGTTTGTCATAATAATTTTTAATACTAAATGCTACCAGGTCATTTTAACTGTGCATTTTAATGTAGTTTAGTTTAATGTTGTGATAGCATGGAAGGGACTGGTGAACTAATTTAATTTATAATTGCATTTTAGTCATTTTATGAGGTGTTTTAAAGTCAGACTGTCATTCATAATAGTATACAAGACAATGCTAATGAGCATTGATTTTTGTACTCACTATGCTACATTGTGAACGCTTATTAAATTACAATAGTCTAAATAAATATATATAATTTATTAATTATTATTTAAATTAATGTTTCTACTCTGCACTTCTAATGTTGAACAATAAATTATTATTATTCAAAGTTTGAATTTCAAACTGGAGAACTTGATAAAATGCTCATGATTAAAATTTCGCTATCCTTGTCATTTAGTTGTATATAGCAAAACGTACTGCATAAATGCTAAGCATTATTATTGCTAATTAGACACTCGAATAAAACACCAATCAATCAATCAATTGCTCATTATCATAATTTCTAAAAAAATACATGAGGAAAATGAGATTTTAACCGTAGCAAATCCTGCATATATGTTGTCAAGCGATGCTCATTAAAGTTAAAGTTTATGAAATGCCATCCAAACCACGATTGCTTGACATTAAGTATCTAGGTAACTCTTGGCTCTTTTAACGGTTGCGACAAATGGTGGAGTTACAAAAAAACTAATTATTTTTTAAATCGTTGGTACACGTCCCCTGGTCCTGTGTACCAACACTTTGACCTTTAATAACTTTTTAATAGGCAGACATAGAGACTTCATTCTTAAAGATGAAATCATCGTAATTTTTAGCTTGATTTTTTAAGCTAAAATTTTTGATTTAGTTCTCTTGTCTGATCACAACCAGAAATCTAAATTTTAACATGGTCGGGTGTGAGGTATTGGGGTGCTCAAAGGAGCAACGAGTCGATGGTGTTACGCTGCATAGATTTCCGCCCGATAATTCGCACCTTAGTGCTTTGTGGTACCGGAAATGCGGAAATACGTGTGTTAGTCAGACGTCAGGAATGAAGAATAGACGAGTTTGCAGCAGCCATTTTCGAGCCGATGATTACGTTGAGACCGTCAACAGTCGACGCCTGAAGGAAGGAGCTGTTCCGTCTCTTAATCTTCCTCCAAGTATTACATAATGATATTATGATATTACTCGTGATCTTATTTCACTTTCACCCTTCAGGTCCGACCCATAAAGTTGACATCACCATGAATCGCCGGAATGCAGAATCTTCTTTCTTCGTCCATATTGGAGGAAATGTGATTCGTGTGAAGTAATTTGTTAAACGTAATTCATGTATAAAGGAAATTTCTATGTTTTTTGTTTTGTTTTCAGTATTAATCTGGCCACAGCGGAAACGCCACAAAATGGGAGTCAATTGTTTGCAGAAGCGATTGGGACGCGGAACTCTTTCACGATGGCTCTGTCTACGAGGTAACTCGAATGTGAAATTTAAAGGTGTACATTTGAATGGTGAATATGATTTACATTACATTTCATGTTTTTACAGGGATGCCATTCAAATAGAATCGGCTCAAGAACCAACCCCGGAAAACCGAAAGAGACCGAAATTAGAGCAGAGAGTCGTCCGTCTAGCCAAGGATGTCCAGCACTATAAGGAACGAAGTGCAAAGAACCGAAAGGAGAAAAATGATTTGAAAATGATGTATACTTGCAAGATTGCAAGAAAACGGGCGCAATTCCATCTGGCTCGAGGGAATTTGATAACGAAATATGAAGTACAAATTAGGATTCTCAAGAACGGAATTAAAAAATACCGCAACGCTACGTCTAAACTGTTCTCCCCTAAGCAAGTTACACTTCTTTTGACTGGTCGGAAGCAGGCAAAGTGGAATAATGCCGAAATTGGCAAATTCATATCATTACGATATAAATCAAACTTATACGAACATATGCGCAGTCTCAGCTTCCCATTTGCGTCAACACGAACACTCCAGAGATTTACTTCAAAGATTCAGTTTCGCCCTGGAATCCTCCATCCTATCATTAACATGTTGAAGAATGAATTTGAAAGTGCCCTTGACATCCAACGCCAATGCTGTTTGGTATTCGACGAGATGAGCTTGGAAGGTGCCTTTGCATACGATGCAGAAGAGGATAAAATTTATCCCCCAAGCGTCAACATGAACGTTTACTTTCTCCGCGGACTATTCAGCAACTGGAAGCAACCCATCGCTTTTGAGTTTGATGACCATTTCAGTCCCGAGAAGATATTACAGATGATTGACCTTGCTGAGTCGATAGGATTGCGAGTTAGGGGTCTCGTTTGTGATCTTGGTGGCAAGAATCGGGGGCTTTTGAATAAACTTGGAGCAAAAGTGCGAAAAACAAAGTCGTCGACAGGAGATAAGTATTCGATCGTCAGTTCATTCAAGAATCCTACCAGATGTTTGGATGAAATCTGGGTATTCCCTGACGCGCCCCACTTAATCAAACTACTTCGTGATAATCTCTTCAAATACGGCCTGGTACTTGAAAGTGGAGTGAAGATTATTCTTGACGATTTCAGGAAGCTAGTCAGTATTGATTCTGGTGAACTCCAGTCAAATTTCAAATTAAGTGAGAAGCACATCAACGTGAAGGGTTTGCAAAAAACAACGGTTTCTCTAGCGGTCCAATTGTTCTCAAATTTTACTGCCGCGCTGTGGCGAAAAATTTATCCAAATCGTTCGAAGGAAAGCGACTTTATTGAAATAGTCAATAACTGGTTTGATACCATGAACTCTCGGACTGTGCAAGAAGCAATCTCTTCAAAAAAACCATTTGGAATCAACTATGCGCAACAACTTGAAACGTTGGAAAAGATGGAGGAATCAATTGTCAAGCTTCGTGTGGGTCAAGCGAAATGCTTATATCCCTTCCAACGCGGGTTTCTGCAGTCGATAAATTCCATCCGGGGACTTTTTCATGACATGAGTGGCAGTTCTTTAAGAATTAAATACATCTTGACTTGCAAAGTGAACCAAGATCTTGCAGAAAACTCTTTCAGTATGATTAGGAAGACTGGCGCATACCATTCTAGACCCAGCGCCGTGGATGCAAAGAGGAGGTTGAAACTATTATGTCTCTCGTGGGGTGGGACCAACCTGAAGACATCGGCGGTTCAGGTCGAGGATAATGAACCATTCCTATCTGCACGGATGATGGCGTCTCTAACTACTGCCATGCCAGAAGATGACCTTGTGGTACCATGGTTGGATCTCAACGAAGCTGTGGGCAACTTGCTCTCGGAGGACAATTTTGACGTGGTACTAAGATCGATGGGACCTGCTCAGAGTTGTGAGGAAGGTGGAAAGGAGTATGTCGCAGGGTTCGTGGCTTCAAAATTTGCCAGAGATCACCCCGAACTTGTTGCCAGTTCTCAGGAACAACAGCTATTGCAGAATTTTAGCTGGGTGATGAGTTTGCATAAAGAGAAACTAACCATCCCATCTATCAAGTGGAGAAACTGGTGTGCTCAACTGGAGGAGGAATTTCGTGACTTCCATCGTGTCGGAGGAAGGTATCATCTCAGTTTAGATTCTGGGGTTCTTGAAGGTTTCAGTGTAAGTCTTTCTGAGAAATACCCACAAATTCCTCGAGGACCCTTAAAGTTGTTCATCAAAACACGAACGTTTGCACGAATTAAGAGTGTTAATCAGAAGTTAGTAGAGGAAAGACGGGTTGCAGCTCAAAAGAGGATGGAAGGTTGGGTGCGTAGCCAAAGTCGGGGTCCGCAAACGGGGCATGAAGAAGATTATGATGAGGACGACAATTTCTTCGAGGAGGAGGACAATTTCCCCGAGGATTTCGATTATCAAGTCCCGAATGTATCAAGCAGTATAAATTGGCAGGAAGAGTATCAAAATTATATAAACAGTGAAGTTTAGTTCATAGTTCGTAATATTTGCATGATTTGTAACGTTTAATTAAAATTTAGTATGGTTTCCACTAAAATGCAATGTGCTTCATTTTAAATTTAGGTTATTACTCATGTAAAATTTGATCTAATGGGTCGGATAAAATTTCAGTTGTTGAAAATTGATATAAATTCTTGTTCAAAGTGCTTCATTTTCATATCTTAAAATAGTTAGTTCTGTTAATTGAATGCTTTTTAATACATCTAAATTTGTATTCATGATGAAATTCGTAGTTTTTTCACCGGCCAGAAAAGTGAAAAATTTCATAAATAGAATAATATTAAAAATCCAATCGGCAAAAAAAACTTTGCCAAATATATTAGCTTCCAAAAACACCCCAATAGATCAATAATCTATTGGGGCATGATTCGAACCTGAGTTCTCCCTTCAACATGTCTATCGCCGCGTACAGAAGCATTCGCCAACTGGACTACACCACAATGCTGAAGGTGAGTGAGAACGGATTTTACAGTGGTCTTGTTCACCACCACCACTCTCATAACTAAATGGCTTATATCTTTAAAATATCCGCTCTTCATGAATTTCACAGCCAATTCTTATCCTTCAATTGGTAATATATTTTGTAACCAATGACATATTTTCAATAATTTTTAGTTTTCTAAAAATGAAAATTTATTTTGTAACTCGGTCATTTGTCGTAACCTTATAGATTGATAAAGTGTCGAATAATCTTGCATCCAAACATATACAAATCGTTATTAAATTGATAATGAAATAGTCCACATCTTATACAATTATCAGGAAAAATTATATTTTTGTTGATTTTTTAACGTTAAATTTCTTAGTTTGCACCAACTCGCAAGAATGGCTCCTAAGTCCACGGGCTGCTGGTTGCTCAATTTCACTGCGTAGAAGAATCTGCCAACCTTGTCTTACTCGTCTTGCCGGCTAAAGCTTTTTTCTACTAATTGGTACATTGACAATAATTATTTATAGTTTTGAGTATCATCATTCGTTCCAGGATACGGAGGTCAGGCGTACCTACTACTTATTTCACGTTTCTATTTGATTCCAGGAAGACGGTAGCAGTATTATCGGAGAAGCAATTGTTTTTAAAGTCACGACAAAAAACTTATGCTTCATTCACAATCAGTAACAACATCTGCTGGTTAGAAAATATTATTTGTATTTTCATAACGCACCATAAATGTTGTAGGTAGACAAAAGTAATAATTACTTCAACTATATTGTTTGTAACAGGAAAGTTACATTTGTCCTGGTGAGAAGAAATGGGAAACTCGGCGTCAAAGAAGCAGCTGGTAGACTCTTCCGAGGAAGGTGTCAAGGCCTGGCTGAATAAAGCTCGAGAGGAATTTGACGAACGATGGCGAAACCCACAATCCACAGTGTCCAACTTGGACGAGTTTGACCGTCTCAAGACGTTAGGAACTGGATCCTTCGGCCGAGTAATGCTCGTCCAACACAAGTCCAGCAAGGAGTATTACGCCATGAAGATTTTGGATAAACAGAAGATTGTCAAGCTAAAGCAAGTGGAGCACACGTTAAACGAAAAACGTATTCTGAGCTGCGTGAGATTCCCCTTCCTCGTTGGACTCAAATACCACCTGAAAGATACTACAAATCTTTATATGTTCATGGAATTTGTAAACGGCGGAGAGATGTTTGGTCACCTTAGAAGACTTGGGCGATTCAGCGAACCTCACACACGATTCTACGCTGCTCAAATCGTGATGGCTTTCGAATACCTTCACCATCTGGATATCATTTATAGAGACTTGAAACCAGAAAATATCCTCATTGATAACAAAGGATACTTGAAGGTCACGGACTTTGGATTCGCGAAGAGGGTGAAAGGACGAACGTGGACTTTATGCGGAACTCCTGAGTACCTTGCACCAGAAATCATATTATCAAAAGGATATAACAAGGCCGTTGACTGGTGGGCTGTGGGCGTGCTCATGTTCGAGATGTCGGCAGGATATCCGCCGTAATATATGACATATTTAAATTGTATGCATAGCTTTCTTCTACTTATGTCGCGTGTAATATTTGTATTTATAAATTGTACAGGTTCTTTGCGGACCAGCCAATTCAAATCTACGAGAAAATTGTGGGTGGTAAAGTAAGGTTTCCCTCTCATCTGTCCAATGATCTTAAGAACCTTCTTCAGAATATGCTACAAGTTGATCTCACTAAACGGTTCGGCAACCTGAAGAATGGTGTTTTTGATATTAAATCCCACAAATGGTTTGATAATGTGGATTGGATAGCTATCTTTGATAGAAAGGTTGAATCTCCGTTCGTTCCAAAAGTTAAGAATATCGGCGACACTAGCAACTTTGACGATTACGAAGAGGAAGTTCTCCGAATTGCTTCAACGGAAAGATGTGCCAAGGAATTTGCGGACTTTTAACTCTCCAGTCATATGCCGCTAATGACTTTAGACTGAAATTTTTCGTGTGTATAATTGAAATAAAAATTCGTAAAATACTTGTATATATAGAATACAGCTTAAAAATGTGTCAAACGAGAATGCATAATAATAATAATTCAGAGATTTTTATGTACTGACCCTGACCCAACAATGACAACAATAAAATAGCTGCAACAGTATTACTAAACAAAAATCATGAATTTTGTTACGAGTTTCAATCAGCCCCGCATTTGAGCACGCTACAAAATTTACACGAATTTTCCAAGACTCGATCGTGGTTTCTGATTTGTCGGTCGGTAGAGTATCAAAGGTAATAAAATAACAAATTTTGACCTCATATTAACCAAAAAAGTTAAGAACACATCATTTTTCTTCAACTGGACTCTAGTTCAGAATTTCTTATTTTTAATTGAAATCGTAACTTTACCTTGATCACAAATTAATTTACTTCCAGAATTATTCGACTGAATCAAATAAAGTCTTTGGTTTGAAAGTTGTACCGTAAGATTATTTGAAGACGAGATGGCTGAAGCTGACCAAAACAAACCGGTCTGTCCTGTAACACCGGTGGAGGAGGAAGAAGGTCTCGTTGTAAGTAGTTATAATAAAAACGGTGTCGACTGTCGCCACGTAGTTCGTTGAGTTTACGTCAACTTATTACTTGTTTGGTTAATTGCATTGAATGTTTCAGGATCCTCAAGAAAAGTTTCGAAAAATATGTCGCAAGACGAAAGAATGTTCCAGACTCTTTGAGGAGCTCCAAGCTTGCAATGATCGAGTCAACAGTCGGACCAAAACTGCCGAGACTTGCATGGAAGAGGTATTTTAAGTAATAAATGTATGCCACTAACAATAAACAATTATTAATCAATTTAACCTAATAGGTGATTGACTTTGTCCACTGCGTTGACCATTGCGTAAGTCTGATTAGTTATGACTAATTGTTATGTACAAGTTGTAAACTAAATTATTCATAACTCATTTTAGGCAGCAAAAAAATTCTTTCCACTTCTGAAGTAAGAGTCTTCGCCTTCCTCGGTTTGAATTCGCTAATCAATACTAATCATTAATATTTATACAAGAATTATTAACATAAAATACATTCCTAAAATCCTGTGTTTGAATTTAATTATATACCGATAGAAAATGTCTCATTCTGTCAATCTATAATTGAATTGTACGGCTTTTAAATAAATAAATCCTGTCTTAATATATACTGGTTCGTATGATAGAGCTATATAGTAATCGGTTTGTACACAGCAATACGATTAATTACTTATGTTCGTATGATTCCTTCTACTCTTAAGCTAAACATTACAATCCCGTGTTTGCGTTATGTTATGTCATCAGAGTACAAATAATAATAAATGGACAATTAAAATAGTAGGTGCCTGCAAAGTTCATACATGTTGCTTACGTGCGCGAGAAGGCTAAAGAATTGAGATGATATATGCTTTGTGTAAGTGTCAAGGATGGCTTATTATCTTGATTGACTGTATTTGTCTACGTGATATGTGCCACGCACCACTTTTCATGATAAGCAAAAGGTTCAAGTTATCGAGCTCTATTTATGACCGATTTTCTATTTTCTCAGCATGCACACAAAGACACACCCAATTCAGACGAAAGACGTTTTTTTATTTATAGATTGTTTCTCGCTAAAGGCAAGGCAATATAAACTATTGGAGAACATGACCGGTACGCACATTTATCCACGGTTAACGGTATTTTCGGCTGTATTTGGTTTGGCAGTGGTTCGAGATAGCCTAATCTTAATTCTGTTCAGCAAATGCATCACATGAGCTAAAGTACGCAAACAAAAAAAACTCGTCTTGGTCGTGACATGAAAAACGGTGCAACTGAACTCGATCTTGTCACGTAACTTTTTTTTACGTTAATTCACATGCGGAAATTAATTTAGTTTAGACTGGTTGATTTGATCCCCATACCGCACCGCACATTCGCTAAATGATGAAGGAAAGATAACCGATGGACGTGATAGACAATGACAGGGGCATATTTAATCCATAAGGCTCTGAATAATTGCACCACTGTTATCCATGAATGAACTAAAACTCGAATATGATAAGTCTACCAGATAAGAGTGTGCCTTTATAAACCGCGATTCAAAAGATTGTACTCTAATACTTTTAACTTCTTGTACCACGATACATCTCATCGCTGACCTCCGAGCAGTGACTACAATGAGTCGACTTTGCTTTTTACTCGTTCCATTTGTTGGTGCAATTATCTCTGTTTATGGACAAGGAGGATTCACGCCCATAAACACAGATCAATTTGCTTTAGCAGTGTCCGATTTTGAGGTTCGCGAGAGCAACACACGTAAAGTTCGGCGACCGTAGGGGCCGTCATTGTGTTCGACACAATGAGTTTCCGCTAAAAAACTGGGTACCTACTCCGAATCGGAGTGGGTACTTGGATTAAATGACCAACATTTGTTATTAGAAATACATACGGCCCTTACAGAACCTGGATTTTATTAATATTATTATCTCAGCGTTTTATTATTAAATAAGTCTTAAACACTGCCGATTGAGCAATTTGTAATATTTTCATCAGCTTCCTTGGGCCGATGCCGTTGCAGCATGTACTGCCAGAGGGCAGTCCTTGTTGTCCGTTGATTCTGCCGGAAAGGATCGCGTTTTAGTGGATTTGTTTGTCAATGGTGGTGCAAATAGTAAGACTTCGTAAAAGCTAAGCATTATAAATTCTTATGAACATTAATAATTTGTATAATTTTGCTCAAAGTGACACTTCCAGGGAATAATTCTTGGATCGGGGCGACGGAAAGTAGAGAAGGTGCATGGATCTGGCAGTCGTCGAATGAACCATTGTATTACACGAGGTGGATGGTTGGACAACCCGACGATATCTCGAGTATTAATTGTGCTTATCAAGCTGTGCAGGCTCTTTTGTACTGGAGAGATGCCAATTGTTCTGCGCCAATGTATTTCATATGTGAATCTTAATTTAATAATGTAAAAATGTAGTGAAAAATAAAATATTTTCTTTGATTGTTAATAGTGAAACTTGTACTCCAGTGGATGCATTTTATTTTCAATCAAATAGTTTTATCGTACATATCCCAGTGCTGACTCAATGATGGAACTGTAAAAATGTAAATGTAATTCCAATCTATATAAATTTGGAATTGGAGGTTTTGATATCATTTTAAGTATATCAAAATTTGTGCAGATTAAGTCAACATACTACATTTATACAATACCTAAGTTGCATTAATTATACTACTATAGTATAGTATTAATAGCCGTGAAGAAAACAGTTAGTTTGCGAGTTTTGACGGGCATTAAAATTGAATGGATTTTGCAGTCAATAATTTCCATTTGCAAGATATTGTATCCAAACTTTCGGGTTAAATATGAAGTTAAATCCATCGAGGAAGGATACGCCTGAAACACATGAAATCGTCAATAAAAAACAAAATGAGTTCCAAATTTAGGGATGTTATGATGTTATAAACGATAAACTAATTCTTAAAAAAAACTTAGGTGAGGCTTGCTTAAAAGGGAGAAACAAGAGGTTATCATCGTGTAGTAAAATAATATGCTACATCAATGTTCATCTCATGATTTATAATTTTAGGTGAATACAACAACAAATTATATGCGTTTCGGACCATTTGCCTCGCCGTGGGCAATTTTATGATTCAAATAATTAAAATAACTTGAAAATTTGCCCAGTGCATTTAATATATTAAATGCACTGGGCAAATTTTTTGTGTACACATATGCAGTAATAATTCATATGAAACGATACAGGATTTAGTTAGATAATTTCGTTATCCATAATCTATTGGTGATTTAATGTACGAAGCTTGAGTTAGTTTGTAACATGAAATATTATATTTCAGAACACTAAATGTTAAAAAATTCGACCTATCTTTGAAATATATTCATGTAGGCCATCAGTATAAGCAGAATCGAATAGTAAGAAGATTGCAACTTATGTATATTTAGGTACAAGCATCAATATGGCGCACATACTATATATATACATATATGCATTGGTATGGAACAATTAATCAGGCCCACGGCGAGGCAAATGGTCCGAAACGCATATAATTTGTTGTTGTATTCACCTAAAATTATAAATCATGAGATGAACATTGATGTAGCATATTATTTTACTACACGATGATAACCTCTTGTTTCCCCCTTTTAAGCAAGCCTCACCTAAGTTTTTTTTAAGAATTAGTTTATTTTTTGTTTTTAAGTCTCGTTAAGTTGTCATCAATAATAGATACCAAATTAAATCCTCATTAGTCTGGATGCGGTGCATATGCAATTAATTCTCCAGTGGGTGTGGATGCGTGGAACACCAAATTAAATTCCCCTGTCACCCGTGGACGTGGACAAGAAATGCATCAACATCATACATATGTATGTATATGCACACACTTAGAAATCTGGTATAATTGAATTCTCAGTGGTACCTATTACTTGCAATATGACGCCAGCGGTCTAGCTCCGATTTTGACGAAAAAATGATAATCATGTATTCTTAGATAAATGATTAAACACGTGTTTCAGGATTTTTCATAATGCTCAGTTTAATTAAACAAAGTTATGATGGAAAACGTGAAAGAGAATTTGCATTTTCACCGTGAAATTTTTCTCACATGGGAGAAAACGAAACATGATTACGTCAGAGCATTAGTTATGAATACCATTTTTGTAGTCATTTCTGAATACCACTTGGTACTATTTTAATACTGGATTTCTAAAAGTGCATACATGTACATACATATTTACATGTTTAGATATTTGCATATGTAAGTGCAGAGCTTACATGTTTCTATTGTGCTGGTTGCTAATAGAAACGAGTATTTATTATAAGTAATGAAGAAACATTACAAGTAACGTAACTGGCTGCACATGCTACCAAGAAAACTTTTTCATTTCTTATCCGATTTCGCTCGGGTTTGTTTTAAATGACGCGTTATAGATTTCCGCACATTAAAACATAGACGAGTCACAACCTTTGCATTGCAAAAGTGAATTTGCAAGTCGTTTGAAAGTTTAAAATCGATTTAAAATGGGTTAAAATAAGATTGTCATGTTTCTAGACCTGACGGGCATCATCTACCCAGCAAGGTCTGCACGATTGCCTTTTACACCATTTTGATATGATTAGCCGTTTTGCCACAATCTTGAGTGGAATTTTGGGAGGGGGGGTCTGTTTGCATACTTAGGCTTCGCCGTAACCATGCATTTTTTCATGTGTTCATGGTTACTATTATGCCTCACCTAAGAAAAACGAAAGTTTTAGTGTAATTGAAACCATGTAAATAAGTTAGTTCATCAGTTCCGTTCGAGAGCAATGGTAACATGCAAAAAATTGGCGTGCATTTTTGTGTGAGTAATCCCAGCCGCTGGAACCCGATCTGAAATCATTCCAATTCCAGGGACAGAAGATTTCAGTGGAAAAATTTCAATATTCTCACCGACCCGTACTAATCTCTCAATTGCTTCTAAATTTACAACTATATGAAAACGCAGTACGCACAGATAAAATGCAATTTCACTCAGTAAGATAGTTTCCACAAATGATTTATTTATTCAAAAAGTATGGTCATCACTGAGTATACTATATACTATATAAATTGAATGTATGTATTATATGCAATGTAGACTTGGACCGGTATAAGTTACATATACTGTATAACATAGTATTTAATTCATCTTAATTCATTGACCGATGTAATCGATTAATATTTAATTCATTTTGAGAGTTCATTAATCAAAGATTAAATTGGTTCAATTCAGCTGGAAAGTCAGAAGACAATACTGGACAACAATTATTTAGAAAATCAAATAAGTAATAAATATTAATAATAATACAAGACTCAAACGAACATAAGATCGGATCGACTAAAATTAAGCGTATGACATTGAAACAATAGGAACATGAACATATTTAAGTTAAGTATGTAGCAGTATCATAAATACACCTCTGACTACCTAATATACATAAGTACGTACATATATAATAAGTATAGTCTGACAATAAGTGAGAATTATATCAAAAAGTATTATCATCTGTAATGTAATTTCTGTGATAATTCCAGAATAGGCAAGTTATGAAAGATCAGTTTAATTCATGGCGAAGCCCTGCAGATCATTTTGCTCCATTTTGCTCCAACTTTTTATTTTGTTTACCAAGGATCAACATCAGCTCTTTTGGCATGTAATATGGCTTTTCAGGTGATCCATCTTAAAGATATTACCGATATATCAGTTGATAATTCATTGCACGAAACAAATATTGTAGTAATAATCACGTACCGTTGCGTTCACAATCTTCAAGGAAACACAAGAACAGGGTGTCCACGGCCATTTCATAAACGCTGAAGAACACACTGGCGATACAGTAAACTCCAATGGTAATTATAATGACGGGAACAAGATAGAAATTTAGTTCGGGAATCTAAATAAGATAAAAAAGAACATTAAACATTGAACCTTAATCCATCACGAAAAATGCACATAATTGGCGAGTATTATTATCTTATAGTGGTTTCATACGTTTTCATTGACAGAGTCTGGGAATCGATGAGTAAAAATATAGAATGATCCAATGGCTACAATTCCAGTCACGACGAGCTTCCCCAAAAACAGTAAAAAGTCTGTAACTTTGTCGAGGACGAACGCCCTGAGCGCGTTCCTCATCACAAGAAAGAACGAATCTCTGGCGGAAACGCAGAAATTTTTGCCGTACACGGCCACCATGATGTAGGCGTTACGATTAATGAACTTCATAAATTTTTCCAAACACCAGAAGCAGCATTTCATACACCACAACACGGCTTTAGCAGCTGGGTTATCCCTACAATGAGTAAAATTAAACAACGATTTAATTGTTGCCTTTACATATTGGCTTTTATACAAATACATTGTGTGGGAAATATTCTTACTGATATTGTCGTGTTTTTGCGTCTACATATTCCAAGAAATATCGAATAAACTTAATGATGCTAATAATCAAACTTCCGAATGCAACCGTTCCCAAATGATAACGAACCTGTCAAAATTATTATCACCGAGTCATTGCTAGTTCATAAATATGAAGTTGGAATATATTTATTTATTACCGTTCGAAAGAAACTACTGGCCACTGGAAATAATGCTAGATCCTTTTTCCTGTTAAATGTCCAGTACCTGTAACAAGTAACATATTAAAGCATTATTACACATTATAGTCATAATTTAGTAGGTATATTTAAGTTACGTATTTACCATCCGGCAAAACTTCCAGCTAAAACCATATCGCCCAAATCATTTACAAAGCAGAGAAGCCATATCACGCCGAATATGTTATACAAGTGGAAATAGAAAGCTTGGGACAGCTTCTGGTGGTTCTGATAAGTGCAAGTCGAAATATCCTTGCACGGTAAGCAGGATTCCAGTGCTTTGGTAAAACTTTTGATGTAACATCTGGTCATAAATCAAATTTTTAGCAAACATTAATTGAATCAGAAATGAGAATCATAAAGTTGTGTATGCACCTCTCATTTTCAATGAAACGCTGAGTATCTGAACAAGTGCAGTTCCCATTCACCAGATAAACTTCTTCAGTTGCTGTTGCCAAATACACACCCACGAGTAGAAACCAGCCAATGACAAGAACTTGCCAAAACCAGGGGACGATTGGCCAAAAAATTGTAAAGCTCATTTCACTCACTGCCCTAAATATGTATATTTACCACAGACTCGTTAGAATATGCATTAAAACGATGATGCATATTTTATGCAATTAGAACATACCGTGCTCCTTGCTTAATTAGTGCCACAGCCAAATAAAGTCTTGATCTTAAGAAAATTACAATTAACAAAAGAATTCCAAGAAGGGTTCCAGTAATTATAGCAAATGCAAGCCAGGTGTTTTTTAGTTTTAAATAAGTCTCTAGTTGTGAATTAAATTCTTCTTCCGAGATTAAAACGTCGGTGTTGGCTTCTCTCCGAAATTCAATAGTTTCGTTGACACTTTTCAGCTCAATGTACTTATCCACACTGTAGTAACAACCTGCAGGGAGCAAGGAATATTTTATAATCAAATTAGAAAGTTCAAATTCATGCATTAAAGTAGTATCAAGTAAATATAATCATACTAAATCCAAGCACTCCAATCATCCCGAATAGCGAAAACCACACCATGATTCCTGCAAAACATCTCATCAGACAAATCCAGAGTCCGGCGACAACTGCACCCACAACAAGACATCCAAGTATGACAACCCATGAAGCCTTCAAGTCTTGAAATAATAACTCTAGATTCTGCAACAAAATTTTGCATTTACAAAATCATTATCTAAATTTCAAGTTCCAGATATGCACTAGTATCAGCATGGTCTATAATACTAACTAGTATTATGTATAGGTCATAGTTTGCAAACTAACCTCTTTAGTGTTAAAGAACTCGATTAGATTTGCAACACCTTTCTTCATATTAGCTTTTTCAACATCTTCTTCATCGCTGAATTTTTCGATATTTGCCAAAGACGGAATGCATCTCCGGACGACTGTTAAGCATACAAATTGGAGACATTAGCATGAGATACAATAAATGATGTGCATAGATAAATGAATAAAGGAAAAAAAACAAATGCAAATATTTGAAACAAGATTTGAGGACCTGGGAAGAAAATTTGCGAACAATTTGGGGGCTTTGTGTGAATATAGCAAGTAACATATATAAATAACTATGAACTATTAAGGTGTGGTTTTATGAGGACCCCAAGCCGTATAGTTTGCAGAGACACTTTGACACAATGGACAGCAAGAGAAAAGGCAGATAAATAAAATAAACAAGTACGATATGTATGTACATGAAACGGTAACAGCAGTGTTGAAAATATGTCACTTACGAGCACTTTTAACCGTTTTTACAGGAGCTTTCCATTTCCAACTAGAGTCCGATATATTCCCTGTTTGCATGAGTAAATAATTCCGATGACGAAGCAGCACAAAATAAATACACCAATTATTTAGTTACAAGTACTTCAAAGCCATGAACTTGTGCTAACGCGTAAGCTTTACTGGTATCATCAGTACCGTACCAACCGTGGTATATGGTGGTACCAAATACCAGGCCCGGGGCCCGCAAGGGCCCGGGCCAGGTCACTAGCTTTTCACTAGATATAATGGACTTTTTTGGGTATTGACGATTTTACAAAAAAATATTCCACGCAAAAAAATTTTCTTACATCTAACATGAAACTGCTAGATTTATTTGTTTTTCATGTGTAATTATGCTTGTATGAATTTAGAGCAAACATACTGTGTCACCTTTAATTTTAATAGTTTGACTTTCGAATTTCAAATAATATGAAAAATCCTGATTTTAGCTGAAACGCAATTTAGAAATTCAGTTAAAAGGGAAATTAGCACACTTAAAGAAAACCTAAAAGTGTGGATCGACTTATTTCTGTGCTTGAGGAATTTTAAAATTTACGGGGTAAAAATCGGAGAGGATCACATCACGCCTACGAATGTTTCGTTACAATTTTGAAATATGTAAATTACCTGACACCAAAATTTGTCAAAAGTTGCCATATTGCTATTATATTTTGTGGGATTTTGGGAAATTGTAAAGTGTTGGTACATTCTTAATTTGTTGGAACCGAAAATGCGAACTTCAAAAATTCAATGTGAAAAAAGCAAAAATGCTTTTTGGAAACTCAAATGTGCCTCGCTAGGGGACAAATTTAACGAAACCCAGTGATAAAAGTGGATATGAACTTAGGACCATTAACTTACAATGCGATGACACCATCGGTCTCTCTCCGTTTTTGACGAAACCTCGATAGTTATGCAACCTTAGACATATAATAGAATACGTGTTTCAGGATTTTTCATAATGCTCAGCTTAAAGGAAATTATAACGGAATCCGTGAGCGAGAACTTCCATTTTGACCGTGACATTTTCTTGCGAGGGAGAAAAATAAAGATTCTCCCTTACGAATACCATCATACATAATTTCGTTTAAGCTTAAAATGCGTGGGCATAGATTGGTTTCCTCCAATTTTGACCCGACCAATTTAGATTGCATACACAAGGAAATAAGAGGACGTAGTTTTGTGCATACCCCGTTTCTGCCTGTGAGAAAATTTTTGAAGTCATTTTGAGCCAAATTTTGATTTTTCAAAGTTATGTAAATTTTTAAATTTGGGCCCTATTGCAAAAATGAAAGAACATTTTTTGCAAAGCATGACATTGAGTTTAAGGAAATTCTCAATTTCAAAAACTTTAAATTTTTTCGAATTTTCTGATCTGGAGCATATTTTCATACAAATTTCGAACGTTAAAAGTTCTTCGAAAAACAGTTCTTATAATTTTATGGAAGTAATTTTGAGCAAACACGTTCTTTGATTTTTAAAATAGCGTTAAAAATTCAAAATTAACAGCTTTCTCAAAAATCCTGATTTGGCTGAAAATGTATTAAAAACTTGTCACAACCGAAAAACGAACATACCGGAAAACGAAAATTACGGGTTCAGTTATTTTAGTGTGTGAGCAACTTATTTAAAATTGGTTAGATCAAAATCCAAAGAAATCAATTCAGGTCCACGCATTTTAACTTTAAACGGAACTATGATAGAGTTCGTAAGCGGTAAAAATACTGGAAATTCTCGCTCATGGATTCCGTCATAATTGAGTTTAAGCTGAGCATTATAGAAATGCTGAAACACGTGTTTAATTATGTGTCTCAGGTTGTGTAATTATTGTGGTTTCGTCAAAATCGGAGAGACCGCTGGCGTCATCGCATTGTGAGTCAGACTATAAGATAACTGCTTCAGGCCCAAATGTTTACGATTGTATATTTTTTTCTTACCGCTTGGTTCAATTTTAAAAGCTATTTTCAGCTAAAACGTTGACTTTTCAAAATACTGTATGTTTTTGAATGTGTACCTTTCAAGAAATCAAGAATACGTGTTCTAAGCATTAAATAGAATTGAGTTTTCGGACCGGCATTATCGCCAATTCCAAATGAGTCTGGGAATTGTTTAAACTTTTAAAACGGATAGAAAGGTAATCAATCGAAAAAGGTTTGGGAAACGTTGCGAAGTAAGCGAAAAGTATCATATTCGCATATTTATGCAACTTATACGTATATAATTTTCTCCGTCCCGGCGATATTTTAAAAAATATGGCTGAGTTAAAAGCGCAAGTAAGTAAATTGTCACTATCTATTTTCCCACGGAACTGGGAAAATAATGTACTCTTAATACTCGTAGAATATTATCTACTTCGTTCCAGAATATTCTGTATTCTGGAACCAAAACGATTACATAATATCGAATATATTGAAATTATGAAAGGGCCCGGCACCGAAGCTCATACCAGGCCTGACAATTTCACGGCACGGCTCTGGGTATCATTTTACGGCGTTTTAGATTGTCAAATATTAATGTTTACCATACGTTTACATATGTACTACTGGAAAGCAATTATCTACTGATTTTAAATAGTGTGCATTTTTTACCAAATTTTCAAACGAATATATACGCATCGAATATGATGCTGCTTTAAAAATGTCTGATATTAAGCGTGTGTTTGGTGCAGAATTGTATATTTCTGTATACACTTACTGGTTGTAATGGTTGATTGTTCTATTGGAATGTCGAATAGTTATAACCACAAGTCATGCAATTTATATTTAATCAAGTCCGAATAATTGGAATAATAACTCCAATATCGTCACATTTTGTCCAATTTTACTTTCACTCACGTGTTTTCGATGGAATGATGAACTTCGCACACTGTTGTTTCGGCAAAGCAATCAACTCTGCAACGGTTTGAGTACTTTTGTCGACATCGTATTTACAGATCAATTTCTGCTTGATATCATTTTCAGTCGTTTTCTTGGCGATCTCCATTTTCACGGACCAAGGTTGCCCTAAACATAAATAAATGCGCATGTCTATGGATAGTCCTAGACGCAAGATTCGAGTTAATACATTTCTCAAATTTCGTATTTACCATCATTCGGATCTGGACACTCCTTCACACAAACCTAAAGTAATTCCAGTAGTGATATTATTGTGTCAACAAAAGAAGAAACTCCATTATGTAGATTTATACCTGAGGAGTCCGACATCCGTCCGTCAGAACATTGGCTTTTGCACACTATATTCATAAGAATTGTATTAATCTCAGGGTGAACTGTTTTCTCAATATCACGTGAGGATTACAATCAATTTAAATATAATAGTACCCGAGTAATATCAAAGAAGAACAAGTAAGGTTTATCCTTCACCGCTTCGTCCACTCCACATTTTTGGCCGTATGAATCTGAAATTATTAGTGAAATTAGGATAAATTACAGACTCCTGTAATTGAAACAGCCACAATGCAATCAATGTAACAAGACAAGAGTCAGACCTGTTGGGTAGACAAGAATCGTAGGGTCTCCATGATTGAATCCTTCGATGAAATAAAAATAAAAATATTACTACGTGGAAAATACATATTGGAATAACATTATTAGTCCGGAAACAAGGTATGCCTTACCAATTACTGCAATGACACACCATCCTATGATGAAGGCAACCAGCATTAGAAGACATGTCACGTCCGTGCAAGAACGTTTTTCAATTGGCCCATGAAATTTTTCGTCAAATTCCCGGGGATGCCCTGTTAAAATAATCAATCAAATTGTAATACGTAGATCTGGACATGCATACATAATACGCTAGATGAACTATTGATACGCTTGATCATTATCATCAATCTACACCTTAATCATTTCATTATTTATACGTGGATAGTAAATAGGATAAGTAATAAGTAATGTGAGATAGAGCCCAAAATATTCTCACTTTTGCGGTGTAAAGACATACTTACACAGAACCAAAGAGAAACCTGGAATGGTGATAGATAGAACGGGAATAGAATGATATAAGGTATAGACGACGACGATAAGATAGAGCTATGTAAGTAAGTAAATAAAAATAGCTTCACGTGCAATAACAGCAGGATTGTCAATCAATAAAGTAATACAATCACAATTATAACTAGCAGTGCAGAATGAACTAGACATGGAACCAAGGTCGAAGCTAAAGTGGATGCATTAAGTAATTTAGACACTAAACTATGTCATTATACAAACCGTTTTTATAGAATGACCGAAATATTTAATCACGATTCAGCTCAGCATATTTTCAGTCTTGTTCAAACATAATTGATTTAGAAATCAAATACGTAAATCCCGAATAATGCCAAAAATTGTTACCCAGCCGGGAATCGAACCACGGCTCCCTTGAATTCATGTCAAGTGCTCTGACCTCTGAGCTACTAGGGCAATTAGTAACATTATAGGGACTTTTTACTGATATTTGTCTGTGGCCTTTTTCTGTGAATTTCTACTTTCTTTTATAATTGATTTAGTTGATAGATAAATCGATCCTGAAAATGATGCCCAGTTGTAAAATAGGTAAAAATTTGGTGCTTAAGCGGTTGTGGTAAGGAAGGTGCTACCCTCTTATCGCTGCTCTTCACCAGAGGAGAAAAAATTCCGGGTTTTGAGTTTTTTCCTAGTCTCAACCTTCTCTCTCGCTTTGCAAAATACATTGCTCGCTATCTCGAAACTTCGCATCGACCTTGTGGGGGGGAGAGGGGGAAATCGGGCAAAAAGAGCTTATTAATTGATAAAGATAATTTTTTTGAATTTTTCTACGTTGGTCCGAAATTTTTTCGTCCACGGAGAGTACCTCTGCGTAGATTTTAATAAACACATTGAAGCTTATGCAACTTTAAAATCTACGCAGAGGTACTCTCCGTGGACGAAAAAATTTGGGACCAACGTAGAAAAATTCAAAAAAATTATCTTTATCAATTAATAAGCTCTTTTTGCCCGATTTCCCCCTCTCCCCCCCACAAGGTCGATGCGAAGTTTGGAGATAGGCGAACAATGTATTTTGCAAAGCGAGAGAGAAGGTTGAAACTGGGAAAAAACTCATCCCCAAATTCTCCTCCTTCTCGTCACACTCCCCGTTAAGAAGTTAAGAAAGAGTGCATATACATATTTGTATGCATGTAGCTCGCAACTCTGAGGATGAGTTACGAGCTGGCAGCGTGCACAAAAGGTAATTAAGATATTACGGAATATTGATGAGACAATTCTAAATTTAGTGTTTCGAATTTCACTAAAGATTTTAGATTTCAGTTATGCTTTTTATGAAGCTCGTGCATACTTTGAGAAATAATCTTTGCTTTAATATGTAAATATATATGTACTGGATTTTCCGTACTTGTGTACTTATATTTTCCGTACTTATATCAGTACCAGCCAGAGTTCTTCCTAGCTACTGGCTGACACAATTTGTGTCACACAAATACAAATCAACTCAATTTGAAAACCTAATAATTATGAATATGTATCTACAATTTGCATCCTCCATTTTTATGTAAGCACATATTTGGACTGCTTTTACCTATCCAACGATGACGATCTCGATAATCCGAATCTTCCATATTTTTGTTAATTTTGTAAAACTTTGTATTCCACCAATACAACTAAGCCATACATGTATTAATTAAACATATTTGTATATCTGAATAGCACATAAGTTTAAACGAGTAAGAATACACTTTTGTAAGAGTTTCCACCCAATAGGATTCAATCACTTTGACACATCCGGTTAAGTGTACAAAAAAACGGATCACATGAATTGCAGACTTGCCTGGTATATTTATCTCGATTTTATTTCTCAAAACTCTTGTCGTGCATTTTTCCTCACCATGAAACTGCCATAAATAAATAGCAGCTAAAAACCCATAGAAGTAGTACTGGAGTAGTATTAAAATATTGGAATGGTATTAAAATTGCAAGCACTGTTGCGCGGCTATACTTTACTACACTACTGTTATGCAGACACAAATACTTGTGTACGTATGCACACGTTGGTACATTTGCTTGCAGAAGTACATGGCAATATCAAAAAATTTACAGGAGATACGCTTTTAATCAATGACGCTAGCTAATTTTATTTTATTCTTCTGCCAACTGGCCAAAATCAATCAGCAACCACTTGCTTGAGACTAAATCAGTGTTCAGGGATTGGACAGTTAACAACTGAAATATCAGTCATGCAGTCATGTATATTTGCTTGAATATTTGGCGATGAGTAATTATTTATGGACGTTGAAGTATGTGATAGCAAGTAAACGAGATTAGCACTTTGGGCCACATAAACTCTACGGCTTTATCTGTCAAATGATGTTTAGTTTGTATAACTGACATCACAAAATCTCGTCTCAAACGATCGTGGGTTTCCATTAATGCTCACCACTACACATCGTCTATAGTGAGTCATGAAATCTCAAAAATCTTGATGACATCCATAAAACTCAATATCTCATCAAATCTTCATTTACCATGAAAATTTAGTTCATTGTGCATTTATTTCAAGCTGCATAGATGTAGATTTATTTTGATCATTTGACAAGTTCAAGGTCTGTCAACTCTTTTGGCTACTGGATATTCGTACAAGTTGCCAGTAAAGTCTTTTAAATTGAGGAAATATTGCATAAACGGACAATGCAGTTAACATCAAGCACTTTAAACCTTCTTACCATTAATGTCGGCAACCTCTGAACCTCCAGTGCAACATCCCATATTTGTACAAATTGAGCTAAAGAACTACTCAATGTATGAGAACACTATAGCGTTTCAAAATCTCTTTGAAGTATTGGCCTTGTCAGAGTGCATGCATTAAGATGCACAAGGACACAATCACAAATCAATAAAACTTATATTCAAATCAAGATTAGATTAATTGTTAGATTTAACCTTCGAATATTATTAATATCACATTGTCGCTTTCAAAACCACGAATCATTTAAAGCACAAATAAAAACACTAGAATTGTTAAGACCTGTATATTTTCAACTAAACTCTACTCTTGATTTATAAAAACTTTCGTTGTGTCAAACACACATGCAGAAACTATTATTCTGACAAAGGAGACGTCTCCTGGAGTCTCGATTTTTTGCTCACTCGTGAAAAAATATTTCATGCTTCGCGATCTACATAATTTTAAACCCCCACAGAGCTTTACATATCCACACACTTTACATACTACACTTCTCCCTGGATCAGGTCTCCAACTGTTGATCTGGTTTTGTCATTCATATGCAAATAATACGAATTTTAAGACTAAATTATTGAGTCAATAATTTCAACCACAACTTCAAACTTGGGATAGGAACACTGCAAAACAAACTTTCCTACTTGACAGGAATACTCTAGTTCACAAACTAAATAGCAGTTCATTGTGGTCAAGTCGTTTCATCGACAAGTGCAACGTTTAGGTCATTCGGATTCGATAAGTGGTTGTTCTGTCGTTCTTATCTCAAGAAGCTTCCTGTCACCTTCCATCAGAGAAATGGATTCTAGTCTATTCATCGCAAATGGTCTTATAAAATAATCTTGCAAGGTTGTCGTCAAAGAATGGATTTTGTTAAGTATAATTGAAATTGTGCTCCAACCAAAATAAACAAGTTCAGTTAAAGAGCTTTATAAACGAAAAAGTTATTTATGTGTATGGTTCCTCATTTATCTACTTGCCACGATTTACGGTTTGATGGTTTTTAATAGAATTTTAATATTTGTTGTATTTATGTACTCCAAAAATGAAACCTGTGCACTTGAAGAATGCTAACGTACAAATAACTTCACTCCTAAGTATTCCTTCATGAACATGTTGCACATGAATAAGTTCTGCACAAGCCACGAGTCTCAATACAAGTTTCATTGACGAAGGAAACCACACAACTAAAATATTTACCAGGACTACATGCTTTGTCTTGTCTCCACACTTGCTGCTAGAGGTGAGCTGGATATCCATTTTTTTGGATAATGCATGGCCCGATCCAATCCAACTGGATTTGGATGAATTGGATCTGAAATTTTTTGGGCCAAATGGATTTGGATGGATTGGATCTGAAATTTTTTGGGCCAAATGGATTTGGATGAATTGGATCTGAAATTTTTTGGGCCAAATAGATTTGGATGGATTGGATCTCAAATTTTTTGGGTGAAATGGATTTGGATGAATAGGATCTGGGTGGATTGGATTTGGTCGAATTTGATAAATTTCGTCACCATAAAGAATATCAGGAAGTGTTCTTTTTAACACTCTGATGCTCTTCCTAACAGTATCTGGGCCATACTTTTGTTGCATGGCACACACTGTGACACATATACAGTCCAATCAGATTTATCCCGAACACTAACCATGAGTTTATATATATAATTCTTTGGATAATCCATGCCCTGATCCGATCCAACTGGATTTGGATGAATTGGATCTGAAATTTTTTGGGCCAAATGGATTTGGATGGATTGGATCTGAAATTTTTTGGGCCAAATGGATTTGGATGGATTGGATCTGAAATTTTTTGGGCCAAATGGATTTGGATGAATTGGATCTGAAATTTTTTGGGCCAAATGGATTTGGATGGATTGGATCTGAAATTTTTTGGGCCAAATGGATTTGGATGGATTGGATCTGAAATTTTTTGGGCCAAATGGATTTGGATGGATTGGATCTGAAATTTTTTGGGCCAAATGGATTTGGATGGATTGGATCTGAAATTTTTTGGGCCAAATGGATTTGGATGGATTGGACCCGAAAATTTTTAGGTGAAATGGATTTGGACGGATTGGATCTCAAAAAATGACGATCCAGCTCACCTCTACTTGCTGCTATATAATATTTAGTCCGTGCTATGATTGTGTGTTCCTTCCTTCCTGTAACACTACTGAGGAGATAGTGAAACATTGTGAGGTATTATCTTTACAGGAGGGAGGATATGTTGTGTATTTGTGCTAATGGAAATCGAAACAAAATTACTCTAGTAAATAAAGTTGGTGTCTCAAAGCAATCAGCACATAATAACTTGGAGCTTGTAAATTTTCTTGGCTTGAGATTTGTATGCGGCAGGCATATGCGAAACCATTTTGAGCAAGATCCTATACAGGTGACATTACGAGCATGCATTTAACTAGGGTTCAAACCTAGGTCAAACTTCACAAAAGAAGTTTGTTTGCAAGATCAATAGTGGAACATCAGTTTTGGTTATTGGTTTCATTTCACGCGAAACACCGCTAAATTCATTGTAGACTTTATACATATGTACGTATACAGAATGAGGTAGGAACATTTGAAACATGTATGGAAAATATGGATTGCAAATTCGATATCCATTGTCTACTATAGTATCTAAATGAAAAAGCAAACTATTATCTCCCCGAGACAAAGAGTCGCACACAATGGCGAATCGTTGCAGTTTGTTGTGTCTGTGTCAGAGTAGTAAGTAGTCGGAAACACCGTGAGAAAATATTTCACAGCACGAGACTTTATTCTACACAAATGAAATGCAACCATGAAATGCAGGAACCCGGAAAGTCCGGAAGAAGAAGGGAAAAAAATTCAATTAACACTGGATAAATAATACGAAATAAGAGGGTGGGTCTGGATAAAAGTCTCACGAACTACTCGATATGGTAAAATCGATATTCAAAGTCGTTCTGTTTGATAGTCGTTCTGTTTGAAGTAATTTCTATCAAACTGTTTGATAGAAATTACTTGACCAATGCATCCATATTTTTCGTATGATGTGCATGTGTATGTGTGTGTATGCCTTAATAAAAATAACATCGCAACAAAATGTATTTCTTTGTACAAACTCATTACCGTATTTTCCTGATCCATCCACCTCATCACTCATCACCATATTAAACTCTTCGGCTGACACTTTGCCACTCATTTTTCTTGACCAAACAGTAAACACTGGCTGAATGGCTTTAATGACAATGAAAAATATATAGTCAATATAGTTAATGGAACTGGAACAAGCTAAATAGAAAATTCTACTCTCCAGTAATGCAAACAACAGTTGTGATTTGAGATAAATAGAAAAATGGTTCGAGACAGCACTTAATTCGTAATTATATTGACACACTTTAACTTAAATGAGTTTTTTGAATATGTGACATGTTTTTATGACAGCATAATAGACTAGTAAGCACTAGCCAACACTTTCCAGCTCCAGCCAGCACGTTAAACTGTTTCTTCATCATAAGATACCACGATATTAAGGGGCTTTTTGGCTGTTTGTTATGCTACCTCTGCAACATGCACATAATAGGTTTGTTGTGGTCCCCTTCTAGTTCATGGGAAAGCAAAATTAACTAGGGGAACAGCCAACTGACCAGTTTTTGTGTGCTGTTTCGTGTCCAGAAAAATGAGAGGTAGCGTGTATGGTAACTTTACTTTGCCTAGTTTTATTATTTCCTACATCCATTTCTCGTATGATAGATATGCCCCACAGTCCCAGGTTGAGACCCATAATGGTAAAATGTAATAAATGTATGAAAGCAACCCATTAATGGTATCGATACTCCAGTGTAATAAATGCATTACAAAGTCAGAAGAGGTAGTTTCCAAATGCTGCCCGATAAGAATGTAGTCAACATTGAAACTTGGTGTTTAAATTATGCAAGTATCATCTCGAGAAGAATGCATAATTGGTTGAACCATAACTGGTGTTAGGCATGCTAGGTAGTTAACTGGAAATTGTCAATATCACTTGCCCTCTACTGCTGTAAGTGAAATTGGTACATGTTCATGTGTATGTCCTATCAACGGAAAACTTGGATGAAGCAAAACAATTGGGAGTAAAAGGTTACAATGTACATATTTACTATTTACATACGTGAGCTTACAATAAGAAGGACATCAAAGAATCTTATTAATCAGACCAAAAGTTCAAATGATATGATGTAAATGCAGCGATAAAATATTCTTGCCACCATTTTCCAGATAACCCAATTTGAAATTGAAGGAGCAAAATTTTGTGCTTTATTAATTGTTATTATGCAAGTACTAATGATTTTAAAATAAATCAAAATATTTGTCGGTTGCAAGAGTTGGGAAATTGAGACTCATTCGAGTAGTGAAAGTAGAATATCACAATGCACAGAATCCCTACAAACTGATGGCGGTGATACATCTCGTGTCGAACTTTCACGTTTTTCATATGCACCGATTACAAGCTGCCAACTGCCAAGTGGTATTCAGTTTTGCAAAATAATTTGTAACTTTGTAAATTACAATTTGTAATACCAGCAGCTAACCAGTACCTACCTATCGAGGTTATCAATTGCAGTCTGCAATTTGCAGACTTTTTTGAGCATGGGAATCCACGGACTCTCGACCTTTATACAACGGTAAAATTCACTTTCACTTTCAAATTTTAAAATGTGAAGTTCACATTGTGAAGTTCACATTGTGAACTAATGTGAAGAATCCAATTTTTCACATTCATCTTCAGTGAAGATGAATTAAATCGGACAAGGGCTGCAAAATAATTTTTCCATTTTTGTTCCTTCCTTCTTCCAGATACCACGACAAGTACAAGGAAAAGATTTACTTGCGCGATTGTCCCGTGGTCATTGATGGATGCAATTTGATGTTCTACCTCTACTTCGACTGGAGACAAGCTTCGCCAACAGCGTCGTCGTCCAACGCCAGCCCCACCAAGAAACGGTCATCGTCTTCCGGTGCAAGTGGTGGATCTCCTCTATCGAAACCTAGTCCCCTCAAACTTCCTCACCTATTTGGAGGAGATTACGCTTCCTACGCCCAAAACGTTAGAACGTTCTTCCAACATCTTAAACTCTGCGGAATCACGCCCATAGTCCTCTTTGACGGGGCGTATGATGCACTCAAAATTAAAACGGCGTTTAAAAGGTTTGCTGAGAATTTGAAGCAAAATGTACGACAATCTGGGAACAATTTGAAAGGAGTTACTCCTGGATGTTCATACTCTCCTGTTTTCATGAAGGTATTATTATGACCATTGTAGTATGTTTGATTAAGTGTCTTATGGTTTGTTACAAAAATTTGTGCTTGCTATGTTGTAGGCCCTTTTTGTGGAAATATTACAAGAGCAGAAAATCCTACATTTTCAAACTGAACAAGAAGCCGATTGCACTATAGCCTTCATTGCTCGGAACCTGGGAAATTGTCCCATTTTGAGTTCAGATTCCGACTTTCATATTTACATTGATGCTAAAGTACTTGCTCTGCACACATTGAGATTTAAGAAAGTGTTACCACCAAAGGACAAGACAAAATTGCAATCATCTTCATTATCACCTTTATTAAGTGAAAAGGAAAAGGTGTGGACCCTTCATTCACAATACGTGTGCTTATCCAATCTTTGTCATAAAGAGTTCAACTTGAACGACGCTCGATTGCTTCCCTTAGCTGCCGTGATTTTAGGAAACGACTGGATAACGACTGCAACATTTTCACATTTCCATTCTACAACTGCCGGAGGATCAAAGGTCAAAAGAAATTCTAGGATTGCCTATTTGCTCAGGTGGCTCGGGAAACAGAAATCGTATAATCGTGTTTTCTATTCAATGCTTGCGACGGTGCAAGAACCTAAGCGAGAACAAGTAGCTAAATTGGTGAATGAAATAGTATCAATTTATAAAGGGACTGGTGGTGAAATTAGAGTTTGGAAAATGTTGTTACAAACTGGTCAAGTTGATAAATTCTTAATTCAGGATAATAATGAGTTCACTCAAAGCTCGGACCTAACCATCGGTGACATGTTGGAAAAATTAAGTTTGGATGAATCTTTGGTTGAGGACGAGCAAGAATTAAATGACGTTAAGGATGACGAAGACAAGGAAGCAGTAGAAGAAGACTGCGAGTCAGATGATTCAGATACAGAAGAAATTGAAATTGAATCTTGTGAAAATCAAACAAAATTGCCCGAGTGGTACATCGATGCCCATATCAGATGTGTATTCCCTACATTTCTCTTAAAAATAGTGAAAAATCAAACAGTGTTTCTTTCTCCTCAAGCAGAATGCAGTACAATGCTAAGCACTCATACAATGGCAATACCTATAATTCAAGTTCTTTCGGGAATCCTACTAGGTCCAAATAAAAATATAACTCTCGTCTCCAGGAACAAGTCTAGGATTACGGATATAAAAGTTGACTCCGTAACAGAGCTGAAGGAATTTGGGACTTTGCCCTTACTATCTGAAAACTGCAAAGAATTTAAAACAGCCTTCCCCCAAGAATCAAGAGCACAAATAATTTTTGAAGCTTTAGGACTCTACTCAACTGACTTTGTTCAATTCATTCAGCAGTGGCCAGTGTCTCTGAGAATGTGGGTCATTTCTCTAGTATACTTTCTTAAATGCGTAAACCAAGATTCTACTAAATTATCCCAAGAAGACAGCATCAACAACAAGGACATGGAGGCCGCCAATTCTTCAGCACTTCCGGTAGCAGTTGCTATTCTATGCTGCGTCATAAAGACGAGTGTTTTAAATCCATCTGGCTCCAGTAGAAAGTCCGACTTGAATAATGGGCCTACAATTTCAGATCTGCTCAATCAAACAGAACCGACTACCATATCCCAGTTGAGAATGTTTTATGCAAGATACGAAAGTGTGGCCCCTTTGTCATCATCCAAAGCATTCATGAAATCGTACGATTTCACACAAACGTACAATAATTGCCGATTTACATGCATCCTATTTCATCTGCATCAGTTGAACCGAGTTCTTGGAGATCCATTTAAAACTCCGCGTCTAAGTTTGCAAACCAACAATTGGTTTTCATATCATTTGGCAGGGAGTTTGGCTGCAGGCATGAAATCTCAAGTACAAGAAAATGATTGTAACAAAATTGGAAACATTGTTCGAGACCTGAGTGGGATGGATGACATGGGTCTTGTAGTTGACCAAGTACTGAACTTTGTGTGATATTTTGCACGTATGCATATGCAGGGTAAGGGATTTAGAATTTACTACTGCTAAAGTCCTAAAAGTTACAAATTTATAATATCAATTTTTATGTACATAAAAGTGATCCGTGTATGACAATTGCGTTGCGTTGCTGCGTTGTTCTGTATGTATGTTGGGCAAATATAGCTTGTGGTGAGTGTAGAGTAATGTGAAATGCGGTAAAGAAGTCTGAACTTTCTCCACAACTGGTGCTGTCACTTCTGTTGAAATTCTACTAAGAAATTATTAAATATAATATAGTTAACTATATATCATAAAAATAACCCAAATTTTAATCTATATCAAAGACACTGTACAGGTGCATTGTGCACCGATTATTAAATGAAGTAAAAACAAATCGCTGTGCAAGTATTAAATCGTGGAAACGTCGACTTGGACTTATTTTTAATACATTATATATTTTACTTAATACATTACTTCAAAATGTTTGAGGGGATGTCAGATTTGGATTCGATTGCCAATGTCATATGGTTTTCACCATCAAATCCACTTAATACGTTTCTTGGTGAGTAGAAGATAATTGGAGAAAGTACTGCATTTTGCAATTGCAATTATCATCAACATGTAATTTATATTTTAGAAATGTGGTACCACGTATTCCTTTGGGCGTTTTTCTCTTGCGTTCTAATTCACACTATTGCTGCTCTAATAGCATTCGCAACGCTTAGGAAACACAGGGTTGGGAGGTACGTTAAATAATGATATCAAATTATCCAGAGTTATAAATAAGTACTTTGACAATTGAATATGGCCGACAATGCACTGTTAAATATTCAAAATATTTATTTTCAGATTTTTTCCTGTAGTCGTCCTTATCATGGGAGTATTCACGCCAGCGACCTCTGGGTTAATCACGAGTGCCGTTATTGCATTTGTTTATAAGGCCAGCGCCCTGCAAATGTCTCCATTTTATGCATTTCTTTATGGGGTTGGTCAAACCGCTGTTGCTGCGGCCTTTTCGTTCACCAGAATATTAGCAACATTATAATAATTGGTTTAGCATGCAAATGTTTTTATGGTGTATGTACATACATATATTTCTATATTTTTATTTCATATTTGTCTAGTCATACCTTTGTTTATTAAGTACTGATATTTACAAGTCTAACTAATAAATCGTTCATAGTCGATATATGCATTTATTTAATTGTTAATTTGAAGCGTGCATTTATTACGTACTACTGTGCTTACTACAATAACCAATTGCCTGATGATTTTTGTGTGACATGAATGGGCTTAAACTTTAAAGCAAACCCAAATCAAATCTAAATTTTACACTTGGGCCCATTACCAGTTAATCCTTTAATATATTTTATGTCTTACAACATATTCAATCACAGTCAAACAATTTTGAGTATATTATACACTCCAATGTTTTACAACTCGGTCGTATCTAATTACTAATTATAAATCCGATATTCTAGACGTTTGGGAGGGAGACCTGGGCGTGATCATGACTGTTGGAATTTTATCTCCACTAGAAATTTCGTCCACCCCACTTACGAAAATAGTCGTCGGTTGAAATTGAAATGAAGACTTTGGGCTTTCTGTCGCTTCAAGTGTCCCCAAGTTTTTCATCTTTTTCTTATTTGAGTATTTTCTCCACGCAGATTGTAGCTTCCGAGCACAAAATTCCTCTCTTTGACGCCACAGAGTCGATGAAATTGGTTCATACCCTGGTCTATCGTGGTGGTGTAACTGTCCTTCAGACAATTCTACCGTTTCTGTTTCGATTGCATTTCCTTTCCGAGCAAAGAAGTCTCGCGTGAGTGCATCCAGAATGTCCACTGAAACATTTAAAATGTGTGCAAATGATTTATATCCACAATCCGCAGAAGTATATTAAAATATGCAATTATCTTTTTATGTACGAACCACAATACATCATGTCCCCCTTGCAGATAGGAATATCCATTGAAATTATTTTATATTTATTCGGTTTATGAATAACTAGTGGGGGTTCGAGAACCTGCAAGTTTACCAACGTTTAAGAACGTTTCATATTTCATATGTTGCTGTAAAAAAACATTTACGTTAAGAAAGTCGGACAGTTGTTCATATTTGATGTACTGAGTTCCGTCAGGATCGAAAGGAGCCCAAATCTCATAGTACATCTGAGTAAATTAAAATGGGATTAGGAATTTTTATATGATTTCTACGTTTGAGGAAATTATTTATTACGTCATAATCATCATCCGTGAGTCCCTCTTGAACTTCCTCTGTTGCTTGCGAATAATTCTCCAAAATCACTGCGATGTACATGTTGATGATTATAAGAAAACTGATCACAAGATATGACAGTAAGAACGCAACCCCAACCGGCGTCGACCCACAATCTCTGCAAAAGGATATATCTGATAAGTATTTGACTAAAGTACGCATACTACTTTACGGTTTATTACATGCACACTTACCCCGATAATCCTTTAAAATATAAATCCAGATACAGGACCAGGTTGCAAATTTCAAATATAAAGTTTCGTGAAACAAGCATTAGATAAATTTCATCATTCATATTAATTATCATCCTAATTTTGGATTAATTATTAATATTCATTACATCGTACCTAATTCGGGATTGGGCTGATCACAATTATCCTCATCAGTGATGCCATTTAAAACGCCGTCCCATCCTGTCAATTATTGAATCAAACCATTTTTGAGGGTAAATCATGTTTAATAGTATTATACAAAAGTTATAGTATTGCTTTTCACCGGCGGATGTTGACATTTGAAACAAGAGGATCATTGATTGTGAAAAAGTTCGAAAATTGTAGACCTCGTCTAAGCCCCCCGGCTTCGCCTTGACATTCATAAAGAAGGACATACCTGAAAAATATACGTATATAATTAGGAGTGAGGACTATCCATAATTATAATGCGTCGTTCATACCAAAAATCGCAAATTGGAGTGCAAATCTTACCGAAGATGGCGAAAATGAACATGACCAAGAAGAGCAGGAGACAAATATTGAACAGAGCTGGCAAACTCATTGCTAAAGCGAAAAGCAGAGTTCGGATCCCTTTCGCCCCTTTCACGAGGCGAAGAACTCTGCCCACTTTGGCGACACGAACCACCCTGAGCAAGGTGGGCGAGACAAAGTACTTTTCGATAAGATCCGATAACATCATTCCCGCAATTGACATTAGCACCTGATTTAACATATGCATTGTAATTAACACGATCCAGGTACACCAATAAAATATTATTTGTATGTACCACAACAAAATCAAACAAGTTCCACGGTTCTGAAAGTACGTAGAAGAATAAATACAAATTTTAAATAACTACATACAAATTTGTACATATGCATATTCGAAAGCTACATATTTTCTGACAGTGTACATAACAAATTCATACCTCTAAAATAGTAGTAGCGCAGCGCAAATATTTTTAACTAAAATATAAAATTGTACAAGTCATTTAAACGCATTTCCAAACTAAAGGTGGTTTATGTAGTGTAGCTTTATTACGATTGATTCTGAGCTGAAGATGCCAATGAAGACAGCGTTCAAATAAGATAGCGTTTTCTCATATGACTGCAATATCAACAAGTATTTTGTTAATTAACTATTTGTAGATATTAATTAGCAAGAATTGTGACGCCATATTCATATAAACAGGGACAATATTCCAACTTTCTTATTTTATCTTTGTCATTTCAGAGTCATAGTTAGTTTGACATTATTTGAGAAAGAATTCGCCATTCTACGTATTTAGTTAAGTACGTATTTATGTACGCGTACATGCATACACAAATTACCACTTGTTACGTATTCTCAGTGACCGCAGTAATTACCTCAGGCTGCTGATAATGATCCATCGTCATTATTATCATGTTCATAAAAATACACAACATGATTGCCAGGTCGAACTTTTGATTAGATATTAATGAAAACACCATTGATTGAGGACGCCACTATGATAAACATAATTACACGATATCATTACGTCCTTCTATTAAGGTTAGTTGGCATTCAAAATCTAAATCTAACCTTTGGCCTTGGAATTGCCTTTACTGGTTTTTTGCTACCCATCTTCTTCATTGCTGCATAGTACTTTTTCTGATCCTCCGTCATAAACCTGGAGTAAGCAAGACGCAATATACATATACATACATTCGACGGTTAGATACAAGAAAAGCACGAAACAATTTGATTTCATATCATCTAACATTTCCAAAGATCCGCCAGCTTTCTTCTTTTGTTCGTTAAAGTTATCGATGATGACTCCAATGAATAAGTTAAGAGTAAAGAAGGCCCCAAAAATTATGAATATGACGAAATATATATACATGGGGAAATTGCTTTCTCTGTTTGGCTGCTCATCCTCCTGTATGAGATTATTATGTATTTCTGCATCCATTATTTATTCGTATGCAATAATTGCTTAATAATGAGAGTGACCTGTCTGCTGTCAATAGCATCATTCATAACCTGTGTACACCATATGCAAAGATTATATTTATTGTTGTGTAGGTTTGAAAGTGCACGAATCATGTTATCGGTTTTCTGGGAACTTTGGCCCCTACCCACCGTAGCAGTGTAGCACATCCCATCAAACCTATTACATGGTCTATCATAACCTGGTCCTGGTCATAACCAGGTTACGAAAGGTTCCTTATGCAAATTTATACAAATACAATTCACCTGTATCCAGCCCTTGAATGTTGCAACTTGAAATAGGCTCAGGTAAGCTTTCCCCACATGATCCTGTAATTTTATAATTATTGCACATTTCATTTTGTAAATATTCTAATATACATATTATTCTACTCAAATAATTTTAATAATTCTTCTTACAAAATTCATCTTGCTATTTTCCCAAGTTAAGTTATTTGCCAGACACTCAAGCTTTCCAGTAATTATCCGGTAGTCTGGCTTACTTTGATCTATCGGATCGATGCACTACAAATATTTGAGAATTAATGTAATAAACGGCATATTCATATAATGCAAACAACACAATAATTGCGCGTACTTTGTAGAATTTACCATTGAAGAGCTGGACACCTATTGTATGACATTTTTATTACATTTTGATTCTTTTCATACGAACAGTATTAAAATTCTTAGTTACCCATGATGGCAAATATCAGCCAGAAAATGAGGCAAACTAGGAGCACGTTGAAAATGCTTGGAATCGCTTGAACCAGGGCGTTGACGACAACCCTCATCCCCTGCATCCTACTCATCGCTCGAAGAGGTCGTAACGCTCTCAATGTTCTAATAATATTCATTGTAAATAATAATATTATTAGATTACGAGAGCGACGAACTTTAGACTTGAAAATAGGATCCGACCACCTCACCTCATTGTTTTGAAAGCTTGCACGCTGCCCAAACCGACCAAGGCTGCAATAAAGTTGATGATTGACACCATTACAATGACCTAAACGATATGTTTAAATTTTACATGATGTTGGAAGCTCTAAAAATAAGGTAATGAGATTCGGACTCACGAAATCTAACCAGCACCAAGCGTTAGTAAAATAAGTTCGGAATCCCAAGGCTAGAAATTTTACGAGCATTTCTAGCAGAAATATAACTGTGAAGATTCTGTCATGGTAAGATAAATTACACAATAAGAAACTAACTTATGCAAATGATAAGCAATAATGTGAACAAGCCCACCTATCCATATAGTAAAGGATGTCAATCAGCACTGGATTTTTTGGTAAATGAACATCTTCCAGGGCCAGTGCGAGCGAAGATAACAGGATCATAATGATAACAGCAGTTTCGAAATATGTGTTCTCAATCAAACGAAATGTCTTTAAACGGAGATTTGCCCAGCCTGAAAGTACAAAACTTTGAGGGTTAACACCAAGCCATCTAAAGATAACCGTGCTTTATATTTTAGGAATAAGTTGTGGAAAATAACCCCTAACCAATATTAATGGGATTATTTCTAGCAATTTTGATATTCAGTTTTCAATTTGTGCTTAACCCCTTTATGCTTACATATGTATGCCCTTTTGGGCATTTGATTTGACACTTAATTATGTTAATTTAAGCATTTTGAGTTAAATCATGTTTTACACACATCATGTAGGTACACATCAGGAGCAAACAAATAATTTCGTAACAATTTGCATACCCACGCCAAATGGAGTTCCCTCAATGTTGAAAATAGGAAATTTTTCGTAAAACTTAGGAGGGAAACAATCAGATGGGAATTCTTCTTCTTCGTTGGCCGTGGTTGATTTTTGGTCAGGGGCAATCATTTGGTCCTCATCATCAGCGTTGAACTCCCCCACGTCATCATCATCCTCGTACTCATCGATATCGTTTTTTGAAGTAGACTTATATTCTTCATCCTCCATCTCAATTCGACTACCCAGCACCTTTTTGTTGGAACTGTACGATTTTAAGCTTATGGTCTCATAGACATCATCTCCATTGGTGTCACTTTTACTTAAAGATTTTTCATTTCCGTTCATTGATTTCCCGTTTGCTCGCTTTTTAGAATTCGTCAACCTTTGTGCATTAATTATCATTCTAGCCTTTTGGTTCAGCTTTCCCTTCTTGGATGGTCCAGTTCCAGTATTCAGTTTCATTGATTCGCCGTCATAACTTTTCCCGTTACGCAATATAACTTTTGTCCTCTGACTCCTCATGGTTTTGCTACTTGTAAGAGAAACCGAGTCGTCGACTCGGTTTGAGCTCTGCATTTGAGATTTACTTTGACATTTTATAAGGTTGTAGAGTTTGGAAAGACTAGTCCGAATTCCAGTACGGAGCCATCGAAAAAATCTCCCAATTCGATGAAAAGCTTCTGCCAACTCTACATAATCAATAAAAGTATGTTACAATAAAGTCTGCTAAAACATGAGACCAAGAAATAATTCAACTTATTTACTATTCGTCTCCGCGTCTGCTTGAGGTGAGCTCAGATTTGAAGCCCCAAAGCTATTTTAAGGAAATTATATTATGTAGCATTTATTTATGTGTCACTGATAACATAATTAAATAAAGACCTGCTGAGTAACAACGCCAAAAAGAGATTGAGGACCACAAGATTCCCTGAAACATTTCAAATTGATTGAAAATTCAGCAAAGTACGTTTCGTGTTAAGGTTAGTTAAGGTAATAAATATACTTACCAATAATTACAGAGGCCTGAAACATTAAAAAATAATAATTTTAAATTAACACGCCAATCTTCCTTTGATAGGTTTGTATTTACATGTGAACATAAATATATGTACATGTAACTTACCAAGAAAAAGGGGACGCACGACTTATCCCCAACTAGCATACTAATATACGTACAAACAAAAATTGTTAAAAACTGGTAGAATGAAATTTTCACATATATTTGCAACTAACCAGTCCCACATGCTTTCTATCCACTCTCCACACAATACTCTAAAAATTATCATAAACGAGTGCCAAAAGTCAGTAAAATTCCATCTGAAAAATTTAACGTAATTTAAATGCATTTCTCATCAATTTATTGTCACAGTCGCCTAAAATAAATTAGACAAACCTTGGAAGTTCACCGTCCGGAAACAAGTGAACTTTGTCTGAACAAGAATAAAGACTTATTATTACATAAATATGTACACTCATGAGTAAGTGCAAATGATAGTTTATATACAAATTGTACCAAAATAATTTTTGGCAAACAGTTGCATGCCCATCACAGCAAAAATGAATACGATTATGAGGAGTACAAAAACCTAAATCAAATTTAATTTTAAATCTCAGAAATTTGTATCGCCAGCAGTTATATAAATTTTCATATATTAAAAACAAACCAGGTTCCCTAGAGCTCCCATTGTTTTTCCCATGATGCTGATCAGTAGGTTTAGTGTTGGCCATGATTTGGCAAGCTTAAATACTCTTAGCAGTCGAAAACTTCGTAACGCACTGATTCCTGGGCATTCACAAAGAAAAAAATAAATCTTGCGATTTGAAGAAGAATGAAACCAAAACCAATCTGATTGAAAAGCCGACAATTGAAGAAGATTAAATTAGTAGGATGATTTGCTAATGGTAAAATTGTTATGATTACAGTTCCTGATAAAATTGATGTTTATTGGAACCCTATTTATGGTTTGACTCGTTTATTTTCCATGATCAAGATATCTGACTAATTTTTTTAAAGATGTATGAATTTAATTGGCAACTACTTTATTAACCTTCAAACTCTTCGTCTTTTATATAGTTGTAACTTCTAGTTATTTTTTTTCATTACACGCAAGGTTATGCAAGGTAGTAAATATACTTACCAGGAAGACCAGCATCTTCGAAAAGCATTTCCATTAGGGACAGTAATACCTACGAAATATACATATGTACATATTTAAACATAGTATGGAATGCATACATATGTATAATTTTAATCCGTAAACCCATACGATTACGAAGTCAAAAACATTCCTAAAAACCAGACCAGAAAATGACAGATTGTTAGTTAACTGATTAAAGTGTTTGGGGAATTTGAGAATTGGAAAATACTAGATCACAAAATAAGTACTTATAGTTTTATTGTTTAATGCAATGTGTTTTGTTTTGTACAGTTTGAATGAAATAATTTATACTTTGCATTTTGAAACAAAAAGTATTTTCCCGACCTCAAAACAATTATAGAAATTAATTACCATCCTCCTTGAAAGTAGAACTTGGGGCTCATTGCGATTAATTTCATTGCACACTCCACGCCAAAGATAGTAGAAAATACCTAGCGTGAGAAGTTGATCACAAATAAATGTCGCAGCCAAAATGTTGGGCTAGCAATCATACTTACAACATTTCCAGTTTTTAAGGTTTGTGAAAGTTGGGGATTATCCTTGAGGCCTATTAGGAACAAACAAGAAGTGGAATAAGTGGTCGCCTCTCGAATGGTTATGCGTTGATTACGATAAGTCAGTAAGTAACTTAATAAGTAACTTAACATAATGATCCATTGCCATGAACAGGGTGTTCACTGCAATTGCAACGGTGATTAGGAGCTCTGCGAATGGATCAAATACCACGAATGCGACATATTTCTGCAGAAAACTCCACGGGAATCCACAATTCCATACGCAAAATATATCAATACATCGATAACATCCATCAATCACCGCTTGCTTCAATCGATTGGGTCCATCATCTGGAGTATAATAGTGCACTGCGATTAATTGTATGTTAAGCGAGTACAATTTTGAAAACGTTGGTGTTGATTTTGTTAGTGGTGCCGCAAACATCCCAAACCGACCATTTTACGTATGCATTAAGTGATGTTAGTACGAGAAGGTGATTTCCAACGGCATTAAATGTTATACAAAAAATAAAAAAATTAGTTTGTGAGAAGCATTAATATTAGTTTGAACTATGTAAATTCCAAATTTTAATCAAGTCGTCATTACGTGATCGTTCGCTCATTTTGCTCTGTCGATCAGCCTGATCAATTATTTCATTCAGTGCCACCACATCTGAAAATTAGTAATTAGTTAATTAGCAAAATAAAACAAATCACAATTAAATGACGTGATGTTTAAAGCGGTCACACCCGTCATGTGCATTGACGTATTTTCGGTAGATCGGTATCGATCTTCTCGAAAACTTCCACTTCGACTTCGAGCTATAATTTTTTCATTCTTAATTCTACTTGTGTCCTCAAAGCTGATATTAGAACTCTCACCCTGTACACCAATCAAATCATAGTTTTATTGTAATTGTATTATCTAAAAAATCTTAAAATTATTTCTATACCGTGAGATTCCTGATGCTTTTTGGGGATTTAGAATTAGCACGTGGTTCGGTGGTAATGGTCTGATCACTACGATATTGGTGGTTATTTGCTGTTCCAGAGAACTCTGCGCTTTTTAAACTGTTTCCCAATTTGAAGTTCTGATGGCTTTCAGAAAAATTTTGCGAACCTAGCGTAAAGAAAAGTAGCAACAAATTTAGCAATTAATCCCACAAAGCATGTCATTAGAAATATGTGTACATATAAAGTACCATGTGAGTCTCCAATCGTTCCATTTTCATTTGAGAACGAAACCAACTCATCGGCGTATGGTACCGGCAACTGTAGCATTTCGTCCATGTGTGAGGGCAAGGCCTTATCTGAGCTTCGTTTATCAGGTTTAGAGAATCTTCGAGCATAACTTATGTACATTGGACTAACTGGCAGGCTCAAGCTCGTCTAAAATGACGGACATTTATTTGACGATAAATGCATGAACGGTAAATGGGTATGAAACTTTAAGAAATTTTGTGATACTCGTCTTCTTGTTGGATTTATGTGATTTTCTCCGCCGACTGAAGCATCTTCATGAAAATCAGACTTCTCAGACTCCTCGCCTCCAGCCTCTTCGTAATAAGAGTCCCTTCGCATACTGTCTCCATCGTCATATTCGTCATCGTTTCTTCCGCCGCCCTGCATTCTTGCCGCTATCTCTGCTTCTTCCTGTAAAAATAGTGAACACTTAGGAAAAAGACCAGTCTTTGTGCAAAGTATTTGCAAATATAAGTGCGGAAAACTGACTCGCATGGCATGTGCCTCCGCTTCATGTGCGATGTCATCTTCCTCAGCTTTCTTTTGTAGCTCGTCATAGCTCATTGCAACAATGGCCAAGATTAGATTCACAAGGTAGAAAGATCCCAAAAATATTACCTAATTTTATTTTTTAGTCAAAATTAAAATGAACCAATTCATGAATTTTGGTTAAACGTAAGTAAATTGTATGATACCAAGATAAAAAATAGCATGTGATAAGGTCCTGCAGCTCGGAGAACCTAAACATATTCCGAAATATATTTATCTTAATAACTGTTTATTGAATTTTAGTTGAACGAAATTTGTGTAAACCTGTTGGTACAAGCTTTCCCAGAAATCTGGAGTAATCAAATAATACCTCGATTAAATTAAACTACATTTATTTGTTACAATAAAATAAATTAAATTAACCTTGGGTCATCAACCTAATTAAATCAAATTAATAATAAAACTTTATTAAAATACTCATCTATTGCAGATTCAGCATGAATATTAATACCAACCTAAAAGCAGAGAGAAGTGCCTGTAAATGAAATAAATAATTAGTGTGCATCTCTTCTAAATGTTTATGAATGAAATAAGTTACCCATCCAAAGGAGTCAAATGATGTGTAACCTGATTGAGTAGAAAATAAATAATTAAACTAGGCTTTTTCTTGCACCATCTTCCAAACAACTTGCATTTTATAGTAACATTATTAGTAAATCTTATATAGAGAAAAGCATAAACTTTGCTATTATTACTACTTAATTAAATTTGTGACAAAATGTATAACTTGCCATAGTCTGGATTTTCTGCAAAACCTGTGTGTTGAACCATTACATAAGATTTGACATAAATATGTATGCAGGCACATTCGAATATTTTATTAAAGTTATCAAACCTTGGAGGCATGTGTAATTATCCGGGCAAGGCCTGCATGTTTGGTAAATAAATTAACCGACGCAATAATAAGTAGTTGGCATCACATCATAAATAACAAAAAAGACGACACACCCTGCTCCAGATGAATTTCCACAAATTGGATAATTTAGTGCATCAGCTTCCGGCTTCCACCAATTTGTAGCGTTTTTGTTGTGGTCAATCCAGCCTGCTTCGGTCCATTCTACTTCGTCAAATGGAAAGGTTTTGATGCAAATTTGTGTCAAAATCTGTGAATTAACAAATGTATTTTTGCATATACTTAAATCGGCAAATGCATTAAAATGGAGAAAGTCGGTCAGATATCTGTAATTAATTTACCCCCATGTAGATTTGCAGGCCTGTCAAAGCGAAAACGGACAGCGAAAATATTGTGAGAATTATGACATCCCTCAAATTCTTTACGGACTCTATTACAGCTCCCACTATTGTTTTTAGTCCTAATGAAAAACATAATTGACAATTTCAGTGTTCAGAAATACTTCTAATAAATCCAGACAAATATGTACCAGGTATGATTGCCACCGTTTTAAGGGCTCGTAACACACGGAAGGTTCGTAGTGCAGCGAGGTTCCCGAGGTTGACCCCCATGGTTATGTAACTGGAAGATGCACCCATTAATCATTTAACAAATAAAGTGTCGAAATAAAATGTGCTAGCTGTTTGCTGCTTTCTCTGGTTAGTCAAAATTATTTGAAAATTTGTTCATTAGCTGAAGTCAGGTAAAAGTTAAGTTTGATAGAAAATTTCGAGATAGCACTGATAACTAAAGAATGAAGGAGTGTGTAACGGCGGAAAGATTTACTTAAAACTTCTAAATAAGATAAAGTTCCAGAGTAAAAGCGGTAAAGCTAAAGCTATAGAATGATGGCCAATAATTAGTGAAGCAAGTAGTAGTAAACTAAACTATTTGAATGTGGACTCACGCTTCATGGATGTACATGATACATATTTTGTACAAATGTTGAGAGGGCAGGGACCAGAATATAGAGAAACCGAGAGTCAATGGCGATGGATGAAAAGTATAAACGAGAAAACAAGTTAGTACAATTCACCAACTATGAATATTATCAACAAAATTTTATCACGATTCCTAACACAAAATTAATTGCTAAAAAAATCAAAATAATCAAAATAATAAAATAATAAACCATATTCTTTAATTTAAAAATAATACTGCTGTCCTTTAAATTTATCAGGAAATGTAGATCATGAGGAAATGTTATCGTATAGCTTCCAATCTCAACAATAATCCATTACTTACCCTGTTGTGCATGAAATTTAGCATAAAATATGTTGATCAAGGATAACCAATTGCACGATTTAATTAGTAAATATTTATTTAATGTGGATTTACAAGCAAAATTACGACAAAGTCCAGCCAATTCCTATACATTTTCAGACATTTAGCATTTCATGTGACATTTAGGAAAACCAAGTTCATAGTTTCATACCACGCGTCTCGGAGGTACGTGAATTTTTCCAAAACGAAACCTCTGGCCATTACTTTCACGGATGATTCGAACGTATATATTGCAGTGAAGAGGACCCTGGAACGGAAATTAGTATTGCTTTTATTCAGTAAAATACACATTTCACTCCGTTGTGGAGGTCGATAATGCTTTCACCAGCTCAACAAGTACATTACATTCATGGGCTCCAAGATTTGGCCAGTGCAGAAGGCAAATTAAGATAGATGAAAACATGAAACTACTTTCTCTAATTGACATCCCATGTCGCTGCAAGGACCATCTGGGCATGTCATGTCGCAATTAGCATGTAACTCTGCTGTCATACAGAGATACATCTATACGTTCTTAATTGGCCATCCCAATTTGATATGCGCATATCGGACGTACACATGCCATAGGGACCGTCCATAAAAGACGTCAGCCAAAAGTGCATAGGTGGGCTTGATTAGTGTTAACATGAGGAGCATAAAGAAGGGATTGGTTGGAACATGGACTTTTGGCTGGCGTCATTCATGGGGGATTTCTTACTCGGTTGACTCTGTAAGAGGTGAAGCTGGCAAGATCATCACGAAGCAGTTCGTAAGGATGGTGCAGATTATGCAGACCGTGAATAAGGAATGCGTTAAAATGCCGATTGCAACTCGTCGTATAGGATTCCTAGGAGTTGAATAATTCTATAAATTAAGTGTTTTAATAAGTTGTGTAGCTTCACCACAATTCACTCACCATGGGTTCAGAAGCCACACTGCGTCCGTGGCAGAGAAACGGAAAATGTCTTTCTTTTTGGTGACTATCACAAAAGTCTGTTAAAAAAGAAGGAATACAATTGTGAAATAATAAATTTGTTAATGAAATTAGTTCTCTTACAAGGGAACCTTAAGCACTGTCACACCTCGATTTCCTTTCGTATGGTCATAATTGATAGATAATTTATTGTAGCTAAAACTGTCGTAGGACATACGGTGCAAAATTAGGTTTTAGTAAAATATTTGACGAAAGCTGGACCAAAACGTGTAATTTTTCCAATACTTTAACATAGATAACAGCCTTTGGAATAATGAAATGAAGTTTATAAATTATATACTGTCCGCAATTTCATGCTGATCGCTAATATGAAAATAAATAAATAAATTTTAAAAAACAAACTTAGGTGAAGGACGCGCTTAAAATATTAAAACAAGAAGCATTAAACAATGTCATAAATCGTTTAATATTTATGAACTTTTACTTCACCGTGGGCCCAACTATTAAATTTTCAGAGCAATGATAATCAACAATAAATGTAGCTAAACCAATGACTTGATTAAATATTAAGTGCAGCATTACAGGGGGAATTATTAAAATACGCCAGAACATGAACAAATTTCTCTATAAGAGGTGTCGCAATTTATTGAAAGATAACCATTCAAATCTTGCAAGTATGTATACAAATACATATTACGTATTTCGTATAATTGTTCCAAATGCTTGAAAGTATAGCTTTTTTCCTGTGTTAGTTGGGCCCCCGGTGAAGTGAAAGTTAATAAATATTAAACGATTTATGACATTGTTTAATGCTTCTTGTTTTAATATTTTAAGCGCGTCCTTCACCTAAGTTTGTTTTTTAAAATTTATTTATTTAATTATTTTTAGTGATTTGTGAATTTATATGCATAAAATCAGATGCAATTATAAAATCTTAAACGTTGTTAATTCTCCTGTGGGTGGATGCGCGGTTAACAAATTTATTCCCCCAGTTTCTGAATTTTAAGGATTGTTCTGTTGCAACATACGTTGACATTTAGCGATCTAATAATAACGTAATTCGATTGTCTAGCAACATTGGTTATGTTGAGTATTGAATATTGATGCTAAATAAATTATTAGAGCACGTTAGCAACCAGTAACACGTAAATATACATACGTAAATAGGTTGCTTAATGGAAATATTTCAAAAAGCTATAATTCCGTGAGTTTTCATCCGATTAAGTCGAATAAAGGCTTAAAATTTATGTATTATCCTGGAGAATAATAAAAATGGCAAGCCCCCGGTCGGAAAGACTTCCTTGGTGCCAAGAAATGGATTTGAAATTTTAGGCATCGGACTTTCTACCTGAAGGAATTTGAATTTGGAAAACATAAGAAAAATGTCACTGTAAAACCGAATTCTCTAACTATTTTGTTTCAACATGTTTTCCGTACAACGAACGGGTCGGGAGAAATCTCAGTGGGAGTTTCTCAAAGTTGCAGCTGAATGCATACCTAGGCTTCGCCGTAACCATGGTGATCTTTTAACATGATCACTTTATGGTTACTTTTCCTTCACCTAAGAAAAAAACTATGCAAACATTGGCCAATTTTATTTCAAATAGCGAAAATCTGTTAACTTTTTTTAAATTTGAATTTTGTAGTTTTTTAAAATTTTAAGAAAATTTAAATGTTCAACTTCTTTTATTTAAGCATTTCAAATAAAAGATTTCAAAACATGAGTTTTTTTCAACAAAATGGACGAAAATTTTCAAACATTGGAACTCGCAATTTTTTATGAAAAAAGATACAATGACCAATGCTAGTCTATTATGCATATTTTTCAAAATTGTTGGCCATATTTATTTTTGCAAGTTGCAAACAATTTTGGAAATTTTGATCGTCATTTTTTAACATATTCAACAAAAAAACTTTTCCATGCCTCATTCGATATTTTAAGCTTCGTGGAAAACTTTATAGAATCTCATCTATGAGGGACCCTATGGGGTCCCTCCACTATGGCGTATATGCAGGAAGGCAAAAATATAGGGCCCTATATTTTTGCCAAAATTTCCAAAATTGTTTGCAACTTGCAAAAATAAATATGGCCAACAATTTTGAAAAATATGCATAATAGACTAGCATTGGTCATTGTATCTTTTTTCATAAAAAATTGCGAGTTCCAATGTTTGAAAATTTTCGTCCATTTTGTTGAAAAAAACTTATGTTTTGAATTCTTTTTTGAAATGCTTAAATAAAAGAAGTTGAACATTTAAATTTTCTTAAAATTTTAAAAAACTACAAAATTCAAATTTAAAAAAAGTTAACAGATTTTCGCTATTTGAAATAAAATTGGCCAATGTTTGCATAGTTTTTTTTCATATTAGCGATCAGCATGAAATTGCGGACAGTATATAATTTATAAACTTCATTTCATTATTCCAAAGGCTGTTATCTATGTTAAAGTATTGGAAAAATTACACGTTTTGGTCCAGCTTTCGTCAAATATTTTACTAAAACCTAATTTTGCACCGTATGTCCTACGACAGTTTTAGCTACAATAAATTATCTATCAATTATGACCATACGAAAGGAAATCGAGGTGTGACGGTACTTAAGGTTCTTTTGGTAGTCGCAAAATTATTTGATATAATCAAATCAAACAAGACATATTAGTGCCGAACTCAGTTCGGATTCTAACAAAAGCACTCCACAGATTATGCATTGCTAGCTTTCACGGATAAGCTACATGAAAAAGATCTACTGGATGTACCCAAATCGAAAAAATATTTATAGTAACTATCAACCCACACCTCAACTAAATACTCGATCACACTGGGTGAAAGCCTGCAACGAAACTTAATTATGGAATGTAACGATAAAATGAAAGTAAGCGAATCAGTCAATTATTTATACAGATAATGCCTGGAAAGTAAGAACCGTCGAAGAATCTCGTAATTATACAGTACTACTAGTTTCAAGGTGTTTAAAAGAAAATATACCATCATACTGTAATATATAGTTACATAAATATGACCCAGTTTTGTCACATTCTCCTTAAATAAATATTTAAATGGCACCTGAATATTTTGATAGAACGGATCAATTTCCTCGAGAGGAACATATGCCAATTCCGGGTCAAATGCGGCGGCCATTCGGATCGGAAGTGGCATTCCCTGTAAATTTTAGAATACGTAGATACATTTTGAAAAATAAGTCCACCGGTTTAAAAGGTACCTGCTCCAAATTTTGATCGGGATGTGGTCCCGAGTCATCAAAATCGTCATCCTCATAACGCACCTACACAAAACAATTACATGTTATTGATTGCCAGGACCATCGTATGACCTAAATACATTCATAAATGTCATGGATGATTAAAACCCGAAATTCTCAAGTATAACCGCAACCTTAAACCAAAGCAAGTGTTGGCAATATAGATTATGTGCAGAAAAAGCAATCAATACAGAAAGTACTTAATGACATGGATGATTACAATCGTAAAGCACAGGCAGAGTTGCTAAATATGCGAGTTGGTAGGATTGGACGGACTATGCAAACAGTTAATTAAGTAGGTTTTGAGCAATATTCTTGGTCAATAATACCCAACAAGCTGCATTGCACCATCGGGAAGAACTTTGTTCAGTTCGGTAAATAGAGCACATTCTTGTTGTCAACTCCTCTGTTTGTTTTCAACAACTGCGACCGAATCGAAGCCTGAATAATTTAGTATCATGTTTTGTTCCACCTTATTGAATTCTGGCAAACTAGTTATGAAGTGGTTGTGATAGAGCAAAATTCATTTATGTAGGTTAAACTAATTCATTTAAGTATGCACTACATAGAAGTGTGTACACAGACATAAGTAGTTCTGTAAGCGGTAATAAAGTTCAATAGCTAATTTTGAGTCTTTTGTGATGATAAAATTTCATGGACTTTGGTCCATTTATGTATTCTCATAGTCATATATATACAAATATATATGCACATATGCACTGCAGCTTCCTATAATTTTTGCAAGCATTTTTACATGAGGTTAAAATCAAACCTGGCATATTTTTTGGCGTGAGGTGTGAACTGAATTGTTCTGTACTTAATAAGATTAATGAGTACTTGTGTATGTATGTATCGATTTGATCGATTTTCTTGTATGCGCTTAATATTATACTGCAAGTTTTTTGTACAGAACTTTTACTATCTGCATATTGAAAGGGATGAAAAAATAATTTTCAACTATATTTTTAGTATGCAAAATTGAACTTTGCAACACTCAACCCAACACTCGCTCAATCATAAAGCTAATGGATTTAGCAATCATGAATAAAACTCTTCTGAAAACTATTCCAGCAAAATTTTGCAATGTTAAGTGGTAGTTTGGATAAAATGTCTTTGAAATATCACACGATAGTGATATCTGGAATAACGAATTCCACAAGATTTGTATGTACATTTGATAGCACTGTAAAATGTACACTTTATGTGGAATTTGATTTTATTACAAACCCTTGAACATTACAATAAATATATCAATTACCTCGCCTTCCGCCCGTTTTTTCTCCAACTCTTTTTTCTTTGCATATTCTTCAGAAATGCGTCCCTCAATTTGTACCAATGATTCCCTGGTGAAGGGTCGGAACACTTGTTTCTCTTCTTCCATAGTTATGTATACTTTTCGTATATTTTTTGCAAAGTCAATAATACGTAACGCTTTCCTTCATACGTATTATCTTCAAGTCAAGAACTTAGCAGTTGCTACTATTTTGTAAATTGTAAGATGGGTGTCATTTCAGCAGAATGTGGATTCTTTTCCTAAGTTGGAGAATCGTATGCAACATTTCGAGAGAGGGTCACTTGTTGCCTGTGTTTCTCAGAGATCTAACATTTACAAAGACACCACTGGGTAACGGGCAGTATTTTCCATGATATGAAGCCGACCGCTATCAACTCATCTTCTTGATTACTCTACATGAGGAACACACACTATAATTAAAAGGGAGAAATGAATGTCTATAATTAATCGCCGTCTTCTTAGTTAGTCAACATCATTCACTCTTTGTAGTAGTTTAATAGCAAATATGAGCACAGATTCTACAAGAATTTCTAATAGCAGAATTTATGTAATTATAATTCATAATGGGGAAAATGAAATAAAGAAGAAACAACAACCGACATTCGACGTGTTCCACTTTCTCTCCAGGAGAAAGCAGTATCACACACTAAAATTGAGGTCTTATTTAATGATGACTTTGGCCCGAAGGAATGACTGAGCAGTATAGTAAATTGAGAATGACAATTTTCATATAAATTTCATTGGGAGAAAGTCGATGGTATCCCGGCAACTTTGGTGGTTGGAGTGTTCCAACCTGATGCTCTGCACACCACGCCTGTCGTTGTCAATACTTGGAACGCACCATTACTGTCTGTATCGTGTATTATTTTGCAAATACCACACCACCACTTGGCTCCGTAATGCTGCAGGTGTATGTCAAGCAAATAGTTGTCATGACGGACTGCTTTGCTTCAAAGGAAATGACAGGGCCAAGCTCTCGTCGTCGTCCATGATTATGGTGTCACGAGTTCCAAGGATACATGTGTGATGGATTTGCTGGTGATGAGGGGAGGGAGGGTGAGACATGACGAAAAATGAGTGGCATTCACTCCGAAACGAGAAAGGTATTTGCGAAAAGTTCCTCCACAAAGGCAGCAATATTACCATGATCGTAAATACACGCACTCTGGATATCGGTGTCATATTATGCCAACGATGACGGTATCCTTAATAACGTCGGTTCGCAGTCGTGTCCATACATTTAAAAGAGTGGTTTGGTAGGATATTGGGAAATGGTATTCCATTCCAGCTCATGAAAAAGAAAGTTATTATGGTGTCGTTCGGGTTTGGACAGTGTAATGAAGTGTATTGACACGAATATCACCCCACTCGATATCTCCACCCGGCACAGACCAAATTGGTACTCCTCACAGCAATGCATGACCTTATTAGCCTTTAAAACCAAATGCATGAGTTGTGACATGCTCGCTGAGTTTTTCATATCTCCTCAAAAATCGGTTAATAAAGTAGGACGTACATATACGTACTTACGAATTCTTTCAACTTCTCATGTACACTCATACTTCTCACATTATTGGCTCAAAGGATGGAAATATCGAGACGTTCACAACTTGTTGCTCATTTTAAGAGATATATTTTACGGGGACAAAAGATCAAAAGTATGGCAACATTACATAACAAATTGTGGAGCAGAGGTGTAGATGCATAGATTGGAAATTAGATACATTATTTTGAGAAACGAAATACAAATAAATACAACAAATAGCCAATTAAAACAGAAAATATTACATGCGAAATTCTGTGCATTCATGTATAAATATACATACACATATTTTAAGGAATCAATATAATCCTGAACATAATAATAGCATAATAATAGCCGTTACTTAACTTACACTACCAGTGTTAAATAATTAATCGTCTAGGTACATACATCTCCTTCTAGGACACTTGAACGTTATAATTGTTGTCATTGTACATTTATATGGATTGGACACAAACTATTTGACCCAAATCTATCTTGAACGAGAGAAAGTAGAGTAACAGTGACAATTTATCAAGAAACTTGGTTTGTGTATAGAATAATACAGAAAAAATTTCTACTTTCGTAGTAGCAGTTTCATTTGCAGATTTTATATAATGCTGAATTTTACAAATGCGTTGGTAGTACGTCACGTATAACATAAAAAATATCTCAAAGAATTTAGTAGTACTACTTACAAATAAGTATATCCGTTAGTATTTATATTTGTTAGTATTTCATGTAATTTTTCAAGTGTTCCAAGTAATTTTATGGTTTGCTTTACCTACATTCTAAAAGTTTTTTTTCCATTTTCTTGGAATATTTGCGGTACTAAAATTACAGTAATATTATATTAGAGACATTATGAGGCCTTAATTATTGTTCATATGCATAAATCCGACGTATGTAAATGTTTGCATACGTGGGAATCAGGCAATTCTCAACAAGCAATTTTTTTTTATTCACGGACTTTGTCACCACACTTAGCAAGTTATACTTGGACTAATATTTTTGCTCCATTGAATAACGTTTTCATTTACACTTTTAGGATTCCAATAGGAAATTTAACACATTAACTGGAGTTTATTACAGCCAAAGTTTTTCTATGCTTTTTGCATGAATTACAGGTTCCAATACTTTCTTTTTCATGGTAGTTTTTGTAGACAAGGTTATGCAAGTTGGACGTTTCCAAAACTCAGATTTATTAAAATTTAAGTACGAGGATTTTGGTGATTCGGCTGACGAAAAGTCATCGTCAAGAAAGGTGAATCAAAATTAGCATCGATCAAAATTGAAAAAAATTCCCGTAGATTGCAGTTTAGTTTGATTTTTGGAAATTTCGAGCTTGGTAACCCTGTCTACGAAAGCTACCTTGAAAAATAAAGTATCTTAACTTGATTGCAGGGTTTGACTTCATGGAATTACTTACATAAATTTTATGTCATGCTGATTCAAACTTTGTTCAAACAATTAATTATGAACTATCTGTCACAGACGGTACTGCATTAAATAGTAGATAGACAAGTGCATACATACTCGCACATGATTAGTCTCCAATAACTATGTAATAAATAATCTAACGTGTTAAGAACTAAATACGATTGACCCTAGGCTGAATAAATCAATGAACCTAATATATTAAAAAGATGTTTATTTGAACACATTCATTGTATTTAACTGTAAAGCCCATTAAAAATTTGTACACTCATATTCACATTCATATTTCATTTTTTTGCTCCAGTATCGTTTAGCCCAAAAGCACTCGTAATGCATTTTTTCCTCCTTCTATCTTTGAGGCATCCACGGTTTCGACAACGACTGCGAAACCAGTTGGCGATTCTGCTGCATTTTTATGATAGACCGAAACTCTCGCACTTCCTCTTGAGAACAGTGTCATCGCTTTTCCCTTGGTCTTCAAAATTATAATAATTCAAACATTATTCACGGTAACGAATTAATTTTAACATTGTTTTTTTTCAGTATCAAATTTTGCAATGCTGTTCACCTGTTTTCTATTCCCACACCATCGGGATTCATATGCGTTATTTTTCTGAATGGCCACAAAGGCGTCTGAACAATCCTTCGACTGTGGTGCAGAAAGTTTATCAAATGTTAAAAGTAATAACTGACTTTCGTTGGCAGCCTGCAAAATAATGAATTTGTTTAATTTTCATAAAAGTAAGTATTTAGATTAACCTCAAACGTTTAAGAACCAACCCGAAAGTCCCACTGACAGAAAATATCATGCTTTAGACTGGAAACAGTTGTCGTATCCGCTTGTTCTCCTTCAAACGGCGTTGTCCCCTCCACGGAATCCTGAGAGTCTGTCTTTTTCCCTAGATTTCCATTTGGATATGCAAATTGGAGTCTCACCTATGTTTGCATTTATACGAATAAATTATTTATTGCAGTGTGGCTAAAAGGTGGAATAGTTTGTGTTTCAATATAGTCTCACCTTCTGTCCCTCTTCCATGTTGATCACTTTGGAACTGTCGGATTCCCTAGTCACCGGACAATACTGTTGCTGGATGAGGGGGGTGGACATGGCCGAGGAAAAGACGACACAGAAGACGAACAATCCGAAGGCCATGTTAAGATTCATGACAAAATCTTAGAAAATTTAAATGTTTCACTTCAATATCGTTATATTATTGTTATTTATTTGGACACGTATGTGTAAAGTAGATCTTTACAAATGTTAAAAGTGTGGATTCTATTAAAAAATGTGCACTGCTCAGGGTCAGTGGAAATGCAATGATGGTTTAACTTTAGAAGTTGAGAACGATCTGGGCGAGGATTGGGCATTGGTTGGTTGGTTTTCACTTGGAGACTAACAGCAAGCAATAACCTTTGGGATCTTGTGCAATATGACATTAAAGCACTGTTGTGACAATGCTTGAAGATGAATTAAAAAATGTAGATCTTTATCATTATTTCTCTCCTCCGTTGTGACAATGCTGATTTCTTGTCGTATGCAATAACGACTCTTCTCCTTCAGGGATATACAAATGAAGTTGGATTATGCCATCGTTTTCTGCATGTTGTATGGATTATGACATCTGTGGGACAGCACACGTTCATTTCCACCCATTAAACACGATATAAAAATTCTTGAAACGAACCAACAACAATGCAACGTGTCAAGATGGGTCGAAGGCAATGACGAAAGGCTAAATCCTAACTTGGTTGACTAAAATAAAATGCATACTGCTTGTAACCAGTTCAAATATGGCATGAATAAATCAAGTAGTTGCAACTATGTACATATGTCGTTGTCTTTAGTAGTTTTATTATCATTATTCGCACGTGTTGGGTATCCAGATATTTAATTGTAAGGCATTGTACATAAAGCATGTGCTCGATTTTGAGGGTCCACGTCTCACGTTAACAGGAAAAAATGGGAGGGGACTAATTTTGGCAAAATGCTTTATGCACAATCCTTAAACAATGACTGCTACAATAATTCAATCTAATTTTAATTAAAGTAGACTTTTTCATAACCTAAATTTGTCTATCCTTTGTACAAGTTAAAGTTTTAAATTAAAGTATGATCGCCCCTGAATATTATCAGTCAAAAATTGGTTCACAGATCACAGCACCGAGGTGGTGTACAACAAATCCACAAAAACCAAGATTCGAATCCTACTTTAAATACAAGAGTTACAGATATTTACCGGGAAAGTTATTAACGATTTTTGGAATTTTAGCCGATAATCCTAGTATGTAGACAAAGCTGTACAGTAAAATTATTAACTAATAATACTATTGAATTTGTTTTGGTTCGCCAAATTGAACCGAAGTAATTATGGCTCAAAATTTTGTCCTCCACAGAGTATTATGGAATCAAGAGACCAGCGTAAAGGAAAAATATCCACTTGAAGAAGGTGAAGACCAAATCGTATAAAACGTGAACTTGGTATTCCCTCAAAAATTCCTAAAAAACAATAAAATATAGAATTTCAACACGAAAGCATGGAACTGGATTAGTTAAATGTTTATTAGCTAATACATATTATTTATACTTACACCCAAGGTCTTCCCTTGTACCCCAATCAATCTTTAATATTAAAGCATACACATTGTCGCTTAATTAGCGTTCAACAAATAAATATGAGCATAAATAAGACAATGGCAACCTTGCTAGCCAATCAATTACACCGCGGTCACCCCCCTCGCCTCCTCCTCCTCCTTCTCCCTCCTTTCGCTCCAGTTTGAAATTGTTGGCCAGGTCGGACAGGATTCCGCGAGCACCGCGACTTTTACCCGTCTCCGTTTGTGGTCGGAGAACTTCTTGGCTCAGGAAATTGACAACTAGGGATCCGAAATCCAATGCTTTTTCACGCAAAATAACCAAGTCCACCTTAGAATCCCTCCCGTCTTTAATAAATAAATAAATATAAATACAAATTATGGTTGTAACGAAGTCATAAAAGTCATCGTAAAGTCAATTTATTCAGAGATTTTTCGTAATCATAGACTTTGAGATCCATATTTCCCCACGCATCATTTAGTACAGAAATTATTATTGTATTGATTTATTTTCAACGGTTTACATTTTAAAATAAATTTGACTAACATGACGAAATACAAGTAAAAAAAAATAAGTAAATAATTAAATCCATAAAAAGCTCATAGTGTTCAACTTGACTATCTTGCCAACGTGAGAATCATAGTCACAGACTTATGTAAAACAGTAATATATATTTAAACATATTCACAAATGCGGTGACTACTTCATCATATTTTTCCACACATCGGGATTTAACGATTTAAATTGTGGCTTAATGAAAAATTCAATTTCAAAGACTTCAAAATCCATGAAAGCCCTGGGATAGAATTCAATCATTTCGAGTAGACTTTTGGATGCCTTATTCTCATCGTTATTACTATTTCCGTCGTAACTGCTGCCGTCGACACCTCCTTGCTCAATATTACCTGCGAAATTATTGTTGTCGCTCTCGTAAGTGCGACTTCCGGACTTTCCCTTTCCGCCTCTCGAGGCATCGTCACTTCCATCGGCCCCAGTTTTGCTGCTCTTGCTCTTTTTACTCGTGGCAGACTTTTTGCTGGATGATTTTTTCTGTGGGTTGGACTCTCGAACTTCCTTGAGCACGAGGGGGGTAACATTTGGCATGTGAGTTGGTTCATCCCACGGAAGGATGGAACTTGCTGAGCTTTCGGACCAAGGGGAGTGGGAGCGGTGGTGACTGAGTTGTTGGTCTGAAGACGACTTATCGTTGGAAGATGCTTCTATAAGAAAACAACACGGTCGCTAATCTTCGCATTCTAATAAATTTACAATTGCCCACGAGACAAGCGCTTTTTATATCTATTCAAGACGATGTAACAGCGAATGTGTACATACATATATATTTTGATTTATTTTTTTGTACATAATTTATTAGGATCGTCTCATGCGGTGAATTTTTGCTTTATTTTGCTTGTTATTTAATTAAGACTACATGCATGTATAAGTTGTTATACATAGCTCATCCTTCTACAATGCTGCTAAAAGAAATCAAAGCACTCATCTATGAACCGTATAAAAGTGATCTCATTTTGCTCCCATGGCCTCCACCATAATAATGCAATCTTAATTGCATAGTTTGGTGTGGAAGAACGGTTATTTAATAGCAAAAATGTAATTTCAAAATTCTATAAAACTAAAGCTTACCACAAACATTGGAGAGAAATGTTAGCACCAAAATTGAGAATTTTAGGAGTTTCAAACACCAACAGCACTGTTTACCCCCACCTTGAAGGATGCCCCTCATAGTCCAGATCATTTTGTAATAACCAAACTGGTCGTCTCAGTTATGGGATCTTCTGTAAAATTGATATTCTGTAATATTTCTTGTGCAACAATAACTGCAAACTGTAAATATTGCAAATGCACTAAACCCCATATTCACATTCAGCCTAATTAAAAGTACATATTTGTAGAACTGAAAGGAAAAAGTCAACTCTAATTACTAGACTACTCACTCCGTCTCACGTTTCTCACGAATGTCACTATATACGATTTATCCAATGGAACTAGGATCTGCTGCTTTTACTCGAAGATGAGACGATACTGTGTTCAATTTTGACAAATGCCACAACACACAAAGTGACATTTTCAACAATAGAACTGCTTGAAGAACACGTATTTTTAACTTTTTGAAAATGATTCTAGGCAGGATAATTGGACCTGTTTCAAGAGCATGCGTTTTGCCCAAACAGCCAAGTCAAGACTGAAGATGAAGCTTAAACAATAATAAAGCACCTGCAGGGATAATCTACTGACTGGCAGCCTGTGAGATGGATTGCATGAGTTTAATACATTTAAGGATTCAGAGTAATTGCATGTTGTGTGCAACTGAGATTGACCACATTCAACCAAAAATACAGCTTGTTTATTGTTTTTCTTGTACATACGCGTCGTCGAGAAGATGAGACGCGATACGTCACTTTTAAAGTGCTCGTGCTCGTATGTATAAAAAGAAAAATAGCTGAAACTCCAACCGTAGTGAAATAATTCATTGTTACATATAATATTTATGCATGCACTATTTTGAGTTTTTATTTAAACACTGATTAGTGTCCATGTTTTGGCTTTTGCTAACTAGCCTGCAACCGATGATATCTCATCTCTACTTATTCCAATCTTGTATTGTACCTAAGCTACCGGTCTATGTACTATTGTGAGCATTTCATATAAGGATTTCACGATTAGACTTACCACGTAGCCCGAAAATTATACGGTGCTTGCTCTTTCGTAAAAATTAGTCAGGTACGTCTGTCTGGAGATTGAACTCGAATAGTATCGGTACACATGTTTCAAATCTGCTGGCTAAGAAGAAGAATATAAATATTTCGTCGCAGCAATTTCACAGGTTCAGCAGCTTTTAATCACGCAGTGAAATAGTGCTAATTTCTTAATTTGCGTCAGGAACTATTTCCATGAATAAAATATCCAGCTATGCACTCTGCTCTTCGCCAGGACTGAAGGAAATGACTGTAAACTTCCATACCTTGGCACCACCGTAATAGCGATTTATTGTATATTAACTACCCCCTATTGCGATCTTTTAAACGGGCAGTAAAATAAATACGTACGTTTGTAATGCACAAATATTTACTGGGCTAGACAATTATTAAAAGTAAATGAACATGACAACCCTTTTTGAGTCGGAGTACCTTGTACACAACTCTAATTCGGACTGTAAGAATTACTGTCCTTAATGTGTCCCAGCATTTCTGAAAACAAGAGAGAAAATGCCATGTATTAATTCCATGCAAAATAATATGCAAAATATAAGTACTTACCATAGGCATGGTACGTTGAACACTTTCGACTTAAATTATACACATGCTATACCATCTGCTTTTTTTAGGCGTAAGTTTTTTTTACTGACAGAATATTATACTTGCTTCTTCAGACATGGAAGGATAAATGAGATCATGCAAAAGATTCTGCGGATTTTTATTGCATAAATGCGTGCCTTTAAAAGTAACGGGACGCTGCACTTTGCAAGGGAAATCTTGAGGGCTCATAAAAATGAATCGAATGCAATTTTTAATTTGCCACATTGTTGACTTCACGCCACAATACGAACGTGTGTTTGTGATGCACTTTAATTTCCCCCAGATACATTGTCGGATAACCAAAAGATAGGCTAACCAAGTCATCCACACGTTAACAAGTATAACGCATTGTCATGATCTAAACTGCATTCATCTAAAGTGAGACACGTTGATATTTGAAATTGCATATGTGCCTTCATTCAGATTTGTATAATTTTCTAACCGTAGATGCGTCTTACACAAAACGAGTGTTACGTAAAATAAGAAATGACATCGACAAATTAGTGTAAATGAAGAACAGCTTTGAACCATCAACCCCTCGATAATTATTACATGCGACGTGACTCTGTCGATGCTGCATTTTAGAAAGCTCGTTCGGAACCTTTATTTCACCACCTACCGCAAAATGTTTGCGGAATGATTTTGTACAATTGAACAATTATCCACTTATTGTGGTGTCTAATAATATGATTTTAAATGAATTACATATTACGAGGTCCACCACCCTTCAACACATTTAATTAAAATTCAACGCTCACAGATTGAAGATAAATGTAACATTTATGTGATTACATCAATTAGAGAAAACTACAAAAGCTGTTTTGGTTCAAGACACATATGTAGAAAATTGTTAATCTGAGTTGCGAGCGCATCAAGAATTCCGTACATTTATTTAATAAATATAAATAACAACTCTACCGTTCATGATCAGGAGGTCGTATTATTGGCCATTCAACCTGACTAAATCACGGTTGACGATCTTATAAACTACTAAAAAAGTACTACTGGTCAGGAACATTGCAAAATATGACGTTAACTTTTTTAACTCAAGCACATACTTAATACTAATACATACATATGTACATGCACTTAGGATTAATATAAAAAGTGCTTATACACTACTGGGGCCGGGTAGTTGCATGGTATCATCTTTCGTGGGAATTTTTATAAGCATCGGGATGGCTTGCTAATAATAATGCTAGTAATTGTAATGCCGTCACCGGTTATAAAATGTGGTTATTACGTTAGATTTGTTTTTTTAATTGAAAGTGAAACCCATTAAAACTGTAGGAAGGGTGGTCCTTCCTACAGAAGTTCGTACCTCGATGTACTTGATATGTTCGTAACCAGATCGTAAAACTATTGATAGCTCTGAAGTAATTTGCATGAGTCCAAATTAGGACTCTATGCCGCCACGGTTCACGGAATACCACATTTATATTGCATTGTTATACGACCTGAACAAGTCTCCGGAATGTTTTTTTTTTCAACAAAGGCTCGTAAAATGAAATGACGAAATGATTCATACAGAAATATAGCCTTAGCCGTTGCAATATCCAGATTCAAATTGTAGTTTAGAAGTACAAGTGAAAAATCTCAAAACTTTTTAAACCCTTGAAAACAAGATATTTCGCCTTCATACTACTTTTCTAAACACTTCAAGCAATATAAACGAATCATAATTTATTAATTTAATACTCGTAGTCGCAAACATTCATGAACATTTGTTGAAACAAGCTAAGACACAGCCATGCTAATGACGATGTGAAAAGTGAAATTGTTGTAATATCAGATTTTCGAGAAATTCTTGACATTGCGATGAAAACAAACCATTTTGTTCATTGACAATGAACTTGAAATCCATTTTTTACGGAAAAAGTGTTCGTGTTGTTCACACTTTTAGGTAAAATGCTAAGCGCGACTTAATAGAAGTATAATAATTTCCCATTAGCACCTCTTAAAACCCATAATCACCTCATTCCACACTATCCTAACCTTTCATCGCAGGCTCCTTCAATTTTACCCATTGGCCTTAATATCGTAAGTATGTATGAGCTGGTGATAAATTGATGGTAGACAAATGAAAATTCTTTCTTGAACACATTATTAAATTAATTTAAATTAATGGAGGAAATACTTAGGTTTTGTCGTACTTTTTACTTGGATACTTTAATTTTCCACTAACAAGTAAAACTTCTTGTACTATAATACATACAATTTCACATATGAAAATAACTTATGGATGAGTTAACGTAAAATATGTACACGTACACATACACGTACACATACACGTATATCAGCTATAACTTGCACGTGACGATAATGCATACGTAGCGTAGCTACGTATGTATGTACATACTATTGCATGTAGATATATTTCATTCAGTTCTATCTATTTGCATGACAAGGCACTTATGAAACAAAACGCTGTTAAAATCCGACGTCTGCCTGACCTATTTAGCATATTTTTACAACATTTTCCAGTCGAAGACTTCCTAAATTCACAATCTCGTGATCGACCACTAATTGGCGTTCGGTCTTACAAGTTAACACATTTTTATATTATGGAATCATCACGGCATTTGGCAACATTTCAGGTAATGAATGATCCGATGACGACGGCGTTTGCACTTTTTTTGCCAGATGAAATTTTAAAATATGCATAATAAATATGTATGTAAGTACTATTTTGTGTACAAAACTATGCTATGAACTTCGTAGAAGTGGATATAAGTAGCTATCTGGATGTCTTCTTGGGATCCCTTTTCGGGACGTCGCATTATTATTGTGTATCAATTTCCCCAACATTTTCAGCATTTTCCGATCAAAACAGTATGTAAATATGTTGCAGCAGTATGTATGACTTTTCGTTAAATTGAAACAAATAATCGATTTGTAAAAACTATCTTACTGAGCGAAATTATATTTTATTTGTGCGTGCTGCGTTTTCATGTCGTTGTAAATTTAGAAGCAATTGAGAGATTAGTACGGGTCGGTGAGAATATTGAAATTTTTGTAGAAGGTAATGAGTATAAAGTGATCGGGTAAACGATCGTATCTGCGTGGTTGACAGTGTAAACTGTCAAGTTATTTATTGATTCCCGATCAACAACACAAAAATGCACAGATTGTATATGCTCAAAGGAATATATAATTTTTACTAATACGGACTAATTAATTACACTGAAAGTTGCACAATATGTAGTTGAACTTTCCATAATTTTGAAGGTTTTTTGTCATGTTTCTTGACGATTCATAGTATGTAAATGACTAGTTTCCGACAAATTTTTGTACCTCTGAACATATAATATCAGAGGTGCAGAAAATGCAGACTTCTGTAGGAATTGCGACGAGCATAACCTCGTATGGTTCTGGAGAAAAATTTAATTTGAAAAGTTTTATTGAGCTGGTGCATACAAATAATAACGTAGGTATGTAAAATAAAAGATTGTGGTAGTTCGTTCACTCGGGTTCTGCATGATAATTAGGCAAATTAATGAAGCAAGAATTCTTATTCACCGTAGTTCATGCTAATTTCATAAATGTCAGTCATAAAATTTATTATTCGTTTTCGATTCGTCGTAGAAAATACACATAAAAATAATTTAACTTATTTTAATGTCTTCATATAGACTGTGGTCATGTCAAACATATCAAAACACAAAATGCATAATTCATACTGTCTGATATTTCTTTTAAAAACATACTTTTTCCATTTTCATATTTTCCATTGCTCACCCGCTCTCCAATAATATATAAGTTTTACAACTCGATTTATGTAATATTTTCATCTAACGAAACCTTCTTTAATGCACGTAGATAAGATAAAATACAATGTATGGCACTACAGGCACAAAACTTGCGACTTAATGTTAGACCACGTTAAACGGATACAACAAATACTGAAAAATTGGTTTCTGTGTATAAAATGCAACAGCTTGAGGTAGACTTGGGTCTACATTTATCGTTAAAAAATATTACTCTACTTTACAAGATATCTAAAAAAAACTAGTAAATATATTGTATTTTAGTGAGATTGTCCAGTACAGATAGCTTACTTATTTATCGCAAGTTATGAAAATATTTTAGCCAAACGCCATAAGGCTCATTGATAAGGCGAGCTGTTTCAATCATATTATTTATAAATGTATCACGCACATCAAGAGAAATTAATCAATCCTCTCTCGTCTTGCCCCTAGTATTATCTAATTAAGAAAGAATATTCTGTTATTTTAAAGCTTTGGTGTATAGGAAATTCCTACTAGGAATGCCTCTTGTAATATTTGTACGGAGTCTACATTGTTGTACGCTTGATTTATTTATGATAACGAGAGTACTAAATTAAATTGAAAAACCTAGATAAATTAATTCCTAAATGAGTCTCTCTTCCGGTGGGGGCTTCATAACGTTGTCCAGTTCCACCCTTGGGTTGCAATATTCCTGCTGAGATGGAGAGTAGACGCCTGGCAAAAAAGACAGTAAAAATATAAATTTCATCCCTCTTTTGTTCTCAAGTAGTGTCAATTTTTACCTCTCGTTGCGCGTTTTTGCCGTGCCATCCTAACTAATATTACAACACCAATTGTGGCTGCGATCAGGATTGCTGAAATGAAAAAAAATGAAATGAAAAAAAATGAAGAAAAAAATTATTATTAATAATTTGAAATATTAAATTTTTTAGTGTCGATTGCCCAGATACTGTCAAAATTGTAAGACATTTTTGTATCGTAAGCATGTATATTGGGGTAATGGATTTACAGAGGCATAGTTTTGTACTCATTTTTTTGGAATGCATGTATGCATATATAACTTTGCCATCTATCTATTTCTGGACTATAATAATTAGATACATGCAAAATAATAATTAATTGAGACTCACCAGCGATCACTGGGATGATTATTAGTAAGATGTCGATTTGACGATCGGGTTGAGCCATTGTGAGGAGTTCACAATATTTCCCATCATAGTTTCCGATGCATTCGCAATTCCAGTCAGTATTATATTCATCATAGCAGACAGATTTGCATTCTCCACCATTGTGACAGGTTTGATTATAACAGGGATTCAATATATTGCAGTACTCGCCGCACATGGAGTTGTCAGGGCAGAGACAGGCATACGTTCCTGGCAAGTTGTGACATACTTGGGCGACGGGACAAATTCGTGGCATTTCACATTCATCGAGGTCCTCTTCACAAAATGAACCTTCATGGATAACACCCAAGAACGTATAAATTATTTGCATATGTATGTACAGTTTATACTCTACCGAGTTTGTTCTTACCGTCATAACCAGTGTGCTCGCAATGACATTGAAAAGCATTGACCAAGTCTTCACATGTTCCATTGTTTTTGCACGGTTGTCCGAGACAGTCATTGATATTAATTTCGCAATGAATTGACGAATACCCTGGGATGCACGAGCACTCATACCCCAAGAGCTTATTGACACAAGTCCCGCCGTTAACACATCGAACGTTTTTGCAGTAATCAATTTGAGTAGAACATGTATCTCCTTCCCATCCTATGGAATAATAGTTCGTGTATACATATAGGAACGTCAGTAGACTTAATTTATATTCAGTACCATTAGCATATAACAAATAAAAGGTATCAAATTAAAATACCTGGAGCACACAGACATTCAAAGGTAACATCGGTTGAATAATGCGCAGCTCTGTCATGGCACGTTGCTCCATTTTTACAGGGATCATCTCGGCATGAAGACCTTTTTCGCTTCTCACAATTTGGGACTAAATATTCTTCCGCTGATAAATATTAATTCAGATGAATCAAATAAATGGCACTAACTACACAAGTAAAATAATATTTAAAGGTACTTACAGCATACACAAGTATATGCGTTGATTGCATCAATGCAGGTTGCCTGTTTATCAACAGTGTTGCAAGGCTCAACTCCGCTAGGTGGGTTGCATTCGTCGATATTAATGTCACATCTATTAAAAGATCAGATTTAATTAAATATAGTAACTAAATACTTAATTAATTGTGTCAAGCATAAGCACCCATTAATTACTTACTTCCATCCATCCCAACCTGGGGGGCATGTGCATGTATAATTCGCAATGCCGTCAACACACACCGCGTTGTTCTTGCAATCACTAATTGTGTCACAATCGTTAATATTTGTCTGACATCGAGAGCCATCAAAACCGCTAGCACAAGTACATTCGAACGATTCTTGGGGCTGAGTGCAGTGTCCGCCATTTTGGCATTCACTTTCATAACACACTATACAACCAAGTGTAAGATTATTCATTTGAAGACTGGATTCAACAATGTAAAAAGCAGTTGGAGCGGTTGTCGTGGCCAAAGTGAGGTTATCGTTGATTCCTTTCAGTTGATCTGGACTGACAAAAGGCAGTCTGTATTCGCCGAGTCGGATATCATCCAAGCATCCTCGGTAAAATTGATTATGCGCATCTTCAGGATGGCCAACGTGATTGTTACCATTAAACATTTCCGAATGATCTACATTATAACGATCTCTGTGTTCCACATGGCTTCCAACAACAATTTCTGCAGTTGGTGGTTTGATGAGATCGTTTAGAAATTCCTGCGGTATGGAACCCATTTCAACTAATGGATGCAGTTTGACGTCCTTGGAATCGACGAGCAAATGCAACGTGTCCTTCTCGCCTAGCATCAGCTTCATTGAAACATTGTGCCATCGCCCGTCAAGAATGCCTCTAACTTTTCCGTAGTGTCGTACTCCGTCGATGTAGAGAGCAACAGCATCAATTGACTGGTTTTGAGCATCCACTTCTTCCTCGAGTCCAATGCGGAAAGACTGAGAACCGTTTGCAACATACAATACGTTTCCTGGAGTTTTGCTTCGGAAACTGAAAGTAGCATACAATGAAAAATTATATGCATAAGTACGAGTTTTAAATAAGTAATGCGAATTATTGTGACAATTTTATACGTACCGAAATGAGACTGATGAGACGGTGACATTTTCAAGCTCGGCTAAAAACACACATCAAAATTTTATAATTTTCGTGAGGTGGGTACATAATAAATGTACGTAAGGATACTTACTGGACATGAGATGATAATGAGGTGAAACGTCTCCGGTGCCTTGAAATGCGACTTCAGACACACATTCAAACCCTTGCCATCCAATGTTCTGGCAGGTGCTGCCTTCTGGACATTTCATGATCGCACAAGGTAGTTTGAATTCACACAATCGGAAAGCGTACCCCTCAGCACAGTTGCACTTAAAGTCATTCCAAGTGACTTCACATGTTCCTCCGTTTAAGCATTTGTTGACTTTGCAGGCATCATCAGAAACAACCCCTTGTAAAAGATGCTGCTTCGCCACTGAACCCAAAGGCTCACCCATTGCATAAGTCTACAAAAAAGATTGTTATTACTACATTTATGGGTAAAACATTTTATAAATATTAGCTCACCGAATTGATTTCCAATGGATAGAATTCTACTACGAAATGATTTTGGATTTTTGCATGCTGTTGGAGATGACTATGGCTAAGAACCATTGGGGTTGCTTCATTAGAACTAAAGTTGACTCGCACGTCCTGGATTACCCCCTTGAATGGGTTGTTTACGACAAGAACTTCTACGCTATCCTCAATTACTTTGTGAACCATCTCCTGAGATGACGATGATGGTAATGCCCTAATTTCTCCCCCAATCTCCGATATTGAAGTGTCTGGAATGTCTGTTGAGTCTTCCGACACTACAGAATCGTCAGAAGCACCATCTTCCCCTAAGCTTCTTGTCACTCTGGACTCAATGTGATTGGTGTTGCTCAGTGCACTTTCAGGATTTCCTGGTTTTCCTCCAATGTATAACTTGGATGGGATAAACGTGATTCGGTTACCCACACTTTTTCGGAAATGCTCAGTCCCGTTGACGCTAATTTTCACAAGACCTTTCTCCCGTTGAATAGAGACGAGATGAGGTGACCCATCCGTGATTTGCAACCCATCCACTGCGTACACTTCTAATTTGCTGTTTGGATCCTCTGAAATAATTATAAAATAATTCAGAAAATTCGAAACTTATCTGACGGAAAATTTAATAAAAATAAATTAACTAACCTGGAACATCAGACCATCTTGCATGGACGACAAGGTTTCCAACCTCCCCAACTTCTGCCTCCAAATAAACAGTGTAGTTTCCGTTCACTTCATTTCCAAGCAGAAAAATTGTTCCATTCCGCTGCAAACACAATAACCGTAATTTGTTGAGATTTGTTTAAACTTGTTTATGTAAAGTTTTGAAGAACAAGCGTTACTAACCTTCCGCGTCCGAATAAACATGGAAATGTCAAATGTGCTCACGAATTTATTCCCAATTTCTGGAGCAATTTCGACCGTTACGAGCGAGTTATTTTGGCGTTCATGTTGAAATGTCGCAGCTAACAATACAATAATTAATTTTGATATTATAATGATTTGCTAATTGGTTTTTGTAGAATTCCTTCTAATTAAAGCATTCTTACCAATATATTCATGTTGACATCGGTCACCCAAATATGGTCTAAGGCATTTGCATGTAAAATTTTGCCATAAATCCGTACAGTTACCAGAATTTTGGCACGGATTGATAGGTTTGCATTGGTCAGTCCTGCACAATGTGTAATTAAATAATGTGTTAAATTAAATGGTGGCACAATCCATAACTTAACTAACGCTTGTGTACCTTTTACATCCGACTTCAATATTCGAAGAGTTCAAATAATCTGGAGTCATATAATTTTTATTTCATTTATTTATATTTTATTTTGTTGTAAAAAACGAAAAATGTAAGCGTTCCGAGTGAAATTTTTACCTGAATCCGGAATGACACGCTCACTTTCTCCATTGATGACAATATCTTGCATGCAGCCTATAAACTGACTTTTTATCACTTTTTTGGTTGGATTGTTGACAAATGCACTGTGGAGGTAATTCAATAATGGCAATTAGCCCAAATATTTCGTAATTTAAATGCGTGTCATTTTGTGGGTGCTTACTTTGTCATGCCTCCTCCGATGTAGGTCAGATTAAATCCAGTGTGAACATCTTCGGTTTGAATAGGATAAAATGTTTGCTGAAAGTGTAATATAAATACATTTATTTGAGTTTCATTTTCTGAGGACACATAAACGATCATCCGAGAACTAAAAACTATGCTAACAAAAATTAGATCCATACCTGACTGTCCGCTGCAAGGGCAATGTGGGTCGAATTCACGGAAATCCAAACTTTAGATATTTAGAAAGAGGAATTGATTATACACATACATAAAATTTCCACTGAAAATGATTCATAAACTATAAACGTACCTTTATGTAATTCTGCGTTACTTAGATTCTGACCGACCGAGATGCCTTCCAGGCTATTCAGAAGTGAGGACTGTAGATTCAGCTTTCCTCCAGACAGAGTCAAGTAGAAGTACGTAATTCCCGACCCGACTATAAGAAGTACATCGGGAAGCGTTGTTCTGAATTTAAACAGCAGTTCATAGTTTCCATTTTCGTAGTTTCGATCATTGTTAGTAACTTCGATAGGGCCCGTGCCATTAAATGACATGACTGTATTCAGACTACAAGTTTTTCCTGTGTATCCTTCTCTGCACTCGCACTATTAGTATGACATGCATTTTATTAAAATTATGGATTAATTTTGAAACATTTTGTAAATACGATATTAGGCATACTTCAAATGTGTGGTTATTTGTGGCCTCGTCGTAAAAGGCATGGCATTTCGCAAAGCCTACTTTATCACATGGATCTCTAACACAACCAGTTAGAAGAACGCCACAATTCGTTCCGCCCCAATCTGCACAGACATTGTTCAAAGTAAGTACAATTGCAATAAATAAGTCTTACTTAATATTTTATTATTCTATGTATACTTTTCCTACCTGGTGGACACACGCATTCAAACTTTCCAATCTGGTCGATAAAAAATAACAATAATGACTTTAGCAGATAATTCTATGAATTTATAAATATTTTCAAACAAATTGGTTACCAGATCGTGGCATTCTCCTCGGACGCATGGATTACTCTCACACTATAAACATAAGCAAACAGGAATTATATTTCAGTGACTGTTTTTACAGTATTAAATACTATTAAATATTCACTCGAGTATACTAACCTCATTTATTTCAGATTCACACTTTTGTCCAGTAAACCCAGCATTGCATTGGCATTTCCAGTCGTTGATTAAGTCGATACAATTCCCATTTCGTCCACACGGACTAATTTGCAATGCACATTCATCAATATCAATTTGACAGTTTACACCTAACAAAAAAGTTTCATATTATTCATTTCTTTTGAAAATAAATATATTGTCAGTTTTCTATTCGTACCGGAAAATCCTGGGTCACACAAACACACATATCCGGCTGTGGTCTCGTAATTGAATGTGTCTGGAAGTAATTTTCGGATGCCTTCATCAACGTCGTGCTCATACAAGCTCTGGTTTGATTTTTCGAAACATTGTCCATGTAAACATGGTGCATCCAAGCATTCTATTAATTAAAATATGAATTAAAATTACTTTTGTAAATTGTCAATTGGTTTGTATAAGTATTTTACCATTAACATCATTGTCGCATCTTTTTCCCGAGAATCCGGCATGACATTCGCACTTGAAGTCTTTTATTAAATCGATGCATGTTGCATTATGCTGGCACGAATCGATTGTACAATCGTCAACGTTATCCTGACACACGTCACCGCTGAATCCGGTATCAGTGCAATCGCACTCGAACCCATTAATTTTATCCATGCAACGGCCAGAATGTTGGCACGGTATTGAGAGGCATTCATCTATGTTAAATTCGCATAATTTCCCTTCAAAACCTGCTGGGCATTTGCACTCAAAATCTGCAAGACGATCCTCACAAACCGCGTTATTTTGGCATGGATTGGATTCGCATTCATTAATTTCCTGTGTCATAATAACACAATTAATCAATTAGTTAATTCAACAAATTAATTTTTCTAAAAACAAGTAACTTGTAAACAGACCTCATCGCAATCCGTTCCTCGATAGCCTATAATAGCCAATAATAATACTGATTTCATTATTACGATATTATTAGTTGGGGAAACTGATTCTCGAAGGAGAATCAGTCTGCGAAAACTACTCAACCGGCTAAACAAAACGGTGCTTGTTATAAATCTTTAGATTAATTTACTTTTGTTGACAATTAAAGTAATTGTTTAGTCACTTTAGTCATGTCGTTTAGTGAACTTGAAGAAGTTATAGAGTTGAAGTTTGGTGAAATTAAAAAATATGGTAAGTTAAGTCACCAAATTTGTCCCAGATATTAATATGCTGAAACTTTAATTTTTTTGCATTTCTATTAGTGAGATCAATTGGAATAAGATTGGAGAGAGTAGGGACGGACGCTTCATCCGAGGAACTACCCAAATTGTAAGTTTTAATATTTATTATAATGCAAACATTTAAATTTGTCATATTTATACTTTCATTTTTTCCCAGGGATCGATTAGTGGACAAAGCAAAAAAATTGGTGTTGGACACAAACATGTCCATGCGTAAAATCGAGCTGGATTCAAGAGACGAAAGCATTAAGAGACGAAAGAAGTTAGCAAAAGAACTTGGAGAGCTATTGGTCAAGTTCCGTGAATCCATGTGGTATAAACAATTGCATAATCATTATTTATTATGTAAAAGTATTATGTAAATGTCATGAATATCGTTAGGTCTGTTATTAAAAAGAAACATAATCTGATGTCTGCCGAATCTGACCAGCCTCCTCGGAGGAAATTGAATCTCTCCGACATTCCGGATGGTACTGCAATCTACATGATTGAAAAAATTGATGGCTGTTACACCGCCTCCGCCAATCAAAAAGACGAGCTTCTCGAAATGAAAGGTATACATTGTTGACATTCTAATTAGTAATTGGTGACAGTAATTAGTGAGTTCTATATATGCATGTTGTTATCTAGGTGTCGAACCGAACCGTGTTCTGCTACAATTATACAGAGATGCATTATTTCGACCGAGAGAGTTAATATATGGAGAGTCCTCCCTCCGAGATAAGTTTTTATGGGCAAAACTTATCTCGTGAATGGGGCGTCGTGTAGTTATTCGTGAGTTATTTTGTCATATGTATTAACTGTTTCTCATTTCATAATAATAAGAAAACTTATAAATTTCAGCGATAAATGGGAAATCACATTGTATGCTGATAAGATCGAGGTGATTGACCCTTTACTTTTTGGTGCTTCCTTCAAGAGTGCGACAGCATTAAAAAGTTATACTAGAGATTACAAGGAAGCAAAGTGCTCAATGAAACCAAAAACTGTTAAGAAACTCTTCTCCCCTCACTGGGATATGATAAATTCTGCTATTAAGTAATAATAAATTATGAAAATTGTGTACCTATGTTCAAATTATGCTAACTTTTGTTTGGCTTGTTTCTTAGCTCCGCAACAGACGGCGTCCTCGATATTGTTGGAAAAGAAGACGAAGTGTGCCTTGCAATAGGTGAACCAGAGAAAAAGAAACGAAAATCTAGAGGAACGGTCGGCAAATTGGGATGCGATTTATGTGATTATCGATGTGATTACCCTTCAGATATGAATAAGTTAGTTTATAAACCTGTGCATAAGCACATTATAAATTATTGATTTTATGGGATTTTAAGAAATGTTGTAATTTTCAGGCATAAGTTGAGTCACAACGATGAGAGGCTTTTTGTGTGTGAAAGCTGTGACAAGGGGTTTACACAAAATTCAACTTTGCTTCAACACGTGAAAAATGGATGCACTATCGCAGGGAAAGGTAGGAAGACCGGATTCAAACAGATTGAACAAATTAGGTATGCAATTGTGGATTGTTTCATGTCACGTTTAAATTTCCAAATAATCATTGTTTGTTTCATTCATAGACAAGGCGTCGTTCCATCGTCTGCGCCCACTCGAGGTTCACCTGCCAACGCCGAAGTTGATGAACTGAGGAAGGAGAACGCGACACTCAAGACAAGTTTGAAACAGAAGAACGAGACCATCATCTTCTTAACTCTAAAAGTTGCCGAGTTGGAGAAAAAGTTGGCAAAAAGAAACCCACTTTTGAATGTGCAAAATACAAACCCAGTGCAGCCTAGGATTCCATTTTCTCAGAAAAGAGCACACTCACAGACTGATAACAATACAAAATATAATAAAAAATCATCAACGAGCAACGAAAATAGTCATCAATAATAAAAGTAATGAAATAAATACTAAAAGTAATGAAATAAATACTACAAGTAACGAAATAAATACTACAAGTAACGAAATAAATACTACAAGTAATGAAATAAAAACTATCCATTTACCATTTACACATTCGCATCGATAATTGTCCACCAAATCAAAGCATTTTGCACCATTTTTGCAGGGCTGAATCAGGCACTCGTCGTAATTTTTTGACTGGAATTTATCAATTTCAAGAAAAATTAATTAGCTTTATAGATTGTATGCACGTACATAACTAATGTTTAAACAAGCCTTCTTGACTTACGCAAGTTTTTCCAGTCCATCCAGGTCTGCAGAAACATTCAAAGTGGGGGCTTAGATTTTGACAAATACCGTTATTGCAAATTCCAGGGAATTTCAAACATTCGTCCACATCAGTGTCACAATACTGTCCTTGATAACCTGTCATAGTGCAGTTGCAATAATGCTGACCAGCCGTGGCAACACTTGCTACACATTCTCCTCCATGATTGCATGGGCAGTCAGAACCAGCCAGCAGAAATGGATACTCTGGTGGCGGTGGTTCTGTCGTCGTCGTCGTCGTTGTTTGCTGTTCTGCATGGTTAGCCGATGAAACATCTAGTCTTGTGGAGGATGATAAGTCAAGGTGACTAGAATTGGCTGAAGATGAATCAATGTTAGACGGGGATGACAGTGGCATATTCATATCACCCTCAGAAAGATCGGTGATGAACTCAGTTTCTGACGATGAGTGTCTCGGGAGTTCCTCGTGCATTGTTCCTGCTAGAGGTGGATATTCGCAATATTTCCCAATATATTCCACCTCCTCGGTATTTGGAGGACATTCACAGTTGTTGTTCATAGGATTGTCTGTTGTATCTGGACGACAACTTGCACCATTTTGACACTTGCTGCAATCCAAACAAGGCAAAATAAATTTACCGATGTATTCATGAGTATCTTTAACGACTCTTACAAATTAAAACTTATGTATGTACCTGCAGAGGACAAAAGTGTCAGGATTGAAGCAAGAGTGGACCGAGTTTAATTCTACATCCGTATCATTGCAGGGAACAAACGGGGTTCGTAATTGAAACAAATCATGAAGTGATACAACTTGGTGTTCAGACGGGCTTTCTGGAGTGAAATAGTTTTCTTCGTGACTTTGAACACTTTGCTGTCTCCTTCCACCATTTGCATGATCGTGGGTGGGGGCTGAAACACGAATAATTTAGTCATTTCGAGTAATGTGGGGTGTACCAATATTTAACATCATCAGATTTAATTTAGGGGCTTACCGTGAACACGAATACAGCCCACAAATCCGTCAAAAAAGTGAAACATGTGGTTAAGCCTTGAACTTTGATCGACTTCTGTGCTTGATGAATTTGTATCCCAATGAATTACGGGGGTGGAGACTGTGGCCTCTGAATATCTGGATTCCGAGTCGTCGTGATCATCCAAGAATATCATGTCTCCAGCAAAACTTATCGAGTGCCAACGGCCATCAGCCACGCTGTGGTGTGAGATTGATGATGGAAATTCACTCGGCTTTGTTGTATATGTCATGTTCCCTCCGCTGTTTATGCTGATGGCGAATTTGTCCTGTAAATAAATTGTAATGAGAAATAGTTCAGAAATAGTTGTACAGAATTCTCGCAAGCTCATCATTTACGCCAATGCAGAGAATAGTTTATTTTTTCCCTAAATTTTACCTAACTCAGAGATGCAAAGTCATGTAGAAATCTCATGAGCTGCATGGGCACTCTTTGGTCAAGTCATGTGAAATGCTATGCAGACATGGACTACATACGCCTAAAAGTGCATGGAATAAATGATGCAAATCCATTACCCATTAATTGGTTTGTGGCCAACAAAGGGTGAAATGACAAAGCATAATCACCAATACAAAGTGCACTATATTGTATTCCTGAGTAAACTATAAAAAATCGGACAGATACGTGTTATTATGAAAGAAAGTTTTATATAATCCGATTTTTAGACCTAGTTTGAGTCTCTAAAAGCATTTTCGTACGTGGGATGAGCTGTGCTATTAGCAAACAGTTTGTTTGAATTAGCAAGTATTTCTCATCTATATACGTGTCGTTCTACTTTGTGAGGTGTTCTGTGAGTTAAATATTCAAGTTCATTAAAATGAATACATATTTCAAAAACAATCCGCCACAAGGTTTATTTTAATTGCAGAAGTAATCTTAAAAGTATTTCACTGTGGTGTTATCCTCATCAAAATGGTGGAAGATGTATGAATAATTTGGCCCGAAGAGTAGGCTGTCAAATTCTATATGCTAATAATCAGAAGCTGTCAGTCAAATGATAACCTAGTTTTATTTTAATGATTCTTTTAGTTGGTGAAAATTACATCCGAATTGCGCCGAAGCTTGGATAAATAAAGAAATGTGTTACATTTGTGTCACATTAACACATTATTATTTAAGTCTCTATTACCAGTGTCTGCGATCATCATCATCAAATCATAATCAAAATAATTAGTAAACACAGTCCCGTTAATCTCGGCATTTGGTTGAGACTCTTGAAATTGCATTCACTTCTAGCTTCTTCTTCTGCATATACTTTATTAATTTTGCATTAATTCACTGTCATTGAAAAACTCATTTGATAAAAAATAGGTTATAGAGTAATCAAAGCTGAATATATAAGATAGAAAAGAGTTGTAAAATAATAATAAATTATTTTGCCTCCTAAATTCCGATAAATATTCTACCAAAAAAGACACTAATAATTCATGTCTTATTGTTTTGTTCAAAATCGATGAGGGTAATGATTGATGGGTGAAAATTGAAAAATCCAGCTTGATTCCCATCAGTCAATCTTAGATTTAAAGAAAAATCTCGTTTTGAGAAAACTTCACATGCTCACGGTTTCTCAGTCTCTGAGTCCAATTAGCCCACATACGCACAACCTCCTAGTTAATGGTCCTCTGGCAATACTGAATCGTTCTATGGTTTGAATAGATAGAAATTTCCCGATCGATTTTCCATTATTCAGCTGTCTACCATAAGCAAATAATAATTGATCACAAGATGCATTGATTTTATACATTTTCAATGCACGATAAAAGTGGGCTTTCTCTGCTAAATCATCCGACTGATCAGGAATGGTCACGAAATATTGAATAATGACTTGAATCCAATTAGCTTAGATATATTTTCCTTTATCGAGCCTGTCTATTTCGTTGATGTATGTTGGTTGGGTGGAAGTCGATGGAATAAAATAAATAAATGGTGTCAAAGAGATATCGAGTTTTACTTTGATATCTGGTAGTCAGTTTGATAGCTCCTCTTAATTTGATGAGCAATGAGAATACAAATTGCGTAATCGAATTCAATCGTCAGCATCGTATGCACACCCAGATTTCATACCCGCATACATATCGCCGTGTGAAGCATCATTTGCACATTGCATGCATCAAATTAGAAAATGTGGTAATTTAATGGATGAGAACCGTAAATCATCGCTCCATCTGCACCACAGCCATCATTTATGATGCCGCCCCCGGCACTCGTCCACACCGATTGGGGGTGAAAGTCTATTTGCTAATTTACAGGGCCAAGAAGAAGGTAATAAATAAATAAATCTACCATCACGCTGAAAGATATTATCCATTCCACATGAAGCTATGCGTATTAATAACAAATCTTTGGAGGGAATACCTTGTTGGGAGCATGCATGATGAATCGGAACCAGTTCAAAGTATTACATTTTTTACCGTTCGCCAAGATGATGCTCTGCTAAATAAGAAGCATCACGGTGTCCAACTTACTGGCGTGTAAATTGTTAATTATGCAAATATAATGTAGAAGAGAAATGGAACAGAAAAGTGTTAATAAGAGGAGATTGATCACCTATACAGCACTCATGTCATACCCAAGATACGTGCATATCTATTCATATACGTACACTTGTTGAAATTATAAATGTCCCATTGTTTCTCAAGAATGAAGTTGCGAATTCTTTGTGCACTTTCTTCAAGACAATTTAACTTTTGATAACTGGCAATGAACTTATGTGCTCGTGGTTTCATGCCACGATTTTTTGAACAGTTGTATCTTCAAACATGATAATTTAAAGATTGTTAAATTTTTCCATGTGCATTAAAAAGTAAAGCTCGTTGTAATGATAGCAATTGACAGAACGACTTGAACAAATAAAATTGAGACTTAATAACCGCTTGACTCGGTTTACTTACTTCTTTTTTACTTTTCAGTAATTTATCGCAGTCATGAATTCAGAAAACGACAAATAACGCCGCCCAGAATTTTGTACCCACTAAATACGTGTTCATTCTTATTTAAATAAAAATTTAGCATAAGCCTTATTCTTATGAAATTTCTCTTTCTGTCATTGGAATGACCGTGAGAAAAACATTGAAAAATAAGATTAATATTTGAACGTTTAGAGAAAACAGTTCCCGAAAATACCAGTCAGTTAAGGACGATGACTAAATAAAGAAATAAGGTGATAACATAATACGTAAGTGTCATCTTTTATGCAAAATATCCTCGCATGTTTGCAATATGGGTCCAAACCATAAGGATTGTGTATTGCCATACATACATAAACCTATTCGTGTCCAGAACATTCGAAATTTTTATTGCCATTAATTTTTCTGCTGTTAAAACTAGAATGTCACGATGGTCTTCAAATTGCTCAGAAAAGAAAATCAACGAAAAGTGATATTTCCACTTTTAAGCATCTACTCCAAGCTTCAAGTTTGCTTATCTATTTTCTGTTGTTGAATATGTTTGCTCATTTTTGTCCTTTGTTATACAAACCTACAGTGCAGACTTGGTACAGCCCGAGCCAGGTATTTTTCTTGTTTGCTATGTAATTTAGAATACCAATGTGGATATTTTACAAAAGTTGAGTGCCACCGACATGGACACACCTCGGTTTAGTGTTCGCCCGCTAGCATGTCAAAGACAGACAGGCGAAGAGATGGACATGATGATTTCATAAGCCCTGGGTCGGGCTAAAATATTTATAGTCACGCAAAGAAGAAAATGAGTTTAGTTTGCAAAATGTGACAAGAACTTTATACTTGAAGATGAACAAAAGCAACTTTACAGAAAAATTGTACATCCGGTCGTTATCTTCGAAATTTACTTTTCTTTTAGGAATTTACGTGCACACATACCCTGCCTGGGCAAGCTTACGTATTATAAAAGATTATGTCTTTTTAAAACGGAGCTCAAGCTCAGAATGCTAAATTTATTTTTGAGGAAGTTATGCACGGGCGCAAATCCAAGTTGGGGATAAATTTATGGACGACACGCAAACTCATGTCCTTGACCCGTGGCATTAAAATACCCTTTTATTTAACCAAAATAAATCTATGCAATCATATTAAATACGAATAAAATTATCAAGGTTAACATTAGATTGCCCTGTGTACAATAATTTGTTGGATCCTAAACTAGATATTGCTGGCATATTGTTGTCCTCAGTATGGAAAAATTCAGTTTTATTTTCTACGATGTGTGTGTATGTATGCAGTATGTTCTGCAGTTGTGCTGTGGGTGCTTTTTCAGAAGGAGGTGGGTGGGTGTGATGATTGCAAAATTTGAAATTGTGAAACGGTGTGCAGACGTTGTAAAACGAAATGGTCCAAGTACCGCTTGAAAACTCTGAACAATATCGTGCGTAGGCCAAATAGAGCTGTAAATTATTTGGACATAAAATTCTGAGGCATCTCGGTCATGTGTCGAGTGCTGAGTGAAGTTGTTCTCGCCCATTCAGATAAACCGTTAATTCTCCCAACTTGAAATTTGCATGATGAATTAACAATCATGGCACGACAAATTGCACAATTCCATTGCAATCTCAATCATACATATGCACATTATATTTGATCATTGCTTTCTACCGTGCAAACATCTCCATTTTAGTTGATTTTGTTTGTCGCTGAGTAAGATTTTAAAGGACTTTGATAACCATGCAGCAATTAAATTTATTATTGAACGATTCACGACCTGGATCTTATTTTTATATGGGAAACCATTTGTACACACTTGAACAACTATACATAAAGTGAACGAGTTATGTACTGTGCGGATGGAGCAAAACTTACGAGAAACCCTAGTCTCAGCACAAGATACTTTAGGAGGCCGTAGGTTTTAGCTCCACCCGCACAGTACATAACTCGTTCACTTTATGTATAGCCACCTATTGCAACACCTTTTCGAAATCTTCAATCTTAGGATTAGTGTTACAATTATGCGATTAGCAAATTCTACCGTCTAAAATACACCTCCATTGCCCAACAATAAAGGTAATCGAATTTATAGTCGGTTGTAAAGAAAGGAAAAAAAAGATGCACCTTTGCCGGACCGATGACCATCAGATATATTAGATAACAAATCTGTGAATAAGGTTCAGGAAGGCAGAAGACTGCGTCAATGCACAAAATCAGAATTTAATAAATCGCTAGCAGTTTTTTAATAGAAAACATCATTGATCAATAAAACACCGTATGTAATCAATTATCACGGCATTGTTGAAACTATTCGTGACTTTCAGTGAATAGTATTTAGTAGTTCCTCATAATGTAATATGAAAAATAACAAAAAAGTCATAATAGGATGAAGCAAACTGTTAACAAAGGAAGTAAGTCCCGTTTATTTTGCAAAAACTTTCCATTTTGAATTTCAGATCCTATTTCACACAGAAAGTGTAAAAGAATCCAAATCTTATGCATTTCACAAGAAAATGGCAAATTAATTTCTCTAATATGACTTGCTCATTGTTGATTTTACTGCAATTTGCTTGTGACATGGCTGAGATATATTGATGGTTGATGATGGTGATGACACTTGTCATTAAAATGATATATCGAGAACCAACATTACTGGTGTCTTGTTGCTCCCTCAATTCACTACCTACAAATATCCATGTATGTATGCACATGCGTCTATTAGTCTTTGCACCATTAGCTACAAAAAGCTCATTAATGTAACCGCAATTATAAACCAAACAATTAATCCTTCACCAATAAATGCCACAAATTCAAACTTATTATCATGAAGATTCTTAAAGAAAAGTATTGCTCACGTCATAAACAATATTCCCAAAGGGGCAAACGGTCCTAAATTGAAGTTGGAAGGGTTTGTCCCTCGTGAGCAGCATCATGGCTGTCGAATTGATTTTCCTTATCTGACTTGCCAATCCGGCAATGAAGTAAGCTGTGGGTCTGGAGTTGGTCGAGTCGTAGGTGGACGAAGTCTGACTTCCACCCCCACTCCCACCACCCCCAGAGTAGGAAGTGGACGAGAAGCTGTTACTCCCACCACCGGGGGAGGAGGACCCAAAAGTATTTGCATTAAAAAGCCCACTGTTGATATTCCTCCCACTTGCATTTCCCCCACCACTCCCCACCGGACTTGAGTTGAGATTATTATTGACATTGTTAGTGCTCTGTTGTTGTGGTTGAGTGGACGCTATTTCGGACGAGGTTGATATGCTAATAAGGAAAGAGGTTACGATAAAGAGTAGAATTAGTTGCTTTGATGAGCATAATAGGTGATGCTGCTGAGTAATTATTCTTGGGCCGGAGGATGATGTATTCATATCATTTTTCCTTCTTAAACTAGTTCTCCCCCTTCTGGGTAAAGTCATTGTATTATTTTTATTGAGGTAGTTCTGGTTCAGGTTGATGAGTCCTTTCTCATCTTCACGTTCAGCCACCTCCCTCACATTATTATTGAGTTGATGCGGCTGCTGGGGTGACGATGAGGGCGAAGGAGACGAAGTAAAAAGTTCACCATGCGAAGACCAACAACTTCCTGTTGTCTGGACGGAAGATTCGCAATCGTCGTAATTATTACCGACTAAACGATCGTTATCCATTCGTCCTCCTGTGCACTCCTTCTGCTGTGGGAGTAATAATGAGGCCCATTCTTTTGAACACAGGATACATGAGTCATCGTCCGGATCTCGGCTAGCAAATTCATGCATGGCTTGGCTTTCTGCAAATAAATACAAAAATAACAGGTTCATTAATGGGTACTTGTCATTTCAGTAACATTGAATTTCTTGCGCAAAAAGGGCTTGACTAGGACTTGATTCTTTACTATGAATTGAGGGTTGGAAATAAATTATAGAAAATCGGTAAATGTCCACATGATGAGGAGACATAATTTTGCTAAATGTGATACAATAATAAACCAACAAACGCCAAGAAAGAAAAAAAACTTTTTGTGGACTTGAATGCATCGAGTTTTACTTTGCTTACATAGTTGAATGTATATCAAAGGTTGACATGTCCGTTACGTTGAAATTGATGCGTATACAAGACGAGATCATGAGTTCTATTATTAACTAAAATGCAGCAACTACGACAGGAATGTTGGATCGACTGCACCAATTACGTCAACTACGATGGTAGGAGAGACGAAGTGACGTAAGATTGGTTCACTTCATTGAAATTGTCACAACAAACTGAGGCATAATATAACAGCAACTTGCGACCAACGGGACTATGAGGAGTATCAAATCAGCCCTTGTTTCGCCCATGTTTCGCCATTATTCTCATGAAACAGCACTGTCATTTTTTAGAGCGGTTGAGCAGGCTCATCGACCACACCACGGGGTTCCGAAGAAGACATATAATTACGTGAGAAAATAAATGTTATGCTGCTCAAAACTTTAGCCGAAAGGACACCAAAGTTATGTCTGGGGGTGCAAATGGATGAAATAAGACTGCAATTTTGGAAAGTAAATTGCAGAATGTCGTGTTTTTGTCCCTTTTGGCTGATTAAATCTGAAACTTCCTTTCAAATAATGTACATAAGTTCTAAACACAACAGGTAATCTGTTGTTCAACCAGCAATAAGTAAGCCCAAAAGCATGACATTATTTTAGCAATCAGGAAAATTGGTATAAACACAGGAACCGACGTCGACGGAATGACGAGGCACATGAAATATATTTTTAACCCTGTTCCGTCAATCAAGGAAAATGCAGGTGGTGGTAACGTTTATGATTTATCTTTGGTGTGCATATTTGCATCAATAGCACTTTAGTCAATTTTTGTACCGCAAATTAATTGAATCAATTTATTATTGTCATAATACAAATTTATTGAAATATCTATTAAATTGCAGCATGATTGCGCTAAATCAATAATACAAAGATTTAGATTATATATTTCCAACTTTCTTTGTAATTTCGAAAACTCTTATCTTCAATCCTCAAGTATACATAAATGCGTATAACAATGCGCTCTATGAATTCTTTTGAAGTCGTAGATCATATACTTTCAAGTACAAAACAACGAATTGTTTTCTTTAATATTTTCCAACCCCAACATACTAAATAGCATTCGCACCATTCATTTAATTTGCAGGCACTTGACAAGAAACACCACCACTCAAATTCTTCCCACATTATGGTAAAGCGAAATAATAAAGGAAAGACAACATGTGTCCCATTTGACACAAAAATCCAAATATTATAAATGAAACTTCAGATTTCACTGAAAAGGAGAAACGAGCTTCGTGTATCAATAAAAGTTTTCGATATACTTTAGCATTGCATTATCAAAACAAATGTCGTCAGAAAATTTAAAATAGAATATCGTCACGTTTATACTCACACTGATACACGTAACTGAATACGATATCGTAAATGTGCATATACATAAAATGGTTCGAGCTGAAAATTGATACCGAGGAAAATTAACTGCCATTCTCATTTCATTGTTCACTTTTTCAAAATAAAACTTCTTGTTTGCTTAATGTACAACAATCTCAAATTTTTTGAGCAGATTCAAGCTAGCACAATTTTCTTTATATTGTTGAAAAGAATCGTTGGTTAAATGAATGTGAATGAGGACGAGAGAATTGAACGAGCCTAAAATAATCCGATTTTACATACATTACTTACATTCTATTATGCAGGCGGTCTCATCCCGACCATAAAACCTTTGTATCTATTTATTACGGTGGAATTGAGGCAGATTCAGTGTGGCATTACTGGTAGAATATTACACCAAAAATACCAAATCTAATGCACAATGCACACGAGGAGCCTAACATGACTAACGTCTGAACCAGATTCTTATAATTATGCTTTAGTTTTCATTGTGAATCCCAATCAAATAGAAATCACTGATTGAAGACGGATTGTGAGACGTTGCATCGCGTATCCGAAAAATCCTAAACAATTGTTGAAGATGAGTTTTGGTCGTGATAGTTTGCTGCATGTACATACATATTGAATGAATGAATGAATTGAGGTTTGCGACCACAGACATGACACACGACACGAAATTATGTGCATTGTTTTTTTCGTTCTTTGGAAATTGATCCTTTTTTAGCTGCTGTTTTTTCAATCTCCGCGTCCAATATCATGATAGTTTTAAATCGACAACTCACAGCAGATCAGATTTTGGTTTGGTTAGTTTTACATATATGAGTATTTAATAACCCAGAAATAATCACCTCAATTTGTCCAACTAAAAAGCAAGATTTAAGAGGAAGACTTAAACCAATATTCCAACACCCCAAAATTCAACTATACACGTATGTACATAATTCCTGACTCTGTTGATGCAAATTTCTACAACTTGCAACTAACCGAAGCCCAGCAGGAAGGATGAATTGCAATAAAGAAGTGAGACGTGGTTGTTTTTCTGACTATAAGAGGTTTTGGCTCATCGAATTTGCATGTCTCCTCTTTGACCAATATTTGCTAAAAACTTCCACCGCATGACTGTACAGTTAGATGCCTCACTTGAATTTCGCAATGTTCGTTGACTCTTGGTGAGTGTTATTAGTGTTAATTTTATTTAATGGAATCGTCATCCTGTTGTAGATAAACGTTATTCAGATTGGTGACTAATCTGATATTTTACTTGTGTCTGTGTGCTTTTTCCAACGATGCTGACATGAAATTGTAGGTATTACCAGAAATAAATTCACTTGTCATAATTACCCAACAATAATATTAATACGCCATTTATAACAACGGCTGAAATAATAAATTATCAGTCATAAGCTCCAAGTAGCCAAATCTTTGTTGTTGTTGTTCATGGTATGAAGGACTTGAGATGAATACAGTTATATGCAATTCATTGTAAAAGCCTCAGTCAGGAGCCACTTTAATCATGCTGGTTGTTCATCATCTTAAAAACCAGCCGACCAAATCAAATAAAACTGTCAACCTTATAGTCGTCCGTGCTTATTCGTACCTATTGCTTCTATATGTACTTCGAAGTACGAAATCCGGTTGAGCTAATCGTCAGCAAGCTACGATGTACGTGCCTCAAGTTGAAGGTCCTAACAAATCTTAAGCATAAGATCAAACATGTATTTACGGCTCTTATTCACATCTTTCCTGCTGCTAGAGAGCGATACATACCAGTTTGTACGATTGACATTAACAGTAACATAATCTTAAAACTTGCGTGGCGAATAATGTTGCAGGCCGAGATGATGACCAGTCTTAATCCAATATGGAATACTGTTGCAGGGATAACAATGAATAAGCGAGAGAAGAATCTGCATCTTACGATTTAACAATCAGTGGTGTACATTACATTTGCGAAATTGTGCAATTTTGCTTCCACTACCCGAACCAAAATGGGAATCCATATGAATCATAACTATTTGTATCTCGAAAAATATCGCAAAATAAATAATGTTATTCGCTATATGGATGTCCCAAAACCACACCCTAAGAAATTTTAGTCATTCGCATTTAGTCCCCTAGGGCAAGGATTCATCGTCCTCTCTAAATTGGCCCATCATGATTGTCTCCTCTTCTCCAAATATTCGACAACAACCAAGAATTCAATGCAAATAATTGCATGGTTCTTCCTTCCTCTCACTAAAACGCTAAATGTTTGGTTATACTGTAGTCTTTTCTTTCTTTTACTTAGCAGGTTGTGGTTTACAGCATGGCAAATTCCTAATAACAGTTTCCTCTTGGTACCATCCCACTATTATTATTTCCTTGTAAATTAATGGATATTGAAAACACACATTTGGGGGATTTATTCTTGTACGCATACATACATACACTTGAATGTGAGCAGATAAATATCTCTGATTCTGTGATTGTGTGCTTCACTATTGGGCTCTTATTCGCTTGACTGATGAGTTACAATGCTGATAAATTTAAATACACTATATGAATTCATAATGGCATGTACGTTCCTTGGAATTGGCATCTGGATCAAGTCCAATAAGTGATGATAACAAACGAGGAGGTACAACGCCAGCTGGATTTTATATGAACTATGTGAATTAAATTCTCACCACAAAAATATTTACGACCATAAATCAAAGCAAACAATTCATACTAATTTCTAACTAAAGTGTGGGGAATAATAGAAAAATTATGTACTGCTATTAAAAAAAGTCTATAATAAGAAAAAAAATTGATTCGATCCACAACCCCACGTCGACCATTATGCACTTATTTTATATGCTCCATTCCAAATGAGCGTGCATACGACGATTCCATACATACGACGAGTGTACTTATTGATTGCAAAAACAGGCGAATATTCGTTCTGTTACCAACTTTTGTGATTTGTGCTATTTGCTCGTGGACTCTGGTGTTGTTGGCAAGACGAGAAAGTAAACATGATAAACGAATCTGTGTTAGTTGCATGGCTTTTTTAGCTGTTAGTTTTAGCACACTTCTGCATTATAATCAGTTCACAGTCAACAAGACTCAACGGTTTGGAATTTGACACAGTTATGACCCGATGAAATATGAATATTCTTACTTAAAGACAACTTGTGGAATGCTTTCTTACACTAAATAATATACTAAACAGCAAATATACACTGTTGAGAGCTAAATTGCGTTTCAATTTAATCAAACGTAACAATTGTATTCAATTCTTACAACATTTTCAATTTATTTTTCACTGAATGAGAGAAAAGCGGAAAATAAGTATTTGTAGATTATTATTCTGCCCTCTTAGACTGTGAATGAGTCGGTTTCAAATCAAGTCATGCTTTCTCCTTCATATGTCTAATCTTGTGATAAGCGAGAAGTTTGGTGAGATTTGGTGATATGCATGTAAAAGTCTCTTCACCACCTGTACAAGCTTATGTTGGTCATTTTTACGACGCCAAAAGTATTTTTCAAGTTTAAAATAAATGAAAAACAAAAACTTGTAAAAACATAACAATCAACAAAAATTACGACAACGCCTACATAAATACTCGGCTCGCAGCCATAATAATGAATAAATACTGAGTCACTGGTGGTGCATTTCGCGACAATAATTCATGAGATCAGCCATTTTGAGAATGCAAATGATTAAAATCTACAAGAATGTGATCTGTGGATATTCTTACATACATAGCTTCGTTTTACACTGGAATGCATGCTAACAACCTTGATCATCATTGCATTTTTTAGCCAGTGTGTTGATGATATCATCTATTTATTTATTAAGTTTCGCCATTTCTCTTTGTTACTTACCTCTAATTTATTTTAAGATCCAAACAATTTACATAATTTCGCACTGAATGACACAAATTTTCGCAGTTGTATGAAATAGAGAGGGCACTTTTGCAAGGCACGACAATAATGAAATTCACTTATGCGACGGAGGAACAAAAGCAGTTGGCTGTGCGAGTCTGATGAAATGTCGAACCACGATGCTAAACATGCATGGGCCGGTTTTCGTACAGGTAAAAGACCTGCTTTTTTGGACGAAATATCCAATCGAATTAATATTATCTCTCTCTCTCGCCGGTGTGGTCGGCCAGTCAATAAAATGGTAAAGTGTCACCTTGCAATTGGGTATTCAAGGACTTGACAATACAAATTCACAACCATTTACGTACAGCTTGACTCTGCACGGCACTTATTGGCAAGTCGTCACTATATTGATGACTATTTTCTTGCATTCACTTTTATCTCCTTTTCTTCTTAACTGATGATGATTATTTCCTTAAAAAAATATACGATACTTCCGGCAAAGTTCTTTTACACTGTCACTCGCTTCTAATTTCACTGATGGTCCATGCATTCGAAGCAGAGTGCAACACTGAACTAAACCTGCAGCAGGGGTACGTATATATAAATTCAACGAGTCAGAGACCATTATAGTCGTTAACAAGTTGCTGTGGTCGACATGCACCTTAGCTCACGGTTGTTTCGAAGGTGTAGGAATTTTTTTCCCACGAAGACATTCCCAACCACAATGAGGAGTTATCCAACCTATGCAGCATAATGCAACAACACTCTGCGCTGTCAGCTACAAACGGGAGAGATACGAATACGACGATGCAATGTTGGCAACAAACAACTCCCCTTTTTCTCTACGTCTCAAATGGCACCAGTAAAATAGTTAGTCAGTCAGTTACTCAGTTTGGTTATAATAGCGGACCTCAATTCTCTCAACTTGCAGCAGCAGAATAGTCAATCCTTAAGCCCTCGCATTCCATTCACGTAAAACTTTTTACCTGGATTGGATTAGCGGAGGCTAGGGGTCTCCTTCCGATTGTTGCCCAACCTCACCACGCTAAACATAATGCACGCACACCTGCACTCCCAGCCTTTCGTTGCTATCTGCAAGCAGGGAGAATGGAGCTATTGGCGTTTGTGTTGGGGAAGCATATCTCTAACGACTGAACCCTTACTTAAATTGCCAAGTGATGACCAAAAGCACTACAAATCTGGATTTTGTTACCTGTTCTGGTACGAATGGTTGGTTACCTGGCCAGGAAAAGTGAGCAGGTGGGTTGTGTGGAATGGAGCCAACAGATTGTATGCATAAAAAACAGCTTTACTCCCATTGAAGGTAATACACACAATGTATATGTAAAAGGTACATAATTTCGTTGTATGGATGGTTGCCATTGCCGTATTCATACAACACTCCAGCAGCGTATTTGGAATACACACCTGTAATTACGCACTGGTTGAAAGCACAAGTGAAAAATTTAGGTTTTTGAGAATTGGTATTAATGAAGCCAATCTCACTCCACCTATCTAAAACTACGTCCAACTCACAACCATTGTTCACATTTCTGTATTATGTGCAGTTCTATGCTCAAAAGTATTTAATTGTGCGATGAGGTACATACCCCAAACAATTAGTGGATAAATACGAAGATTCGAATTTGAAATAAAATAAAAGTGAGAAAAATGCTCATGAGTAAATGATCCATGCAAAGCAATTAAGGTCCGAGAGCTATAATTATTTATTCGATATTCGACTGCAAACTAAAAAACATGAACGTGAAAAAACTCGCAGGTCAGGGATGTTCACCAGAAGAAATCTGCTTTTCTTTCTGCTGTGCTGATAATTCTTCAGGCTCAACTCTTGTATTTCGTCGGATTAATCGTGCAACGAACTCTGATGCTCTATGAAAATAGTGTAATATTTATACACATATATCTGGATTTTGGCAACAACATGCACAATGATACCTTCCCAATATTGCTGCCATTGTATCAGAAACAGGTTGCCGCATGAAGCTGGGTGGATCACCACTTTTCCCTCCGGTGAAAATCCCACTCACTGCACGAATCATGGTTGAGCATGATGGTTTTACAAAAAAAATATTTTTTTGATCGTACATACGTAAAGATTTGAATCGGGATGCTGAGGACGGTACAACAACATTGGAAATAAGCCCCAATCCTTCTTCCTCCTCTATCCGGTGCTGTTTGAAATACATTTCCCGTTGAAGGGTGGTGGTATCGGTGAAAGTGGAGTTGCCATAAACCTCGGCCTCCTTGACCACGTCCACCTCGGAGTCGTCCATGCAATACCAGACGGGTTGCCTGTTTTTGAGCAACCTGACAAATAATGAAATTTTTTGGAGTCCTTCTTCCACGGGTTGCTCCGGCTTAATGCACTCTTTCCAAAAAAAGTTTCCATTTGCATCCAAGCCAATTAACGTGTACGAAAGTCCTATTGCGTCTGAAACGCGCTGAATATCTTGGGTGTCTCCACGATGCCTGGTTATAACTTTGGAGGACCGTTTGTACTGTTGTCGTAATTTCTCACTTTGAGCATGGCCCTTGGTCAATAGTCGTTTCTTCCATTTGCTGTAGTGGTAGTAATTTAGCTCGTCAACTTTTATCCTCATGGCTATGTCGTAGATTTGTGAGGCATAAATAAGCTTATGGAACAGAATCTCTGAGAGAAGGGACCACAGATCGTGGGTTTTCGTTGGTTGGTAAAAATAAGTTTTATGATCAAGGCTGAGGCAGAGTGCGGGTTGTTGTCGTAATTGTGGAAAGTTGTCTGGCCTGAAATTCAATCGAATTTGAATAAGAATGGATTCGCATGTAGCAGTAAAGTTTGAAGTCTACTACAGTCGAGTTAGTAGTGGACATGAACCGTATGCTAGTTTTGAATTGATGGTCCAACTCCTGATCGACTTGCACCACTTCGTACATAAATATTGGATATGTTCCAGATGCTGGAATTTTTGGGGGTCTGAAAAATTGCACGTTTATATTATTTGCATGCATTTAAGTTATTATATGATATTGCAAAACTTGCATAAATAAATGTTGTCAATATACCCAATTGGAAGTAGAAACTGATAAAACCAAGTTTCTGGAAGAGTTCCAGTTCTCAAGAAATGAAACACAAGGTCAGAATTTTGCTCCATTTTGATGTGTGAGCTATAAACAATTGCTGATCCGTTGTAGTCATTTGCATCAATAAGGACATAACGAAAGTGAAATGTCATTCCAGCAGCTCGTAGAAAAAATGGATGAGCTCCCTCAGTAGACCCCAAGAACCGATTTTTGAATTTTGAGAGTAATCCTGGTTTATCTAACGGTGGTACTTGAAACATGCTGTAACCGCAATAGTCTCCAATTTCAGTCACAAATTCCATCCAATTCGCTTCAATTTCAGACAAAGTTCGTGTTCGAATCGTGTCATGTTTTTTCTCAGAACCTGAGATAGCGTTGGACACGGCTCTGAACAGGCTTCCTTGATATTCTGAAGTTTCTACAACTGTAAATTTTTGACCTTCAATTTGAATCCGCTTTGTTATTGGCTTTAGTTTTCTAGAAATTATTATTTTTTAAAGTATCAAATTTTGCAACTTAGACTATGCATTACCAATTTACTGATCATTCTTACTCTAATTCTTTTCGAGAAGTCAATCGATCAAAGCTTGTGGGTTCGCTTGGAGTTATTTCAATTTCAGGATCAATTCCATATTCATCCCAAACTCCAGTTTGTGATGGTTTGAAAATATCTTCAAATCTTTCAAACTCTGGCATACCTTCCCAAGGCGCATTTGTTTCTTCAGCAGTTTGTTGTCCTTCCGCATAAAATGCGATTTCCCCTTGATCATGACTGTCAGATACTTCAATATTTAAGATTGAATGGTCCTCGTCTACGGTACGAGGCTGCTCTTGATCATTTGCTTCGTCGCTGTCTGCTACATTATCTTTGTCATTATTTATTATGAAATCAATGCCATCAAGGCTTTTTCTTAGTGAGGCAAATACATAGCAACACAAAAATTATTCTTAGTGAGGCAAATACATAGCAACACAAAAATTACTAAGTATGCAGTTGACCCTCCTCAAAAAAGTGACCACCGACGATATCTCAGTCACTTCTCAACCGATTTGGATGAAATTTTGCACCGATCATTCTTAGATAATTTCAAAACGACGTGCGAGTCGCCTTTTGGAATTTTTGTTTTTTGAGAGAGTTATTGGCAAAAATACGCAAAAATTTTCGCCTTAGTGAACATTTATTTTCATAGCTCATTAATGGGTCATCCAAACAGGTTCCCTTATTGAAAACATTGTAGACAAAGTCATTCCGGTTATTTTAAGTCCAAAATTATCCAAATCCGTTAGGAACTCAGAAAGTTTTTCAAATTTGAAATCTAAAAAATTGCAATTTTTGTGTGACCTTTATACCTGGCAACAAAAATTACATATTGTGTGCATTGACCCACCGCAAAAACTAACAGAAATAATTCAATATCTCAGTCATTTCTCAACCAATTTTGATGACATTTTACACCGATTATTCTTATCAAATATACAAATGACATTCAAACTGATTTGGTGAATTTATGATCTGGATGATAAAAATCGGTTAAGAACTCGAGATATTATTAAATTTAGAAAACCTTCAAATTTTTGCAGCGACGCAAAGAATTAATGTTGTTGACAATAAATCTTCTAATCAACTTTAGCTTTAAGGAATGAGTGGTGCTTATTATTAAATATATAAAGAACTCAATTACAAGTATTAAATAAACAAGGCCCCAAAAAAGGGAAATCTTAGTGAGGCTTGGTGTGACTACAACTAATCAATAAAATTAGATTGCAGAATTTTTGCATCACCGCTCTCTGTACCGTTCTTACTGGATCCAATATAAATTTTGTTTCGCATACACATGCATTTTTACATTTATTGAATTAATTTGGCTTTTGAGAAGACGTTTCTACCAGTGAATGAGAAGTTTGGTAAATTACCTGGAATAAATTTAATGGGTAACAATTGTGAACTACGAATCTTTAAGTTTAAGATGCAAACAGTTGCAAATATGCTACAAAAGTTGCAAGTATTTAATTTTAATATTTTCTGGATAATCCTATAATCTGGATATCCTATTAATTCTTATTCTCATGAAATTACAAGAATGTTTGAGGGGAGTCATTTATTCAATGATTACTTAATGTTTCCAGTAAAGTATGGTACTGAGAGCGGTGATGCAAAAATTCTGCAATCTAATTTTATTGATTAGTTGTAGTCACACCAAGCCTCACTAAGATTTCCCTTTTTTGGGGCCTTGTTTATTAATGCAGGTTTCCTACAATGATCTGGTTTTGGAATCAAATCTTGTATCCTATTGCTGTCATCGTCCAATATTTTTTGTACTGGATTATTATCTTCATTTGGTGTAATTCGAACGTGGTCTTCCCACTCCCCGTCATTGTCATCGTCAATAAAAATGAGGGACGCGTCTTCCTGTTTTTCATTATTATTCATCTTTGCCGGAAAATCTGAAAAATTTACGGCCTTAGGTGGGCCTGGGTTTGTGCTTTCGTCTTCCTCTTCAACGTACCGAATAGTAAAGTTAATCGACATGGTTTATGCAACTTGTTTGACTTTTATGTTTAATCAACCATTAAAAGTTACAAAATTAACCGTTTGAAAGTGACGATGATCGAGTTTGACACTGATGAAATTATAATTACGAATACTAATTCACAAAATGTAACTAAGGGGAAGTTAATGTGCTATGAGTTTCATAAATTCATTCATGCTTTTGCAGTATGTAATCGGCTAATTATTTAGAAAATCCAAGACAAAATGTTTAAAAAATCTAATGTGCAGACTTCATTTAGCCCGAGTCAGGGTTAGTCTTATTTTAAAAATTTTGTCCGATGACCTAATGGCTATACTAACATATGCATACGTACATATGTATGTGCATACCTTCATGCCAAATTTCAGGTTTCTGCGATAACTCGTAGATTTGTTACTAAATAGTTACCCCCAGCACTTAAATGAATCCCACCGATCCTACCCATCTTCGGGCTCATTCACGGCCTTATCCATGCAGATACGCATTTAAAGACTGTCTTATCAAAATCGGTTCAGTGATTCGTCCGCTAGCGTGTTACAGACGGACAGACGGACACAACGATTCTATAAGCCCTTTGGGCTACGGTTATAACATTGACTTTTATTTCCAGTATGCACGGGTAATTTTTTTTTTGCATACGGGGATTGAATTTATTGAGTAATTCACACGTACCATTATATGTATATCATTTACGTATTTGCTGTATGTAGCCGATTCATTGCACAACACATTACATAGTAAATGCAGAAATCCTACAACAGGTAGATACACGTGTAGGTTTCTTAAATGCCGATGTACATATCTGCACACTTGCAAAAGTTAATGATATAATTGGAAAAAAGTTAAAACTAATGATGCACGTTGAATGGGTACACAAAAAAACTTGTTGCTAAACTCTACATGCAGAAAGACAGTAATCACAAGATTTTGTAGCATTATGAGAACGGAGATACACAAGCTCCACACCAATGCAAGACTTGTGTAATTTACTTGGTCCGTGTCGTAAAGGATTGTCAGACAGAAACCAGGAAAAAGTTAGTGAAGAGACGAGAACAATTGAAGAAAGAGACAAAAGCCAGAAGTAAGTAAACTACATTTGCCTAAGATTCGTCCCCGTAAAGGTCTAACAAATGGTTACGCGTGACTCAATTCTAAACTTGTTAAAATTTTAACCCTTTCTTGGCATTTATGGTTTTGAGAAGTTTACGAGCTTCTTTCTGGTACGAGCTCTGGTCTACTTTAATCAGTTGCCCAAGAACTTCCGGAGGTGTCATCGCTTTTCACTCGTCTGCTTGAGATTCTAAATACATCGAATCATGTACGAACTTATTGAATATACAAATATTTGTTCTTATCATAGATCTACAAAATCACTTAAATATTAAATTTATTAACTGAACTTCATATTTTAGGTCGTGCCTTGTTTTTCCATTTTTCATAGCCGCATTGACGTTTAGCGGTGTTGTCAATGTTGTGAGTGTGTCAGTGGAGCAAGATTTATCCTTAAGTTTTACAGAAGGCCAAATTCTTGATAACGTAAGCAACAGTATTCCAGTGTGAAACATTAGTTATTTTCTATGTATTTCATAAGTTTGCAGCCAGGATGAAATCGAGATTGCCAGAATCTTATATGCAAGAACCCATTTATCTAATCCGATGGCTTCGAGGTATGCTTATTTTCTGTCAAAACACTTCATGGAATGAACCAGTGACATCGCATTTTTTCAATATAAAATGCTTTGTTTACTGTTGTAGCCAGAAATTTTAACATTGATGCTGCCGAGCGAATGCTTCTTAATGTAAGAAGTTATTCAATTATATCTAAATATATATGACAATTAATTTATACTATGCATAACATATGCATATTGTAACAAAAAATCTAAAATACTCGTATGTAGAATTTAAAGTGGCGAGAGGACATCAATATCAAAAATTTGGAAAATGAAGATTGGTCACACTTTGAGGAAGAATTTGCCTATTCCTTAGACATTTCGGACAAGCATGACAGACCAAGTAAGCCTGAAAGTGGAATAAATTTTGAAAAACTCGTAAAATCGTAATTGATCCAGAAATTGACTATATTGCCATGTATTGTTTACGTAGTCCTCACGATTGACAGTGGGAAATGGGATGTACGAAGTGCCGTTGTGAGTGGTCAGCGAGACAAGGTCAGGCAAATATACATATGCACTTCAACAAATTTCCCTGATTTAATCATCCAGTCCCAAGAATTCATTTGTTGTAGTCTTTCGTACATAATTTTCTTCTCGAACTTTATTTGTCTTCATTAATTGCAATTATTGATATATTTTTTATTCAACGAAACAACGCGTCAACAACAAAAAGACGCTTAGTTGTTGACTAGATGGAAAACCCCGATGTTGGTGTGTTGGGAAATCCACTACGTGGTTTGGATAGCACTCCGAGATTACCATTCATAAACTTACAACTTATAAGATTTTTTAGCATAATTCGACATAAATTTTCGAACATGAAACAATTACTTTAATCCTCGTGAATTGGGAACAGCTTCCAATGATTATTGATACTGTATTTCCACGCTGGATGACTAACAAACTGATCCTATAGCAAAATTTTGCCCCCATGATAGTCATTTCAGTATATGAATTTTATTCCACAGTTAGTTCGTTGGATGATAAAAATGATGGAAGATGCAACAAAGAGAGTTCGTGATTACCAGCAACAAGGGAAAAATGTGACTCGATGGGGGATGATCTATAACTTGGGTTATTTTAACCTCGTGCAAAGCGGATGCTTCCAATGTAAGTTCCGTGATAATGAACATGAACCTTATAATGCTTTAGAATACCATGATTCTAAATACATAATTACAAATATCAGGTCTTTCGGTTTATACGGATTTCGTATCTAATTACGAAGCACATTATCCAAATACTGTCGATAAAATCACGCTTGTCAACACACCGACTCTCTTTGAAGTCGTGCTCCGACTCATCCGACCAATTTTTTCTGAAGAAACCAAAAATCTTCTCTCCGTGTATGGAACCAATAAGCAAGAATGGCAGTACGCGCTTTTGAAAGAAATTCCAAAGAAAGAGTTGCCCTCCGAGTATGGTGGAACAAGGGTTAGAGACATTTTAGATGACAATTAACATGTACAAATGCTAACAGAAGGAAATACTGGGTTTATTTCTAATAAGTTATATCTTATATTTTGCGTTGTTCTGTAAAAAGCAAGAGGAAATGATTCATACACATGAGTGTAAATATGTAGATAATAAATCCGTCTCATATTGAATATTTAAGACAATTGTCGCTTCGTAACGTGTAACCTTAACCCTACAGGACAATAATCTGCATGTTTCCTGTCATGATGAGCCTTATTTTGCGAACATGGTATTTGCAATTGATTAAACTGGAGCTATTCTGCAGTTGGTTCGTGTCCATCAGTTCCGTACGATCTTCAAGCTAGCATTTCATAAATTTCCAATTATGCGAGATTTTTTGGCATTCCGCTATAGCTGCGTGGCAGCAATTTTCGTAATTCATTTTACCAGATCTTCCTGTCAATACATTAACGAGAACAAAACATCAATCGTCTCAGGAATATTTATGGAAAAGTTAAGAGATCCGTTGTTTTACGACTCCATTGTCCCAATGTGGTTCAAATTTAGATTGCCAAGATGGAATGAAACTGACTTGATACTGAATGAAACAAAATGCAACAACTCGGATTGGTTCAGAGGGAGCAGTTGTCCAACAACCGTGAGTAAAGATAACGGACAATAATGGTTTAAGATGATTTACTTCAAATTCGTGTATAAATATCCAAATTTTTAGTTTTATTTGCCCGAAGTTCAAAGAAGATTTTCGTCATATGCTTTAAATTCACAACCATCCCAAATGCAATCTATCTTCTCCACATCATCTTTACCAATTGATTCCAAGTTTAAATGCGGAGAAATTGAGGATCATTTCCAAAACGGACAAGTTGATGAGCAGACATTTCAAAATTACTTTTCCACCCTTCAAAATTGTTCAGCCTTAAAAGAGACAAACTTTCTGAGGACCATTAATGACTACACGTATGACATAAAAAACGTTTATTTAAATATGTGGAGTGGATTCCGAAAAGAAGTTTGGGCTAAACTCCCTGCTGATCGAATTGACGGTGGATTGTGGTCGAATCACTTGAACGCTCTCAATGCTCTCATCTACTTAAATTATCAAATGGAAATAAATCGCTGGAAATTCGCTGTGGAAGAATGTGCAAAAGGCCACATTCCAACTATTCTACACGCCAATGAATTTCAGGATATGTTGCAAGATGTCCACACAGCTTTAGAAAGCAGCACGTTCAAACCCGCAATACCACTGGGGAAGGGTATCTCCTATTATAACATAAAATTGACTAGCTGTATGTTTACTGAGACAGATTATGCGGTTCGAATCTTGCTTCCAGTGTCTGTCAGAGGTAATAAATAATATTTGTCTCTATTTATGTACATATTGGATTAATTTACCTGGTATGAAATTAATTTTTCTCTAATAATGCTCATGCATTTTATCCAGTCCAGAGAAATCTTAGCCTGATGGATATCAAGAGTGGAACCTTTTCCTTAAATGGCAGCCAAACTTGTCACTATTCGGAACTTATGTCTTCAAGGAACTCACCAGTCCTAGTTGACCACGATAACAGAATTGCGTACAATACTGACTGCGAGACTGGAAGACTGTGTCATATTGAATCTCAATTTTCTACCGAAAACATAAATATCTGTGCGTCTGCGGTTTTGCGTGATGAATTATCGGCAGCAGAATTTACAGCGTCGTGTCCTTTAACTTGTCGGAAAACTGCATCATTCTTAAATACAAATACGATTGTTACAAACTTAGGAAATGACAAGTTTCTTATTAGTGGAGAAGCAACGCCCAGTGGATCAGACTTTGTAATTATTAAATGTTTGGGGAAATCAGAGATATTCCTGGAACCAGTACCTCTGGGATCTCTCTTGGCAGAGATTCCCTGCGATTGTACGATTCATTCTAACGACTTAGGACACGCAGGGATAGCATCTTCACCTTGCTTATCTGAAGACGAGTTATCGTCCAATACTACAAATACGCAATCAATTTTGATAACCCATGTGATGCCACTTCATTGGATAAATCCAGAAATGATTCAAAATGTGACATTATCCGATGTAAATGAAATTATACAACTTAACTACGGCGATAATAACTATTTTAGTTGGTTATTTTATACAAAAATTGCTGTTCCTGAATTTAACGAAGATATCGGTACTTCAGATTTTAAGAATTCCAAAGAGAAGGAAGAAACACCAATAATTTCCTTCAGTTTACTCTGCATAATATTTTCCTTTTGTGCTCTAGTACCAACAGCACTAACACTTATGTTTGGTTACGAATTGAGAAAGTTGTCCGGAAAAATTAATTTATTACTACAATCATCATCATCATGTCCTAATATACCAATCCATGAATTTAAAACGACCAGCAACACCGTACATAACGACACGTACGAAGACGCGGAGTATGTTCCTATTTGTTGAGTAGTTTAATATTAACATTGATTTTGTTAATTTGAATTTCACCTGCACGTGAAATAATTAATTTAATTACTATTTGAAAATATATGTATACAGCCATGATATCAGATCAGTTTTTACGCATATGCAGAATTGCCATTGTCACCCTAAATTGGTATTCAACTCTGTCTTTGACTGGTCTTTCATGACTTATTTACCAGGAAGGGAGCTTTTTTATTATTTTAAACAGGAGTAATTTATTTACTACATTGTACTACCAACTAATCAAGAGGACAGGATATTTTCAAAGTATTTATACTGCATATTTAATATTTAATTCGGAGGTTATTCAACTAGGTAATTCAGTTAAAGACTATCAAAATAAAATGCATTTACATAGACATGAATACGCACTTGCTTATCAGAGTTTTATCATTTGGAGATCAGGTAGCGAGAAACTGCTGACTTTTAACAATCAGCAAGTGCAATTATCATTTAATGTATACGTTATTTAGCATTTTAAATAAATGACATTGAACTTTCGGATACATATAAACATTTACACTGCTTGATGACTCAATGACATTACGTTACGATATTTAAGCAAATATGATGAAAATATTAATATAATGCAGTTTTAAATATTAGCATAATGAAAATATTTTGCAAATACTTCATATTGCATATAACTCAACATTTCTGCACTTTCAAACACTTTTCATTCCTCTTTTCTTTGCTATGCAGAAATTGTGTAAATAATGATGCAATGTATAAACAACTGCAATCTTAAAAAAAGCGTTCACCGAGTTTATATCTTTCTCTACTGATCGCATGACGATTTTGTTTATAGACCAACAAATAGGTTTTTCAATATGTGAATTATGTTGCATTGTTCATGCAACGCATACCCACTCAAAAATCACATTTAACAACGTTTCGTACGACACATCCTTTCATGCCAGTAACTGACGTCAACATTCCTAAGTCCTCATATAACTTTTACAAATCAGGCAATAAATTTTATAAAAAATTGCAATTGCCATTCTATAACATGCGCTTATGAAGTTATGATACATCCCAGACTATTAGTTAGTTATCTTGTTGAGGTTTTATAACGTATCGCATAACGAATCAGGCAATGATTTCATAGCAGTGAATGCTTTCATCAGCATTTTCGGGATTCGGAGAAGTCTTTGTCGGATGAAAGCCAACCAAACCCATCCCAAAATATATCGACCTCTCCACGTCCCCCATGTCCCATAGCAACAGCCACCGAAGGTTTCATAGTACAAAATCCCACAACAAAATCCCAAGTACATTAACCCACCACTGCTGCTATACACATAAAATCCCTCGCAATATTCATGTATTGAATCTGCAAACGTTAAGCAATTACGAAAAAATATATTTTGTATATGTAGGAATCATAGAAAAACGTATAATATGGCTGATGAAGGTCCACCATTCCATAATCCTGCTACTTAATAGTCATGCATACATCTACCCCACCAAGCATCATTATCATCTGCCTTGTTCCCTCGTAAATTCATACACGCGTTCATCAAATGATGAGCATAATAATATTTGCACAATTGCAATAGGCATTTAAAGCATTGATGGCATTCCTATTAATATTGCACAATTATACATCAGCTGTTTAATGTTTAGTATACAACACTCGACATTCATAAAGAAGCCAAAATGCAAATATTTTTTGCAATGTAGCTCACCAACCAAGTAGTGAGGACAGAGGGGTAAAAAGTCATGCGATGTTATCCTCCCATCAACTGCTGGGTGATGCTTACGTTTACGTATGTACGTAGATATTGCTGTTGTTAAGGATGGATCGATGTTGAGCATCACAGCTGGGTTGTAGTAAGCACAATAAACAAAGGGAAAAGGGTTGGACCGTTTGGTTTTGAGAAGTGTGAAGCTCTCAGTCGCTCACTGCTAGTAAAACAACAACAAAGCCTTCTTACTTTTTTCCTTCAAAAATACTACTCTTTTAATCCCATAATTTCTGATAGCTGCACTTTGTAGCTGTTGTCAGATCTCGTCTCCAAACTCATCCAGAACCACACCGTTTCAAGAAAGGAAATCGACCACTCCCAATTCTTCAAGCCAACCAAAGGTTAGTCAAAAGCTCGAGTCAAAAATTGTACACTTTTCCTAGCTTGTAGTGCATATTTATTAAGGGAGGGACCACCCTCTAAAGTTGGAAATATTTGGCTCCAAGTGTAGAATTTCCATTTACACACAAAAGCCACGAATAGTTCAACTTTTTGTAGTAAGAAGTTATGGAAAAATGTCAATATATTGGTTATAAAAAGACGAATTTTTAACCAGGTCATAAAAAATGTCGATACCTTTGATTAGTATAATTGGAAAAGTTTCATCACTACCAATTCTTATTTCTCGGGCTACATGGCAAGTTGAGACAAATTCAATATCGATTTATTTATTGCACAGAGTTGGAGACATTATTACAATTGAGGGTTTTTGCAGTGGTGATGTATATTATTACGTACACATATTCGTTGTCAAACAAATAGGAATGAATGAACATATTTAGGAGCAATATATATTTTTTTGTCCTTAGCAATTTGCTCTGGCCTAGTCGAAGCTGAGGGGTTTGTTGTATTTTCCTTGAAGTTTAAATGTCATTACATGTATTTCGAGTTGTGCTTGTTTGGAGTTCATGCAATTCGCGAATCTTGATGATAGCTAGCTCACTCCATTATTCAGCATTGCATGCCCAGAGTGCGAGTCTGCTGCTCATCTGCAATTCACTTTTGCTGTCCATGAAGCTATTTTATTACACAGTTTGCATCATATTCTTGCACATAGCTGGTCTTGTCTACTAGGAAGTCCAGCCATTAATTGCGTTATCCATACCATATACTGGTTTCAACATAGCACAATTAATACATAAGTTTCCATAAAAAGTGCAGCACATTTATTACTATAAGGTAATAAATAAGTTGAGACTCTTCAAGTAGACGAATATTCTAAATTGCCAAATAGATGCATTGTTTTATATTTTCTGTATTTGCACAAATTCAAGTCAAACCACTACCTTCATAAATATACAGACGTGTATGTCACTTCATATGCATTTTATGTTGACCTGCGACAAGTCACGGGACAGACAGGAAGATGAAAACGTTAGACAAGGCACACGCCATGATCCTGTTTGTTGATTCCACAAACTAATGGAATTGAAAATATTATGACTAATCTTAAATCCGACGTAATTTGCAAACAACAACCAAAAGCAATTCCATATTCCATCCAAATGTGTGGAAACTTATAACATTCCTATTTGTTGTGACGCGATTGACTGCATGATGTAATGTTTGTGAGCATTTTTTTTACTCCTTTACTGAATCCATCCCATCGCATAGACTCAAATTGATTGGCATCGCAATTACTATAACCTAACCAATAATACCCTCAACTGAAACTTGGCCAGCGATGGCTATACTACTAATAATAAAGTGTTTAAATCAAAATGCACTCCCTTATAGTTCGTAACGCAATACAATAGCGAAATGACGCTACCAACAACCTGCCACAAAAACACGCAGTTCTGATCTGTATGTTCGATTAGAAATTTACCATTTACCTTGGTAGAGACTAAAGATCTGTCATATGTACATACGTGCTGAACAGTGTGGTTGTGCACTATAGAGACACGTATGCATATCAAACAAGGGATTCGTCAGCATACCTTATTACATAACTGGAGTTAGCGTCGTGTAAATAGTGGAAAAATCGAGTCTTTCTTTCTTTGGGGAAGACTCGACCTTGTATCATTTGTTGAGCAGTATCATCGTAATTCTTATACGTAAATAGTGTTCGTGTAATCCGTGCTCAAACCCTACTATAACACGAAACTCTTGTGCTTTTTACTTATTTACTAAACATTTAAAGGTACATATGCATATGTACATACATCTAAATGGAAGTGAGTATGTATGTATGTATAACAGGTTCACTCTTGAATTGAGACAAACTCGTAGGAAAACACGCATTATTTCTTACTGCAGTAATCTACGTTTCAATGTTCATTATTAAAACGTAGATTATTTTCTTCACAAATTAGCAACAGTTCAATTTTACTAGAATTGGTACAATTTGCATATTAGAGTACGACATACATTTCCTTTCAAGACGATCTTTTAAAAATGAAACGTAACTAAATACATATGAAAGTGCGTGCCAAAGACGGCTGCACTGATAATCTTTATGTATCTGCACATTAAGCCAGTTACATATTGTGTGAATTATGCTTGGGGTTTTATTGTACGCACCTTAAATATATTGAAATTTTATACTTGTTTGAACGCATTCATGCGATATTTCCTGTTTTTATCGAACGCAACTTGTGGTAATTACGGTGTATATGACCCACGACTCACGAGTTATTAATTAAATATGAATTTTTCGTCATATAGATTTATTTTTTTAGAGATCTGCTTCTAACCTAGTTTTACAGTTGAGTCTTTATCGTATTAATTTTTGCCTCGTTATGGAAAAGAAATCAGCACCAGCTGAACAGACCTAAATCTTATTATACACATGAGTATGTAACGTTATATTCCAGCATTCAAAATATTTAAAAGCAGCCAAACCATAATTATTCCTGTTCACTGCGTGACATGAAAGTGCGTTGTACCACAGAATGAACAATTAGTATATTGTTGTACAGTCATACAAATACAGTCATATGAAATATTGTTGGACTAAATTAAGTAAGGTTGCTTATTGCTTGCGCAGTTTAACAGTTCATCCTTTGTTGTCGTGGTGGTTTGTATGAGAGGATGTTTGCCAGTGGAGTTGCACGTGCATTTTCTTCTCATGTGTGCTAAATTCATTCCGTTTTAAGAATACGATGCATTTTATGCAGACTATAACATACATCTCTCTTTTCTGAAATGAAGGATCAGAAGAAATCCATAATGCTGAGAATGGCACCTAAATACAAAATTTTGTGCTGGCCTTTCAATTTTGGATGAAAGACATCCTTGAGTGGCATAATATACGTACAAATAAACACATGTGTATGGCGTATTGTTGTGGATTTTGGATTCACAGATAGTTTTATATTAGTGACGGAGGACATCACGTGCTGAAAGTACATTTATTTGAGTTACGAGTTTACTTAATGACTTTGTGCACTGTACTCATGCATAATGCCACTCAGCAGTACTTGCTGTTTCACAATAAGTAATATTCGTTTGAATGCTATGAAAAATGATTCGCTGTGCAAGTGAAGAATTCTTTCAGGATGAGAAGCATTTTTATACAAATACTCGCACAGGTGACCTTTTACTCACTTATCCTCAGCCCAACACAATGTTTGACATTACAGAACACACACAGAAGTCAGTGGCTCTCATTATTTTTTTTCAATTGTCAACTGCGTGGAATCATTTTTCCAAGTTATACCTGAGAATGCGACTATGCAGCTATGATGAAAATAATTAACGATGCTTTATATGTATAAGATCTCATGAAGCTGTAAAATTCATACTTAAAACATGTCTCAACTTGCCTCCACATTCGTAGCAACGCAAAACTTGATAGTAAAATGGCACAAGATCTATTTCGCATATGGCGGATGTTGATGATGTCATTTCATTAATGTAATCGTTTGTTTTGTCACTTTGCAGCGAACTATGTCCACTGAAATGATGGCTAAAGACGACCAATTCATTATCATCCCTAAGCGTGCGTGGAAAGTGCCCACGTGGAAGCCTGAGCCTTCTCCAACGGTTCGAAAGGAGAAGGAGCCAAGCTTTGTGGACATTATGAACGAACAACTTCAAGAGAGAGTTGAGGTACAACGATGGTCATTAAATATGTAGTTGATGTGGGTAGGGTTATTTTGCTAATTTATGAATTTCCTGAAGGAGGAAGAGTTTGAAAACTACGTTCGCCAGGAGTACGTCACGATGTCAAACGACTTTGTGAACCTGAAATCGGATCAAGAATATTCTATCATGCTCAAAAGTTGTCTTGACCAAGAACTCAATCTCCGTAAGTTGTTTTAGGCTTGAGATGGCCGATTTCCACAATGTTGTCTAGCTAAAAAATAAAATACATGTATGTCACAAATAAATGTACTAATGAATGAATATGAAAATTGAATGACTGAGATTGACTTGTATGCTATACAAATTATCGCAATGTTTGCAAATAATAATCAATAAAATAATGTCATCGTGGATGAATGTAGACGTGCTGGAGTTGGACGACGAAGAGGAAGACGACTCTGAGGAGGAAGTGGACTATCAAGACGACTCAGCGCTTATAGAATCTACGTATTTTAGTAAAATCAATGAACATTTTACCAAACATTCGCACTCTTCAACAAAATGCCAAGAAACCAAGCAGAAGCAACGTGTTCGTGGCAGAACAAAGTCTCAATCCCAATCTGATATTGACTCTGACACAAGAATAACCCTCTACAAATTTATGAAAAAATCCGTTCTAAACGGAACACATTACGGCATTGTCAACAAGGGAAAAAAGTCGCTTATCCTCCATGCAAATGGGGGAATGTAAGTGTATATATGCGCATGTACACATGCATGCAATTCACACAGCACGTAAAACGTATTAATAATATTTCTAGAAAAAAGTCAGAGAAGGGAGAATCTGTCCATCTCCCGAAAGAGTGCGCCATCAAAGTGTTCAAACCTTTACCCATTTCCCATGCGGATGACGAGTCGCGACCCGCAAGTGCGGCCGTCTGGGCGCACCGAGAATTTCAGGTCTTTTTAATCAATATTTAATTAATTTTCTCGTCAAATTATTCTTTATTTGACGCTAAGCTTGCTATGCTGGTGGTAACTTTGCTAATAATCAAAATTCAATTTCAGAACTTGAAGCGCTTAGAGCGGGCGGGTATTCCCTCGCCAAAGGCAGCTTTCGTCAAGAAGGCTGTCCTCGTGATGGAATTTCTCGGCAAGGACGGAAAGTCGGCCTGGAAACTTCGAGACTATCCCTTCACCAATGAGGCTACAATCAAGCTGGCCTATGAACAAGTGATACGCGTAAGTTGTAGCAGGATAAATGAATTATGCTATGTACACATTACTTATATGTTCGTATGCCTCAATTGATTAACTGATAGAACATGAAAATAATGTACAAATCTTGCCATCTCATACACTCGGACCTGACCGAAAAAAGCATCCTCTTCTACGTATGTTGAATAATAGTAATAATAATGACTACTCGTTGCGTTATTTTAATTAATTATGTTAATTAGAATAATCAATGCTACTTCACGGACCTTGCTCACGCTCTGGAAGCCACTGAGCGGTCCGGAAACGCAGATAGGTATGCTGATGCATTCCTATACCGGAACTGCCGAAACATTGTGGACGTGCGTAGAAACACATATTTTATACATATTTCTTGCATTACTTACTGCATGCATATTAACGATTCTGACTATAAATATTGTTGTACAGTTCTTTCAAAAGAGAGGCTTGCAAGGGATCTTCACCCAGGACGCGCTCTTCAAAGAGGTCACAGGGTTTGAGTACCCTGGAGTCGCAATGGATGCCGAAGGAGCAATGCAGAAGTAATGACAATTTTGCATTCGTCCCCCTGCAAGAACAGCGAACCTGGCCGAGTTGAGAGAAAATAATAATGCTAGTAATAAACCGTTGACGACCGACAACACACACCATTAAATATAAGTTATTATTGCTATAAAATAGTATAGAATAGATAAAATTAAGTAATGCCGACTACACCTTATATATGTAACCACATATAGTGTATCCCATTGTATTATTTTATTGTGAGACTTTGGAACTGTCCAGCAATCTGACCATACACACAATCCACACCAAATGCAATATCAAAAATGAAAATGTAATCATGTATGTACAACTGAATGTTTCTTCAAATCGTAGAGTGAAAGTTGTCCATTTTTATCGCAAATCCTCCTCCATTGTTTGAATTTGTTATGTTTGTCGTTCTAACTTATAAGTGCATAGCCGGTTAAAGAAAGCTTAGTTAGAATAATTTACTCTAAGCTTGTAGGATAAACAGTCGCAATCGCAAAACTAATAAGTACATTGACCATTATCATCGTCACACATTGTCGAGAATTAATATTCCATTCAACAACCAGTGTAAATTATGTGTAATAATAAACCACATATACTGCCAACTTGAAATTGATACAATAATAAAAACAAATGTTGAATTGGCAAATCCAAGAGAGAGTAATTGACGCACTTCTTATTTGTTTGTGAGGTTTTTTAGATACATTTTATTATGCACGATTTACGGAAGTACGTAACACATCAGTGTACACAATCTGATATAACTAAATAATACTAAAACCTTACTAGATATCATAAAAATAACAAATAAAGCCAGTAAGAAACTGTAAACATACTTAATTTCACCCTTGATCCGAAAGATTACGAATATCATCATCATTGTAAATTATTCTTCGTTCATACACACAGTACACAAATGACGTTTAATTTCGCCAAATACGTTAACAAAGAATTTATAATTATATTATTTTTGAATCCTGAAAATAACGATGTTTCCCAGTAGCATTATTTAACCAGCGGTCTATTTTTTCTATCATCTTCGCACGACCTATCTTTGTACTTCTTGACCTCATTCATATAAGATTGCCAAGCGGTGGTTCCTTTACCCTGAAATTTTCATAACAAGCCACAAATTATCAGATTGCGCAATTAACCATGTAACATGTAATTATACACGACTCACTTCAGTTGGACTCTCAGGACGCTGTTTTTTAACAACTCCAGTCGGCAAAGCTCTTCCACCCTTTCTCTTACCGACCTATAAACAGCTCTGAATCTAAGATTGAGTTGCTTCAGGTACATAATGGATATTTCACAAATCATTGTCAATTCGACAATGCTCAGACTCAACCATTGTGAAAAACTAGTAATAATGATACATCGTGTTGACATTTATAAAGGAAGGCAAGTTCGAGGTTTACCATGATAGGCACAGATTTTCTTGGTGGTACTGGATCCTTTGGCTGATTCTCGGCAGGTTGACCAGCGCTATGTCGCTCCTCTTCTTCTTCTGGTTTATCAAGCTTTCCCTTCGTCTTAAACTCTGGTTGCTCCTTGTGTTGCGGCTTTGGTTGTGACGATGATTTGCTGTGTTGGTCCCTCTCAGTAGTCCCACGCGTCGGTGATGACAACGCTGTTGTACTCGTTGATGGTGGTGGTACTGGGACGGGGAGTGGTGGTGCTGGAACTGGTACTGGAGCCACGAATGCAGTTGGATGGGGAATTTGGTGATAATATCCTACTCCTCCCATTGCCTGACTATGTTGTTGTTGCTGAAGTTGGGCATACGCAGCATAACCCTGCATATTGCTTTGATTGAAGGAATTATTGGCAGTATTAATCGAATCTGTAGCAGCAGAAAGAGGATGGAACTGCTGATAGGGGTTGAAGCTGGTAGCATAGGCCTGGGATATCATCTGTTGCTGGTTGGGCTGCCCATAAGGCAGAAACTGATATTTTGAATAATCAGCCTGCTGATGTTGTTGCGTGGGTGGTGCGGCTGAAAATTGTGGAGGTGGTTGCTGATAATAGGCGTTTGCTGCTGACGGATGGGTATAGCCGTACTGTTGTTGTTGCGGCTGGGGGTTTCCTCTGGTAGGATAACCTTCTGCGCCAGATGAGTAAGACGGTTGTTGTTGTTGTTGGTACATCATGGAATTGTAGTTTTGCTGCTGATTATTGTGGCCAGCGGACGGAGGTTGTCGCGGTCTTCCTCCTCCCCCTCCCCCAGAGTTATTGTTCCCTGCGTGGTTATAGTACGACATTTTTTTTACTATACTAGACGTCACGCCTAATTCACCACAACTGGAATATAAACAAGATGGGATAAGATATATATTGCACAAATGAAATGAGACGAATCATGAATGCTCCGATTTAAAATATAAAATAAAATATCAGAATAATTATGTGCAATTGACTATACATTACCCGATTGTTACATTAAATAATTAAATAAAACTTGAATTTCACATTCTCTTCGTGTAAATCGTGTTCCAGAACAGCACAGTGCAAGTTGTACTATTCAACTTACCTGCTTATATAGAAGTCGTCGAAGATAGTTTTCCTTATCGAATCTTGTCCGCTCCGTTACGGTAAAGCTTGATAACTATATCCTAACTTGTCATTTGTACTCGTATAATTTCAATTTGTTGAAAATTTGATTTCTTCACACTTCCACAAACAAAACGAGAGCGAACAACTTCCAGCTTCTGTGAAAAACATACTTTTGAACTTGGAGCTCTGTTGAAATGTTAAGACGAATACTCTATGCTCACTCTAATTGATGTTACTAAAAATACGAAAAACGTTTCATGAATGTCATGTCATGAAATTGAATTCCAATTATTTCGCAACTTTAGTTAAAATCGTTTCTTTTTATTTCGAAAGTAAAAATTACGTCCGCATTCTACAAGTTTAAAAATTGTCTAACACATTATATTCCAAGATTCTAGTACTGCAAGAAATTGAAGCATTAACCTAAGCAATATATGAATTTAGAGTTTGTATTTTTTTCAGTATTTATTGGTCAGTGTCTATCCACTACTTGATAGACGATGCTGATGCAAGTTTTCATCAGAGTTGTGCATTTTTGGAGGATGTTCCAACACAGTATCAATCAGACCAAACAATTTCGCTTCAATTGGGTTCATGAACTTGTCGCGTTCCATGTTGGCTTCTGAATAATAAAGAAATCGAGCACAATGAGCTAGTAAAAATAAGCGTGTACATGTAAGTAGTTTAAAATTTTTTATCTTACCAATATAGGTAAGATCTTGACCAGTATGTTTGACATAGATGCTATTAATTTGCTTCTTCATCTTTAAAATCTCTTCGGCTTGAATTTGAATATCAGTTGCTTGTCCTTGAGCCCCTCCTGAAGGTTGATGGATCATAATTCGAGCGTTAGGTAAGGAATGTCTCATTCCCGGAGTGCCTGCGTTAAATATAATAAAGTTTAGATCTAAAAGTTTTTACAAATAATTAACAAAACTAAATATAATAAACCTGCTGCCAACAAAAGTGATGCCATCGAACATGCTGTAATTTATAATGATTGATTTACCCACAATTTGTTACATGATTGTTAATTAATGCAGTTTATGTTTACCCTGACCAACACACCAAGTAGAAACAGGTGGCAATACGTACTGCATGGTGTCATAAATTCCGAGTCCCGCTGTCACCACACCCCCGGGACTGTTAATATATATGTGTATAGGTTTTTTGGAACTCTCAGCCTGCAGAAAGAGTAACTGAGCAATCACAAGTGACGCCATTTGATCATTGACCTGAAAATTGAACATAAGCAGCATTGGATTTTAAATTCATCTATTTTGTATCTCTTCACACCCCAAAAATAACGGATACAAATTACTTACAGGGCCCATCAGACAAATGATACGGTCCTTAAGTAACCTTGAGTAGATATCATACGCCCTTTCCCCACGACCAGTTTGCTCGACAACTTTGGAAAATACAATAAATTTAACAGATAGTACGTGTCAGTCATCAAGGTGTTTTTATATATCCCTAATATTACCTATTGGTATCGTGTTGTATTGTCGAGTATGGCTACTCAGTAGAGCTGTCAGCGAAGCTGGAAGATCCAACTTATTCTTGAAGTGATGTGAAATTGTCGGATTGTTCTGCTCGAGATAAAAAATTATTCCAAATTAGATCAATACATATAATATGTTGCACATCAATTCAATTCAAATTAATTAATTTATCATGGTAGTACAAGCAAACAGTTGTGAGGACCAACCTGATGATACGACAATGGCATGTACGATTTAGCCGCTGTCAAAGTGGAAATTCGTCGCGACGGGGTTAACAAACCAGCATACTTTGATAAGATTGCAGCAGTCTTCATCATTGGTGTTTCTAAAAGTGAATTAACTTGCAAACTGCAGATGGAAATTGAATTGTTAAAATTTGTAATACTTACTTGTTTATTAATCTTTACAGTTAAATGGTGGATAATCCACTTCCAGTGTTAACCAAATTTAGTAAGCAGTAATTGAGTGATAAGAAATAATCTGGTCACTTGCTGCTACGCTGCTCAGACGAAAAAAAAAGAAAGTTTCTCGTGTCAACATCGGCTGCTTCCCGGGTCACTCAGCAGCTTTCTGTCTACCCCCAAAATCTCATGAAAATATACCAACGCGCATGCAATTTTCAATTGGATTTTGCCTCATAATGTTTATGAAAAATTAATAATAGTACATTTAGATTTAGTTTTTGGTTCAGAAGTATGTTTTTTATTATGACTGTGTATTTCCGTTTCACACTACAATTCGATGGAACTAAACTATTCCTAGAGAATTTATTATTTCATATTATATCATATTTCACATTAATTATCTTACGATGATAGTATAAAAATGTTCAAAATAAAGCTAAAAAGATCTGATAATCTATTTTCTGAGCTACATGTGGTCCATTACTGTATGGTTACAGGTATTAAAATTGTTAATACACCCTGAGAAATCGAATTAACTATTTCTAAGAATACTAATTTATTTGCGAGTATCAATCAATGACATAACATTAATTAATTAATTAATACGTACGGAATGTCGGATTAAGTTATTAAAATATGGAAAATGTGAATGAGAATGATATTCACCGTTCGGAATTTATAATAATTTGTATTGCAATAGACACAACCAAAATAAATAATTGGTAGAATTACGTGTTAAATGCGCGAGATGTTTTACTGTCATTAGTATCATAATACAGGTTTTTGTGCTATATCTATTTACTTACTGCGGTCATCCAGTACAAAAATTATCAGACAGTGCGTAAAAAATGCTTCCATCCAGTTTAAATAGTGACATTTAAAAAAGAAAAAAAAATCCGTCGTTGGTGCTAAATCTAACATGCATGACATTTGACTATCAGAGAACCTTGGACCACACTCCAGTCTACATTTAAATCACCGATATTTCCAATAAGTCTTCGAGGTTTCAAGTGATGGCTGCGCTATATATTTGATACGACGATATACTTCAAGACTTCATGATGGCGATGATTGATTGTTGTTTCGAGAATCGTTGATATATTTTCCCTTAAACTCCCAACATCCAACGCCATAATCCCTGAAGTAAGGACAAATAAAAAACCAAATCAGAGTAAAAGTAAAACAAAACAATCCATAATGGAAGAACGCGCAACAAGCCAAACGTCATGCACTTTTAATGTAAGACAAGCGAATTCTTTGTGAGTTAATTATCTAACACTTTGGTTGAAAATAATTGTTTTCAAAATAAAGTAAAATGACGAGAAACAATTTATAAAACAGAACAAAACGATTGTAAAGAAATCTGAACAAAAGTAAATTACAAATTATTTAAAATTTAAATGATAATTTCGTCAATAAGGTAGTTCGAATCCAGTCATCAGATCTTCATTACTCCGATATGCCATTTTGTTGTTGAACTTTCTGTTTGCATATAATCTTGGACTACTTGGAAATCGGCTATTAGAATATTCGTTTTGACTATGAAATAGATTTTTATAAGCAATCAAAGCTTCTTCGTCAAACTTCCACATGCTGCATGTTAAAAAGAGAAGGAACCCAAATCGTCGTATAGTGAAACATTATTAATTAGTATTTTGCCAAGATGATAGAAATATAGTACATGTAGAATAAATAGGTGAGAACATACCTGACAAGGCCGTTTGTGACACCATTATTGCTATTTGAAGTACTACCTCCGGCAGTGAAAACGAGACGACTATTGACACATAGGCTCTCAACTGAAAAGTTCCCAGACGGTTGTTGGCAATTTTGACCTCCGTTGCTGACGTCCATTTTTATCACTTCCTTAAGATCCTTATCCCAAATTTTAACACTTCCATCCCTGCTAGAACTTAAAATGTAATCCAAAGAACTATCAGGAAGATTGGAGATTCCAGTAATCCATCCCGCGTGAGCATTTGAGCTACAGCATATCATTTTAGACTCTGCCATGTCCCATCGTTTAATACAAGTATCACGCGATCCGGAATAGACTTCAGAACCCTTGATTAAGAGAGCTTCAATGCCGTCGTAGTGTGGAGGATTCAAGTTTTTACGAGGTTGAACACTCTCAACTGACTGGTCGGGTTTGATAAGGTACAACTAAATAAGAACATAATTTATATTTCACCTAAAATCACAGATAAGTGGCTCGGACGAATTTTAACGATAAATACCTTGACATAGTGATCTTTAGACCCAGATACAATAATATCACAAACATCTCCATTGATTTGAACATTTTCTGACGCAGCGAGACACATAATATTTGACGAGTGTTTCCCAGCCAGCATTCCAATAGAACTATTTAGCTGTCTTCTATCCCACACTCTAATTCTATTATCGAATGTCGTATATAAATAATTCCTCAATACTGCTATAGATTGAATTTGATGTTCCCCTTGCGGAAGGAGTCTCGAGTCAAAAGATATCTTATCAACCGCTGAACCACTAGACCTAAATCATAGGGCAATATTAATTATATATTGCATACCGCGGAATTATAATACATAGTATATACACACATACGTTAAAGTTTTTTGGCATGTTCCACTCCTAATGTCCCATAACTTGACAACATAGCTTGATGCGGTAAGAAGAGTCTCTTCGCTCTCTAGAAACTTTACGTATTGGACGTTATTCGGATGTCCAGAGTAAGTAGCTAGTTCAACCCCACTTTGTAAGTCGAATTCCTTTGCTGTGCTATCTACAATTCAAACAATGACAAACATTAAATATGTAACGTTATATGCAAAGGATTGAGAATGGTTCGAATAATAGAAGACACAAGTATTGTTGCTCTGACTTGTACCTTTGGATCCAGTAAATAGTTTACTATCTGTTGCTTGCATGCTAATCACAGGTTTTGTGTGACCTTCAGCGGTGTGAGTGAGGCTAAGTACCTATAACACACCAAGCCATGAGTTTTTTGCAAACCTGAATGAAATAATGGAATTCTATTAAGTAAATTTCTTACTCTATCTTTAACACCGTTTGAAACACGACGAATTATTCCTTTGCTATCAACGTTTAGCAGGTGGTTAGTGTTATTATCGCAAATATTTATATCAGCAGGACTGTTAGTAAATTTGGCGAGGGAGGAGGAAGAAGGGGCTGGAGCTGGAGGAGATTTTTCTCTGTTAATATAATTAATATAATTAATTAAATCACATTCCATCAGCACAGATTTCAGTGGTCATATAAGAGTTAATGCAAGTATGTATAAGTAATATGCAATCGCATTACATAAGAAAAGTAGTATTAAAAACATCAGCATGATTCCCATTTCTGTTAGTTTCGGAGCGTAATTTTTCTGGAGGATCTACGTGGAACTTTTTATCGGCAACGTTATATGTGTCTTGGCGTTGCAGTTGTGGCCTGGAAAAAGACAAATACTGGTTAATATTGTAACCCATAGAATAAATAGTGTTAAGATATGTCAACTAATGTTATTGCCTTCGTTTATTAACAGTTGGAATTCTCAAAGACTGTGTTTGTCGGGTTCCTCGAAGAAATCCTAGCTTTACGTCGTTTGGGTTCAAAAATTCTGACTTGTTAACCGAGACATTTTCCAAGCTGCCAAGTAACTCTTGAGGGGTGGAAGTCAGACGTCGAGCTTTTCTTAATTTGCTCATGTTAGAAGAAGATGATTCTCCAGTATTATTTTGGCATTGAAATTCAATGATGGCGGTAGGTGGGGGAAGTTCCGGAATGTCATCGTCATCTTCATTACTTCGTGATGCATGAAGACGATTAATCATATGGTGTAAAAGGTCGCGAAGGGAGGCAATTTCCTTGATTTGCTGTATATAAAATTAAACTTTTGTCTAACAAAACATATAAATTAACTGCGAATAATAAGCACAAGTACTGAACGTCACTAATGCACATCACACGTGCAAAGCATTACCTGCTTTCCATTTTCTTCTAGATCGTCTACTCTCCTCTCTGATCTATTTAAATGAATAAATGAAGCAGATTTAGTTTGACTCGTACATTATTACGCATAAGGCAATTCCCTACCTTTCCAAATCAGTGAGATTCATTAAATTCATTTCAAACATCTTTTTAAACATGTATTGCATCTCGTCCCCGTCAAATTCGGATCCATCAACGTCTATGATTCCAGCAGACATTTCTGCAATTTGATTTTGTATTTCACTAATTCGCTCCTCGAGGAAGTTGAGATTTCCTTTAACACTCTCAATGTCGTCCTCAATCATTTCATCCTTCATAATTATGTTTTCTAAGTCTGCTAATCTAATACGGGTATGTGTTCTCTCCTCAATCAAGTTGAGCATCTCCTTTTCCAACGTAAAGACCGTTGTTTTAATTGTAACTGACTTTCTAATTTCGTGTTGCAAGCTACTCCATTTCGATTTGGCTTTTTGGGGCGAACCAGCGGTACCTGGTCGACTGGGTTTTCCCTGGGCCTTTCTGCTCATTTGCAATTTATTAATGCGTTTCAAAGAGTTGACTTCTTCCAATTTTCGTTTCAATACTTGATCTTTCATTATCTTTTCATTTTCTAGTGTTTTCAGCTTGATATCCTTCACTCGTTGAGCTTTCTTTAGCGACATTATTTCCTTTTGCCTTTTCAATTCGATGTCTCGGAATCTTGCAGTCTCGACTTTAGCTTGCTTTAATAGTTTCACTTTTGTTTGTTTCAAATTGTCAACTTCAGAACGTAGCTTGTCCAATTGTCTGGTACTACTTGCCTGATTCTTTAGTGCTACGGCATGTTCTTTTTGCAGGTTTTGCCATTTTTTAATTTCGGATTGCATATTGGATAGCTTCTTTTCATAATCTGCATTATTATTAGATTCATAATTAATTCAAAGCAGTCTGCATTCATAAAACAATAATTTGTAGATAAAAATAGCAAGGTGGTTTGGAGGTGATTATGTACAATATTTCTGATATTCTGATCTAGCAAAATCTGCATTACTTAAAACAATAATTTGTTTTAAAAAAATTCGGTTTCCTTTGATGCTTGATTTGTCTCAAAGCGTCATCAAAGCGTAATCGTGTGAATACTGTTCAATCATCTCCAAACCACAAATCTCCATCGATGATCCAATCATAAAAAACCATACCTGCATTCACTTGGGCAGATCTCTTCCCACTGGTAAGAGTACCCAACACTTTGTCTCTCTCCTGCTCAGTTGCCTTCATTTTCATAAACAGACAGTCGAGTTTCTCCTCATAGTGGCGCTTCATATTTTCCATGTGTTTTTGACTTCTTTCTAACTCTTCGATCAAACGTTCCTTTAAAAAATATGATTTTGATTAACCATCGTTTGTTAGTTAATCTAATGCAATGTAATTTTTGATACAAATATTAAAAAATTGTACCTTGACACTAATTTCAGATGATAGCTGAACTATTTCTTCCATTTTTTCTTGTTCCTCGGAATCACTCTCGCTATCTCCACTCTCATCACGACAATCTCGTTCCTTGGATGATAGTTGCTCCAACTTCTTTTTATCATTTTCAATATCAGCACGAGCGTCTTCTAAAATATCTGAATTTGGAACAGGGATAACAGGATCCATGAAAAGCCTCCGTGGACTAGATAAACTTGTATTTAGCTGACGTTGCTTTGATCGTAATTTCTGGCACTCTTGTTCGGCCTCGTATAATTTAGTTCTTAAATCTTCTATCTCCATGATATATTTTTGAATCATATTAGTTAAATCACAATCTGCACTTGCGCTACCGGATATTTCTCCAAGAACTTCTTCAGTCCTCTGGCTGGCGATTGTTGATGTTAATTTGTCAATTGATTCTTGTTTCGACTTTAAACGAGACTTTAATGATTCCACTTCCGCCAGTAACAGCATGTTTTCTTGATACGTGTCTTTAAACTCCAATGTATCACTACCAAGAAGCTTTCCCTGGACAAGCAAGATGAGAATTATTTAACTTTTTATTTAAATTACTATTCCGTCTGAAGAATAATTCAATTAATCAGTACCTGTTTGTATTCTAACAATTCAGTTTCTAGATGTTCAATTTGCCTTCGCAGACTTGCAATAGTTCTGGAGCTCTTGTCCTGGTTGATCTGGACACGATTCTTGATATTTCGTGCCCGGTTGGCATACTTTAGTGTATTTAAGGTTTCCACAAAATCACGATCCGATGGACTAACACATGCAATCATAACCGTACGCGAATTTCCACCTAATGAATCTTGCAAGAGGCGCGTGAGTTTGCTGTCTCGATATGGAACATGACCGGCTTTTCGATTTTTATCACCAAGTGCACTTATCACATTACCTTTAAAAAAAATTAATAAGGCGCATTTTACTTTCATTTTGTCGGTGACATCTCTTTGTTCAAATGAAAAATAAAGCTACCAACCTAATGCCAACAAGCCACAGTTAATAGAAATTCCTTCTTTTTGGCGATCTCCTGTAGCCAATGTTCGTTTTAATCGTTCTGATCCTGCTAAATCCACAAAATGAAACTTTGCGGAAAGAGTTTCGAGCTCAGCTTCCTGAAATAATTCCACATTGGTATCAATCAAAGTATACTCTTAGATTTATTAATTAGTATTATTTTATTACCCCAAAATTGTTGGAAACTCGTGTTTGAGTAACGTGCATCGTAAAAATGGCATGGCTGAAATTCATATCAAATACTTTAAAATAAGTTTTGAAAAATATATCTAACAACTCAACTAACCTTCTGGAACTTGTATCATTCATGTTCGTAGATGCGGTCGTCCGTGATAGGGCTGTACGATATGATCAAGAAATTAAATAAATGATACCAACAACAACAAATAAACAATCCAGCTTACCTCCTTCTCGCAGAATTGAAAGTGTTTCGTGGCAGGTGGAAACATTCACTGTTTGCACTCCTACCAAGTAAATGGACCCATTGGTATCTTCATGAATTTTAATGGGACCATTAGCAGAACCTGGACGAGATGGAACAGCGGACGATGGTCGCATCGAAGATTGATTCAAAAGGTCAACTACGTCCTCATTGTAAAGCTCTACAAAGTTGAGTTGAACAGTAAAGTCGACCCGATCTTGTGATTTTTCTTTTCGCAGTTTTTCGATTTGGCTAAAAAGATATGTCACAGCTCGAGGAATTATTCCTGCAATACAATATTTAAATAGTTTTCATACATGCTGATAATTAATAACTAATAATTATTATATTTGTACACAAAGTACGAACTTTACCTTGGGCCTCAACACTCGGATCATATTCAAACCCGGTCCCCATTGTGTAGGTCTTTCCTGAACCCGTCTACATATATGTTGTGCGTTAACGATGTACAAATACTTTATGACAAATATAGGGTAGATAGATTTGAGTATCAACCTGTCCGTACGCCAGAATAGTGGCATTGTAACCTTGAAGACAACCATCAATTAACTGTTGCACAACCTGGTCGAAGATAGATTGTTGTGCCGCATTTTGATCAAACACATAGTCGTAAGTAAATGCATGATTGGATCTGAAACAGAATAATGCATAGATCGTTACTTAATTCGCTTCTTTATTGAAATATGCTACGGAAAGACTTTCACGAAAAAACGTTCAAAGAGTTTACTTACCCAATCCACACCTGAGGATGCCCTTCTGCCACAGTGGTGCATGTTTTACAGCCTTCGATCACTTCCCGAGGCAAGCATGGTCGAATTCTGAAAATATGCAAGTAAATATGCAGTTAGATAGAATCATGTTGTCATTTAACCTAATTTAAAATTATATTTAGATAGGTTAGGCCCACCTATAATCATAGTGACGTAAATATAAACTCTAATGACAAACAGCAGGTTAAGAGGGAATAAAATATAAAAAAAATGTTGTAATGAATAACCATAAACCAAGTCAACTTCAACTACTACTATGGTTAAACATCGGCAAATGACAAATTTGCTTCCCACACATCAGCAGACTTGCAAACCAATTCTGGATCATCTCCTTAAACGACTTTGCTCATGACTTAAACTTTTATGACTATTTAAATAACAATAAATTAAAAATTGTACTGGATGAATAACCTTGAATATTAAAATAATACATCATATGACCTAGTCTGGACATCATAATGGCACAAATACACCCTTAAAAGAGTATATTTTTGCACAAATTAAACCCAAATAAAGCGATTAAAAACTACTTTAGGTCTAAATACAAATTTAAAGTGACATGGTTCCATCTAACTGGTGGAGGTTTTGCTTTGCTCTTACTTCGTGTTATTATATAAAAAATAAAGTGTACACAATTACCTTAGAGCGACTCTTACGGAGGAGTTGTCCTCAGAAAAATTGTGTTCTCCACCTCCAACATCATCGAAATCCATTTTTGTTATGTTTCACTTTAATTTAAATGCAGTTACGTTGCAACTACCAAGTTAGGTTATCAGCAAGCTCATGGCTAATAATCGCTAACAAACAGTCATCAATTGTCTCTCCGACGACGGGTGATGATACGCGGCACTCATCCGGTTATCGTATATCCTTCAGCAGCAGTTATTAAGAGATGAGTGAATAATGAGGACTCTGCTTTATTATGACCACCACCCCACCAACTGCTGCCAATGCACAATAATGATGATGTGCAGGGAACACGAACGTGACTTCCAATCTCATTAACGGATCTAAAAATAGCAAAGAAAATCGTCGTTTGTACTTGTTATATGAATATATCTATATTCACCAAATGTACATATTTCATGTTACAACTACATGTGCCTTCAATTCAAAATGGTAAACGAACAATTCTGTGTAGAAAGAAGTGTAAGTGTAAGTAAGTGTAAGTGATTGATTTGAAAAGATTCATTGAAGTCCCAAATTCAATTGAAAACTTTTTTTGACATTTTACAAAAAAAAACAATATTCTCCAAGCCATATCCTTTGAGGCTACCAATTTCAAGAGTAATGACTAGTAAATGAATGAGCAACTACAAATTAAAATGTAGTATTTACTACGTCTGTCAACTATTAACACCTCAGATCACCAGGTGTGAGGCTGGCTTGAAATTGGGTTATCTAGACATGCTATCTATGATAAAAAATACCACTTCCTTACCATTTCAGACTTCCTTTCTGGAGGCAATATATAATAGTGATAATAAGAGCCGTTATCGGAATAACACACTTTTTTATGAAGCACAACACACAAGAAAGAATACCGATCCGAAATACCTTGAAACTAAACAGCGACGCAACAGAGTAGTATTTTAATTTATTGCAGCCTAATTACGAATTATATCCTCATTTAAAAAAACTAAAATTTGGAAGAACAGCCAAGCGAAAGCAGCGAGTGTTTATATACTAAAAATTTAGAGACTTCTTCTGTGCATGCAAAAGCAAAGGTTGTGCACTTCTTCTTGACTGAAGTTACCGTTAGCAAGAAGTGACTGGCTTGATTCGTTGGTGTTGGTGTTGGTGGTGGTGTTGGAGGGATGGGACCCGCTGCTGCTCTTTCTATGTTTTCAGCCCATCTCACGGCTTTCCTCGTCTCATCTCTCATCTCATAAATACGTGCAGAAGTAACTGTTGAAAAGCATTGGATTGTATTATTTTGCAGGTGGAACGATAAAGGAGAGGAGAAGATGAGGTGCAGAAAACAATAAGAAAAGATTATGATGGCAAAGGTTGCGGAGAGTCAATCAATATGAATGAAACGATAGGGCAGACGTTGAATATAAATGTGGTTGGATCTCATCAGCCACTTCGGCTCCACAAAGACTAGAGAGTCAAATGTCAGAGTCTCAGTTTGCATCCCGTCCGTTTTTGGCATTTATATTATGGACACTTTTATTAAACACAAACGCGTTCAAAAAATATAAATTCCATATGATGTGTATATTTTTATAGTGCAATACAAATAATTATTTGAAAATAAATGTATGCTATTTGATAGCATAAATATCTCATCCGGTTCGCGTCCGGGTGGTAGAGATTCAACTAAAGTCTGTTTATTTTATTAGGAATTATGTAATAATTATTATTTAGAAAGAATTATTTTATGTTTTAAATGGTGTGTCAATTTATGTGCATATAAGTCTTATGCAATAAGGTAAATCTTATCTTGTATAAGTCTTATACTTACAAGTCTTGTAAAAGTAAAGAGCGGTGATCTTGTTCGTCTATCGTTTGTAGAGGTTTTCTCAACCCACAAACGTGGGTTTTTCTTCTAGATACTCCCCATGCCAAATAAGTGTATTTTATATTTTATAGATGTGTTTGTACCTATCATTTTTTTAGTTATTACAAATTTTTGTCTTAATCTTATAACATGAGAGACAGATGAGAGATTACTAGTACGTAGTTGTGGTAAGATGGAAATCTAGTTCTACTAGACAAAGATGATGATGCATTTGGAGTCGCATACGAATGAAAATGAAACTATGATAATGATGAGATGACAAATAAATCGTGAGACAGATTTTTGAACTGTATTATTCACTTGCAATTTACAATACTGATTGTGAGTCAATATTAAATAAAGTTGCTTCAATTTTCGGTTTGGAGCACTTCTCCTAAGAAAAGAGAATTTTATAGTTTATTACTAACAAATTATTACTTTTTAATGGGCATTGTTAGTTATTTTTTTTTTTACTTTCAACTGTCATTGCGCCACGCCTCAGATAAGAACGTCACGCTATCCGCTGAAAGTGATATGATCTTTAAATACGAGTTTCAAAATTATTGCTAAAACTGGGTGTGCTTAATAATTTGACCGGAAGTTAATAAAATATGCATATTGCATATTATACAAATGTATTAATAACTATTCATTCCCCAAAGTTTAATCACGTTATATGAATAACCGAAAATCATGGAAGTTACAAATTGAGACATGCGATGTCTGCCACAATGCTGGCATGCAGGCGATGGTTCAATTAATGTGATAAACGAGATATCAATTACGAATAGCATTATCCAACAATCATTTGACATGTATCACGCCAGTTATGAAACTTTTCAAATTTTTGATGTTGGTCTAAATAATAAATTGGCAATTGGGACATAAATAATATTAATTGCAAATCACTCACCTTGCTGGACAAGTGCTGGAATATTCTATAGAGCCATGAAGTACAGAACATTTTATTTGGTCACTGTTTTGGTAATTTTGGGGGTATGACTTGTAATCAATGCAAGTACAACAAATGAATTATTTTTGGAGGACAAGTATACAAACATTGACGACATTTGCAGGTGCTGGTGGTTGAGCACAAGGCGGAGGAAGAAGAAGGAGAAAGTTCGGAAGTGGTGGACTCCTTGGATTGGCACGAGTCTGTCTGTGTCGACCTCAACGGGGGGTACGGCCGGAAACCTGATTTGGGTAATTTGTAGTGTGATAAATCACTTAGATTTTATTCTATTATTCGTTCGGTAACATCCGAGCAACATTAATGAACCAAGTGTAATGGTACAAAAACAGTGCTTGAAACCGATGTGATAGTCAGTTTTATGTCATCCAGTGTATTTTTTTTAATATACTTAGGAATGACTTGCTGCAAAAACCAGACACTCTCACTGCCTACGGGTCTAGTCGAAAATTTGTATACGAATTTTCAATTGATTAATTGTGCCAAGGATGTGGAATCAAAAAGCAGTGATTTAGCAACAACATTGGTATTGCATACTTGATATATGTAAGAATTTAGAGAAGACGCATTTTTGATGAAACTCAATGTAATTAAATTACAGTGGAACGTTACGTTTTGTGTCTTCAAAAATTCCTCGGCAGTAAGACACATGCTAATTCAATTTTTCTAAAGGTTAACCCCAGAGTCTCTCTTGTTTGCAAATATTATATTTCAGTTCCCTCAAAATAAGATTACATTTCCAAATTTTTTGAAATTTATGACTACTGCGTATCCAAAAGATATTGTTAAGGAACTCGAGACCAGTTCAAGCAATTGTGAAAAAGGTGAGTGTTTATTGGTTTACTTTTTAAGACACGCATTGTATTGTTGTTGCTTGCATATTTAGATGCGTCTAAAGAAAAAAAAACGATAGCAAAGCTGAGAAAGTTTTTTGAATGTTTTCATAAACATGAGAAAAAGGTAAAAAAATGCTGTTTGTTAATTTAATACTAAGGTGTTAACTTGCCTACATCACTACCCGCTGTATCTAACTGTATGCGCATTTGGCAAATATTTGACATGTAGGTGTGTGATAAACCATATAAATCTCCTATTGTTTCTGAGAAAGATAAGTTTGACAAGAAGGTAACTCATTAATAAGAAGCAATATATTTAATTTCAACTGTAGACACACTTCCATGCCTTCATGTGTGTATAATTTGTCCAATTAGCACGACTGTTCTGAGATGGTGGGACTAAATGGAGATGAAAGGCGAAAATATTGTTGCAAAAAGCAAAGTATTCCTTATAACTTTCTCCAATTTTATCAAATGTTCCCTCAAGAAGAAGAGCATCAGCAAATGTCTGAAAATTGTTCAGAGTCCTTTAAAACCAAACAATTAGAATTGGATCCAGAGTTGAAAAAAGCAATCGAAAAATTGGACAATAGTTTTGATGAGAGTCTTAATAACACTTCAGATGAGTCAGGTTCAAATCCCAGAGAACTGCTCATTAATGTAACATTTAATGTTTTTAGGCATAATTATTTTATTCACGGTACATAGTATTTTATTAACATAAATCATTTTATAGTGTGAGGTGGCATGTTCCATTCTATCATCAAACGATTACGTGAGATACATACAAATACATATTTATATACTTATGTTTCCTGCACGAAAGAGGAAATCTCGCTCATTCATTGGTATACATTTTTTTGCAGTCTATCAAGCACTTGGTAATAAATTTTGATCAAATTATCACAAATTTGACACGAAATTTTGGGAAAACAGTTTCGACGGATTTGACAAAAATTTTAACCAGCCGGAAATCATTGATGCAGTTCTCCAAGAATTCGACACAAAAACTAACTTTTGATGAGCTTAGTAATTTCGAACATACCTAATACAAATTACCCATGCATATACACAGCATATTTTACTCCAGGTGAGACTGAAACTATTTCTTAACTCATTTTTTCTAGACAAAAAGTTTAAACCGGCTCCTGAACTAACAAAAATAAAATTCTACTGCGAGTTTGCTGATATCATTAGACAGGAAGTCGAGAGAGCCCTTCACGAGGTAAGTAATTAACAATTTACAAGGATAATTTATCTGAATGTAAAGTTACGCAATTAAAAATCGTTTTCTACGTCTCTCGTTACAGTATTGCTTTGACAAGGACTTTGCTGACATTTGGTTTTCCAAGAAGAACCTCTGAATTTTCCATTAAATTCAAATGGACATTAATGTTTTTTTTCATAGTGAATTAATTTGTTCGTCTACATTTCCATACTAAATATAACATTTTTTTTGTAAATCACATAAATAAACTCACGTCTTTGTGTTTGATAAAACTCTTCTAATAACGCCAAAAAGTTGATTTCCAATTTTGCAAACCACAAAAATAATGAGATGAGGCTCTGCTTTTTTTGCAAATCGTACCAGTTTTTTCTCAGTTATTGGCTTTGCTAGAATTGGTCCATATCTCACGAACGCTCTCATGCTGTTAAAATGTAATGTTTATTTATTTGGTTGCATTACCTCACTAAACTGCACTGAAAATGATAAATTGACTACATAGAAAAAATGACTTACAAATGAAAATCGGCAAAAAGTGAAATTCCACACTGAACTCCCTTCCACAAGGTTCGTTTTGCATCCTTATTTGATGCGGCCTTCAAAGTGTCCAAGGCCAGCTTCACCGAACCAATTATTGGTAACATTTCAATAAGATCTGACCGAGCAACAATTCCGTAAACTTGTATTCCTCTGTTGGTGTCTATGTAAAAGTAACATTTTATGAAAAATCTTCACTTTTATGTAGTTTGCACATAGATAAGATTCCCTCGATTACCTGGAGATACAGCATTATTATCGTTTGATGCCGATACCTCTTTTGGCTTTGGTACATCCTTATCAGGAGCAAGTGGTGGAATCGTTGGAGCCGGTTCTACCTTTTCACCTGTAATTAATGGATTATTACAGCGACTCTGTGGTTTTTGTGATTACAATTTGCAGAAAGAGAAATCAAGTCTATATCGTCTCACTAATTTTGACGGGGACGGGAGATGGAGTCCTTTTTCGAGGTACTTGAACAGGGGTTGGGGCTGCTGGTGTGGGTGGTGGGATAGAAGTTGGAACGTTTGAATTGGACGAAGGAGTGGCAACAGGAGGAGGAGGAAGGTCGTCCTTCTTCGGAGAAAGTTCCTTTTGATTCGACTCTTGTGGGGCTGGAACTTGAGTTTCTTCTTCTTCCTCCTCCTCATATTCATATTCGTACTCGGATTCCTCTTCTTCTTCCTCTTCAGCTTTCCCTTTTGTCTCCTGTGGGGTAGGGTTAGGTGGAGAAGCGCTTTCCGCTTCGTTCAACACCTTGCCATGCAGCTTGGTCCCACTCGGCAATTCGTACTGATATTCAATTTCTGATGGCCTCAAACTGTCATCTTCGGGATACTCAAACTTTGCGAAAAACTTTAATTTCTTCCACTTTTTCATCTCGGAAGCCTCCTTGTACGCTTTCTCTTCATCCGCGGCCCACGATGTTTTATCCAAGGATGAACTTTTTGGAAACAGATTAATTGCATCTTTTCCTGATCCTCCAAGGCGCTTGGAAACTATCAGCCCAACTTCATCAGTTGGTAAACCTCTTTCTTTTGCCCACTTTCTCCAGTCGTCAGTCGTATTTATTCCTGTTGAATGTCGAATTACAAAATAATTATAATTAGTAATTGACTCATCAATAAGTACTCATCAAATAAATAGATTTGACATGATAACCTCTAATCATGTGATCCGTGCTGATATCAGCAGACAGATATTCAATTCTCCCATCGTGACCTAGTTGATACAAATCAATCGGCCCCTTGTCTGTTGGGTAGAACGACCTCAGGCCTCGTTTCGGCTTTGTGTTCATGAACATGACTTTTTGATATAATTAAAATACGTGTCGTGTATGTAGAATAATCTGTCTATTGATTATGCTATTTGATGAACATTATTATGGATCACTGTACAAGTTCCAGTTTATTTTTGATCTAGAAAAGTACTATAGTGCATACCGTGCAGTGCAGAATTTCGGATTACTCTGCCAAATCTTAATGTGGAGCAAACGATAGAGGATGCTTTTGGACTATGTATGTGTCTCTCATGACAAGATCTTCTAAAAATAGCGTACCATTAGTCACAATAATGCATGCAAATATTGTATGCCAAAATACAGTAGGTCTTTTTAGCAGCTATTTATTACACTAATTAAAATATTAAATTCTTATAAATTCCTTGATCGATTGCTAGAGGAGAACTTCCCATGCTCCGCAGTATCCATTCAAGATTGGTTGAGATGGGATTCCTCGCCTGTAATAACAATAATTCTGAACAAATCTGTCAAATGCAAATGTTAAGTGAACTTACTGCAGCAGTCGGCATCTTTGATGATCGAGTCGTCTTCTTGCGTCATTGGTGGCCTGGGACGAGATCGGAATATCATGAGACCACAGCCTACGTCGAGATAATTATTTTTCACCAATGATGAATATATATTCAAGTGTGTAATGAGATTGGACTATGATCAAATTTAGAAACTTTAGAAAATTTCGAAACTACACCTTTCTGATACTGCAGAAATGAATGGAAAAAGTCGAGGAAGAATGTTAGTCTGATCAACAAATTCCCCCCACAAACAAGCTTCTCCACCTCGAATTAAAGGAATCTGAGCTTCTGTTACTATTATGGACATAGAGAAAACGCATGGTCAGTTTCACTAATTTCAAGAACATATTGCATAAAAGCGAATCGCTTACTATTAGGCAAACTTAACACAGGGTCTGCTTCATAATAGTTTCTCCAACTTTCACCGTAACTAATGAAAACAAGGTTCATTGTTAGCAAAATAGTTATTTGCTTGAAACTTTAGCAATAAGTATGTAGAACCGTTTACTCGATGTAGTTGATGTACCATGGAGCAGACAACAAAGTTTTATAGCCTTTGTCGAGAACATTCTGAAATATTTTGCATGTTACTAAAGTACATGATTTATTTCTGACTCTCCTTTGTAAATAATTATAAACAACAACCTGCAAATTACTTTCCCAATCAGGCCCCCAGTTCTTCCAAACTTGAATCAGAACATCTTGATCCACCTGTTGAAATATGACAATAAGAATATATATTTATATGCATCATGATGTTAACAAAGTAGGCTTTCTTAATTATTTACGTTAACGCCAAAGTCTAATGGATCCTGCCAAATAATTGGCAAGGCTCCGAGCTGTTGAACCATTGCTATATGTCGTGTCGTGAAATGCTCTTGAACCTCGGGAATGCTGGTATAGTTATTGATCCTCATAAACTCTGCAATCTCAGGTGATGATTCCCAACAAGGAGGGTAAACCTAATTCATAAGTACATTATCTTTAGCCCATATATTTTACCATGTCATCAAGTAATGGTATATTTGTATTACTTCATCCATCCCTAAATGAACAAAAATGTCTTTAGAGACATCCTGAACAATCTCTTCGAAGAAATCTCTCATGAAAGAGTAGGTAAATTCCTCCATGGGATTAAGGTTTTCTCTCGCCGCATGCTGAGGATAATTGGGCGTGTCGGGGGTTACGCCATCGCCATAACACGGAGTTAACAAGTCTTTATGCAATTATTTAAAAATAAAGATGCAGTGATACAATAGTACAAATGTCCTCAATCAATTCGTATATACCTGGGTACGCATGGCCCCATGAGTTAGCATGGCCTGCGTTGTACAAAAATATATTGGTCTCTTAATATCTTCTACAAGTTGAAATTATGCAGATTTTATTACCTGGGGTATCAAACTCCATCACGATTCGAATACCTCGAAGTCTCCCTGCTTCCATGACTCTTGCAATCATTTCTTGTGTGTAAACATGTCGACTTGTGTACGCCCCCTAGAAAACAGACCTTTGCAAGTGAGCGTGTACAAGTATTACTAAATAAAAATATACTAAAATAATGTGTGCTCACCTTGGCAGATAACTCAGGAAATCGTATGCTAACATATGGGAATGACTGATCGTCTACAATGTGCCAATGAAATACATTAAGCTTGTTGTACATCATGCCATCCATCACTTCGTAAAATATCTTTTCTTGTTGGTAGTGTCTTGAAGTATCAATCATCAGACCGCGATGAGGAAACCGTGGATAATCTTGGACAATTGTCTCATTAACGTAAAAGTGCAGTGGACCGTTCCCATCAAAATTGTCATTATTCCAAATTAACTGAGCGAAAGTTTCTATTCCTTTTAGTGCCCCCCAAACGGTGAACGCTTGAATGTCCGCGAGTCCATCGGAACTTATCGTGATTGCGTCTAAACCAAAACAAAATATAGTGTATCAAAAATAAGTATGAATTCGACAGAAATATGATTTGTGTATGCATACAACGCTCATAGACATCGATGTCGTCAGAAAATCTAGGAAAGTTTTGACACTCCGTATTTCCACTGGCGTCCCCCACAACCAAAACTCTGAGTTCAGAAATTAATCCAACTTCAGGATCTGGAACTCCAGGAATGCCTTCGATTGTGGCGAATAAGAAATCATTGTTGTATTTGGACACTGCGAAATCTAAGGGGTCACACTGCTCAGAATTTAGTACTAAAGGGACAATTCGAAATGTTGCAGGGTTGAAGGATAATACAGTAGCTGTGCTTGACATGTTGTAGGGCAAAGGCCATGGTGAGCCAGGAGGCCATTCTTTACCCTAGGACAAGGTCACACAAGAACCAATAATAGTCAAAAAGTACTAAATATCAAGATTATTATGTAATTCCTTACGGAAAGTGGGTTCCTTGGCTCATATGGGACAAGTACAGCAATTATGGCTGCAATGAGAATTGCAATTATTGCAAATACGAGAAAAAACTTCATAACTGTTATCTTTAAGTTATGCCTTGAACTATCCAACATTCAAAGTGAGTCCAGCGAAAGACCAGCAGCGTTATATGTAGTACTTGTAGATACCTAATATAGATATCACCTTAATTTCTCCTTCAATAATCAATAACAACGATAAGTGGAAAAATTAATTTTTTAGTATTGTACAATCAAGGTAAATTCGTACTCGATCATATTATTTAAAATGTCAAAATCTTATCGTTTCATAACCTTGCCCATGGCATACCTGAGCGTTACTGCATAACAGCACAATCAGCACTTTATTATTGTCCAGTTTCAGCGCATGCAGTTCGACAATGGAGATTCAGTAATATCATATCCGTTTTTAACACTGACACTGACATGCTATCGTTCTGTTCCGAGAAAGATAGTACTTTACACAATATTGAATTACATGCGTACTGCTATTTTGCGTGATATTTCTGCACACTAAAATAAAATCAATGTTTTAAAGCTTTTATTTATCATGCTTTTGCTCATTTCCCGTTTTCAGTTGTGGTCTTATTTTGTTTGTCGCTAAAATACCCTGTATTTTTTCTGAATAACGATAAAACGTGGACATGACTAATGCAAGCAGAATTGACACACTTATTTAGTATGATCTACGTATTTATCGAAACACAAGAAATTATTTAGTAAAGTTTAGAGAAAAAATCTCAAAATTGCCCCATCTCATTTTCGCTCAGGAGTAATCAGCCTGAAGCGGAGTTTCAACTATTACACAGTTTTCGCATCGCCGAATAACTTGCAACCGAAGTTTTTCGTTGCTTTCTCTTTTTTCTCTTCATACTGCTTTCTCCATTGTTATTATTACTAATGACTGCATAAAGTGACATGTCCATAATAAAGCTATCTGGGTGGAGATTTGGTGTGTTCGTGGCTGGATTGGTGGGGGCGGTCGGTTGCGCAATTTATCCTATAATTATTTCTCCAATGATTGACCCATCGCCGTACGGTAGGTCAACATTGATAAGCACATTATATTACATATTTTATTCTGATAACGTAAAAAGAACTAGATCCTTGTTGAATTTGCAGTACAAGCTCAAAAAAACTCTAGGAAAGGAATAAAGCAGGAAGAAATTCAACCAGGAGGTATTCTAATTTTAACTTGACAATTCATACACAACTACTGCATTATATAGATAAGTACTTGTTGATACCGGCATTGGTTTTTATGTTTATAGGAATGAAGGTGTGGTCAGATCCGTTCAAGAGGAAGGATAACAGTGAAAAGTAGGACAACTATAGTATCGTTGGAGGCATTCGCTATGGGTTTACAATAATAAGGCCTCGGTATAATGCAGATCAATTACATATGATCATGCTCGGCTGTTGTATCACAAGCTGTTGAACTCTCTCCCTAGTCAGTTGCAAATTGTATATGTTAATTACAAATTTATTAAATAAGAAAAATAAGATTAAACAGTAATCGTATCATTAGAATCTATAGTGCTGATATCCATGTTGAAAAACGTTTTCCAAAGTCGGCATGCTTCACCCACCAGGTCCACAGGTACGCCACATTTATAACTGGGGATTTGAGATTTATAGCAGTTGTACATTTCACCCCCCGGCAATGTGACCGCCTCCTTTGTTGCTGGTTCCTCAACATTATGCCCTGAAGAATTCTTACTTATCGTTGCGAATGGCAAATTTCCACAGTCGTCATACTCCAGGAGAGGATTTCCAAAGCAATCATAGTAACCATAACTGAAGTTGGAGAGTATCCCCTTCCGGTACTTAAATGGCTGCATTTTCCCTGGATGGATATAGGCATATGGACGACCCAATTTATCATCTAACGTCCCAGTCAGTGGGATGGAGTTAAGTCTTAGCGTCGGGTCTTGAGAAAATCGGCTCCTCATTGTAAATCCTGACATTCTCCACACTGTGTATTTTTTACCACGAAATTCTATTTCAAAGTTTTGCACAAGTTTTGCATTCCTTTCGTATGATCCCTTCGTGGGGTCTCCCGATGTCATTTTCGAAATATTGCGTAGTGCTGGTCTTCTCATTGGTATTGTTGGCCTGGTTGGATTTGAGTGGTTAAATGCTTGAATTGTGAAGACTAGTTTTCTTCCAATGTATTTGGAATTGGGGTCGCAATATGGGAAACCTTGGATTGTAAATGGAGCGTTGCAGTTCTCCAACGAATGGGCGTTCCTGGTTCTTTCTTCGAAGCATTTGAACGGTTTACCGTCATTTACATGTTTGATTACATACTCTGAAGTTTTTTCGGGTTTTGATCCCTGAAAATCTCGTGAAAGACCAGGTTGGTTGCAAAAGTCCCATGAAGGAACTTTCAAACGCCAACAATTATAGATTTCTTTTTCCTTTTTGATGTGAGCATAAGGGTTCAAAATGCACGTGTCTATACTTAATTCGTTCGGTAAGGGTCGGTATTTTTGGCCATGCGAATTATAAGCTATCGGTCGTCGGATCAGTGTTCCTTTGCAGTATCGAATGCATCGAGCTTCAAACTCATCTTCCTTCACATTATCGCCTGGACGGAGAAATTCCCCGTAATCGATGGGGAGAATTGTGCTAGGAGTGCTTGTTGTTACTTCAGGTTCTGTTATTAATGCTTCCTGTAAATAATGCAAAAGATGTAAACTCGCGATTATATCCCTAATCCTAAGTAAAAAAAGACCTAAAGCAATAACTCACTTTAGCTTGCATCTCCAGATTCTTAACTATTTTGTCTTTGTGTTTTTCTTGTATTCCACCAGGAAAGCTACGAAAATCGCATGTCAAAATATTCAATTTCAATGTTACAGTATCAAGGCGAATACATACTTTCCTGTATCTTCTCCAATGCAGAACCGGTAATTTTTAGTTTGTTGAACGCAAGTAAAAATAATTGGAACGTCAACTTTGTGCACCAATTGCATTTGAATTAGCAAAGAGTAAACGGCCATGGACCCACAAAACACCTAAAATTATGGGACGAATGCATTTTTTGAAAGTGATACTAATTTTACACAATATGTAATTCAAGTCTTACGCTCATAATAAACCCTCGATCAAACATGAACCAATTGCCTGGACAAATCACATGAGGACTTGCTGTATTGAAACTCATGTTTAAGCTCATGATCTGCAATATTTTATTATACTTAACGACACCTGCAACAAGTTGTGTTACGCAATGGACATACAAACTTTCTCTCCTTGACTCCCCGAGCCAGTAGAAGACCGTGTCTACGCACCGTGTCAAATCCAGCCATGACCTATAATAGTCCATATGGTTGAAATCTATTTTTAATTTAATATAATTAGTACTAAGATTTTCACCATATCACCAGCAGAAGAGGCCCCCCATGCAACAAATGTAAACGACATTATGGTGTAAACCAAATGGTATGCGACTTGAAAACCATCTTCTTTTGGGTCCTTTTTGTACTATTCATTATAATTCATTTTTCGAGGGGTTAGGATTATTATTACTCGACGAAAAAAGTGTATTTATTTAAATGTACATACTTTAATTGTTGTATTGTCCACATGAGTTTCATTTAGCTCAGAATCAGCTATTGCGAGATCTTGTGATGTGGCGAACAACGTCAATGTCAATTTGAAGCACTAATAATAATTCAATAATTCGGAATATTTTTCTAGTTATGTAAACTGCATGAGCAATTGACTCAATTGGATAATACGATAATATAATTACCTCCACCAGAGCATACGTTACTAAAAATGTGGCAAAGGTTTCAGACATTTCACTGATCAAAATCACAATTTTTTTGTGATCATTTAGCATGTCTGAATATCTTTGCGGTTTCATTTTCTTTAGTCGAGTGTTTGCCTTTGGTGACACTAAAAAATTAATCGAAACATGCGCATAGTAAATATTTACATTAAGTAAATAAACCATTTGTTGGAGATTACATTTTCCTAAAATAACGCAAAGTCGAATGTTCCATTCCTCCGCCAAGTGAACGATTCCTCGGCAAAAAATGATGATTATGATGACAAAGCTTCGACCGCAGGAAAAAACGTACGCCATGAAGAGAGCAACAAGAGGGGAAATGTACGGACGTTGCTCAGTGAGCTCAAAGTAAAGATAATTCTTAAAGTGTCGAAGGAGCATCATTGTTATAATTTGTATTTGTTCGTGAAATCCAAACACTTTTCGGAAATAGAGGAAGAATATTGCTCCAATGTTGAGAACGGTGGAAATGGGGTGGGCCCATGCAATAATTCGCAAATCCTTCAGTTTCGTTGGATAGTCTATATTGTTGAAATGTGCCAACGTATTCATCCACAATGTCATGTATTCTGTCATTGCGGGTCCGTTGACAATTATCGAAACACTGCCAATTACCGTCATGACCAAGCTCAGGATGAAAATTGAGGTCGACAGCCACCAATTATGGAGCATAAGCATTTCTAGACGACTGGAAGAAAGAGAACTCCGCATTAGATATGATTGAGGGTATAAATAACTATGTACATAAAATGCGTGGTAAACTGCGTGTAACCAAATAAACATATAAAAACGTACAGGTATTCAATGTGTGTGACATTTTCCTTAGGGTCCGAGTTGAGTAGATCGAAGAATGACAAGCTAATCAGTAACAGAGCGAACGTCAGGAGGATAGTTGTGAGAACAAAGGCGACGAAATTTGCAGATTTTCGTCTCAATTTGCATGTCAACATGCCTGTGTCATCAATGGAGAAGTGGAAGGGGCTTCGGCCCAAGATGCGACATGTCCACAGATGGTTCCAGAACTTTCTCAAACTTTTGGTTGTCAATTTTAGCATTTTCAGCATCGGGCTCTTCGTCAGTCCCGTCTTGAGAGATCCAGTTCATATCTGGATGCGACTCGTCTTCGTCACCCTGATGTTCGCCAGAGGAGTCAGTCGGCGAGACAGAGCTTCCCGTGTCCTCCAATTCAGTGTTCAGTGCAATTAGGTCGAAAAACTTTCTGTACGTCCCAGTCAACACTTTTATACGTCGCTTCTTGTTCTTAGGCTCGTCGTCCAAGGCGGAAGTAAGAAATGACTGTTCTGGGATAAGCACTTCCGAATCTTCTTCCACATTGGATTGCAGATTAGATTCTATTGGGGCAATGGGAATTGCTTCTGAAAGTTTTTTCTGCTCCTTAGGTGGAGATGAAGGACGTTTTTCCTTTGTTTTAGCCTCTGATACAGTTTTTTCAGCAGGTTGATGTTTGGTTTTAGGTGCACTATCAAAGACCATGAAGACGAATATGTCAATATACTTTGCGTACGAAAACAATAAATGTATGTACATAAAGTTTTTATTAACGTACACCTCTTTTTCTGGTTCAGATGATTCATCAAGAATAGCCGACGAGGGTGGCAGAGTTGGGACTTCTATTTTATTCAAGGATTTAATTTGTCGACTAATTTTAATTTTTCTTTTGACTCCCGATTTGTCCAACACCGTGACCTTGACCGTCTTTGTGGTCCCAGCTTGTGGTGTGGATGGATTCTCGCTTTCATCATTTTCTATAGGAAAATCTTCACTTGCATCGTCGGTATGCACCTTCGGACTCTTGCTTTCACCTACTTTCTTTTTGTCCATGTTATTTGGTGTAGACGAATCTTATCAATTTTAGAGGTCAAGCCAAGTTCGAAATTACAATAAATTTAAATCGACGTGTTATCAATTTCACCTAAACCCCAGGGTTGTTAAAGAGACAGTAATTTGATAAGGGGTTGCGCAACGTGAGCACTTTTTTCGATTTTTTTAATTTTGAAAAAGCTGGTGGTCCGGACCACCAGCTCCTGATTGGTTGTTAGGTTTTCCATACAAAATTTTTATTTTATGGCTTATTCTGGTAGCTGTTTGTCCGTCTGTCGTCACGATAAAATAATCTTATCATTCCTATCCTATATTATCCTTATGTTTTAGTATTGTTGGAATTCAAATCTTTATCGATTTAAAATAATATGGAGTGTTTTTATAATGTATGTACATAAAAAACGGTATTAAATTGTGCTTGTGTATTTGACAAATACTATTTGTATGTATACATATACTGATAATTTCTGAATCGGGCTATGCAAAGTTGTACGGTGAGATTTAATTGAGTTTCCCCTCAAATTTACTTACAATGGAACCTTTTTTCAAGCTACACGAGATAAGCTTAGTGACTTATGCTAAAAAATCAAGCTAACATTAGAAATGACGTGGTACTTATCTTTCCGTTGAATGGGCACTTGGAGGTCAAATATTTGAGGGCAAAGTTCACAGTAGCGGCCTGCTTTTTTCTCAAGCGGGCGAGCGGTGGAGTGAGAATTTTCTCCTTCGAGGTCACTCCGCTCCCTTCACTCTCGCACGCTTGCACTTCATTAAATCATTAAATGCGTATTATTTTTGACAAAATTTCACAATCTCGTAAATTGGTGCAAACATTCATATAATTTTATATTTGCTTTTCAAAATCCTACTATCCACCGATCCGTAATAAAAAAGTGCCGATGGGTTCAATAAATTATAAGTGCGAAAAATTAATTAACATATTAATTAATTAGAAATCATAATCCTTAAAGTTGACTTATTTTTATTGTCAAACTTTGTTGTATATTTTTGGAATTGCATATTGATTGCATACTATTTACGAACGAAAGTATCTCGGGAGTGAAGGGAGCGGAGTGACCTCGAAGGAGAAAATTCTCACTCCACCGCTCGCCCGCTTGAGAAAAAAGCAGGCCGCTACTGTGAACTTTGCCCTCAAATATTTGACCTCCAAGTGCCCATTCAACGGAAAGATAAGTACCACGTCATTTCAAATTTTTAGCTTGATTTTTTAGCATAAAACACTAAGCTTATCTCGTGTAGCTTGAAAAAAGGTTCCATTGTTAGTGATTTAGCTTAGTGATTAATTTTTTTCAAAATTTAATTTTTTAATTATTTTTAAAAAATCGCCCACGTTGCGCAACCCCTTATCAAGTTACTGTCTCTTTAACAACCCTGCCTAAACCCAATAAAAATTAAATTTTATGTCTTTCTTTAAAAAACTAGCGATTATGTGTCTAAGTAGCTTAGAAACATGCAATTTTTAAGGTTGATTCATTATTTCACATTTATTTGCACATGTGCATTTATTAAAGTAGGCTATTATCTCTTCCAAAAAGCCAAGTACAAATATCTAGCCAAATCTAGGACATCAAAAAAACAATTGTATATTCCACAGTCTGTTTGGCTGGTCCTTCCAATGAATGCAGCTTTCTGTTCTAGGTTCATCGTACTGTTTTCAGCCCTGCAATTTTAATTATGTAATCATAATTTACATGTAACTTGTGATATTTATAGCCACGCTAGTTGAATGTTAAACTCACGCAAATAATGCTACGAAAGGAACGGCAAAAATCCCATATTGTTTTGGAGTCCGATGAGCTTGACAAATAGTTTTGTGGAGACATGCGTCCCATTCGATTCCAATCTTTTTGGCTGCTTTTTCATTGAATAAGGGCGAAAATTTATTTATAAGCTTGTACTCGAAAGTTGATCCTTGTTCCGAACTAAAGCTCCGTTTCTTTAATCCAAATGGAGCAATTTCTGTGAGGACCAAGGGAATGGCAACAGTAGCAATCCAAGCTATTGCACTAAACAAACCCAGAAATGCCTAGAAATGTACAATCAAAGTCACAAACAGAATTGATCCTTTTCAATAAAAGATAAGCTTGTATATAAATAGTATCTGCATTTATTACTTGCATTGCTAAGTGAACTGTGTTCCCATCCTCTGTACGAAGCGGAAGTGTTACCTCGACGCATGGAACTATGTAGTTCATCGTCGTGTTGAACAATCTGCGACTAAATAAGTTATCAAGGACCTCGGAAGGAAATGGGAGCGGCAAATCTGTTGTCTCCCGTTTTAATCTGCCAAGCGTCATATTCGACGTTGTTGTGCCGCAAGACAAGGTTTTGCTTTCACCCAAAGTTTCACCCATTTCTGACAAAATCAGAAAAAATAAAGCAAAAATTAAATCTGCAATATTTCTTTTATTTCTAAACATTTTGATTGCTATATTTTGGGCGAATCTTTGATGTAAAATTGGTAGTTTGTTACAATGAGGCTACACATTCAATACATGCATCAAATTTTTGCTATGCAATACGCAATGGTTAACACCATATTGTTAACAAATCTGCATCTGGCTGTTAAATGTGTACGGTGCCGAGTTAAGCAGAAAAATTAGTGCAACAAAATAACGGATATTTGATATGTGTACCTACTTTACGCGGCTCCGAGATTATCTGTTATATGAGAATGAAATATAATTTATGTAAGATTTATTACGACAAAATCAATGTCAGACATTGAAATTATTATTACAAAGTATGCTATTCATATGCAGGTTAAATTATTCTGGAAGTCGGAAATGTGGTCACAGACGACGCAAAATACACGCGACGCATAACATAATTTGAGAATAATATTGGCCATAAAAACCAGAGATTAAACCATAGGATTAAACTGTGTGTGTACAACAATATCTTCGCCTTCGCTGTTACATGCTACAAATAAGCCCATGGAGCTTCATCGACAGTTTATTTGCCAATAAACAGCAAGTTTGTAGCTTATACAATACAATAAACTTGGCAGTTAATTTGAATATTTTGCCCTTTTCGGATGATTTTATGACCTCAACTGTCACCAATCCTGGATTATTTTTGCATGATAAATAATGTTCGTCATCCACGAGTAATTTTTAAACGTATTCACAAATCGACAGTCAGTCTACGTGACGAGTTTGTTACAGAAACATTAGAGTTACATTTGCCTCCCTTGTGCAACAATTTATTTTAGATTGACGACAATGGAGAAAACGTTCATTGTCGTGTCGATTGTTTTTGCTGTCTTCTTAGTGTCATCGACGGGGCTGAAACTGGATGGCTGGACGTGGTCGCATTCCATGAATGAGAAATACCAACTCCAGACGACAATAAATTTAGAATTAGAAATGGTCGTCTTTCGCATAACGTTGTCCATTCCTCCAGAAACCGATCAATGGGTTGGGCTTGGATTATCTTCAAATTCTGGAAAGGCAAATGCAGATATTGTGTTTGGTGTCAACACTGACTCGGGAAGCACTTTTAAGGTATGCATATTGTGTATTAGGAAGATGTCTGCGTAATAAGCTATTTCCCGAGTTACACCTACAAGGTATTTCACTGGTTTGGTCCCCTGGTAGGATTACTACACCTTAGAGGATGGAAAATTATGGGAGGATGAGGGTTCCACAGATTTAAACTTTACGGATTGGAATATGCCAGATTTTATCAAGTTTGAAAACGAGACTGTTATGTCTCTGAATAGATCATTCAAAGTCGACAATTCGACGCAAGACAAGGAAATCAAGGTTAGTCATACATGCATATAATTAAATCTGCGTACGTACATTGGCATAATATTTTTCCCTTCTCATTGTTTACTTGTTATTCACAGGACGAAAATATTTACCTGATTTGGGCGTATGGAACGACTCAAAATGAGACTCATTCTCCTGAAAACGCCACATGGGGACATTACCAAATTAATTTGATTCGGCCAATTATTCCATCCAGTGCCAACATCAGCGTTGTCTCCTTTATTCTGATAGCCGTAACACTTCTTGCATCGTTAAAAAATATTGCTATTTATTAAATTCTTCATTCTGATCCGCTTAATTTATAGTAAAGAATACAAATTTATCTTATTTGTTCATTGGACTGGCTAAAAATTAATAATAAAATTCCTGACTTGAGTGTAACACTTGTTACGTAAAAGTACCTATTGGCATTACATTACATATGTACCTATATTGATGCATGTGGGATGGAGTGAGTGAAATGTGGTAGTCCCATATCGTGACACGAATAATCATTGCAAATGTAAATTTTTATGCATAATGTGAGAAGAATTCGAATTTTTAAACCAAGTCGTTTGGCGTGCTTTATTATACGTACTTTTCACACTACCTGGAATCACACGGCATTATAAACCAAAGTCAAAAATGAAAACCCTTCTTGTTGTAAAGTATCTCTGCGTGTTACGAACTCCAGTTTTTCCATCAATATAATTTATCGGCCAACTAAAATTCAACAAACCCACGCACAAATTTTTCACACATTTAGAAAAAAACATATAACGCAAGTCACACTCCAACACCCATTTTTTGACCAAATTCATTAGTTTTCAGGACATCATGACGGCGAAGGTGCACAACATATTTCTCGTGATAGTCGTAATTTTTGCTACGACATCATTCTCAATACCGGTTGAGGATGATCTTACAATAACCGCAAAGGAGAAATATGCATTGGAGCAGGTACTGAATTAGCTAATTATAATAAGCTTAGAGTGGCAATTGGCATATTAAATTTATCTCCGGTATGAACTATATATTTCCTGTAATTTTTTACCTTTAGTTCAAACCAATGATGACACCTTTAATGCCACATGAATACATGCAAACGGATATTTATCTAATTAAATGGTTAAGAGGTAATTAAAAAACAGTAGAAATCCCCGAGAGTAGACGATTGCGACTAACGATTTGGCTTGAGTATCTCAAGTTTGATTTGCTAAAATTTGCAGCATCCAAACTCAATCTTAAGGCTGCACGAGAAATGATTATTAGCGTAAGCCGATAAGATATAATATTTAGCAATTGCGTGCTATGTTTTGCGTGCGAATATATTCACTTATGTACATAAATTAACACGAATTAATAGAATCTGCGTTGGAGAGAAACAAACAGAATGGACACAATTCTGGAGGAGGACTTTTCTGAGTTTGAAAATGACTTTCCTGCCAGTACGACCGGAACCGATTACGAAGGACGGCCACGTAAATGACTTTACAGAAATTGTCAGCGGAAGAAATATAATATGAAATAGGCGACAATATTTTTATTACTTCTCGAATAGTGAGCATAATCGACTCCTCGAGCTGGGATGTACGCAAGGCAGTGGTCACAGGAAAAGGAGACCAGCTTATGCGGTATGGGTATCGACTAATGGAAACTGGAGTACAGAGGGTTTATGAAGCCCAACGCCGACATGAAAACGTGACCCAGGCCACAACACTCATGAATATGAAGGGTTTCAACCTCATCCAGCACGCCTGCTTAAATTTTAAGGATTATTATTTAATTTTTAAGACTTTGATTTTAGATGGGCGGAAAGATGAGTCATCTTAGATGACACGTAATAATTTCATTGGTATGAATTGCAGGTATTTCATTGTATGTCAATTTCGTCCTGGCATTCGAACATCACTATCCAGGAATGGCTCACCGAGTTGTGCTCATAAACAGTAAGATATTATGAAATATATAATCCAAACAGTGGATAATGTATCACAATATTTGCTTTTGTTTGTATTAAATTTAGCTCCAGCAAGTTTCGAAATCGTTTTGGCTGCAGTCAGGCCTGTGATGAGCAAGGAGACTAGAGAGGCGTTAGTCATTTTCGGAACAAATAAGCAGCAATGGCGTAGATATATTTTAAGTATGGTTCCACCTGACCAACTTGATCATCAATTTGGTGGTAATAAGTTTGATTAAATATGTGGTTTGAAAATATCAATAAATTTGAAAAACAACAGTATAATTTGGCAACTACATATGTATTTCTTGACCTCATTGTAAGGATCACGATGGCGGCGTGACAATTTGTGCATGAATCGTTGTTGACGGTGCAGGTGGGTTGCCTGCTGCGACTGGTGGAGTTGGAGGTCGTGGCGGCAGTGGGAATTCTTCTTGGATGGATAAGGCAATTGAAGGGGTTTGCGATTCGGAATTATGAACTTGAGGCCTCACTTCAGTCTTTGCATCAATAGCTGGTCTCGAATTCACTGAACTTGTCGTCGTTGTCTCGGAAGTTCCATCATTTATTTTTCTAGTGCACATAGAATACGCTTCTTGGATGGTCATGGATATGAGGAGATGAATCAGGAGAAACGAAATAACGCCAGTTGTGGCTAAAAACATTTGCATGTAAAGAATGTTTTGGACCAAAAACTTCATTGCCAAGCCAAATCCACCAACTAGTCCACTCAAGGACATTGCAGAAATTAGAATCCATAGCTTTCTCCCATGGCGTTTGATGCCCTAAATGATAGTAATCAAATAAGCATGAGATCATGACAGGTCGTGCATTATTTATTCTCAATCGTGGTGTAAACCACCCATAGTCCAACTCATAATGTGTACTTATTGTTAGACATACCATTGTCAAGGATGCTAGCGTTAGGCATATTCCAGCACACAACGCAATGCTGAGGGCGATCTTCATGATGGTAATAATTTCAAACAGGTCACTTTTAAGATATTCTCGAAGTGTTGAATAGTGAGCCATTGCTTCCTGTAGATTTTTCGTCTTTTTGTACATTGCGTGACCAATTATATAAATGAGGAACTGCTCGTCAAGTATCAGTTTGTTCAATGCAAAGGAACACACTCCAATTTCTGCCACCCCGAGTACCTGCATATTAAAGTGCGAAGAAATGAGTAAACAAAATTAAAGGTAAATTATATTTTATTCACGTGAAATATATTTATTACGTACGAATGTGATAAATGCTACAATTCCGTTTTGGTAAGCGTTGATGAGATCAAAAATTGAAATCATCGTCTCAAATTTACAACTATGAAATAATATGTAAGATGTAGAGAAGTCTTTATTTCGATGCACTCAACTTGACCAATAAATGTCAAATATATTTATGCACGCAAATAAGTGTCATCATTATCCAGATGTATGTATATAGTTTGAGAATGCGGAAATGTTCTTTTGCTCGAAAATGGATCACCATAGCCGAGATTTTCCTCCTTCTTGACCTAATTGAGAAGGTATATGCATTTTCCAAAAATTGTGGCTTGTTACATGCACAGTTTAAATTCGATTCATTAGGTAGAAAAGTGGAATTAATGACCGAGTGCCTGTGACTAGACTGTGAGTGGTACGAATTTAAGGGGAAATAATTTTGGTGTATAACCGCACTAGTATTATTTACCTCATCATGAATACATACCTAAATACATAGCCAGACTAGCGAATTTCCCAAAATAAGGAAATTTTACTTGCACAGCATTCTCTTCTACCACAACAGCTTTACTTCTTTAACATGCCAAAATATTCATCTGGAGAATAATCAAATAGCTGAAAATCAGGTTTATACAATTCGTACAATTGATTCATGAGTGAATGCGATAATTGCGAATAATACCAAGAGTCATTAAAAGAGCTTCTTAACGTATTTCGATTGATCCATCGATTCCAAACACGCTCAACTTCCCTAGATTCGGATGAATTATTTGCCAAATCCAATAGCTTGAAAACTTGCATTTTATCCGTGTCAATTTCTTCTAATTTTAAAATGAGATCAAATTTATGGTGACAAGGAGAACAATCGAGATATTGTGGACGCCAATGTTCATTCATTGTAGTCTGATCAACAGTCGTGACCAAATATTTGCAAAACTCTTCGAAAGTTGGAACTCGTAGGTTAATCGAATCTTTTAATTTAGTTGACGTTAAGTCTCTAGAGGAGGAAATATTATCTATTTTAGAAGAAGAAACTATCTTTTGCTTCACACCAGGATAATTACGGGGTGCCGTTTTCTGCTGCAACTCAATTCGGGAAATTACTCCAAACGGCGACGTTATAATGTGGTAACTTTTGCCCAGAACTGTGAGTTTCATTTCCTTTGCTCGACGAAATCTTTTTATGATAGCTTTGCCAATAGTGTTACTATAATACTCACGACCTTTAATTCTCTCCAATTTATCTCGATACGCAGAAAGAATGCGTTTAAATGGGTGTCGAACTACAACCATCGTAAAAATTTTAAGCTTTTCCTCTCCTCGTGCCAAATTTGCATGTGCTGCAGAGTTATGAAACATTCGAAAATTTTTTGCCAAATGCATGAAAGTGATGTCTCCTTTCCGGATTTTTTCCTCTGTTATATCAGAAAGTGCTCCGGTGAGCTTGGCAAAGACAGCCATCCACGAAGAGGACCCTGACTTGTACAATGGACACCATTGCATTTCCAACTCTCTAAAATTATAAATTACAAGAATTTCTTCACTAAATACAATGGATAGATTTATATCAACAATATTTAAATTATATTTGCATGTATGTTACCTTGCATTGTGTTTGTAGAAGATCCAGCGGGTTGGATTAGTGGCTCTCATGAAAAATTTACTGTTATCTTTATTTTTACGTGTTGGAATACTATTGAGGTTTGTTAGAGGTGACTCGGATGTTTGCTCATTATCATCGTTATCATCATCCACACCAGTCATCAAACTTTGCAACTGATCTTCCTCACGAAACATGACAAAACATGCTTGTTTAGTGGTATTTCGTCGTGATGCAAAGTATTCGAGAACTTCTTTATGATGGTTCTATATGTATTGTATTAAGTTACAAATATTAATTGTCGCCTGTCAAGTATTTCAAATGTATTTTTTTCATAAATATGAAGCTAACCTCAGCTTTTTTGCGGTCTCCTGTCTCATAACTTCCATAGCTTGGCAAGTCATCCAAATCTTTCTTTGAGACTAATCCATTCACGCTAATCGACGAGATATACTTGATGTTAATGGCAGCAGATTTTAAGAGGACAGCACGACAGCGGCCGACGCGATCTGAATTCAGTGGGACAGGTGCAAAACATTCGTCCCTGAATTGCACAATGGCCAGCACCATAAGGAGAACTGTGAAACAGGAAATGACACAAACCCACGCAGATCGTAATTTCCTTTGTAACTTTCTAATTAGCCACATTTCAATATGAAACTCTCCAGAAGTAGAATGTGTGGAAGAAACATTGAAAATCGATGTATTTCTGTTTTAAGTTTTGATTTCGCAGAGGAAGCTACCCAGTTTATCCAACACCCATAAGTTACTGTGCCGCTAAAACAATAAATAACTTACGGTTTAGTCAGTTTAAATTCTTACTTATTCATGTGCTATACGGTAAAATAAGTGGCTAAGTTTGTGGGACGGTACAGGTATTGATTTTATTTCGTATTGGTATTCGTCGTAATTGTTCAACTTCTTGTTTATACATGCATGTGTACATGTAATGCATAGCTGTATATTTCAAAGTCAAAATAAAGCATGAATAATTCATGCCATAAAGCAGAGGTAATAATTACTTATCCATACCAATATCGCATTATTTTTATTTCTAGGTCGTCTTATATAATTACTACAGACAAAGCAGCGTGGCTGAGGTATTATTATGGGTTCAAACATACATACTATATGCACAATAAATATTTCGTAATAAATAGATTATATTTCCAATCAAAATTTTGTAACTGAGCTCTGCAAAAGTAAAAACTTAGTAATGATAAACATGATATTTTATTATATCCTGTACAAGATTTACTAAGTAATTCAACTACAAAAATTTCCAGCACATGTATGCCCCAGTTTGCAGTACCTCCTCAGCACAAACGTTGTGATCAAAATTAACGTTCATAATCCTGTATTTGTCAATGATATCTTCAATGTAGCGAACATTTACCGGATTTAATTGTGTCCCTTCAATTTCCAACCTTTTCAGCTGCGGCATATTCCAACACATATCAATGAACTCAAAAGTTCTTTGGCAATCATTGATCACATTGATTTTCAACTTCCGGAGCTCATTCCAGGTTATACTGCAAGCGGACTGACTAACTCTGAGTTGACGAAGTAGAGAGGAACACAGTTCAGGCCCTTCCAGGGTTAACACCTCCACAAAGGGAACCAAATCCACCAAGGTCCTGACATTGGAAGAAGTAACGTATCCCGACAAATGGAGCGACGTAATAATATTGCTTTCCTTATCCACCATCTGCTGAAAGGCAGAGTTGGACAAGAGTTGATAAGAGTCCTTGACGCCGTGGTATTCTGCCTTGATCGGAATGTACTGTGCGTTGGGGACGTAATTTACTATTCGATCTACGTCATGTTCTTCCAAGTTGTCACTGTTCATCCGGAAGTAGAGGACTTTACTCCCACATTTTTCCATCCACGACTCCACTTTCTCCAAATCCGTGGCAAGGTGGATGACGAGAGCAAATTTTTCCGAGGGACATGCTGACTTGAAGTTAAAGCTTTGCGAGTGAATTTCCAGGAGGGAGATGTTCTTGGGAAGAACGTAGCTCGTGGTCCAAGTGGAGTTTAGACTTTCTCCTGGTGGGGGAAAGCGCGTGATGAGCGTCTTTTCTCGGAAAACGGAGGAGGTGAGGTTAACGTGGATAAAGAAAATGGAGAACAGCAGTACAAAGGCGATCAGAGTGCTGACAATGACGGTAAGAAGTCCCCTATGCTCAAATCTATGTTTGTCAAGCAGTCCTAGTGAGGAGGATGAATCATATTCATACAAATATGAGATGTGGGTGGTTTGGTTATTAGATATTATATAATATATGCATTTTTAGTTGCCTTGTTTTTAACTTACCAGATTGAAGTTCCTCTTCGATTGGATTTAGCTCTTCCGTGGTAACTCGGTACACAGGATCGTTAATCAACTGTTTTGAATCCTCCTCAGGTAATTTTAGACCCATGTTAGAAAAGAAGCTTCACAATAGTTATTCCACTTTTGCAGTATCAATCTCAATATTGAGAGTACAATATGCAATAATTTTGGGGCCAGTTGATACTTGAAATACAGAGAAAATCCTAATTAATCATAATGCACACGTATGTATACTCAGACAGGTTAATAAAAACTGTTAGCTTAAACAATGTAATGACAATTCGATATAACCATTTGACCATTGCACTTACTTTATTGGCAATTGTCAGGTGTTTCCCGAACTGATATTGCGTTTCCGTTCTTCAACCAAAGTTTAGTTTATCTGTATAAAAAAAGTACTGCATGTCGAATCGTGGTTTGAGAGCACGGATGAGATGGAATTTGTAATGGTTACCAAAGATTAAACAGCGTTATCACTAAACTAATTGACGAGTTTGTGCTCATCATCAGCGGTGCGCGATCTATTTGTTCCACCACCGCATCAGCATCATCATAAACACATATCGCCATTTTGCGTGTATGCTCTATGCATCATGCTCTCAATTAACCTTTCCGTTTCATTTTTTGTAGGTTTTGTCAAAACATGATGATAATGGTTTCCATTGAACAGCACTGACTGAAATCACGCCAACAACTGGGACCAACTTTCACTGAATTACATGCGTCTGATGCCATACATGCAACATTTGTATACTCTCATTGTATAAATTGTATTTCCAGTTATGTATATAGCGGCACGTAGGAATGGGTGTGCCATGTCGATCGTGCCACACAGTTAAGTTTAATACCCAGTCCATCATGTCCAAATTAGTGTTCCTCTTCATAAACGACAAGACTAATGCCATAAAACTGATATTGAGTCACGATGAAGTGAAGTTATTTGCAATATTAACTTTGTAAAGTTATGCATTGCTTGTTTGAGTATTATGTATGTTCTGTTATTAAGATATCAAATATATGTACGAGTTCACTTCCGTGAGCTTCAACCTTCGAAGGATATTTCTAAATTGATTTGATTCATAAATAATATTTCCCGTCCATTGTGAAACACAATATGTACACACATACATTTGTCCATGCTTATGCACACATGTATACATAAATAAATTCTTAATATAACTGTGTGGCAATACTGATGACAAATTGTTAAAACTGAGAACCAATTAGCTTTACATTAGTTCAGGCTTTTTGTAAAGGTCGGATATTTTGTTGTACATAAGTACTTGACCGGCCTGCTGAACTCATTTCAAGTATTACGTACACAATCAATATACGGTTGAAAATGTTATTTTTCAGCCTTACAACCGAACATTCCCTTCATTGATGCATTGTATAATAACCAATTTTTATCGTAAAAAGCTGACCATATTGACTAATCATGTGCCTACTAATCTTTTTTAACTGAGTAAATGGGGTAAATAATCAATAATAATCTGATAAGATGATAATTCTCAAAAATGTGAATGATAACGGATTAAGTAGGCTTCTGCGATTAATTTGAACTAAAATTGGATTTATTATCGTCTTATTATGTACCAGTTGATTTCTGTGGTTTAACAAAGTCGCGTCTGGAATTGTCGAATTGCATTGGTAGGAAAACATTTCAAACGCATTTCTTGAGCATTTCTTGAGGAAATCATCATGAAGGTGGTGTGGTCAACCTTTCTCGTATTTTTTGCCTTACATGCCGAGAGTTTGTCAGAGGGCGTGCCTCCATTCCACCCAGAATCAATCGAAAACATCTTATTTCCGAATTCTCAAGAAGTAGAACTAAAGTCCTTCCGCGTTCCGTCGCCACGATTCCGTCTGCCAACTTCTTTTGACCCATATCACTATGCAATTAAAATACGGCCAATTTTAGAAGTAATTACAGGCGATTTTCCCCAGTGGTCAGCCCCTGGAGACGTGACGATTTTCGGGACATGTGCATTCCCTACTACAAATATCACGCTTCATTCTCAGGTGGCAATTAACGAGGCTTCCGTAAAGGTAAATTACACCCAGTGACACGGTCATAATGCCACAACATTGCATTCCTGAAATTACTTTTAAGGTCGTAAACACTGTCACACAAGAAGAGGTCGCTGTTGTGGGTCACTCGTACGACACGGAAAAGACGTTTTATATAATTGAGCTTGGGACCTCGCTGAGTGTTGGCATTCAGTACTCCGTCTACATTGAGTACGTCGCTGAGGTTTATCTGGAAAACTTGGAAGGTCTGTATCGCAACCATTATGACGACCCAGACACAGGAGTGACCAAGTAAATTATCCCGTTGAGGGATTTAAAATTAATCATTTGCATATGTTTCGAGACCATCTTTGTTTAAATGTTGTCTATAATAAACAGATATTCAATCGCTTCTCAGCTTCAAGCATTTGGAGGTAAAAAAAGATGAAACCGTGTGAAAAGATGTTTATTGAAAAATTTTCCACTTTTCTATTTGCTACGTTATTTATTTCAGCTCGTAAAGTATTTCCCTCCTTGGATGAGCCTGCCATGAAGGCGACATTTGATGTGAAACTTGGTCGACGAAGCAATTATTCGAGCATATGCAATTCTCCACTTGTGGATTCCTCGCCAATGTAATCACACTAAATATACTACTGCATAAGATCTACATCTAAATAAAATGGTAATTAACGATTAGTGTACTGATATAGTCCCGGGATGGATGATTGGTTCTGGGATACGTTCAACACAACTGTGAAAATGCCAACGTACTTGCTGGCGGTTATCATTTCAGATTTCACTTACGACGAAGCAAGTCCCGACATTTTCCACAAACCTGTTCGGGTATGGAAAGCGACCAATTTTATAAATGGCACTTATTTGTATTGATGAATCACTGGTGTGGTATGCAAAATATGTACATATAATCTTAGACGTACGGACCTAAACACTTGATTGATGAAGGACACGGTGTTGTTCCATCTGAAATAGCAGCAAAAGTTCTCTATTTTTTCGAAGGTTAATTACTTTATGATTATCAGGACATTCTAATGAAATGAAAATTTCTACAGCATAAAAATCAGTAGAATTTTACAATTTTTAGAATTTTTCGATGTCGAATATTCCATGCATAAAATGGATTCTGCAGCTATAATTGACTTTCCAGCTGGCGTATGCTCAACAAACTATTTATTTCAAAACAAATATTTATGCATTTTACAAAGAAATACAAAATATGCAAACATGTCATTTAATTGTATTGCAGGCCATGGAGAATTGGGGTTTGAATATTTACAAGTGCGTTTCATTTCGATTCATGAAATGACACTTTTCAAGTGCAAGTTAATATATGTATGCCGTATTATTCAATCCGATAGGGATGCTTATTTGCTCTATGCGCTTGACCAGAATAATGAAAGAGAACGTCGTGGCGTTGCTCTTACGTTGAGTCATGAGTTGGCGCATCAGTGGGCTGGCAACTTGATCACCTGCGACTGGTGGACGATGGCGTGGTTGAACGAGGGGTGTGAAACCGAACAAGATTTATTAACTATCAAACTTTTAAAAAGTAAGCATGCTAAAATCTTTCCTGTGCTTAGATTTGCGACCTATCTCTCTTACCAGGGGATGGAATACACAAATCCAGAGTATGAGGGACAGAAAGCTCTGCAATATGACTGCATCATGAATGGTAACTAGACACATTCAACACGGGACCCCTTTGAATCAAATTAGCAATTCTATTTCAGCAATGCGAAATGACATTCTCGACAATTCCCACCCGACCGTCCTTCCCGACAAAGGAAACCCGTGGGACACAATGACCTACAATGCAAATTTGGTTTATTCAAAGGTACGTTAAAATCGTAGTAAAATTAGCGCAAATTTTGTCACATTTAGGCCTACAATTTTACTTCAATTTTGTTTATTCAACAAAGGGAGCGGCGTTGATGCGTATGATGGAAGGATTTCTGACTCTGGGAACTCTGCAGAAGGCCCTCCAGACCTATATGAAGGCATAGTTCGTGAAAATAATTCCTACTCCGTTGATTGTCTGAAATGAAAAACTATTTACTAAACATTTTAAATTCACAGCTCATTCCAAGCAGCCAATCAAGATCAACTTTTTCTAATTTTAACTGGACAAGCTAACGCCGATGGTGAAAAAAATTACCTGATTTAATTAAGAACAGTAACTGGGCTTTTACAATTAATTTTATTTATAGGTCGCCTGCCCGTTGGTTCCACTATGAAGGGAATTATGGATACGTGGACATTGCAAAAGGGGTTTCCTTTGGTGAAAGCTACTCTTAATAACAACGCTGTAGTTTTGACTCAGGTTTGTACATACTTATGAGGCATATTTTCGGATATGTTCCATTCCACGTTGCATTGATTTCTTTTAATTAAATATAAAAATTTGCAAGCAAACTTTCGGGTGCAACCGTCAATGTAGCATAGCTATTTTAGAATTATATGCAACCACACCCCTTTTAAAAATTGAGGAAAGAAACTAGAAAAAATGAGAAAGCCAATGTACACTCTGTAACATAACAATTAGACCATAACTTGCATTTGAAATTTGACTTGTCCCATGAATACGAACATTCTGATGCATCAAAAGTTTCAAAATTCGAAAATTGGCGGTTTTTTGACGTACACATAAATCGTTAAAAAACTCGTGGTTGCGGTCATTTTTAGTCTGACAACCTGATGCCAGAATTTTCTCCATGAGACGAGCTACATTTTCAGCTTTTGTTGCCCGAGTAAAAATGACCGCAACCATGAGTTTTTTGGGGTCAAAGTTGCTGTGGGGGCCATCTTATATCGCAAGAGCCGTAGCAAACGAAGACTAATGATATACCAACATTTAAGTTTTTTGTATTTTGATAAGCCAGCCTTTAAGTAACCCAGTATAGTTAATTAAACTAGACGCATGATTGATTGAGTGAGCGTGATAAAGTGCGACGGATACGACACTGACGAGCGATGATGGTAGATACCCACCAGAACCCGAGTTTAACACTTTCTCTCGCGAAATATGGAAAATGCTTTTATGGAACACTTGCTCTGGTTTATCTCTTATATATTTACATTGTGCATTTACACATTTACATATATTTATACTGTATGTTGTCTTCTTGTATCATGACCAATTTGCCAAGGATTAAAGAAATAAATAATTTTTTGGTTTTGTTGTGTCTATAACAGGAGGAATACAGACCGGACAATGAGACAAGAATTTACTTTATCCCAATTGCTATAGCCTCTCAGAGCTCTCCTAACGTTGATAACACACTGCCACAGTTCTGGCTATTCCAGCAACCAAATGGAATCCCGATTACGCATAATCCTGATGAATGGTTTGTTGCCAATTCTGGTGGCACAGGTAATCAAGTAATTGAGTTGTACTATGTCGTTACGTCTCCAATTTAACTTTAATTTGTCATGTTAAGGTTACTACCGAGTGCAGTATGATGCTGTGTTAACGCAGAAAATTCAAGACCAATTAGTTGTAGATCATGAAATCATCAGTTTAGGAAGTCGTACGCAGTTCATAGATGATTATTTCACCCTGGCATTCGCAGGTATCTTTATAATTAAGGGAATATTTATGACCGAGTGCAAAATTATTACAAAATTGAAACTACTTGCTAGGTCGTGAGGGTATTGAGGCAGCGCTTGGTTTCACCAAGTACATGGACAAAGAACAAGAATCATCCGTTTGGAATGCGTTGACTTATCACTTGCAAATACCCAGACGGCTCATGCTTGGGCGACCAGAGTCTGAAGGATTTAAGGTATCCATTAGGCTTCTGAAACGCGAAATTGTTTTTGTAAGTTAAGGTGCCGGTAAATGCATAATTATGATGTGTTGATCTCAGGACTACATGCTTGCGAGAGTATCATCAGTTTTGACCCAACTGCAAAATTCAAGTGATGTGAACGTTGGGGCAGCCAATTTATTCTATGTCGCACTGGTGGATGCATCCGTAGCATTTGGTAACCAAGAGGTCTACAACTTGGCAAATCAGTACTATACTCAATGGCAACAAAATCCTGCTGTGAATCCGTGCGTACATACATGAACACACATATCCATTAATTTGCATAAAAGAAAATATTAACGAGAATTCAAAATTTCAGAATTCCTCCATTATTGAGAAGAAACATGCACTGTGCTGCCGCACGGGACCTAAACGATGAGAATTTCATGTTTGCTCTAAATGCTTTTATGGGTCAATCGGCGTCATCCAGAACTGAGATTATCCAGGGACTCGCATGTCGCAGTGATCCGGCCACTCTTGAACTGTAATTTGATAGACATGTTCTTCTAATACTTGTTTTCCTGTAAACGGGCACTCATAATATAGCATTTTTCAGCTTATTGGGCGTGACCACAGGGACAACTGCGGAAATCCCTAGAGAATACTCGCAGGCAGTAATTACTGCAATTGCTGGAGTTTATGAGAACATTGGTAACATGATTCCCTTCCTGATGAACAACTTTGACGCCATTTCCGAGTACCAAGGGAGCCAGAGGTTGATTGCCAACGCTATCAGAGACCTTTGTAATCTACATTCAACCAGCACGGAAAGCAGCATTGTAAATAATTATTTTTCCAGTGCTAGCGTTACGCATCTAAATAATTATATCAATTTGTACTTTGTTCAGATCAACACCTTCGTCACAATGAACCGAAGCAAGTTCACAGATCCCGCAGATCTTACAATTATTGACAATGCGCTCGTTACTTTGCGAAACAATATCGCCTGGATGGAAGCATTTGGAAATCCCATGAACACGTGGTTTAACAACAACAAAAATAACTGATTGATTTGAAAGCATTGAAATTACCAGCTACTATATTAAGTGTACAAATTGGCTTCCCATTCTATACATTGTAATCTTCATGAATTGAGATTAAATGGGTTTTATTGCACCAAGCGATAATCAATCATCATCTTTATGGCATGAATACGTCCGACCACGCATGTTAACAATTTTCACCAGTCAATTAAATAATTGTTAGCAGTCTCAGTCAGTATGTCTCACGTTGCCTCAATGAACGTGAGAAAATGGTGAGAAAAGTGAGACGGGGCTGAATGAGACCATCTGAGTCGCGAGGAAGGTTGTACCTGCCATCTAACTCCGTGCCTGGTCACCACCACCTCGTTGGTTGCTCCAATCTTCAATGCACACATCGTGCTTCATTCATCACCTCGTTCCTTTAGCTCTGTTCCGGTCTCTTGAAAATAATTCTACTCGGAATCGGTGACAAATTTCGAAAATGGTAAGTTCCTGTCAATTTTGTTTTGTAGTTTTCATATTATTATGTTGTTGTAAGTGGGTGTAGTTGTTAGAAGAATTTTTTGGGGGAGAAAAACCTACAATGTTAAACTTTTCTGGGTTCTCTCTCTTACGGCTAAAATAGAATTGTAAATTGGCCGAGTTTTAATTGTGAATTTGTGAATCCTCATAATTAACGAGCCAAATACTTTGTATTTTCAGTCGGCCCATAAAACGTTAAGGATAAAGCGAAAGCTGTCCAAAAAGATGAACCAAAATCGTCCTATTCCACAATGGATAAGGATGAGGACAGGAAATACGATTCGGTAAGAAGAAATACGATAACCGGACAATTTGTTGTTCTTGTTAACTTGCAATGGGGACTAATTTACCATTTTAATTTCTCAGATACAACGCGAAGAGGCGTCACTGGAGACGAACGAAGCTGAAATTGTAAAAGGTGAAGCTATTGTTCTCGAGTCAGTTGCCGAATAGCTTCAAAATAATTCTAATTTTGTTTTTATAAATTGGAAGTAATAAATTTTTGGTCATCTCCAATTTCGGATTGTAGTTGCGAGATTTTATTCGAAATTCAAATTGTTAGGAGTATGTAACATCCGTTACTTTTAATTTAATTTTTTAAACCTCGTTATCTTTGATGTAACCATTATTTTTAAGATCATGTTTATTATTGCATTTGCAAAGTTACGAGTGCATCATCTTTTAGTATGCAAGTTTTGTTTTACGTGTTTGCAAACACTTGCTACATGTAAAATTTTAAAAAAAGATTGTCGCTTTAGTTTCGCTAATGACGCTCTTCTGAGCGTCAGCACATTTATGGTACAGCAGAAAGTAGAAGCAGTGTCGTTGTAATCCACATTTATCATCGTTACTACCTCATGATTAACGCATTCTCTGACATCAAAATATTTATAAATAGCCAACAAACCGGCTAAATGCATCACTTCTTAGGAACATGTCATCTGCAGATATTTGTAGAGTGCACATGACCTTCACTCCAGACAAAAGTTTAACCGGTTAAACCTTAATATTAATATAGCTTATGAAAATATAAAGTGTTGAGGCAGGTACATAGAGCTAGATAAGCTCTAACATTTCCTGTACTCATGGCTTCATGCGTCCTTCATTGTGCTACAATGGAAACTGATCTATGGTTCTTGATCCTCGCATTTTTCGGGTTGTGCAAAAACAAACATTTTGCACGTATGTATGCACATATAACGCTCACCGCTTGTTATGTTATGAACTTGGCTATTTTTTACATGCTTTCCATTTATGAGTATGAGTATAAACTGAATGCGCAGCTAGAAATCGCTATTGCATCCTTGAAAAGAGCCAACAAAATTTGGCACAATTATCAGCTTCCGTATGATCATTGTTATATGGTCGCCCAAACACCCAATGCATGTCGAGGAAAATCTCGAGTTAGTGTGATCCAGCTAGACCTGTCGTGTACATAAACCTTCTTTTTAGAATTTTCAGTTGAATACATTTCAGTCGAGAAAGTGTACGTGCAGGGGACACAAAGGACAATAATTAAGAAAGGTGAGAAGAAACGCTGTGTGGAACTCTTTGGGCATGCAACGCGTCCCACGAGACTACTCCCCCGAGCGCCCAGGCGACGAACTGAGGGCGCTGAATCGAGGGGACGATGGAAATCTACGATTCTTGGACCTTCCCAACAAAGGGTTGCCGTTGTCCAACGCTTCGTCATCCTCAGATTTCCTGAGAGAAGACACCTCCCCCATTTTCCGGGCTGGGGTCCGCATTGCACCTGCTGTAAGAAAAAGAGTGTGAAAATGTGTGATTTCTTGTCTTTGTCAAAAACTGCATTGCACAGGACCGCTGCATAAATATATTTATTTTAAAGTACAGAAGTCTCCCATAATTATTTAGTTAGAGTACTCGCACTCTACTAAATATTTTCATAATGTTTGTCATCAATGTGGTCCCAAAATTTTTGTTTCGGCCCACAATTTAAAATCGCAACTGCTAAGCACATCTATCATTCAATTATTTGTAAACAAAATTTAATGCTTTTATGTTATGAAACCGGTGACTGGGTCTGTCGCCTCTGACTGAAATGTTTGGAATAATCTGGTCTATGTTTATCGATTCTCACCAGAGTTTAGCCCTTTCTCATTGGTTGACTTTGGAGGATTGGCATTGGCAATGCAAAACCATATATGTATACAAACCGTAAACATTTATTCCTCCTATGTACGTATATCTGATATTAATGTATGATAACAGATAAACTAAAACTATATACGATGTAAAAAATCTTATTTAATTCATGAGCAATTTCATATCTTCCAAGAACTCGGGTAGTTTAAAATTATGCAGCTTGATGCTTGAACAGCCTGAACAAAATTAGTTCCACCATTAAATTGCAAAATTTGCTTGTATGAATTTTCAAACGCAATGGAACAATAAAGTCGGCACCTGATGATGATACATACATAATAACATGGCAGTATTTCAGTCATGAGTCAAGAGAGCAACTCGTACGCACAACTCTACAACTATGATATTCATTAAGCAGTCGAGACAAAACAGCAAGTTAACATTAGCAGTCGACAAGATCCGACCGAAAAACCGGAAGAAATTTCTAACATCATTTGTATGTCATGAGATGCTATTGCGTCATCAGGATCTAACGTCATTCTCCTTTTCAAAACTCACTTTGAAGCTAACATTCTTGATTTGCCTATAAACAGAGTTTATTAAACTTTCAGTGGATTAAATTTCTCACTTTTTTGCACATCTAAGACAAACAAGGCAAACTTTTAAGGCGACAAAGCAATTAAGGAGGACAAGAGTCACTCGATAATATCAAGACCACCCGATAATTGCATGAGTCTTTGTATGCACAACTCATGTACATCATACCAATCTAGACAGTGTAAAACAATGTAAACACATTGATAATATCTGAAACCTGCTAGAATGCCTATATATTTGACCAACAAAAAACTACCCACCTACACTAGTCATCAATTCGGAAGATAACATCGGGCCAAACGAAACTACATACATGTTCTGTGCGTATGAATTAAATTAATACGGCGCAGAAGAGCCGAAATTGAGAAACGTATTGATTCATTGTCCGTAGTTTTGCGAAATAGGCAAACACAGGTTTTCGCAGTCGCACGTCGTACCCAGCATGGAATTGGATATACCAGTTTCGTCCTGCTGCTGCTTTCCCTTTCTCACGAATCCCACCAACAGCTCAACCCACTACTGCCCGATATTATATGAAACTTTCACCCACATCCATACTTTCTGCACACTCGCCAATCTCTATACTTCTCGGGAACAGGTCACGAGAAACTACCACACACCATCTGAGACTCAGTTACGCACTTGCTGACCCAATCTGACTTTCTCCAAGAAAATATTGGCATATGGTAGACTTATCTTTAATAGAGAAGGGATCATTAGTTATCAGAATTATCAGATGCAAGTAGAAGTCATTTAGTCATTTTTGCAAAAAAATTTCGAGGGCAGCTTGGATCTAGAGTTATATGTATATACATATAAATCTGCGCGTGTTTCAGGAGAAAGTGAATCTGATAAAAATCTTATTGGCACAAATTACTGAATTATTTCAGAATGTCGGTATGCAATTATTTCTAATCATTCCTGCTTGATCAAAAGCTATTTAAAATGCGGTATTACTTAATTGTTATGTCAAATTTTGACGCTGCTTCCTTTTCGGGATGATAAATAGAGCGAAGACGGTGATCAGCAGGTAACTTGAAATTACGAATGTTTTCTATGTGAATAATTTCATGGGTAGTAATAAAGTTCATAGTTCACGTAGAAATGCGCACATAAAAGTACAGATCCGTATATTTATTACATAGTTTAACTTTTTTTGATAGAAAGAAATCGATTTTCGAAATATTTCTGGTAACAGTTCAAGTAATTTGGATCAACTCATCAATCATCATCATGTGTCATAACGAATTAGATCAATCGTTACGCTAGGACTACTTATCAGCAGCGGGTGTGTTGACGAATTGATGTCAATAAACACCGCACCCTGTACATTGTGTAATTGTGCTCCAGAAAGAAATAAATACGGATCTGACTTATATGTCTGCATATTACTAGCTCTTCCCCTGAATTTGATACTATTTGCTCGAGTTAATTGAGGTCATAATCCACTTTGGCGACTATGTCTACAAGTGGTCGTACATATTTACTTTAGTCTTGAGAACTTGACATTATAGCAATTAAATCATCATTGTGTTGTAATACGAACAGTCGTATCGTGCAATTTTCTAAAGATCGCAAAATAATTATTTTCCAAGTATCTCATATTACCAATACATGTATTTATGTACATATGTATGCAATGCATACTATTCTATGCATTACTTTGACTCTATGCAGAAATGTTATGAAATTATGTATCGTTGAATTTCACGCTGCTCTCAGGAAAGTAACCCAATTAATCCTCAAAATGGAAATGGTGGGCAACAGAAGGTAAGACCACAAGTAGTGATTTGATTTCTACGAAACAGTTAAGTGAGATGATTATTAAATTATTTGTAGAATAAGATAATTATAAATACAATATGACAGGCTCAAAAGTTATCATTCGTTCTACTTTCACTGGAACAATCATATTATATGATATGAAGTCATGATTTTTAATTTTTTAATTCAATTAAGTGCATGGTGCATATTTTTGCCAAACTGCATTGTTTAATACCAAGCACGATTCCAGCAGATGGACGCAAATCACAAAACCAGGTATGCAAACTTGGACAACCATTGAATAAATTGACACATGTGTGTGTATGTGGTCGTCCACCAGTAATTCATTCGCCAATTCAATGATCCATACGTGGCTGACTGGTGACATGACGAAATATTGGGCCACTACTGTCAAAGTGTCAACTGTGATTGTGGCCGGCATGAGCATTTTCATTTGCATGCATATTGCATATGCCATGCATGGGACGCCTCTGTGGTGCTATATTCTTGAAATTTAATCGTAGGAAGCAAACTTTAATTGGGGAATGAGTAAAGCTAAATGTAATACCAGATTAATTATATAATTAGCAATTGGTATTTAGTGCTTGAACTATTGCAGAATAGTATTAAAAGTGCCGAACTGACACTTGCTCTCACAGGACCTTTCAGTATCCATTAGTATCTTTTTAGGCTATTAAAAATATGTGATACCAATCGTTCAGCATTCACCACGTTCATGCGATGCCATGCCGGTCATGCTCTTATCAATCTCAGATTATATTCTTGTAATAACTAGAAAGATAACTTGTAATTATATCTGGTAGACGACAAAGGTTAAGTTGTATAAGTTTGATAAAGCAAACTTTCATAGGGGTCATTTTACGGCATTTCACCACTCATCACATCATTTCACGTACAACAGTAAGTATTTAAATTGCAATGATTGCAGTGTTACATACGTATAATGCACAGTTATTGACAAAATCCAATACCCAATAATACCCATGTACATATGTATGTACCTCCGATAAATCAGTTTTCACTTCAGTAAATCTGAGGTAAATTCTATTCTTACTTATTTAGTAAATAAACTGCATGTTTGTAAATTGCAATGATAATGATGAAATGCAGACGTGAATAACTTGAACGGGTAAAATGCGGAGGAAGTAAAGACGCAAATATAGGATTTGCCAAACCCCCTGCAGAAACTGAATGATCCGATCCAGAATCACAATCGTATTAGTATCATTACGAGCATACACATGTGGGCATGTATTACATATTAACTATAACCACGATTTCGTAATCGGGGTACCCCTGGAAAATCTCGGTTTGACTATCAACGTAAAGATCTGCATTGCCTAATAACGTAGGGCAGGATTTGCAATAGGAGAATATACAGTCGAAAGCCAATTCCATCCTGTTCGTTGATGAGTTCGCTATATCGCCTCATTTTCGCAAGTTGGTTGGTCTTATGATGATAATGCTAAAATAAAGAATCTGCAACTCGAGACTCTCGATGGAATCCTATAAGTACAGGCAAACTTGGCATTTTCCTCACAGTCTCAATCTTCCCTTTCTTTCACACTTTACCACTCTGGTTGTGATACATTCACGCACTTATTAAGTAACAATTTTAATAAAATTGCACATAAAATCGAGATTTCTAAAAATACACCGAGGAAGTTTCAACACTATCAGCCGTTGAATAATAATTTAATTATTTAAATAAATAAAAAGTGTCCCAACATAATCTCCACTCCACTTCAGTCTCGGGTGGTGACACTGATTTTAACTTGTTTGCACAAAGTAATTGGCATTCTGTAGGGCGATTGCTTCACTGAGATTTTGTGCAAAATAAACAAACTCCCGTCTCATATCAATCTCGGCCTTCAATACTGATTAATTTCAATCAGGCAGTACATGACATTGTGTGAAGTCGGCGTTCCAGGTGAATCGATTGACATAATTGTAGTTTCACCACGAGGGCAGAAACTGAAACTGTGCTGCACAAATAGCAAAATATAGTGATAAGAAGTTACTGAATTGATTAACTCCAAAGGTCTCGACCGTTCTTTTGCACTTCAGCCATTGGCAGTGAAATACCTCTAGTTGGTACATTTAATATCAGCATTGGTGATAATTTGACATTCGAAAATCGCGTCGTGAGTTTTTAAACATCGTCTTGAACCCATCAAGCTAGAAAAATGGTCATCAAGAGAGTTCCGGTACGAACATTTTACTTTCTACAAATAAGTTTAAGAAATATTTTGCAACCACGGTTTATTTTAGAATGATAAAATGGAAATACATCTTTTGTATGTCCATATATAGCACTAATTTTATTTGAAAATATAGATGCTATTATGCTATTCTAATGATGATTTGGAGCAGTTTAGAAGATTAGAATGCTTCAGAATGAGAAAAATCGTAATGTATTTATGTACAACATAAATGAACATGAAAAGAATAACCAAACCTTCATTTCTGAGCAATGAGATTTCCAAGGATGGAGATGGAAGTTGTTCATTCATTTTGTTCATTCATTTTGTTCATCATTAATATTCAGCTATCAGTAAAAGTACAATTTTACTATGAATTTGATATAACCAGAGCAAGAACCCAGAGGCATAATAAAACAATCATTTTTAAACTACCCTGATGAGCTTGCATTTCTATGCAATATTTATATAGTAAAGTCTTATAAGATTTGATATTGTTTTAAATTCCACGAATTTGCATAATTCTTCTGAATTATCTCTTCTTACTAGATCATTAAATTTATTTTCACTACTTGATATGATATATTTGAGGATCAACGAGCCCATAAAGCTTTTAAATACGTACGCTTAATTCTTCCTTACGGAATACGCCGAATCAAATAAGTTGATATAAAATTATCTTTTGCTTACATAATCTGCGCGAAGAAAACTTGTGCCAATAATTTATATTTAGAGCACAATCACACATTTGTTTGGTTATACATAGTCCGACCATAAGTTCCTGTGAATGCATTTCCGGTGATAAAGCCCAAAGTATTAGAGCTATCTGATAGAAATTTTTGTGGATGAACAAGGTATTAATCTTGTTTAGAAATCATAACTTCGTTTTCACAATTTCCTCCACGGGCTTGTACACAAGACATAAGTCGTGGCGAAAACTGCTCGATCGCGGCACGCACGGATTTCCTGGGAAAAGCGCCAGATCTTCAGTAAGTGCGACCTCAGCCCTTCCACACTTGGGTGAAATTTAGAGCATACTTGTACCTATAATTTTGACCACCAGTCATAATTTAGGGGATTAAGGTCTGCAGATACTGAGCACCGTTCTACGGATGAAAAAAAGTCATGAAAATTCGTCTGAAGCCAGTTTTGGACAATTTTGCACCTTGCGCAGGAACAGAGTCTTGTTGAAAGGTCCAATGTCGATTTTCGGAGGGTCCAGGGTTCAGGTTATTAACGTTTGGCTTTAGGACACTCTGAAAATAATTCTTGGCTTCAACTTGTACCCTTTGCGATGAAAAACAGAGATTTCATTTCTCCAGCCAACTTGCTCCCATGCACACCACGGTGATGACTTCGTATTGACTTCCGCATACTTAAACGGATGTCAGACTTCTGTACAACAAATATCTGGCCTTTTTTCTATTAAATTTTTTGCCAACGGTGAAAAGTCTGAAATACTTTTGGCACGAAAATTGGCGCGTACCACGATCAACCTGTGGCCGTCACGAGTTATGTCTTGTCTAATTGCCCGTGGACGAAATCTTGACAAAGAAGTTATGATTTCTAAACAATATTAATACCTTCTTAATCCATAAAAATTTCGAACAGATAGCTCTAATACTTTGGGATTTATTACCGGAAATGCATTCACGAGAACTTATGACCCCACTATGTACATATGCACTTTGTAAAACTAGTGTAATCTTTTTTTTCGTGGCTCCTCAGCAAAAATTCAGTAACAGGCGTCATTCAAATATAAATTTTGGCAAAGATTTTCGGAATTAAATTGTGACTTTGTTGATATATTCTATTTTTGTTACTTAAAAAATCGAGAATCTAGTGAATCGAGAATCGAGAACCACATCTTTTGTGTAATTAATCGGGATTCTTTATTCTTTATGATTCATTATGCAGTTACACAAGCTAGGATTATCTGTAGAGAGATGCATGAGAAAAATGTAAACTATGTACCATGTTATGTAAACCAGTAAACTCTCAAAAATCATATTATAAGAGATGGCATGTGTTAGTCCAAAGTAGAAATCAGCTGCTTCACTACCATTAATCATGTGTGCGAATTGTTGGCGTAAATTCATTATATTTCCTGAAATTTTACTTTTTTAAACTGGCCATACACCAGTTAAACAGATTAATTCAAGTGCATTAAACTTTGTTCATCTGGAAATTAAATGGAGCATAATGAAAAAGTTCCACTTCTGCCGAGAAGGCCCTCACCACAAATTGTAAGTAAAAAAATATAAATAGGTGATTAGCAATTTGAGAAAAAATTTGCACCCCGACCCCACCACGCAATAGTATACGTCGTGCTGTTCAGTTTTGATTTCTGATTATGCCAATTGTTGACAAATAGTTCTGGAAAACTACTTAATATGTAACAATATTGTTTTGAATATTTTGCATGTTATTATTACACGCATTTGCATTTACATTCTATGTAGTGCCGTCTGTCAAAATAATATTTTCATTTTGCAACATTTAATATTCAAGGAAAGTTACTGGCAATCCATTCATTAAAATGCTCAATATGCGAAGCATAAGCAACTAATTGATAATTAATCCTCCATGCAAGGTTTGCATACAGTCAAATTTAAATTGAGTTGTAATTTCTGACCCTGGTTATGTATGAAGTTAATAATTGATTTGTAACAATAATTATACAACGAGCAAAAACATGGTCATGTGACAATGTTTTATTTTGTGTGCACAAAAGAAAATCCAGTACCTCGTTGCAAATATTAAACAAATAATAAAGTGCTCGTTGTACTAAATTGTGCTCGTTAATTAAAGCGTCTGGTGGATATTGGCCCCGTCCCAAAAATGCTTACTTGTTAGTAAATGCAGGAAAACGCCTCCTTTCTTATCCAATCAGCTTCCTCCGTCGACTAAAAATTTGCATGCATGCAGGATAGCTCGGGTCAGGCGATGTCTTTATCGGCGACTGCTAAAAATTCTACATTTCATTCTGGTTGACAGTTGACCCCAAGCCATTTCTTAGAAGTGAAATATAATCGCATTCTGTAGCTCTGCATTAAATTAAATACGTAGCGTTAAATTTGCACTATATCCAGTGTATCTAGTTAGCTCCTCAGCATCATTATTTATTTTATACGCACATCATATCTCGGCCCAGACTTAAAAAAATTGTACAATTCAACTAGTTAGTAGTGTGGCCTATTCGCATCATGCCATACGTTAGACGATCGGTAAGTTTTTATTAACCAGCAACATGAAATGATATGATTTTGTATCTACATATTAAATAAATTCATCGCCTCATTAAATATTCAGCTAAAAAATTATTATTACCATGAGTTATGCTCATGAATAGGTGTTAATTGGATGATGTTGGACTGTTGCACCTGCACTTCAAAAGATTTGCGTCTATTGATTCTTAATTTGTGTACGTATGCTGCACATCGTTTAATGCGCTGTAATTCTCATGGAGTGCAAGTTTTATATCATGTTGCAATGGATTTTAAGTTTTTGAGAGCATAACTTGCGTCAGACTACGCACTTAATTTTATGATCGACAAGTTTATGCATAAACTATATACAATTTTATTTTATTTTATATTTCAGGGAGTAACCGGCAAACTTGCCCTAGCCATCGCAGCGGCCGCTTTTGGATCATCCTTCCAGCATGGCTACAACACGGGCGTGGTCAACGCACCGCAAGCTGTAAGTCCCCTCCAACTTTTATTAACTAATGATGAGGCGGCTTCTCCGAAAACATTTACTTTAGCATTTTAGATGTGTCTGTAGAGCACGAGGAAATGCGCCTCCTACTTCTTATGCATGACCATGAACTGCTTTTAAATCTGGCTCATGTCCCCAAGTTCCTGTGTTTTTGGCTTTGACCTCTACGAACACATTTCCCAAAGTACTAATCGAATACATGGTTTGGCACACGGCATATAAATTTTAATGCCACAACAAAACAATGCATTTATTTATATGGGGACCACGCCACTCATCGCAGTAATATTTAGAAACAAGATTAGATTGTAGGTTTGAAATAAAAATATTGTAAAAATTGAACACTCCTTCCAAAAGTTCCCAGGCATTACATTTGCTCGGGAGTTTTGCCAGCTTTTCTGCTCTAGTCAGACTATTTAAAGGTACATTACATACATGTGTGACGTAAATTCACAACTTCATAGTAAAGTACGTCTACTGCATACACATAGATATATAATAGCGTGGGTCTAATAAAGCTTACTTATCTACATTCACAAATTTCTACTAACCAGTGAATGCTTTATGAATGATATACATATGTACAATCAAGTGATATGTGCGACTTGTATGCCAAATTGTTCTAAGCAAGCCAAGCGTTGCGTCACCAGCGTCATCAGACTCCAAACGTGCATTTAAATTTATTTGCATGGATTAGTTTCTTTGACAGGGGGCATATATTTATAGTTTGCAACAAAAAAAGTTGCTAATTGCGCCAATGTTTCCATTTCATGGATCCTGCATCTCGTTCGTTGCAAAAATGCTTATATTTCTTTCACCGAGGGGTCAAATTACATCATAAAATTTTTTAATTGACAACCTGGCGCCGCTGGTTGACCAGTCAGTATTTAACCTTGTCTGATAATTGAACTTATTTACTTTTGCTTTACCTAAACGTTATATGCATTCATTCCAGATTTTCCAGAATCCTGACATTTAATTGCGATAGGTTAGGTTGAAATGACTCACATAAATCCACTCTTGCTGAATTCGGCAGTGTGCTATTCTTCCCCAAATTTTATGATTCATTACAAACCGGTTTTAAATACATATCATTAGGAAAATGTATATAGGATTAATTATGGATAATTTAACTGTAATTGTAAGACACTTGCACACTATTTAGTTACTTTGTATGTCTTTCCCCTGCTTCTTTTACAAGGTCTTGTGCTTTGCGTTTTAGCAAAATGTTTTAATTTGACATTATGATTTGTAGTTGTGCATGTCTACCGAAAATTTTTGTCAGATGAGATTGTCAAACAAGAAGATGAACACAAGGATATGTAAATGTAAATATACACTTATGTACATTTGTATTTTTTATTGCAGCTCATTTCTCAATTCATCAATGAAACCAATTTTGCACGAACTGGAGAGTACATGGAGGAATCTCGAATTACTTTTATTTGGTCCTGGACTGTTTCAATTTTTTGCGTTGGTGGTATCGTGGGTGCTCTGTTGACGGGATTAATTGCAGACAAACTTGGAAGGTAATTTAGCGACCAAGGACAAAGTAATGTTTCCTTCGTCATGAGAGTCTAAAGAACAATCTTATACAAATTATTGTAAATAATTTATAGGAAAAACGGATTATTATGGAACAACGTGCCGGTTTTAATTGCTGTAATCTTGGAAGGATTTTCCAAATCGTGTGGGTCGTACGAGATGCTGATTGCGGGTCGATTCTTCATAGGTTTCAACTCTGGGTATGGGTCAAATATTTTAATGTGTATTAACATTTTAACGCTGGTTGTATATGAGAATTTTTATGTATAAGGAACAAATTGAACTGAGCCTTCAGTCGCTATTATTTAATTTAAATTGAAACACATTTAGGAAATGAATATATTTTCAATACAGCCAGTGTTGCACATACATAACCTACATAGATAGAAAGTATGCGTAACATGTGTAATCGTGTATAAGATCTAATAAAATGATTAATTAGACTGAATGCTGGTCTGGCTCCAATGTACTTGGCTGAAATTTCCCCCATGCATCTCCGAGGTGCCGTTGGGACCATGTATCAGGTACGATAAGTTGTTTTAGATTTCAAATATCAATCAGATAATTGAACGTTTTAATATTGCGAGCTTTATTATTTCTGTCGTGTACGAATCTCATTTTCATTTAAAATACGAGTTCTTATTATATGTGTACTTGTTTCAGTTGGTTGTGACCATTTCCATTCTGGTCTCTCAAATTCTTGGATTGGAAAGTCTGCTTGGAACTGAGAACAAATGGCCATGGCTCCTGGCTGCCACCATCATTCCAGCTTTCTTCCAAGTATGACTTCATGCTCTTCTGTTTTCCACTTTTTTTAGGAAACGTATATCTTTAAATATAAATCAATACAATTCATACTAGATCTGTACGCTACCTCTGTGTCCCGAGTCGCCGAAATTTACTTTGTTGAATCAAGGAAAAGAGATTGAAGCCCAACGTGGTATATATTTGGTTTTACTGTCATCTTAAGTGATTTACCTATAGTTGCATAAAATATAATCATGCAAAACTTGTAACTTTTAACTGTGTAGCTCTGACCTGGCTCCGAGGAACAATTGAAGTGCATGATGAACTGGATGAGATGCGTGCTGAATATGAACAGATGAAATCTATGCCCACTGTTACGTTAAAGGAAATGCTATGCAGCCCTGCTCTCCGAATGCCATTGATCATTGCTTGCATGATGATGTTGGCTCAACAACTTTCTGGCATTAATGCAGTCATTTTCTTCTCGACAAAGATCTTCACGTAATAATAGTTCATAAATAAAATGTAAAATTGACTCCCCCTGACTTGGAGAAAATTAAACATGACTTTATAAACAGCTCTGCTGGATTGGATGAGAATACTGCTCGAGTGGCAACGTTGGGAATGGGAACTTGCAATGTCATAATGACTGTTGTGTCGCTCGTCATGGTGGAGAAAGCTGGAAGGAAAACTCTCATGCTTTTCGGACTCTCAGGAATGTGTGTTGATGTAATTCTGCTGTTTTTCTGCATTCAATTCAAGGTATGCCGTTTGCTTGTCATTATCCTATAACTCTATAATCAAATATCCTAAGAAATAATAATGACATCATGAACAATTTTTGCATTGGGTTGACAGGAAATCGGATGGGTCTCATATGTCAGTATCTTCCTGGTCATATTCTTTGTCGTCATGTTCGCGTCCGGTCCTGGATCAATCCCATGGTTCTTGGTTTCTGAACTATTTAGTCAAGGTGCTCGTCCAATGGCAACATCGATTGCAGTCGCTGTGAATTGGATTGCCAACTTTGTCGTCGGGCTCTCCTTCCTGCCGCTCTTGGTACTGCAGAAAAATAGTTGTTTTTCAGTCTCATTAATTATTACAATTTAATAACATATTTTACAACAAATTCTAGGGCTTGGTGGATGCATACGTGTTCATCATCTTTGCCGGTCTGTTGGGATTCTTCATCGTGTTCACATACTTCAAGGTTCCCGAAACAAAGGGGAAGACTGTGGAAGAAATCAGTGCCCTCTTCAGACAGCGTGGGTACACCCAAGGATAGATATTTGTTATATTCGTTAGCCAAATTAGTCTAAAACTATACCAAAGGTTTCAACCCTTTTAATTTTTGCAAATATAGAGAAGATCAGAAACATGAACAAATTATTTTGACTTTGAGAAAAGTATAACATGGCCGTTCAAAATTAAAAACAAGTGATTTATTTTTTGAAGACTACTAATTTTTATACCAACTACATTACTCGCCAGTCAGAACAAGGTAGCTATATAGTGAAAATAGATTGTTAGCGAGTTCGCAGGGTGGTTAGTGCACTATGTAGAACCATAAAATTATCATGAGCACACATATTTAACTGTCTTGAGTCTTGTATTTCGACATCGGCAGTGACTATGTTCAGAGAAAATACACTGATGCAGCGAATGTTGAAAAAGTAAGAAAGCATGAAAAACACACCGTTAATAAGATTTATAGTGTCTGTGATGTGACTTGAAGTTGCTTAATTTTTAGATTTAAGTAGCTTATTGATCGTGCATACATGGTATTGATTACTGATTTGGTGATTAAGTTTTTTTTACTCTTTGCTCGTGCTATGTTTGTTTTAGCAGTCCCAAGCAATCATCCTGAAATGATAACTGGTTCAAAACTGTAGAAAATACAATATTTATTCCTACTAAGTTTGTAATATAATTTGTACTAGACAGGATTTAGTTGTATACAATGAAAGTGTACTTTACAGAACGGAAGTCATAGGGTGAAAGTGTGGGTGAAAGTCATGCATGCAGACACTTCGTAAAAAGAATGACCAGTTACATTAATTTTAGTGATAGTCAAGAGGGCAGGGGTGTGACTGAGTGTGATTTATCATATTAATAATAGTTATTTTTATTTGTAATCTTGAACTTCTTGTAAACGCAATATGTTTAATGTGCTGGTTAACATTCAATGCCAATGTGCGGCATTCTAAGGTGCTGCAATCGTACCTTAAACACTACATATATCATGTATTTATTTATTACGAAAATTTAATTATCAAAGATATTTTTACTTTTACGAGTTGTTTCACCCAAATAGTAAAGTCCATGTACACATGAAAGGAATGAATACAGCGAGGTGCTATGTGGTTCAATTTATTGATTCCCTTATTGAGCAGTGCAGACTCGATATGCAAGTCTATCGAGAACTCGCAGAAAGTACGATAAATTGGTTTAGGCTGTCACATGTTAATTAGAAAGTTCTTACAATTAGAAGTGAAAGCTTTCTGTGAGCTGTACTATTTCTGTCAGGCGTTTCGTTTCGTTGTAAAATCAAATACATATATCAAGTACTTACCGAACCAGGGGATACTCGTACAATAATTTAAAAAAATGTTACATTAAGATAATTACAAATATGGATAAATTGATAAAACAGTATTCTATTAAGATATGATGATGTCGAGTATAACGTGATAAAATTATCATGTTAGAAAATGTAGTCGCAAAATTAAACTCGGTAAATACTATTTATTGTACAATGTATTTGAAAAAATTGTGCTTCCTGTCTGTCACCCAACTATGATTATCAAGATTAAACATTACTCGTTCAGTGTAAATTTCTTCGAAATTCCAATCCAGATGAATCAATTTTCTCTTACATGTTGGTGAGATTTCTGATCTAATTTCCATCATCCATGAGTGAATAAAATAAAATAAAGTTCAGCAGTCCATGATACATCAGACAAGCTGTAATTGCTGCATGTATTTATTTGTGCACTTTATTACAATATTTTGCGATTTAAAACCGTTTAATCGTAATCAATTTGACAAGTTCATGCGCAGTTTCCGTTGTCAAAAAACTCATTTATCATTATTGTCTATACATATATGCATTATTGCATTTCGTGCTATAATAGTCAGAAACTCTGCAAAGAGAATTCATAATATGTATTATACATTATATCGAGTTTGTCTTGTTTGTTGTACCAAAATGCAAGAAAATTTGCATTGTACATTGCATGTGGCTGGACTATTTGGATTTCTATGTAAATTGCGGTGCAGCAGCACATGCATACATACGATATATGCATTCGATATACACAATTATTTGTGTCATTTCGTTGTTATCGTTAATTATATCTCCAATGTTTGCATTGAGGATAAACTGGGACATGTTGACACACACATACAGCAATGACGAGTTTCCTCAATTTGGATCAGTTTACATTTGTAACTGGTACTAATAACATGATAACATTTCTCCCTCAAACTGGGCACCATATTATCCATGATGGTAAAGTTGAGCTAAATTACCCAATTAAACATTTTTACAGACATTTGATGTAATCATTACTAGTTAGTTTTACGATACGTACTGTTAGGATGCACTATATTATTCAATGTTACGAAACACTTGTTGTTTGGAACGAAATAAACGTAATTAAGCATGACTCATTTTTAGTCGCCACAAAACCTACAAATTTAATATCTAGACTCAATAAATCATAATAGTGTCATCTGATCTGTAACATGACACAAGTTAAAACATATGCACACGACGACCCAAATTTAATTGCTCTTAAGGATGAGGAATATTTAGCAAGTCGGGGAAATGTAGTTATTAATTAGTTGTATAAATCAATTTCATTATCATTACATTCTATTTAGTAATGATTACATTTTAAATATTCATAGCCAACTTTATATCCAACTGACTGCATTGGAATTAAATTGTTATATGGACTGAGGGCAAATTTCATACTTTCAAATGAAATACACTGCTGCTACTGTTTAAATTATGAACAATTGCTTAAAGTCTGTTAATGCATTTTTGAGCGTCATAAAAAGTATCTTTAAATATGAGCCATAAAAATATAAATGATGATTTTATCACCGAAAGTCAAAGTTAGTTTGTATTATGAATCAAACCCAATTTTTTAATAACCACGATTCACGTAAAAAATATTGTTTAAAGGATTTTATGTAGATCTAATAGCAAAAGTATACTGCATGCAAAGTATATATAAGTTCCATGAAATGGAAGGAAGGGGCCAAGGGGGTTGAGCCAAGCGCTCCGTATATTTGTCCCGCAGGCTTTGATATCGGGCAGTTTCCTCAGGGGATTACCGCTCCCAGTAAAATTTGTCCAGAATTGGTCCAGAATCCCACACGGCTTGGATTCCTCTGACTGTTTTCTCCGTGGGGCCAAAAAGTGTCCATCGCTCTTATCCCTCTGTCATGGCGATATCGGTGCCATGCAGATTATAAGGAGACGTTCCATGTGGGGCAGGATGTTGAAAGACAAGAAAACAGGATTCATCTTTGAAAATAACGTACAGAACATTATAACATTTATAAATTGATTTACTGAGAAATAAATTGGACTATTGTCATTTATTGTTAATGCAATAAACTCATGCCAAGATCACATTTCATATCATCATTCACAAACGTGAGTCAACAACAGGGTTCATTTCAAACCTAAGTATTTAGTTGTGAGTAAGTACTAACATAAATGCAGTAATATAAGTCACACCACAAGTGGAGAACGTCCGGCCGCTACGTAATCAGAAAAGTAAGTAGATGACGTAACTTTCACTCGTGGTTCCATACCATGAGTCCATGACTCGATCGGTGTGTGCCTAAAGATATACTCAACGATGATAATATATTAATGTGCTCAATAATTAATTAGTCAGCGAAGAAAGAAAAGGAAGCGACATTAACTATGGCCAACCAACAAAGCTACGACATTTGGAAAAAATTTTGCATGTATGTATTAATGTATAAACTGATCAAGGTTGGATAATCTCATTGTCAAAATGAAGATAGTTTTATTTATTACTAAACATAAAATACCATATTTATACATATGTATACAAAATGCATATAAATAAAATTTCCTTGCAGGAGATTTGTTGAATATACCTGCAAATTATACATACCCTCTTTTCTGTGCAATTAATTAAAATCTAGCCTATATACTATGTGACATTGAGCGTGTTTTAGAAATTATGGTAATGAAGATATATATCTCAGGGTCATGAAGATATAAGTATCTTTAACTCTAGTTAGTTCAACAAGCTTATTACTACGAGTACAGTATATGCATACAAATCAGTTCATGCGAATCAATGCAGTTAGGAATTAGCACTAATGTAAATATGTTCTAAAATATAATCGAAAGTCGATTTTACTCCAAGTACAAAAGTATTTTATTCATGCACATTTTAGTTGGCGAATGGATTTGCGTTTTAACCACGACTTTGGTATTGCATGTCCCTGCCAACAACGCTCAACATATCAAATTCTTCTGGCTGAAAGAAAAATCCCATTCCATTTTCCATGCCGCATTCCCTCGACGCAAATATTGAAACACGATGCCAAAAGCTAATTATTATTGCCATCTTCCTCCTTATAAGTAATGGTTAAAAAGCCTGCCTTCTATAGCTGCATACGTATTTGCGAGTAGGTAAAGTCAATGCAAGTCAAACTCCATGCACATAATTCCGATTCCTCCTCCGGTAAAAAATAAGCATGAAGTGCATTTGTGTAACCAACTGAATCTGAACGACATGCATGTCGTACATACATAAGTTTCGCTTTTTGAATGGATATTCTATAACCATGATTCCTGTTGATGTTATTTGGAATGGAAAACGTAAACTTAAAAAAGTAACCCCTCTCCATGCTTCCATATTGTATGCAAGATAGCTCTTCTATCATGTATCTAACCCTTTCCTCCTTCCAGTCATTTTATTTAGCCAACGTCTTTTGCACTTGGTTACACGCTGTTATACTTATTTATCCAAGCCTATCCTTGGACGTTTTTCTTTAGCAAAGCAAGGATCGTAGATTTGCCACAACTAAATACAAATCCAGCCTACCAAGATTCGCCACAATAATAATATTCAGCATTTGCGATTTGATTTGAGCGACAGATTTTCTCCCAACAGGTAAACACCCATAACAATACTAATTCTAATACACATATTCACCTGTTGGGTTTGCCGTGTTTTCTCTCCACTAAACTTTGTTATGCATGTGTGCAGGAAGGGTGGTTTTGTGTAATACGTATATAACTTATCTGATATAATATAGTGTATTAATCAACTGACGATAGTAGTGACTTCGTGACTTGTCGCACCCAAAAAGTCCAGTCATCATTGTGTAATTTGAACAAAATCAGATCCATTTCCCTTTACGTATTGTAACAACACCCAGCATAACCTAAAATCCACCAGCTAATCAATGCTTATCTAAATCGTTATCTTTGCAAAATTGTTTACAGTCTATTCCGTTCTTCTGGAGTGAGGGACATTTAGTAAATTGGCTGCATTTGCATCGTGTGCAAGTGTTTTGGTGCATCTAAATAAGTGAGTGACTCAACTTTTCATAAATTTTATAGATTACTCGTTTCTCAAAATTTTGTTTCAATGCCAGCTAAATCAATATGTATTTCATTAGCCAATAGATTCAGGCAATGTGCTTCACATATTGCAACATATTAAAACACTATGTGACTACAATTTTAACTTTATTGTCTATCTTAATGAATTCATTCTCCCTAACACAAAGTACTCACTACCCGATAATCAATATTGTGGAATCAACAATTTGCGCATTATTTCACTATTTGTATTGACGACCAACCCGAATTTATTTCGGTGCTAACGTTTGTATCAAATATAAAAGAAAGTATGTTTTTGTTGACGTGGGTGTGGTTGCATTTCGGCTTTATATTAGGAAATTCTACTCGTTTTTGATATCGTGTCAAGATCTCGTACCAATACGCATTTCCTTTATTCCAAGTGTAAACCGAACGAAACTACTAATGAGATGAGAACGCATCGAAAAAATGAGTCACTATAAAATTCTCATTTTTGGTGGTTTCTCTGCTTGTAGCCTGTCCATTTTCCTTGTTGATTAGTGGATTCCATGATTTTTGTACGTTTTGGTTTGTGAGTGAACGAAGTTGCTGCTGCGTGTCGGTTTGGTTGCTTGGTTGAGCACCAAGAACAAGCAGCATTTGCTTCCAATTCTCTGCCCGCTTAACAACTCGTGGTCGTGCTCCTCTCTAGGAACTGAAATTTTTCTTTTTTTCGTTTTTGGAAATTTAGATCGTTCGAAAGTACTTTCCAGTTGGATTTAAAAAGCAAGGAAGCAAAATGGGGTGTGCTACGTCTCTCGTCAAATTCCTCATCTTTCTCTTCAACTTTGTTTTTGTGGTAAGTAAAGTTTAAAATTATTTTTTCGTTACTCCAGCCTCTAGCATTGCCGTTAATCACAAAGTACTCGAACATGTTAAATTTTACTTTACAAAAATTTCAAGATGTGATAGGTCATATGATAGGCTGTATTACTTAAGTTTCAAGTTCAATTAGAAGGACAATATTTGGTATGCTATACATAAACCGGATGATTATCGGTAAGACCTGGTGATGATAGATAGGTGTTCATATATTATGCAGGTTTGAGGTTGGGGCCCGTTCATATATTACGTCAACAAGAGAGGGGGGGAGGGGGTCTGACAACTAATGATATCGTGCCTATCTTGCCCATGTTAAAGGGGGTAGGGGGGGTCTGAAAATCCGATTTTTTTGATGACGTAATATATGAACGGGCCCTTGGTCAACCGATGCGATGTACATGCGACATTAGAAAATGAACAATGTGCCGGAAAGTTCATTTGAGAGTTCATTGGCGTTCGTTTGCGACACTAAAAGTCCTCGAGTTGTGCAAATCGAAGGAACAAATTTCACCTGTCTCTGTATTTGGTTGGATGTGGTGGCGTTTTGAAAGGCCAAAGGCCATCGTGAACCGAATTTTTATCATGTTTTTTTAGTTTAGCCCATACTCATGCTATCCAGGAATCGGATAAATCGGAAAGCATTCAGAATGCTTTCTCCCGAATCAATAATGTTCTAGAGTGCTTGGTGTATAAATAATCGTGAATTGACAGGGATGTGCTTTCCTTCGTGTTATTGTGTGCATGTTACGAAGTGGGTTATTTTCTTTGTTATCCACTCGCCACAGTATTGGCATTCATATGTATGTAGTCATCCTTAGCATGATGTATTTATTTATGACGTAGGTATAGCAGATAGAGAATATTCACTGGAATATTTGCATCATTCCCATTTTCATATGCTAAGCTTACATTAGATAGGCTTATGTGTAACGATGACGGATGCCTATAAATTATTCTTGGAATGTTTTCTTTGTAGAAATAGCTGCGTTACTTCAAATTGAATTGATTTGGTTATTTTTAGGCTGGTGGAGCTGCTCTGATCACATTTGGTGTCTTGTTCTACAATGGATACCAGCAATACGAAAAAATCTTGCCGGATCTTGGACCCTATGCCTTTCCACCGATTTTGATGATTGTTGTGGGCAGTGTCGTGTTTGTCATTGCTTTCATGGGATGTTGCGGAACCATTCGAGAGAGCAAGTGCATGATGATGACGGTAATAGAAGCAAAATTATGTGATTAATCCTAATTTAGTAATCCCAAGGTTGTAATTTATAATTACTAATGTTTATGAAATTCTATGCAGTATGCAACGCTTCTCCTTGTTCTCCTGATAGCAGAAGTTACGATTGTGGTTTTGATGTATACACACCAAGAGGAGTTGAAGAGCCTGATGAAGGACGGACTGAAAACCAGTATGGGGGATTATGAAAAGAATGCTGAAGTCAAGGAGGCATGGGACCTTATGCAATCCAACGTAAGTATCCACTATTCGGACTAATTCGGAGTAATGAAAGACTTTTTTTCCCAAAACGTTTCTTATTAAATAATTCTTGATACAGCTGAAATGCTGCGGAGTTGAGAGCTTCGCAGATTGGCAAGCGTTCATCACTGGAAACCTCCCCCAGTCATGCTGTGTAAATAAGGATGAAACTTGCTCAGGCGCCTTGACCCAAGCTATTTCGTTTTTGGTTGATACTGGAAAAATTTACACTGAGGTATGTTGCATAGTCACATGCATATGAGTTGATACATTTTTATTAATTGTTTTTTTTCACAGGGTTGCGTTGACAAGATCTTTAAGGAATTGAAGACGGACTACGGAATGTACTCGGCTGCGATTCTTGCTGCTGTTGAATTGCTTGGTGTGGTGTTTGGATGTTGTTTGGGTGCTCGTTTTGGACGGAAGCTCTACCACACATAAGTGGGGGTGGGGGTTAACTATATGTGTGGCTTTCGGCATTTGTTGCTACTTAGACAATCTCATTTTTTACTGGTATACTGTTTTACGAATTAATTCATATGACACTAAATTTTAAAAGTACAAATTAGATACTTTTCCTCTGCCACTCTAAGTTGGCATGTATTAATTCGAAAGTTCTTTCTCTCAATTGTTAGCTATTACTATTATTAATCACTATTATTTGTGTTACATTAATTATGTAACGTTTTATATACGTTGAACTTACTACTACAATTTAAAGTAGCTAAACTATACCTTTCCTCTTCAAATTTCAATAAAATGCCATTCTAATTATCTAATAATATAATACATCCCTTGCGCATTAGTTATCAAACGATTTATTACAGTCCAACTAATTGTACTTTGCTTAATTTGTCCTTTGTATCAATTTGTTGCACTGAGCGAACCAGTTCTTGATTGGCCGTATTACCTTCGCACGCATTACGTATGGCGAGAACTGCCCACTGTGTTATAAATGGGTTTCTAGCGTCAATATTACAACTGTCCAAGATCACTGGGAGAACTTCCATCTCTCGCACCTGCACAGTTAACAATATACTTAATCATTGACTCATGAAGTAACATACCCTATGAGTAATATGTACCATCTCTTGGTTGGCGAAGTTACGATAAATTAGATTTGCAGTGAGCCTGATTAAGTGGGCTTTGAATTGGAAAGTTGGTTGGTCTCGCATCTCTTCACTGCCTGTCATTGCATCAATGTTTGTGACTGAAGAAAAATCCAGCGTCTCCTTTGACGTGGACCCAGGATCGGCTTTACTCACCGAATGGACTGATTTTAGTAGAACTGATGGAAGAACATATCAGTCAGATTTCAGTTTTCAGATTATTATCGGGATTATGTATTCAGTGGGTCTACTTACAGATCACTGTCGTTAGGAGAGAAACATCTGCTTTTAAGATGGACTGATCTAATGCACTGAGGCAGCAAAGCAGTTCCAAAAGGGACGCAATTTCCCACGCCATCCAGTCGTCATTCTGTAGTTGAGATTTTAGGATGAGGTCGGATTTTTGTTTGAATTCATCAGAAAAGAACGTCGTAATCTATTATCATTTAAATAATTCAGACTAATAATTTCAAATTCTGTAGATTTTGGTTTTAAAATTTTGTAAAAATGTTGATCTCAACGGGTAATGATTTACCTCGGGTGGTAATTTATCGTGAAGTTCGGTATGAGCAACAATAACACGTATAAATTTCACCCGAAGCTCCACGCTAAGACCTGGGTAGATACGACGTAGAAATTGGTCATTTGTAGCAAGAGTCTCAATCACATACATTCTGTAAACGCAATTAAATGTATATAGAAAACCTACAGTTTGCAGTGTTTATATAGCCCGAGTAAGGGACTGAGTCCGCTTCTAAATGTTTGTCAAGTGACCGGTACCAACTACTAATAGTAGTTGGTACCGGTGATTATAGCTTGATTATCTCCAGCATGCAAAATGCTTCTTTAACCAATTCCAAAAACTCCACTGGGTCCTCCTGGCAAAAAAATCTTAAAATTTACTTCACATTTATTAAGCTGATCTAACCCTGCAGGATCACGCCAACTTTTAGTCGTCTACGCCCGGTGTCCAAACCAGTGGGGGTGACCAGTGTGTGCAAAAAGGCAGCCTTTTTTAAATGTATAAAAAACGCAATGAATAACTTTCACTTTAATCTTATTTCTTCTCATCTCGCCCCAATTAGCAAAAGGACAAAAAGGCACCCATTTTTGTGGGGCAAAAAGGCACTGCCTGCCTTTTTGCTCTGCGCACACTGGGGGTGACCCTACTTGGTTATTCAAAATAGTAATTCGGTCGTTATGACATTGCACTTTCACTTTAGTACACAAGTATGACCAATTTCCCGAATATCAGCTACCAACTTTTAAAATAGCAACTTAGAAACCGTATGGGGTCACCCTCTAGGCTACTCTGGTTCCACTTTGTTCGCTTTTAACTTCATATACTTCCATACGAAACCATTAAGTATCACCGTACCGAATTTCTTCTTTTTAAGACAATTTCTACAAATCGGTAGGGCCACCCCCTAGGGTCGCTCCACATAAAAATTTTACTAATTTCACTTCATATTATTTCATTATGAGCTATTAGAAACGTCAATGGCAAATTTCAACTTAATTAAACGATTTTCAAAAATCGGTATGGGTCACCCCCCTCGGGTCCATTCTGATATAAATTTTACCAATTTCGTTTCATGTTTTTTCATTAAAACCCATAACCAACCTCTCTACCAAATTTCAACTCGATATGACGATTTTGACAAATCAGTATGGGTCACCCCCTCGGGTCCCTCGACATGAAATTTTTTCCAACTCATATTCATATTCTTTCATTAGACACCATTAGCAACCTCAGTGCCAAATTTCTGCCTTCTATGACGATTTTGAAATTTTGATGCATAATACCCCACCAACCTATATGACCCCCACTGGTCAACCACTTGACCGATTTCGCCCATCTTCGAACTTAACTCCTCATTTGCCCCATACTACATGTGTACCAAATTTCAAGTCGATAGGATGAGTTTGTCGAGAGTTATCGTAAGACGGACGGACGGACATGATGGTTCCATAAGCCCTGACTCGGGCTAAAAAGACTTATTTACTACAGGTTTATATTAAAATAAGCAACTTGCATGAATTCCAGATGGGTGTTTCCAAGAATAACAGGAATAATGGCAATATCTAATTCAATATCCGGCTTCTGTTTTAGGAACGTATGGAAATTCATGGCAGCATACTCAATAATTTTTTCGTCCTGAGTAGTTGTAAATAATTGGGATCTATAGGAGAATCAAATTGAAGTATTAAATTGCACACAGAAATTTACGTAAAATTTGAAGGATTAGATAGTAAGCATACATGGAAGTAACTGTAGACAGAGAGATGAGTGTATCAACATTGTCCAAATTGTTCACCATAAAATTCATCAGGAACTGAAGTGTGCATCTTGCAACCACCAGATAATTTTCGAAGCGAGTGCTGTCCCCAGCGGTTTTGATCAAGTCAGTCATTTGATCCAACACCTTGTTCGACGTTAAGATAATATCCGTCTTTTCACGAATAAAGTCTTGGTTTGGTTTGCAAGCAGCGACAGCATTTCTCAGGAACCGTAGAATCTGAGTGACAATGGGGAAAGCATCTTCGACAATGCATGTTTCGTCATTTGCGACATGCTTCGTAAGAACTATGTCTACTTCCAGGAATATTTGTGGATCCAGGTTGAACCTATATGCAGGAAAATAATGTAGCCCATAAGATATAAGGGATACTAAATAAATACGTCTAGTTGGTTAAATTCTAGTAAAATGGGGAAATTGAGACTACTGTCGTCGATTCATACATTTTATCCATTTAATTCTCACATTCAAATTTTTGTAAACGTGACAAATTCTTCTATTGCATTTCTACACCCAATCTAAATTTATGAGACATCGAGATATAATTTTTCAAAAGTGAAAGCAGAATTCATCTTCATTCCACGAGAAGGATAGAACGCTATCCGCCCTCGAGGCCAACTGCCAGGAACAGGGTGGCCTACTTCATGGGGTTGTCACGATTGGAAGTGAGCATCACCCCCACGAGGGGCAGAGGGGCTGGTGCAACAGGTGAAAGTTTAGCGTGGAGAAAGCACTGCTATCTTCATCCTCACAAAAAAGGGATGTAAGATTGGGGTGAGACGAGACGCGCCGCCACCGTCCAACCAGCAAGATAGACGAAGAATGACAAGGCAACATTAAATTTTACTACTCACTCACCGGCAACTCTCCTCTCTTCCACACTCGGTCGTAAGTTTCTCCAACTTTTTCAGCAACTGGTCCTCCTCCCCCCTCGACACACCCTCACCCGATAACCCACTCATCATCTTGCTTCCTAGTTTAAAACACTTGTGGTTTGCAGGAAGTCTACTCTGGAAGTCCAGCCGTCTGAACGAGACTAAGCGGGCGATTTGAGCAACAGCGATTGTTGGAAAGTCTCTCTGGTTGTTTTATATTTCTGAAAACAATTGATCCGTGGAATCATGTTTTTGACAAGGTCTGAGTATGACAGAGGTGTCAACACTTTCTCACCTGAGGGACGAATTTTCCAGGTAAGAGAGATAAACAATGAGTAGTATGCAATTTAATTTTGTAAGGATATAATTATTAATAATTTTGTTGTCATTGTAGGTCGAGTATGCTATCGAAGCGATCAAACTTGGATCGACCGTAATTGGAATTTGCACCAGCGAGGGGGTCGTCCTAGTTGTGGAGAAGCGAATTACTTCTCCTTTGATGGAGCCGTCAACGATTGAGAAAATTGCAGAAGTGGATAAGCACATTGGAGTTGCGTGTAGTGGTTTGACGGCCGATTCCAAAACTTTGATTGATAGAGCCCGTCTAGAGTCTCAAAATCATTGGTTCACCTACAATGAGAAGATGAGTGTGGAATCTGTGTCTCAGGCTGTAAGCAATCTTGCAATCAAGTTTGGAGATTCGGATGACGACGAGGGGGCTATGGTCAGTTTCTGTAGACCATATTATTTTATTGTTTTAGTTTTATGTATAGCTAAATTATTAATGGTAAAATTTAACTTTTAATTTTGTAAAATTACAGAGTAGACCTTTCGGAGTGGCCTTGTTGTTTGCTGGGTGCGATGAAAAAGGGCCACAACTGTATCACATGGACCCTTCTGGCACCTACGTACAATATGATGCGAAAGCAATTGGTTCCGGAAGTGAAGGTGCCCAACAGACTCTGGTTGAAATGTATAATAAGGTCCGTACATATATTTTGCATGCAGTTATATTCTGTAGATTTGTTTAATTAAGTGCCATCTAATTACAATATGTGCATCGTTTTTATTAGACGATGACCCTGAAAGAAGCCACGAAGACGTCGTTAACGATTCTCAAGCAAGTCATGGAGGAGAAGCTGAATTCAACGAATGTTGAAGTAGCGGTGGTCACCCCGACTGCTCGTTTCCATATGTTCAGTAAGGAAGAAGTTGAAGAGGCAATTAAGGATGTTGCTTAAAACGTTATGCACTTTAACACATACGGTGATTCTGAATAATTCGAATTTTCTATTTCTATCTATATGTTAGCATAATCTACATAATACATAAGTCGCGGCAGTATTTGCAGTAAAAGAAATTCTTGTATTGTATACGACCAGTTTATTTGTTGTTACTTTCGGAACAGGAAATAGATAATTCAATCTCCGGTAAATTCATTAATTTTAACCTTTCCTCAAAAGTAGCGAGGATGGATAGAGTGCATAAGTTCTTATTTTCACCTTGTTAAGCATACATGTAAGTAATCCCAAAAAAGTGAACCAATTTACGGTATTAAATGCTCCCGTTATATTTTAGTGTATATCAGAGTCCCTTTCACTTTACACCATGAATTCTTTCCAACCTCTCTTCACATTCAGTTGGTTCATTGCCATTCACGACCATATAGAATACTCTTACACTTTTAGGATAAAATCTCATCTCTACCCTCCTCATCACACATTCTGCCCATGATGACAGAGTTTTGAGAAAGAAAACCCAGCCAACTCTAGTGTAAAATTCCAAACGAACGAATTGCATTAACGTATGTATGTAGATCCAACTTTCAAGCTCCAAGGGCATCCATGGTGGATTTGGATCATCTCGCTTTACACATAATATACGAAATAATACGAATATTGTAGTGGTACATACTATACAGCAGCATCACCCACTCTTCTTCCTCTCTCTCTCTCTCTCTCCATCTTCCCTTGGGGCATTTATAATTCCAGCCTGGGCTCCTTTATGTACATGTTAGCATCCAAAGCAAACCATGTTTTTCTCTTTATGCGGATGAAATTCACATGTACCAGAGGGAACTGTAGAAAGAAGGGATTGTTGTGAATTGTTGTGAGGGATGAATTCAAGTCTTCTCATTTCTCTCTCCCTCGTCCTCTCTCTCCCTGCGATACAGGGACAGGAAGGGTAAATAAAGGGTAAGCCAAGGGTTGCCATCAGCCTGCTTGCATTGAAATATTGTCGTGCATATCCCTTCCCCTAAATAATGGAGGCCTAAGCGTACTAGTAAATGATGAGACTTTGGAAAGTTCCATCCCAATCTGCACTACCTTCCTACATATGTACGTGGTAAACTTGTAGCAGTCCTCAAGAAATGTGAGAGAATATTATTATTATGCTTTGCACGGGAACGACAACTTCCACATCGTCTGAACACCACCTACGCTGACAACTCTGCGCCACCATTCGTAACATTCTCCACTTCCACTTCTACTAAAGTTAAAGGACCACATGCATGCCAACAAAAAATAGTAGATCAACTCTTATGCACGTCTGCATTCAGTGCTGGTGGATAAGCTTCAGCTACAAGAAGGCATAATGGCGGAGGAAGGAAGGAGCTAACATCGAAGCTCGTCTTCCAAGAGAGATGATCGAGCTGGCTGGGTGTGTAGTAATGATGGAATTCAAATACAAATATGCATTTCTTTTACACTATAGCCCACCTACAATATACATAAAGGTGGGATATTTAATATTTTCTCCCGTATCGACAAAATTTATGGGCATCAAGTTGTGCATGATAATTAAACATCCTCAAATCAAGTAAAACTAATATGTGTAAATAAGGGTACGGATAATGAATTATGTCACCCCATTCAAAATTCATATCTTGAACTTTCTTTCTCAGGAGAAAAGTTTGGCTTGAGTTCGCTTTCTTTCCCTGCTTTCACCCTCTTCTTCTGCACCACAGCCCGGCTCTCGGTTGCACCAACATTCCTCCCCAACCCACCATACCACCAAGCCAACCAAATTTATATTCTATAATCCTGCTTGCTGCACTTCCTTCCATTACTGCTCAACACGTACATATATACGAGAACAAAAATCCTACTACTTTTCACCACCAGCAAAGCATCACCAAGCTTCACCCGAAAGCAACCCAGTTACACACACGGCGAGCATCGCATCGCATCGCATCATCCTCACGCACTTCTTTCTTCTTCGACTAAACTATAGCGTGCATTTGGTCATATCGCGTATTCCCAGCACAACAACTATAAAATAAACTGTGTTAAAAGTTTTAGTGAGTGAGTTCTTGGTCCTTGTTGGCTGCATCCGCTCTTTAGAAGGGAAGAAGAATCTCCCCTCCATCGCCGCACTACTGACTCTCTCACTCGAAGCCAACCAGCCCAGCTTTCACCGACCACCAACAACATCATACCAAACCACGTCCAGCACAACAGCAAGCAGGCAGAAGAACAAGGAGCACAACTACTCACACACTCTTCATCCTCCGTCCGTCCGTCCATCTTCCTCTCTCTCTCTCTCGCCAACATTTCCGCATTTTCATTTATTTGGAGAAAGTTGAAAAGAAAGTTACAAGACCTTTTTGTGTTCAAGACAAGGCTGACTTCACAAGATATTGAACTCACTAGAAAACTGACGAGAAAATATATTACTGGGATTGGAAGGGGTGCAAAGTGGGGTTTGTAGTAGTAGGGACACACAAGGCCTTTATTTTTACCCTGCGTTCGTGAATTTAGAGAGGAGAGAAGCGGTTGGTTGGTGTTGCTGCTGGTTTGAGGGAGGAGGAGGAGGAAAGAATCGCATCGAGGTGTCGCTGGAACAGACACGACTTTCACTCGCTCCATTTTGCCCGAAAGGTGAGTTATTTTCAAATACTTTCTCCTTTTTAATTATTATTTAATTAGCATTATTTACCATCATGGTGGACAAATTATATAATCATCTCAAAAGGTTTTGAATATTTTGTCCCGTATAATAATATTAAAATCAATTAGAAAGTTGACTATAATTAGTAGGACAATGTCTCAACTTATTTGTATACAATTTTTTGAGCTGGGTTTTAACCATCATTTGTGGTGGTGGTAGTGTTGATTGTTTGTACAGTTGAGTTGATTCGATATTTTTTTATTTCAATTTTTAGTACGACTAATAAAAAAAAGTCCATGACAGACTGAATAAGGATGGGAGACGGTTAGAAAGAAAACCAGTACTTACATATGTAGAGGGATTTTAAGACTGAAGAAAATTATCCTGAGCTGCATCTTTATTGCCTTATACATACAAGTTACTTACTACTATTGAGCAATATTCGAAAATTGACGGGTGATAAGAAGAAAGATTTACTACATAGCATAAGATAAATAATCGGGGCATTCAGATCAAGAGATAAAATGGGAGTGCGAACAAAACACTATGATCATCGACATAGGTCTCAAGAAGCGTCACAACTTCAGAATCAACCTGCAACAAATGAAGCAGCAAATGGTGAGGGGACAAATAATAATCACAATGCATCAACAGCAGAGGTTCAAATTCCTCCCTCATCATTAGCAATATCCACTACCAAGCCAAAGGGGGGAGGAAAATCGAAAAGAAAGTCGAGGAAAGCAAAGGCTGGTAATAATAATAACAATAGTAATAAGAAAGCTGCCTCCAGTTCAACTTTGCCAGCCCCTCCGACACCCTCCACCCCCACTGTGAAACCACTAATAATCACAATCCCAAAGTCTCAGTCCCCAACAGTTGCGACTATTCTTGACCAGTCAGCTTCACTAATCGCAGTCGCACCTATTGCTAAACCTAAAAAACCTGCAAGAAAGAGAAAGCAACGGGGAAGAGGAGGAAAAATCAAAATAACGCCAACTGAGCCCGCAGCGGAAGAGAAAGTCGAAATAACAAAAAAGACCCCAGTGGGCAAGTCACCTTCACCACCTAACATTTCCAGCAAAGCAGTTGTTTCGAAGAGTGATATCAAGTCCAATATATCCAACATTAAAAAAGATGAACAGATTGCAGAAACTGTTACGCCTTCAAATAATCCGTCGAAAAATGGAATTTTGAAGACGACTAACAAAATAAAGAAAGGAATGAGAAATTTGATGGAGAGAACAAACAAGATTTTGGAAAGGAGTCGTAAAAAGCCACAAAGAAAGAAATCTCCTGTCGTAAGTTAAATTTCCCAAAAGATTGTATGATAAAAAGACTTGCAAGTTTAATTGTGCATATTGTTTTTAAGAAACCACGCATACTGCCAGCAAGAGCTTCGGCCAGGCTTTGTGTCCGAAAAAATAGTGGGGAACATGAACAAGGTGATAATAATGCGAAATATGTTGCATCCTAAATTTATAATACTTTCCCTTCTAAAATTTGAAATACTTTCCTTTCTAAAATTTAAAATGTACTTTTTTGAGCAGGTATTATGCGCTCTGATATTCCTTTACGAACGGTGGAATTAATTAGAAGACCCTTGGAATTGCGAGAACCTGCAACGAAATTACTCTATTTGGCGAGTTTATCTTTGTATCCAACAGTAGATCCAGAATCTGATACGACACCGATCGTCATTATCAGCGAAGAAATTCCAAATCTTAATGGGAACAAGAAACCGAGGATGCGAAACTTGGAGCTTCCTCTCTTACCGGTATATTATTTGACTTTAATAGTAATTTGTCGCCTAACAATTTATAATAAAATTGACAAAAATAGTCTTAGATTTCTTGTAAAAAAAATAAAAATAAAATTGACAAAATATTGGTTGTTTTTATTACAGAATTGGAGATGTACCAGCTTTCACCCACCAAGTCGCGCAACTTTGGGTGATGATAGTGTTATTTTGAGAGATTCAATCGCATCGCCAGACTTGAAAGGTAACACTTCTGGGAACCAGAAGCCATCAAGGAAACGAAAAATTGCAGATAAGAAACCTGCAGAAGAAACTTTAAATCCTATTACGGTTGAAGTTGTGGAACCCAACAAAGAAAAGAAAGTCAAACTTGCTACCTCAACCGCAGATAAAAATGCTTCTAAACCTCCCAAAACCAAAACTTCAAACAAAAGGTCAAAGAAGAATGCGTCAGCAAAACCACAATGTGTGGAAATTAATTCGGCAACCGTTGAGAAAGATGTGGTGGCGTCACTAGCTGATACACTGGAATCACAACCAACACCCATGCAGCAAACTGAGGTCATCACTAATGACAAAATTACATTGAAACAATTGATCCCGGTTCCATCCGAACCAAGGCCTTCCCAACTATCAAGCGCTGCAATTTCAGAAATGCTAAACTTTCAAGGATCAGCAATGGACCTTACAAACACCATGTTGAAATATCCTTTTGATTCTGGGTTAACTATTTCATCGTCAGCATCACCACGTCCACCACTACCGGAAATTTTCATAAAGCAACCTTGTTCCAAACCAACAAATCAAGTAAAATCTTCCAACATTATCATGCCTAACCAATTTGCCAGTTTGTCAGGAACTACTTTTACTGCTATTGACGACAAATCGTCTTCTTCGGCTCCTTTCATACTTCCCCATACCTCCTCATCGTCAACTGTAGTGGTGTCATCCTCTGAAGAGCCAATGGTGCGACAGAAGATCATGCCTACACCTTCAGAAATGTTACTCTCTGTAAACCCAGCTACAAATACTGATATCAGCACGGACCAACAGATCAACAAGTCGGTCAAACCAGCTCCTGTGAAAAGAAAGAGGAAATCTCTTGAGACGATTATAAAAGAAATTCCTAAAACAAAATGTCAAACAAAGTTGAATCAAGAACAAGCATCCGAACTACCAATGTTCTCGTTTAACTCAGTAACGGCAGTAGCACCACCACCACCACAACAATTACCATCAAGCAACCCCAGCATTTTGGAAGGTTTAATGAAAAATCCAACCAAGAAACCATCCCGCAAGACAAAAATAGTGCCACCATTGCCGCACCAGTCCCTACAGTCTATGCAGCCAGCAATGTCACTCATAAACATGCAAAATCCAGTCTCAATGACCGTGCCATTACAACCGGCTCCTGCTAATTCAAACCTTGTTCCAGTACTTTGCAAAGACAATACTAGTATTAACAAGGAGCCAGTTAAACAGCGCAACAAGAAGCAACAGAAGCCGCAGTTTCAATTACCTATGCCATTACCGATTCCCCTTCCTCCTGGACTTTTGAATTACGCATCATTGCTTCCGGGCAGTAACTTTTCCGATGTTCCCAACAAACCAAGAAAGCCGAGGAAACCGAAGACAAACTCTGCAGCATTGGGAGGAGAAATTCCAGCCATGTATCAACCAGCAAGGTCTTCTCATCCTTCGCCTAATGGAAGTACTCCCAGTCAAATGGCTTCAATTCCTTACCTGCCCAGTCATTTGCAAGCTTTTTATCACTCAACACCTGTTGGGAACATAGTCAAAGACTTGATGTATAATGATCCAGATCAAGCACTGGACTTGTGCGTGAAGGCAGCTATACCAGTACCAAAGCCTTCTCAGCCAAAAAAGTCAAAGAAAAGTAATAAAGCACCCACTACAGGCATGAAGAGTCTCTTGAAGCCATTGAACGTCGAAGAAGATGGTCCGTTAAATTTGGTAATTAGTCGCAGCATTATTGCTCAAGGTCCCGCTATTGTAAAAAATCCTGATGAAGGGAGAGATTCACTAACCCTTCCGTTGACTGAAACTTTGAAACAACAGGGTAATCTAGAAAGTATGTACATATAATTCCATTGAATGCATTTTTATATTTTTATATTTTTATTCTTATTTATGAATTTATCGATTAACAAAGTTGAATAATTTGTCTTTTCAGATGTTAAACAAATGCTCGCCCGGCTTCATACCAAGATCGCTCCTGCTGTAAACGGGGTTCAACTTATTACGATTGAGTAGATGGTTTGGAATAATCTGAATGAAGTAAACTTAGAAACTAATATGTACTGAAAATGACTCTGATTTGAAATCTAATGTTTAGTAATCAAGTAGTTATAGATTTGATTTTGATTATTTTAGGTCAAGAGACTGTAGTATGATTTTATAAAAAAAATACTATATACATAATTATAAATATGTCTGCAAAGTAATTCAATTCTCATCCTATGAAAAATTGCCTTTATCTTGGAGTCTTCGTGCCTTTCTCTGGAATCTCAGAAGTCTGTTGAATCGCCTTCAATGATCCTCATTAGAAACTCAAAATGCTTATATGTAAAGTATTTATAGTCGTCAGAGAGCTATTTATGACTACCATAATTTATCAGAACTAAAAATTACTTATATGCAGATAAATATTATATTTATGGGGAGATCAGGATATTACGTAACGCGTGATTTAGTAGATTCTGTCGGAATATTTAGAACTTCGCGTTGCGAAATTACCTACTCTTTCCTTATCGACTTATCTATACGAAAACATCTACGTTCATATGTATGCTTTCAAATAGCATATATATTCGAATACATGAATTAACTTAATCATAACATGTACTGTATGTAGAAATTATTTATTTGGACTTTAAACAATGTACTTACTAACTGTTGTATTTTATATGACTACATTTTAGGTATTTATGAATGTATTATTCATCTGTGTTTTTTAAACGAATTGTTTCAGGAACGATTTTGTTAATCATAGTATTTATATTTGTATTATTGGGTTTTCCTTGTTTTTTGATTTACGTACTTTGCTACGACTTTTTTGTGCAGTATCATTTTATATATTCAATACTAAATATTACATTAAATATTTATTGGATAATGGCAAGCGTTATTACAAGTTGAGATGGATGATCACTTTGCCCAAGCAAGTAGTTGTACTTTTGTATTTTTCAAAACTAATAAATGCATTTTTCAAAATAAAATAAAGCCCACAATTATTTCAATTTTACAGTGTTTATTAACATTTAATCATAAAAATAACACGTAATATGGAAATCTCGTCACTTTTCAACACATTTCACAAGTATCATGAACAAATTTGTTGAATTACTAAATAAATAATTAGCTTAATTAATTTACGATTCAGCACCTCATGTGGACGGAGATATCTAGTGTCGTCCGGTCGGGATATTAACCAGGAACAGTGCGTTTACGGGCTGACATTGACTTCATTGTCATACCTATGAAATATTAAATCAACAATGAAAAAAAATGAATGTGAACTTAATCCAAGCAGAAAACAAAAATTTTACTAATTGTAGAAAATATTCACCTTGTTCACGTGAATTTGATTTCGAAATACTGCTGCTACCCACACGCAATGTCTTGGTCATGTATTCGCTCCAACGGAACCATCCTCGTTCAGTAGCCGTTGCTTGTCTTTTTGTCGAAATTGGGCCAGATTTCTTACCCTTAATCGAATCTGATTCAACTTGTGATGATGATGATGTGTAGAACGTTATCACTGTGCAACAGCTTTGCAACTTTTTCACATATTCTAGAGGTAATTAATGTAATGTTAATGAAATTATGACCACGGCGAAAAGATAGTTCTAAAATCCTTAATACCTTCCAGTGATGGCGTTTGGTCTTCTGAGCAGGATGAACCTGAAGTATTGCTATCAGTCTCAATTAAATTCGCAACGTACTCACCAAAACTGATCGATGGGGGACTAGCATCGGCGTCAATTTGACTAAAATTTGGACTTTGGTTGAGACTATCTAATTCCTTCGTAATTTGTGCTTGTTTCTGAGAGAGAGAGAAAAACGAGAATAATTAAATTTACACTAATATTAATTATTTAAATATTGTTCAGTGATAAATGATAATTTAATTCTATACCAATCATTTGCTTACCAATATCTTTACAATTTTGAGAATACACAAATTTTTGAGAGATCTGACATTGAGATTTCCCCCTACGACGGAAGGGTACTGACGTCGGTCATCAGTTTGGGATTCAGCACTACTATTTGTACATGTTATAACATTGTCTTCAGCTGTGAGTTAAGAAAGACTCGCATTAATATTACACAACATACATACGTGTAACAAATTATAAAACGAGCAATAAAATCCAATGCAATACAAGTTACAACATACGAATATGATCATTTGCGACAAGGCCTAAACTCCCGAGAAACAAACATTTCGTAAGAACGTCATCATCATCACGGTCTATGTCCATGTCTTGAGGATTAATTAATTCCACCACTCTTCCATAAGGCCCAGTATCGGATTCGTTCACACGGGCTGGTAAATTAAAAATCAATGTAAAGTCCGCAAATTAAAATATGCATTAAACTGAATATGTATGGAGAATAAATGAAAATCTCACGTTTCTGTCCTGCATTGGTCTTGCGAGTATTTTTGAACAACAAACGCTTGGATTTGCGACAAGGCACCTTATTTGATCTTGAGCCCGATAAAGAATTGTGATTCAGTCCTGACATTTGTTTAGTCTTGGTCAACACTACTTCTTTCATTTTGAACTATTTTTTTGTACTGGTTTTTAACCACCCCCTCAACTCTGCGATTCAAAGTAGAATATGACGGGATTAAAAATTTCATTTGGTGTGTAAAATGTTACTTAGTCACACACTTCAACATTTCACAATTTCACGCAACCGAACCAATAAATAAGGTTGCAATAATTAATAGCACTGTGTTTCAGAGAACTATACATATATGTCAGTTGTCCATTGTCACCCTTGTCACCATATATATATATGTAGTTACTCTATTTCCAGGTAATGACTGAAATCAACTTAGTTTTGACGTACAAAAATTTCCAAAGTTTCGAAAAAGATAAGAAATTAATTTTAAAGTATACCAACTCGAGCGAAGACTATAAGTACAAATAAAACTACAGATACAATGATGATGATGATATTTTGTATACAAAATAAAATCAAACTGCTTCTCTCCTTATGCACATACATGAAGAATGACAATATTTTTGTTACTGTCCATCAAAACTATTAAGGACCAATTCGACAATTAATTAAACGAAAATTAGGCAATAGTAATATGTCACGAAACAAATTAGAAATCAATAGATAAAAAAATATGAGCTCTATAAAGTGCCTTTCTTATGTATTTATTATGTATCTGTAAATACGTAAATACCAATGTCTGCACTGATATTGATACGTGCTCAAACTGATTTAATAAATTTATAAAGTCATCAGGTTTAATAAGTTCTTTGAAATGCCAATTAATATAATTTTGAATCATTTATTGTAAGATCCGATATTCAGCGAAATTGAGATGATGAACTATAAAATAGTATATTATGTATGTACTTTGTACTTCACCCAGCATGATTATTCAGTAAAGGTTAATTTACTACCTCGTATAATTTATAGTATGACTGAGTATTAACAACAAATATGTTTACAATAAACCAATATATAATTAATTAGCCCAACGACTTGCAAGAATGTAAGAGTGAAGTACAAGAGTGGACATTTTAAAAACAACTTGGGAAATTATAATAAAAATATAATTACAATTTAACTCGTTTCATCATTAACAATTACTCTTGGACAAACCAGTAATAAATGAGTATGATATCAAATCTAACTTTTTTTTAAACATTTAATGTGAGCTATGTTATGTCACTTTATGGAAATCTGCCGAGTCGAGCAAATCGAAACCCGTTAAATGTCCTAACAATTACCATCATACACTAATCAACTCGCAATTTCCATTCAAACTTATAACTGTAGTGCTAATGTTCTTACTTTTGCCAATTTTATCCCTGCTTAAAAAGGCTGGCGTTTTCTATATGAAGACCGTAAAATACTGCTCAGGGAGAATATGTAGGGACAGAAAAGCCCCGTCTACGTGCTCAAATCTGGTCAAGGTGATCTGCAGATTGATTCGTAAATATTACAAAGGAATGCGACTTTTTTGTTGTCTCTAAAATTGAGACTACAAATAAAAATTAGCAACGATTATCGGTCACAAATTAGGAGCGATCGAGTCCAATCAAGTTGACACGATGTTCTGCATTGCTCCATCATTCCCAACTCTGCTGATGCTATTCACTACTCCTGCCCTACTCTTCCTCATTTCACTCTTCATCTCACGCTCATCAACAGCTGAAGATCCTCAAAGGAAGCAGAGGCACTTATTCCGCATTTCAGTCCCTGACACTGCTCGAATTAACCCTCAGGTCAGTAAAAAGTTCTTACCTGCAATTATTTTAGTTGAGCTCAGTTTAAAATTCGTCCAGGGAGAAGAATACGTATGCACCGTGCAGCGCCTCAACTTGACGACGGAGAAAGCAATTTACTTGGAAGAATTTGTATACAGTTTCGCTAACCATGGAAGTGCGCACCATTTCCTACTTTATGGGTGTAAATCAGTGGGAAGATATGCACTGGAAAATCAGTATTGGTTCGTGAGAAATTATTACTTATTTTGAATAAAATAAGAGAAGGCGGAAATGAATGAAATTGGATTTGTTTGTAGGCCTTGCAACGCCAGAGGAAAGGGGAACCTTTGTCTCGAGAGGAAGCATATTCCGCTTGGCATTCCTCAGCAGAATTCTAGACGTGACCCAAAGTTTGATGAGCCAGCAAAATTCCCAGAAAATGTTGCTTATGGAATTGGTCCCCGGTTTGAGATTAATTATTTGATGCTGGAAGTTCACTTTATGGCTGAGAGAAAAGAAGGCCAGTTCCACATGAATGGGACAGATTTAGCGGATGAGATAAGCGATACACCATTTGTTGACCAGGGTCGTCATGATAATTTGGGTTTGGTAGCACATGGGTCCACTAAGAGGTATATATATATATCATCAAAACGGCGTTGTTATAATCCAACTCTCACGAGATTAACAAGACGACCCTTTTTATGTTCAATTCTTTTTAACAGACCAAAATATTTAGCCGGTATGATGGTCATGGCTGGAGTTGGGTTTAAAATCCCTCGTGGACAAAAAAGTATTTATAAATTTTGAGAAATGGCTTTAAACATTCGACATTTATTTATAGTAACTTTAGGAATTCATTCCAGATTTCTCTGTGAATATAAACTGTCAGCCTGATTTGTCACTTCCCATTTTTCCTTATGCTTATTGGGTCCATACCCATGAATTGGGCAAAGTCGTTTCAGGCTACAAGGTGAATAAAACAAATGGGAAGTTTACAGAATTTGCAAGATGGATTCATCATAGACCACAACCTGTGATTCTGGACTTGGAACTATCAAAATCTGTGCTGGCCATCCATCCTGGCGATTATGTGGCTTCAAAGTGCAATTATGACTCGACGACTGCAAAAACTGATGTTCACTGGGGACCTCGTCATAAATTTGATGAAATGTGCAACCTATTTTTATTTTATTTCACACTATCAACCAATCCTAAGGACTTGTCCATTCCTTGTGTGAACGAAAAATCAAGCGAAATTTCAAAGCGTTTCCCTGCAGATGCGTCCACCCTCCCACAACAAGTCGATAACTCGTCCATTTTATTAAAAAACCAGGAAAATATCTCAGCTAATCCAATATGCAATCTGTATCGCCATTACAGAATTAAAAATTGTCCATTCACATCATAAGCAAAGAACAAGCACACTGTTCCAGCTTGTATGTACATTACTTACATTTTAATTAATATGATGAAATATTTACAACATTCTAACATTGATTCCTAAATGACTTTAAATAATTATTTCGTCATGATTAGCATTACAGTATCCCATTAAGTAATGCACACATGCACATATAATGAATATGTACATGATTCAAGTTGTTGATATAATGATGCTGCATTTTTGTTGTCAATATTTAAAGCGTTGTGACTATCCGACATTTAAATTAACTCCTCTGCAGTGTCCATAATAAATAGGAGTGTGCTTAATTATTATTACGATGTCCAAAAATATGCATATTCTACTCATTTGTAATGCTTATTCATCCTCAGGGCCACAGTGAAGTGTGTAATGTTTCTAGTATTTTCTTTTTATCTTATCCAGTCACATATTCGTTATTCGAGCGATAAGGAGATAAAGGAGCGACGATGAAGCTAAACACACGCATAACACAACCATTTTTTATTGTTCCTCTGAGACCATACATATAAGGCAATTTCGCGACATGTTGATAATGATATTTTATCATCAGACCTGGGTTACTCATTTATTTGACGGAGATGACAAATTCAACTTAATATTTAGTCAAGTGATCATGACGAAATTGACATACAGTTAAAATCAAGTACATGTGTACATTTGCATACATACATTTACATTTCGTCGTCAGTGAAATTCTGAGGTTATGGCAAATAGGTTAATTATTAATTGGTGGTTGTATCAGTGTAGTAAAATAGTAGCTTGATCTCGTCAAACAATATGCGTATAATTATTCATATTAATACTGCCGTCAGACAAATTGGCGTAGTGCAATAGTGGAATGTGTAATTCCTATTATATTTACAACCTTTCTAAGATTAAAAGGTTCAGGAAAGTTAAAGACGATGCAAGGAGCAGTGGGAAATTTTCTCAAGACTTACACGACCCCACGGTTACTGCAAGCAAATAACACCCGCCTGCAACTTTGCTACTTACTCCAATTAGGAGTTATCGTCATTCTTTTTGCATTGTTAGTTCTCTGATATTCTATACTCAATAATATTTTGCAGTAATAAACATGATAAAAACCATGAATATTTTTTAAAATAAAAAGATATGCAATGGTATATCATCAAGCGCATCAGCAAAGATGCCCTGTCCGAGGAGTGACGACCTTTCAATCTTTTGGTGGATTTTATATGCCAGAAGAGACGGAAGACCTTAATCAAAAATACCCAACGATATTCCAAAAATTTTGGAGCGCGTCTGATATTGTTGAACGATCTGAAGATGGGTTCATGGTGTTATCAAACATCGTCATTACCCCAAACCAAACACAAAAAACATGTCCAGAAGTACGTAAATCCCGAGCAGATCGACACAGAACACGGTGTCAATGCATTGTCAGGACAGAAATAATAATTTTATATGTGTATTAATTTTCAAAATTTCAGAGTCCGAACGTTCCCAAAAGTATTTGTACTGATGACCCAGAAGAGAAGTTAAACAGAAATTTTTCTTACACAGAATGCCAAAAGGGCTCTCAGTCTGTGAGTGGCGTTCAAACGGGCCTGTGTGTCTACAATAGCTTGGACACGCTTAAATTGTAATTCAAAAGATACTACTACTGTTTTTTTTAATGATCTACCCTAATTGTAATTTTGTTCATGGTCCGATTTAGCTATAACATAGCTTTCGGTCGTCCAGGCACGATGACATGTGAGGTCGAAGGTTGGTGTCCTTTGCTACCGCTTTCCCCAAGTCAATCCCACCAAACGCAAGTCACGAATTTATATCATGTTTGATGTTTCTTGGTATTTTGTTGCGTAAGTATTTTACAATACGTAAAATGTTACTGCATGTAGGTTTCAAAACTCCTCTGATGGAGCAGTATTAGAAGGGGCAAAAAATTTAATTATATTATTGAAGACAGCGGCAGGTAGAAATATTTTAAACATTTATCATTATTAATTGCACAATATTTATAAAACATAAAAAATATAGACTTTCCTTTGTGTGGGGACACTTATTTTGGAATGCATGAGACACTTGAAGGAAAGCCCAACTGCATGTACCACCCTGTAAATAATCCTAGTTGTCCTTGGTTTACTATTCATGATCTGGTGCTATACGGCGGCTTTATTTCGTTTACGAACATCGCATCTACTGTACGATAAATTTTATATATTAAAACTAAATTTCTGCGAGGTTTGCCTTAATTTTGATTATAATTTTACAGGGACAAATTTTCAGAATCACTGTGAATTGGCAATGTGATTTTGATTGGAAAGAAAGTTGCGTTCCAAAATATTCTATTGCGCCCGTGTTTGGTCGTCATCAGGAATGGGAATCTTTCTATAAAGAGTAAGAAACAATGCACACCCTAAATAATTTAGACTAAAATAACTAAAATAGGCTACTAAGAGTCTGTGAGTCCTCGCGCCATAATTAACGCCGTTTCCTTATTACAGAGAACCTTTTTACCAGAGCCAAGGAACTCGGACTCAAGTTCGGAAATTCGGACTAAAGTTTATCATCGAGCATCAAGGGGAAGGACGAAAGGTATTTTAACATAAAAGAACCATGTGTGCATATAATATATATAGATAATATATATCTAATGTATTGTTGGGGGTCTTTTTACAGACAACAATGTGGCTTTTGATGAAAACTTTGTCTTTAGGCTTCCCGTATTTATTTATTGTAAGTCACAGTACTATAAGTCATAACCGAATTGTGAATTCAATTGTGTAATCTAGCATGCAGTTACTACTAGTAGTCATTTTACTATCATTCTCTTCTATGCGGCACCGCGCCGGTTTCAATTCATCGTGGTGCATGATACTATGAAAAATTAATATATAGTCTATCCACGGCAAGTTGAACTCGGAGATATGGAAGACTAAATCCCGGCCCATGCTTATTAACGTTGAACTGAGTTTAGTCTCCCATATCTCCGGGTTCAACTTGCCGTGGAAAGAGAGTATTGTTATTTATGAATGCAGCCTGGCTTCGTCATTACCTTGCTCTACAACAAGTTTTTCAAGAATATGAAAAAATTCAAGCGGAAAAAGTATTATCAGTATTCAGAGCAAGCCGATGAAGAGCCACTCATTCTCAATGTGGACCCATCTTTACTGGAGATTAGGCACAAAATTGTATGAAGAGATATATACCATGATCGTGAGGAACAACGCTACATGCTAACATGTATATTATGTATGTACATATTTACTCGATGCGTTACACAGATAAAGTTAAATATGATAATTTCCGGTAATTATACGGAAACTGTACGTTTATTACGTAAAATTTTTGCGATTCACATAGTATTTATATCCGCGCATCAACAATATAAATATCATTGCAGTATCATTCAAACGACATTAATTATGGCAGTTGAATCTTTTAGTATAAGTTGAAAAATTTATGCTACAAAAATAGTCAAATATAGTTGTTTTGTATAAAAATACCTTATAGTAATTGACTTCAATCAAGTAATATAGTAATCAAGTAATATTTGCTGCAACATTCAAAAAATACATTTAATGAACGGTACATTTGATTGTAGACAACAAAACTTTGGCTTTAAAATCTTTACTCAAGGCATCCGAATTATTTAAACTCTACCCTTTCCTTCATATAAAATGCATTTATCACACGTGAAAAGTCTAGTAATATGAGAATAAGGAATAAGTGCATGTAGATATTAGGACCCTAATTATAAATCCCAGTACAGAATAATTAATCAACTAGAATAATATCGTCCTCCATAGAATCTGGTAACCCACTGTCCACTATTAGGTGAGCATCAAAGCCATAAGGACTTGTATTGCTAACAGCAAGACTAGCAGTCTTTCCTGAAATAGCACAATACATTAAATTTGTAGAATTTGTTTGTCCTCGAGTCGTATGTACGTAGGTAGCATTTCTACATGTCTTACGTTTAATATTAGCCGAAATACTTATCACTTCTTCTTGTGTAACTTGCATTGCCGGCGAAGGTGCAATAAAAATACAATTGGAAGGCTTTGGCGGTGCTAGAGAGGAAGGGAACATTTGGATATTACGACGTCGCGGACTTGGAGGAGCTGCAGGAGACCTGGGTCGGTGAAGGAATGGTGAATTGTATATGTGTCTGGCTCTTGGTTTATTGACAATATGAGCGTACGGTAGCCTTTTAATCACTGTTGGCTTAGCAAAATTGTAGCTTTGAGATTTATTCGTCGAACCGTTACGGAAATTGTTACGAAGTACTCCCATCGTATTATGATTTTGATGGGCGCCAGGACTCGCTGATGAAATATGTAAATTTGGATAGTCAGGGAGGATATGGGATATATTTTCTTCTTTCATATCGTCATCTGAGGATAAGTCTATAACTTCTATGGGCCCGAGAGGCTGTTTGGAGTTATTCATCCTCCAGGTTCTCATAACTTCAAACCGACGTAACCTTTCAATTCTATGCTCTTCTTTGATGCGTTCACGCTCCTTTGCTCGAGCTTTTTCATACTTAATCCTCAGCTAAAAATAAATGCACATCATTCAATGATGTTAATAAGTAGCCCATATTAATGGTACTAGAAGGTTAATGATATACAAGTTTACTTTTTCTAATACTGCAGGGGGTATGGTATCGATTTTAATTGATGGTAATATCAGTCCTGAAAATACAAAAAATAGGAGCATGAAAATACGCAAATACATGTAGCCTACATGATGTAGGCATTATATATATATATATATCGATTATTATTAAGTAAATTTGAATTACCATTAGAATTTTCAACTGGAGTTAGTCCTATACCTACCATGAACAACAATTTTGACTTTTCACTTCTCCAGTTATTATCTTTTTGATTTATTAGCTCCACCGTTCTCGATATCCTTAAGCAAGGACGTCTTCTTGAAGCGGCAGCTAAATAATAAGAATAATTACTTATTATTTAAAAGTATTAGTTTATAAATTTTATATCGATAAGAAATACTTGCCTTCACCAGCTGCCAGCCTTAATTGTCGATATAACCGAAGAGAGGCTCGCTTGGGGTTGTTGCGAGCTTTCATCTTACTTTTCTTGTTCATATTTATAATACAGATACAAGGTACGACAATCCGGTTTAAAGAATAAAACTCTCAGGTTCTACAAAAATAAAGAAACTGAGCTATTAATATACATATATAAATATCAAGCAAATTCTAATAAATTAACAAACTAGACAATTGTAGGCTTATATCAACCCACCACGGTCGTGAGCTCTCATTCAATGAATAGAGTTTAGCTCTTTCCGAGTTCAGTTTTATCAAAAAAAAAATATGCAAGTACATTTACTAAACCTTCTTCATATAAAAAATAATTTTTTGAAATTTCGAAAAAATAGCCCGTCAGTACAACGAGCCGCTGAAATTGAAAATTGACGTCATGAACTATGGCGCCGTCCATAAATTACGTAACGAAAAATTTGAGATTTTCTAGACCCCCTCTCGCGTTACGTAATTTATGAACGGCCCCTACGCAGATGGAATATTTTGGTAATAGTGGGCAGAGTTATAGAATTGTTTCCGACACAAGAATGCTCACTATCAGGCGTCACTATCAGCAGCATATACAAAAAATTCTGAACTGTAAAGTGGCATACAATTAATCGTATAGGCGTTAGGGCCCGTTCATATATTACGTATACAAGAAGCTCCAATGATATCGTGCCTATGTTGCCAATGTTAAAAGGGGGGATGGGGGTCGAAAAATCGTTTTTTTATGACGTAATAATGAACGGACCCTTACTAACTACTGGCACAATTAATATTAATTAATTAATCTTGAAAGTTCCCGCTTTAGCTTAAATTATAATAAATACTCATCATGGGCTTATTATTCACATAAATTGATAGAGCACAAATTGATTTATTATAGTGCTTGTAGTAATTACGGCACTTTAGCTAAGACAATTTGAAACGGAGTCTTTAATAATTTCCAAAGTGCGTAGAAATATTGCGGAAAAAGAAATATATAAATTAAATATAAATATTATATAAATATATTAATATTAAATATCTCTGTGGGACGGGAAAATTCCTGCTCTGTGAGCTCAAAGCATGCTAAAAGAGGCCAAAATTTGTATTTCTCCGTCCCCCAGAGATATTTAATCCGCAATAGCATTGAAATACCTTATGCTGAGGAGAACTTCATATTTTCCACCTTTCTATCCGTTTAGTATTTCTATGAAAGGATAATATCTCAACACTCCCCGCTCACGGCTGCCAGCAGATGGAGGCACAAGTTGAACCCCGCGCAATTTATGAAAATAGCACAAGCTGATATTTCAATACTTTCTAAACTTGAGTCAAATATAAAGTTAAGTTAGTGGCCGCCACGTAGGGCCCCTTTTAGAATATGACCCTTAGGTGAGGTTTTCCTGACCAACAAGTAGTTGAAAATATGCTATATTCTAGACAGTAAAATGAAAATTATATAATGCGAATTTTAATCTTGTGTATTTCGTTTGTAGCGCCTGAGCAATCAGACAGCGATATAATCTATGTACAATGGCCATTCATGCACACCGTTTGACAGCCCCTTTTTTATCGAACCCATTGGCTATTTATAAATCCAAAGATTTCAAATTTAATTGAAAAATAATTATTCGCTTATTTATTGGAATTTAATAATGCCACTGATAAACTATTACAATTGAAGGAAGGCCTTGAAATTAACTGATTTATTATGCCAAATTTTATTAAAGCAGTAAAATTTGTCGAGCGGGATGTACGAAGTTTTTGTTGAAAATGTTCAATTTTTTAATCAAGTTCAATAAATGTGGATGACCTTCGAATTTACACTACGATGTAATATTTTTATGCTCGACAGTAATTTTTCGATGTTCTACGGTGCTAAGCTCTATTTAACATGTTGGCGGGAATTGAAACTTATCAGATGTACGAATAGATTTAAAAGAAAACCAGATAATTTGACTCTGGGTATATTCGAAACACGTTATACCCATAGTCTAAGCTCTCAAAAACACGATTTCGAAATACGTGTAATTAAGTAGGCACGTTCATCGACTAGTAAACTAAAACGCGCGATCAAAGCAATTTTCGAACAAATGTTGCCAAAATTTAGATTAGTATTAGTATTAATGTAAATTAATTTAAATGACTTACTAAATCAATAGAACATCAGCAAAGTTCAAAGTTTCTGGAGACTTGCAAAAAATTAACGAGGTTCTCAGAGCACGGAAAACTGATGACTGGTGTAGTTGACTTCGTGTTTTCTGCTGATTTTTCTGCCGTATTACGGTTCTCAGCTCAGCTCTCACTATTATCGTCCCACTCGAGACATGAGCATTGAAAATGCCTGATCCATCCTGAGCGGGCCTCAATGAAAACTTCAATAGACCATAATTTTCTTGTACTTGATTTTCAGTTGTTTTCAGTAGAGAGAATGTGAATATGTGTTTCAATTATTTTGATTAGAAACTTATCTGGGCAGCATATTTTATTGTGAGGCGTATATGTATACGTCATTGCATATCAAAACACAAGCGCTGCAGCAAAGCCTACCATCGATCTTGCCTTAATCAAACAGGTATTAAAATTTGTTGGTATTCAATTCAACAGTAATATTTTAAATATGCTCCTATTTGAAAATCGATGATCAGTCATATCCGGACAGATGATGAGTAATGTGTAATGAGAAACTTATATGGCGGAACATGTTCATAGAAAGTCGTGTCTACAAAGAAAGCTTGTGATATACATCTTTTTTCATTCGATTCAGGAAAATACATATCTTGTAAATGATGTGCTGAAAATAAATTGTATGCTGAAATTGTAATTTTTATTTCTGGCAGATCTCAGTGATCTCTTGCTGTCCGGCAATCCTCCCTCTGTTTGTGCTGTCGTGTTTTCTTCCTCACGTTTGCTTTCACCACCATCACCATCGCAATCAGTTTCTTATTCATGATTTCTACTCTACTTTCAACAACTTTGCTCAACAATCCTACCGTGAGGGAAGGCCCTTCCCGGAAGGAAGATAATGTATTATAAGGACGTGGTGTTGTATTGTGATGACTTTTGTGACTGTGCAAAGAAACTGCGTCGTGGTTGCTCAAACTGAGATAAATATGATGATTCCTCGCTTCGAAAACATGAATAGCAAGGGGACGGTTGTGTTATGAAATTCATAAACTTTTGGATGAAAATTTTAACCGATTAATGTCCCTTTGATGTTTAGCGATTGAGCTTAGCTATCCGAATTACCGATTGATTCATTTTCTTCCTTTCTGAGTGAAAGCCATATTAGTGTGCATCCTATTTGTTACCCTGCAAGGCCAAACAAACCGCATCGTCACAATGGTCCGATCGGCATCGATGATATGGGCCATTCTACTCTGAAACAAAGGAAGTGGCAAATGGAGCCAGCCGATCTTAGGGTTTTTGGTAAGATATGAGATGATTTTAATTTGCTAACTATTACTGCTCTCATTTTCATGTGCATGTGAGATGACTGTATAAATGTTATGCTTCAATGATTGAATAACAAAGAAACATGGTTTTATTGCTCACTACTCCTGACCAGTGAATAGGGATCATTGCAGTAAATATTACATCGCTAAGTTAATTTTGGATCACTGTTGTAGCGATTGATATGAATGAAAGTATGATGACTGCTTTCACTCTATACTCGTATATTTTTAGCAGTCATTGAATACGCCGTTGCAACGACAACGCCTTTCTTCTTTATACACACGATAGGGGCCGTCCATAAATTATGTTGGATATAAGAAATGGGTAATGGCGTTCGAATTTTCAAAATCTGAGTAAAATTGGATTTTTGGGGTGGATTTGAATGAGTGAAAGCACTACTTTCACTGTTTTTTGGGCACCTTTGAGTGGGTGTGGCGGGCGCAAATGTGCCCATGGAGTCAAATCACTTCAGGGTTATTGCGTATTCATGGGACACTATAATATATCCAAAGGGCATCGAGATCCGTGAGTTGATAGTACACAACCTCCCCTCCTCAGAGGTGCCCAAACAACGGAGAAAGTAGTGCTTTCACTCATTCAAATTCACGCCAAAAATCAAATTTTACTGGAATTTTGAAATTCCGTGTACCATTATGGTACCAGATAGTTGTTTTCTTACATCCAACCTCAAACTCAACTTTTTTGATGATTATTTCGCAGGCCTAATTTGCGTTTACTACAACAATGCTCATTCAGAATTATAAATTTTTAAAATACTAAAAAATTCGAAAAGTTTGGTATTAAATAAAAGAAACAGCTATCTTGTCAACTATATTCGATTTTTGATGATACAAAAAATCGAATATATATGCCAGAGATTCCAGCCAGACCAAAAAATTTGAAAAAATACCATCAGACGAAGAAAAAAGAAATAAAAAACATTGGGTTAAGGTTAACCGTGATGTCGATGCGAAGTTTCGAGATAGGCAAAACAATGTTATATGCAAAGAGAGACGGAAGGATGAGACTGGGAAAATACTCGCACTCGGAATTAACTTTCTACTGCTACACAGGAACATTAAGACATTTTTGAGATTAATTTCTGATTTATAATTGTTAGAACAAAATTCGGTCTTATCTATGCTTAGAATTGGTTATCGAATGAGGCAAAATAAGATATTTAATCAGCTTCCCCTGGTTGAAATTTTTGGCGATTTTATGCAGGAAATGTTAAGCCGAATCCTGCAGAAAAAATGTGCCTAAAATTGGCCCAATTTTGTGCAGAACTGTTTATGCATATCTATTTTATGCAGAATATATTATGCATAATTTATGTTGAAAGGTTTATGCACAATTTATTGTGACGGGTTTATGCAGACAATTAATGCATTTTAAATCATGTCCTAATTGATGCATAAATTACAATTCATCAAGTACAATTAAAATTCATATTTATTTTTACTTGTAATAAATATAAGTATATAATTGTTTTAAATAATATTAACACCAGTCCCACGGCGTGACTTGCGATACTTCTCGGATAGTGTCTTCTTGCTTCACAATTTAGCATCGGCTCTGGTGCAGTTATCTGGAGGATTTTCAACTCGTCCCTTTTTAACACGCAATCTACATACAAGTTCGAAAAATGTAGATTTTGTTGATTAGTGGCTTACAGAAAATATTAAATGTGGGACTTATCTTGGTAATCACTGTATCTGCGGCGCAGACTGCGAGTTATGCTGCTGCCTTCCAATGAGGTTTTTTCTCTTGGATCTTATCTTAATGTTCTGTCAACCCAGTTCTCGCACCGTATTAAGTTTATTAACCCACTCGACTAAGAAATAACTGATCCTTTTTTAAAATTTGCTATGAAAATATCGAAAAGTTTGGATAAAAGAGGGATTTAAAAGTGAAATGCGAAATCATTCAATGAAATGAATAAACCCATGCCGTCTCAATTCGAGTTACGCGCTATGAGACACGTGTACAATTATGGGTACATATTTCTGCATAATAAACTCGACATAAGTTCTATGCATAATTATGCTTATAATTTTCTGCATAAGTTGGTCGGCATGATTGCTTTGTCAAATTGTGCATAAACCTGCACCAAATTTTGTGCATAATGATTTATGCATAGGAGTTGTGGCTACTCCTGCAGAATTCGGCACAGACATTTCAACCAGGGTCATCCACGGTGAGAAAGTTTCAATACATAAGTGTGAACTTTTTGAATACAGCTTTTATGTCTTGTGGTTCTCTGTTGCTTGTTTGTTATTGGGAGATTCAGAAATACAGTTCATCCATATCAGGAAGAGCATTAGTCGTGGCCATGGCTGGTTGCATTGGTGAAGTGATAAGCTTGAAGAAAAATGAGCTTTGATATAAGAAACTACGCATAATAACAAGCATGTACATAAGAAGTAACCGACTCCCCAAACCCATCAAATCAACATTATTATTCTTTACCCATTTTTGTAAACCAGTTTATACCAGATTTTTCCGGTTTGACGTCTTCTCATGTCAACATAGGTTGCCATCTCTTCCTGTCGTCCAAAATAGTTGTCGAGACACTACTGCAGCAACAAACAAGTAGACTGTGACTTTGGTTTGTATAGTGCATTCGTCGTTCAAGAATCAATTGCTTCTTGAATTTGTGAAAATTGTGAATGCACACATAGACACAGTTACTTACGTATTTGTATGTATGCCAAGTTGCAACTTAATTTTAATTGAACAACATCGAGCAACATTACTTTCTGAAGGATCAAAGACCCATATTGTGTCACCAAATTGTGACCCACAGACTAGTGAAAAGGTCGTCGTCGTTTAGCTGGTTGTTTTCAGTGATGATTTGTAGAGAAACTCGTGTAAATGTTAAATGTCTGTTATTTCTGCATTCATCATCAAATAATAACGATTTGATACGATTTATTCATTACTTTTTTTTGTGCTTATGTTACCCATGCATAGATTATAAATGTTGATTTTGTTGGACATTTCATCCTGGATTGCAAGCATAATAAGCAATCATCTACGATATATGTATGTATGGATGGCAATTGTGGGGATGATAACATTGATTATGAATCCTAGAATTGTTTATTGTTAATGAATTAGTCTGCACAAAGATAGTTCAATAACAATATTTTATTGGCGTCATTGCAGGTTTTCCAACTTTGTACACAAAATAACACATTCCGACAAGTGCATGGGCGGCCTATGCATTGCAACTTGCAGCAAGAGCATGACTTTTGGAAATATATTTGTCAAAGTCCATTACAAGTTTCGTTATAGGCTTCTTCCATGTTATCACGACTATGAACTATCTAAAATTCATGGACATGAGGACATCTAGTGTGCTTCTCATTTTATACACTGATCCAGGCGTAGTTACACCTCCTACCTATTTACTTACTTTATATTTTTACATGGCGTACAATACTGTCTGAAAAAGGCATGGAATAACTTGAAGGCTTTTATCCCTGGAAAAACTTATCCCATTCAATATATTCTATTGTAATGAGCAATCAGGCCCGAAATTGCTGTTAAGGCTGGTGTAGCCGTGTTGTGTGTGATTCCCCTCAGGAGTAATTAATGCAATCCCCGTCCCCATGCACACATGCAATGAAAGTTAATGACTTCCGAATATTTACTCTAGATTTGAGAGAGAACTGCGTTGTTGTTTGACGCCAAATGACGGCGACTGCGAGCAACAAGTTGTCGTTCGTTGTGCATATTCGTCGTCGTGTGTAAGGTTTAGCATCTTCTCGGATGAATTCATTTTCAATTAAATCTGGTTGGTGTAATTACTTGCAGACAGATAAAGCTCTCTATTCCATTCTTCTTTTTCCTTTGCCTGCATGTTCGAGATTGGAAAAGAGCGTGACATATCAACTATGCTCACGCTAATGGGACCCAATAATACCATTGACTGTTAAGTGAGTAAAATTAAGTAAGCGAGGTAAGTATCCGTGTGTGTCGAACAGCTTAATTCTGATTGGTGGAACTGATTATCAGCATGCTCTCGTCATGTGCCACTCCAGATATGAACAGCACAAAGATCCTCATTACAGTTCAAATGAAGATCCAGCAGAGAAGTGTAATATAATTAACATCTGTAATTCCATCAAATGAATGCAGAATGCGGCAGAACCACAAGTGTGGGGATATACTCATTTATACTATGTATATCGATATATATATATATAGTGCTTAACTATCGTTAGGTACATTAGCAGCGTTGGAAAAGTATTACCATATATTTCTATTTGAAAATTAATACATACTTAAATAGTTAGTACTTAAATAGTTTGTGCGCAACTACTTTGTGTGACTTGTGTAGCATTAAAAATTGGTTAGCCTGATGTATGTATGTACCTAATAAATGTCTGTCTGATTTTTTTTAACTCGCAACTTGCTTTTTTAATAAGATGTTTTTATAATAACAAATTTTAAACTAAAGGCTATTTGCGTAAACTTGCATTGCAAAGTCCAGGCACATGGACTTTGCATGTGTGATATGAGTTGTTAAAAAATTGTTATTCAAAACGAGCAAATAATTGATTTCTTTTTAGTTTTTATTTCACTAACTTGTGTGAATAAAGAAAACTTGGTATGGTTTCTAATATGTAGGCTACATTAGCTGCATATGCATATTCCATAGGTATTTCAATCACGAGGTTAGAAATAATAAGTTTAAAAGTAGAATATTTTTTACAGTTTTGGTTTATCTAAAACTTTCTGAAACCAAAAAAAATCAATTTCATGTCAGACATTTGCTTTTCCGAGCTACGTATTTTATGACTTTTTTAGATCATTACGCAACGAGTAAACCAATCAAATAAATTGGCGAAAACTATTCACCAAGTAGTCAATCTATCTATCTATCTACCCACCAAAAAGCTGTAAATCTCTTAAGGAAATTGACAAGGAGAGTTTGTAGATTTGTTAGCTTTTGGCCATTTGTTTAAACAAAAAAGAAGGCCGATTTTTCTCATAACTTGGTGAACTTGATTCTGAAAGCTTGCTGAGGTGGTGGCTTGTAGGCAGGAACATTGATGTAATTGTGGATACTGTAACACAATCCACAAATGTAGGGAAAATATTGAAGGACATTTTTCGAGGCTCGTAGATTTTCGCCAAAGTCTTTTCTTGTGTGGACGGCTAAATATGGGGGCCAGCGTGGCGTGGCATATCCGCCATGTTGAGTGAGATGAAGTAAAGCACTAAAAGGAGGAAAAGCACTGACGTCAGTCTCACACGAGGCATAGCAAGTCAATCTCTGGTCGAACAGACGAGAGCACATTCGTTCCGACCACTTGGGCTAAAAGAAAGAAAGAAAGCAGTCGTTGAGCTCCAGCAGAAGAGACCATTTTCGCCCTTCACTAATAATGCGTGCAATGGTGCAAATAGTCAGTGTAGACATGTATGTAGGCAAAAAAGATTGCTCATGGATAATAAAACTGCAGGTTTCCCTCCATTAAAGAAAATTGCCAGCATAATCTTGGGTATCAATAAACAGTTCCAAATAAGTTGCAGTGCATGGTGAAAGGTGACAAACTTTTACAGACCTTTGGCCTTAACTGAATAATTATGCGATGAAAGTTGGGTAGTTTGTAGCTATTATCCAGACACTCTGTTTCTCTGAAACTTGTTCTGTACAATGTGACTTATGCGACTTATGTCTGTCCCTATGCATGATGTCACCGTTCGCTTCCTTCCACTGCCGACATTGTACAAGCAATTTGCTTTAATTACTTTATTTGTTTTGTCATTGTCTGCTGTTGTATGCAATTTGTAAGAAGTAGAAAAAATGCTTAGGAGAAAAATGCCTATGAGAATAGAGAGGTAACAATAATAATAATATTGAATATGCATGGATACAAGTCCAGTCCCCACTTGCTACATTTGATTGATTGACTGATGGCTTGTCCTGTTTAGTACTTTTGTGATTGTAAAACCATACTTGATTGATATGGTATATTGCATTACATTTCAAGTGTTTACCATTAAATTAACACGTCTCGGAATGAATTAGTGTTCAGGGTGTGTATTCATAGATAATTAGTAGAGGTTCAAGTTTTTGTAGTCAAACTATCACTAATTATTATGTTATGCCGTATATTATTTCACAATAACAAAATGACACTGACATTGAGCATGAAATGATTTCATTTCACTTCATCCTGGGGTATTTTTCCGATAGCGGCGGTGCTGCAGCAGCGGTGCACATTAGTAACGCTACCGCTCTTGAAATAAGCATAAAAGTGTTGGATGCAGACTATTTGAATTGAAAGGCAACAAGCAACAATGGCTGTTAGTTAATATGTATATTGATTGACTATTCTCTCGCTCAACATTTCATTGGTTAATGAATTCTATTAATATTGATGTTGCGAATTTTAAACCGCATAATTGAAAACGACTTGGTGTATATGGATTCTTTTGTAATGATAATTCTTATGTCCTAAGTTTTGCAAACTCACGAAGCATTTGCAATTTATGCAAAACTTGAGCATAGGCGCAATTGCTTTGGCTGTTCAAGTTTAAATTCCGTGTTAAGGATGCCAGTTGAATTTATTATCCACTTTCCATTGTGATTCGTACATAGTTACTGTTGTACATATGCAGAGTTGTTGCTGCTTCGAGTTAAGTGGAGCGAGAAAAGTGTATATATTTGCAATACAAATTATTATCGACGTACAATAAGCATATTATTGTATCATTTACACGATATATATACACACATTCTCATACATGCTTCATTTTGGATGATATAATTATGTAAAACTTTAATTCACTTAAAGCATGATTTGTGACGAAATTTTAAATTCGCTCAATGGGAAAGTGCATGCACTATTCATTTCATCGTACGTAAATACGTAACTAATTATGTGAACGCTTATTTATCCATGGTCATTCTCCATGGGCACATGCACTAGAATGTCTTATGATTCTCGGTAGAGTAACCAATTTACACAAAGTTGTGACCGCATGGCTTGTTGTACAGCAGTACTGGTCATAGTATGGATGGAATGGATCACTGGAAGGTGCTCTTACTTAACCGCCAATTCACCTTCATTAAGTGCAAATGTTCACTTTTGCAGGTGGCAACTCAATTGCCTTTCCCATTCTGTATTCAATTGCTATGTTAATTGTGGTTGATACTTTACTCTTTATTTTTTTGGTTATGATGATGATTTTCAAAGCCTTGACATTGTATGTGACTGAAAAAATGAGAAAGGGGATGCGTTATGCTGTGCATGTTCTGACCAATCATTTATTTGGGTGCGTCCACTCCCAGCATCCCCATTGCATAATGATACATTGCATAATACCTCATGGAAAAATATGAAATTCCAAGTACCTTTGGAATGCATGCATAAGTATTTACAAAAAAATATGTGTGCAGGAATTTGTAAAACATCACGCAGTCAACAGTCGTTCTTCAAAGGATCATTAATTTTTCATTTTTTACATTATTAGACAACTATTCATTTACACGCGTTTAATCCGTGTAACTTTTTGTCCAATAAATAACAAATGTGATCTTGCTAAGCTATATGGCATCTCTACACATGTGGATACGGTGAGGATATGCCTTTTGTACGAAATAGTGTGTGTCTACTGCTGCTTCTCGAGGTTGGATATAAACTAATTGTGGCACTAGACTGCCAGGAGGGGGATGGGATTAGATACAATGATTGTATCTAATACATTATTGCATTGACAGTTTTTTTGCAAAGTGAACAATACAACCACGATTAACTGCCTGCTGAGGCTTCTGCTGCCGTCAACCGTTCTGCGATTTTCGTCACCTCTTGATAGCCTGCAGGGATATAATACTTTTTCTGCGAATCTCTAAAAAAATAGCACAGTCTGCCGTATATGGCCTTACACTATCTTTTGATTAACTGATTACGCTGGACGTACGATGTAACCGCTGTATGCATAGTATTTGTTATCCGTTATTTTTTACGATTTAAAGTGGCTGAACACTAATTCATGGAGTTTTAAAGGCGCAAATTGGTTACATAAATACAACGTAACTGCATGAGATTCGGTAGATGTAAATTAAATGAGAAACGACGTACATGCATACATGCATACATATACATACTGAATGCATTAGCTAATTTAGCCTACAATTGTTCCGTCATCAAATCAATCTGCAAAGAACAATATGATGCTTGTTTTGTATTTGAATCCCATTATGACGTATGAGTATGCATACACAAGTATTTATGAAAACTGGTTGTTTGGTAGTCTAACTTTAACTCTTGCATATAGTATATTACCTACATGCCCACAGGAGGATACATACATGTAAATATGTTGATTAGGACGACATATTGTTTCGTATATCATACCGCAATGAAGAGGATTACCATCAAATGTTCCCACAAAAACCGAAAGAAATGACGCAGAGGTGCATTCAATGATGTCCTACAATTTGTCTTAAAAATGCATACTTGATCAGTGGGCACTGCAGGAACGAGCCACGTCAAATTAAGAGTGGACATGTCTCTGTAAACTTGGGATTGTGTTCTTTAGATTCAATTATGTACTGAAGAGCTGACAGAGTACACTTTAGCGAATAGATTCCATCAGTCAATTTAGGAATAATCATTGAACACGGTGTAGAAATAATAATAATAATGTTGCAAGGTGTATGACTCGTATTGTAACTTTTTGTTGTCCTTTCTACCCACAATATACATGCAGCCACAAAAGTGCAACCTCTACAGAAACTTGATGAAAAAGTTGGTCTACTACAATCAAAGCAGTTAGTAACACTTTAGGGTTTGGTCTGACTTGACTACACGCGTAGTCGGACTAACTGTGGATTAGTGAAAAACGAAAAAATATTGCTTGCCCATATAACTAAATGGTCAACAATTGCCACCTTGTTAAAAAGTATTGCATTCCTTGTACACACACACAACTGTAAACGGTTGTACAAGTTATTGTGACGTGCGTAGAGTGTTATGCATGTATAACAAGTGCATTTAAGCCAAAAACTACCGATTAAGTTACCAATTTCAGAATAAATCGTATTGTTTTTAAGACTTTCCAGAAATAATTAATATTCCGGATGAAAACCAATTCTTAAAATAACCGGCATACAAGTACAAGCACATAGCTGCACAACAATTGTGGGCGGGTGATCACTAATCATCATTGCTTCTACTCAATTTCATCCCAAATATCAATATACACATTACTGCCTCATTTGTCTCCTTATCACCAAGTCGTTAAGATCGAAAGAGTTTGAATTGTAATAAGCCTCACCATCGTCACTGCTCAGAAAATCTGAGAGAACCACTTGTGTTCCAATTTTGCCAAGAAAGACGCAATTGTACGTATTGGGTCGTCTTAATGCGTGGTGGTGGAGTTGGGAGACTTTGTGGTTGTGTTATTAGTGTTGCTTAATTTATGCGTCGAGTATCACCGAGAGATATGCATTCGTCATCTTCTTAATAATAATAATAACGTAACATTGCATTACATTTGACTCTCCAGCAGATATTGATACTGTTGGACAAGTGAAGAGAGACTTTTTGTGTTGCGTGAGATTAGTCCTTAACCATAAACAAATAGTGAGCATCGTAACATATCAGACTTGTAATACATACATACACTGCTACTCCAGACTATAAAGTACGTATGTATGCTTACATTAATTGATAATCATGATTCCAGTTTTGGATAAGGAAAAATAATAACACGGGGGACAGATGAGTGAGCTAGTAAAGTGAGGAGCCTGGAGGATTGCGGTGGGGGATTGCTTACACGAAGCTGATACGGACGGACGGATGGATGGATGGATGGCTGGGCCGTGAGGAGGAGGATGACACCACTGAAATAATAATTTAACAAATAAGAGATAATACCGTTGCATCGTTCCTCCAACATTGAGATAACTCTGCGAGCGATCCAGTGAGTGAAGTGAGCAATGCGTTTCGAGTGGGGTCGAGTACAGTGAAGTACAAGCGTTGCTTTTTGGTGGTTGAGTTTTTGATGCAATAAGAAAAAGACGAGGTGAAAGGTTTGGTTGGTTTAGTTGGTCTGTTGTTTCTGCCCTGCTTACTCCACTTGTCTCACTTTCCGTTCACCATTTAACGCATCTCAGCTCAATCTAGTCAAACCCACATTATTCACAAGGGATTGAATTGGATTTCTTTTAAAAAGCACTCTCCCTCTGTGAAACGAGGGCCCAAGATTTGGATTACCCATTGAATAAAACCGAATTATAAAGGTTGCATTTATTATCATCGCCGTATTTTCGACGCGAATAGTTCTGGAGAAGGACTAAGTTAATCATCAGCACTTTGTTGGACTGGTAAAAAGTGTGTGGCAGTGTATTTTAAACAATTCATACAAGTACCAAATCCAAAGTGTTGCTTACGAGGCTAAGTCGCCAGCGCTTTTTACTTCGCCCCGACTTTTTACGTGACTTGATTGACCAAGGCTAAGCCTAAGCTATGGTGGAATATGGTCGGCAACGATAAGAATAGAGTAAGACGAAGTGGCAGCAGAAGTGGCAGCAGCAGGTTGCTCCTCACCGTTCAGAAACCTAAAAACTCCTCCCACTATCAGAAAAATATAGAGAAGCAGTTTCAAACCAGCGCGGATATCGAGAGGGGGCGAACTTTCGGCTTTTGTGCTGCTTGTGATTACAAACAATATTCGTATTTCGAACAGAGCAGTGTAATTCTGTGAAATTCTTACTTTTACTTATCAACATGGTCTCCTGCGTTCCCCATCTCATCTTCTCATCCTTATAACAGTGTGTGTCCGCCTAGTAGTACGTAAAAATACACGTAAAGACTAAATAAATAAATAAATCAGTCCAATCAGCTCCTTGAATTCCGAAGCGGCGTCAACAACTGTGATTCAGAATTAATTACTTGTGCGTGATAATATATCAGGAGAAGAGGAACTGCATATACATAGCTGGAGGCTAATTGAGACTCACATTTCTCCTCCTCGGCCTCCGTAATTGAATTTATTAAACTGCTGGCAGTTAATGAAGAGAGACACAGACTAATCTCTTGGTTCAATATTATGATAATGATAAGCAAGAGGGACCAAGTAGGCTGAACTTGTCGAAGCAAAGTCTAAAGTCAATCACTGTATCACATTCTCATTGTTTCTTCTACACAACAACTACGCGCAACGACATATATAAAATAACAAAAGTACGTGTTGTGCTGCTATGTATTCATACGTTTAGTTCTGGCTGGATCCTTGACTTGACTGACAATCTTTGAAATTCTAAAATATCTTACAAAAGTCATCGCTTTTATCATGTCGTTTTTACCCTTCTTCGTTTCTCAGCATTCCGCATTCGTCCTGCTACAAATGATTATACGAGACTGATACAACACTTGACCAAGCAGTGATACATCGTCACCGTCAGTCAATTTCTCCTGGCCAACCATCCCCAAAAAAAACATTTCGGATGATAACTAAATACAATATACTTCTATTCTGCTACTACTACTACTAAAAAGTCTGCATATAATTGTGTGTGACAAACATCTCCTCTCCTTTACTCCACCGTTGTTACAAGTGATCTCGCATTTTTTGTTTAATTTCTCCTCAGACATTTATATTTTGCACGTGTCGTTTCGTAGCACACAAAACTTGTGTGGTCTACACAGACTTTCATAGATTGTGATAATACTAATAATCAATGATAGATTAGGCGAGGAGGGTGAAGAGAAAAGTTCCCAAGGACTTGGAAAGAAACTGATCAACCACATACACAAAAATATTATTATTATTATTATCTGTAGCCCTTGTACTTAATTCCTGTCCTGTTCTGTTGGCTTCACTGCGTCAATAAAACTGAGTTCAAGTTGTGCGACTATTTAGAGAGCTGATCCAACAAACTGAACAAGAAACGATAAACCGTCATCATCAGCCTGACAAATTCTTGACTCACATACTACACACTCATCGAACGGGTGGGTGGGTGGACCAAGAATACGATTGTCCAGTCCAGCCCAGCAGTGAAATTTAATGATTTAAATGCCATTTTCACATGGTCCCAGGGCAGCCGCATAATACACATAAAACAACTCAACACTGGATATATCCAGTTTGAGATTGCTCCAAATTTGTCTCAATTGAAATTGCGATATCAAAGCGATTTGGCTGAGATTAATGATGATCAAGTAGTAACATCAACATCCATGCATAAAATAATACAAATATTGTTCAATAGCAATTTGACCTGCGTAACTACTAAAGAACTAGTACATGACTTGAAAACCGTAAAAACACGAAAAAATTTATAACCCATAATTTACGTAGCATTTAAAATACTGGATAAGAAACTTTTATATCTGAATCCAAGTGCTGCTGCTGTGTTGTTTGTGCCGTTCTTCTGAATGTTGATGGAATCTCTGGGACAAAGGAAAATCGTTATAAAAAACATTGAATTGTATGTGCTGATTTAAGTTTCAAGTGGTTCTTTCATCTGAAAAAGGACTTGACTTTATTCGCTTCAAAAGTTAACGAGATCTCCAGTGTGCAACAAACTAAAAACGCTAAAAACAATAATAGAACAATCGATGATGGATGATTACAGGGTTGGATATTTGCTTGCGAGCATGGCATCACCTTACAATGGTCACAGTAAGAACAATAAACTAAAAAAATCTAATTACTCCAGCCAACTAATTAATAATGATATTCATTTTCGAGATTAGTTAAATATTGCCTTTAAGTTTAATTTTTCTTGATGTAAATCCCTGATTAAGATTACAGTTGGTAATCTAACGCTTGGAGAAACAAATATTTAAATTTCAATAATGTCATCCATGATATCCGTTACGTTCAATATTCAGTTTGCAATGATTATAGTCCTAAACTTTTTAATTTTTTTACCCAAAACGTGTCAAGTATTACATATTCGTAGTAGTATTGGTGATGCGAATTTAGCTTTGCGAACTGCCGCAGTAGCACAAGCACCAAGTTACAGAACAAGGCCATAGTCTGCGATATAGGTAGCGTTAAAGTGTGTAATTTTGGTCCTACATAGCGCTACAACGACTACACTATGTTGCATTGTAGTACTACACAATCCATTATTGATGAGCACAATAACAACGGCGGTGTAGAGATATAAATTGAAGTCAGCAATCTGCCCCAAGGTCGCAAAATCGGCGATTATTATATTCCTTCTTCACACATACTCTCCATTTTCAAATTGAAATTATAAATGTTCCAATTCATACATATTCTACACTTGGTCCACTTATTTTCAATTGTGGCTTAAAGGTCTGCGCGTATATAAATTGCCACATTTCGAATTTACTTATCAATACCAAATTCCCGATGTACTAACGATTTCATGCCAAATCAACATGTCACATTATTTGCAAAAATGTCTGCAAGTTTGTGGGGAAAATAAATATTGTTTTTGCCGGATTTAAGTAGTAATTTCATGTTTGAAGGTGTCACTCCCACGTTCTTTGTAGGTGGGGTACAAATAAAAACGAAATATGGAGTCTTCAACCTTTGGAGCTGTCTGTCACCACAAGCACGATGCATAATTCCGTATATTGAGTTGATTAATAATACATGACAGACGGATGGGCTTTAGATTTTTCATCAAAGTGATTCCACCACCGTCGTTGACGTCGTCTAGTTTCTCTAGAAAGCAACTTGTTTCTATTGACCATAAAAAACTGGGTTTCCCCCAGTCAGGGTAATTGCATGATTTCCTAGAATTGCCAAACTTGCACACACACGTTGAGTCGACCCATCATATTATTAGTGAACATTCACATGCGTATAAAAGCTCGGTTTTGTATACTTTAAGTCGGTTTCACTTTTTCCTCCTAGGAATATGTTGACACCTTGTTTTTGGACAGTTTTTGCACTGTAAAGTTGCTTTCTAATGGTCATTTATCTGGAATTACGAGTATATGTATAAACCTACCAGAAACCTTGTTAGTGATATTCCAAGAACTCTTAGTTTTGTTGATCCGGATTTGTGGAAGAGCGTAACCGGTCTATGGAACACTTATTACTTATCTGTGTACATATTGTAGTCTTATTAAATGCATGTCCAGTTTTTGTAACTCATTTCTGAGATCTACACACCTTTGCATGGTAATCCCTGGACGGTTAGTGCATACAACGATGCATGTTAAGTCTCAAGTAAGTATATATGAATACTTCTGTGTTCCAATATGTAAATTGTTATAATAAATAGGCATACACAATATTTTGTAATTGCTGGTGAATAGAAAGTACCCGACTTTCTCCCAAAAAATGCTAAAAAAAGAGTGGAAGTCCAAACTTATAGTCAATCTTCCTTCATACATTGCATTCAAATATCTATACATCTACATCATGATCATTCAATAAAATTTGCAACCAAAGTTGTTAAAAATTCGCACTCAAAATAGAAGTTATAATCTCCCGTGTATCGGAATTGCAAATATGACAAATTGTTGGCGTTAAAGGTAATTAATTCTTGGCATTGTTGAAATATTCATGTGGCTGTGGCACTGGTTATGTAAAGGCTAGAAAGCCATAATATTTAGTGCATGCATAAACATCAGAAATAAATGGTTCATGTCTCATCTTCCGTACTACATATAGCTCACTACGTATATATTTACCTACTGTAATACGTACGTATGGGGCTGTACTTCATGTGTATGTATTACTTACATAGTTAGTACTGCGGAATAGATAGATAGTCTACCAACGCTTTAAATCCAAACGGTTATGGTTATTGTAATTGTCGATTCTTAATGGGTTAGGGCGATTGTATTATATATAATATCAGCCCATTGTTCGTCTGGTTGTCTTAGAGCCGATGCCATTTTGGTTGGCGACACAGCTACATGTTGTGCCTGTACCATTGGCGACGACGACAAGGCCTGCACGATACCATGCTGTTTTGTGTCAAACGTGTCATGTCTTCATCATGTTCATGTCGAATATCCTCCCGCGTACATAATCATGCATGTGCCAGAACAATATGGCTAACCATTTGCCACAGATTTCGGATTAAAGAGCACACTTAAAACACTTATTACACCACGAACAGGCTGGATTTGGGACTGGAAGGATGATGGTGATGGTTGGGCGGTGCGATTATTGTGACGCAAACCAAGAGCCTTCTGGAGGTCGTCAACTCTATCGTTGGTACTCTGCGCTTATGCCGTGCTACGGACTTATGAATTGGCATGTCGGCACTTATTGTAGCCCAAGCAGTAATATACATGCATATATTGGTCGTGGCAGTGGACTAATAGTAGGTCACAGTATGAATAGTCTTTCATTAAATGTTCAAAGCATGTCCTCTCTGTGCTGATGTATCTCTGCACATATCGAAATATGGAACTTTATCGCGCTGAGGCTTGGAGGAGATAAATAGGCTATTGAAGAACCATGGCATGGCATGGCATCGCATTACTTTGTAACTATTTAATTCCGGGCTATCATATTTTGCGTTGTTATTGATGATGACATATGTATGAGTGAGTATGTGCATTCGGCGTGAGGTCCAATTTCTTGATCTTGTACATCGTATTAAGATTCAATTCTCTTGGTCTCTTGCAACACAATCCATGAAAGTTAAAAGCAGTAACTATACGGAGTGAACAATTTATGATGATACAATGAAACTAAAAACCCTAACGAATCTGTTAAATGGATACATGAGTAGTGGTGTCGTTTAACGTGTTTCTCAAATAATTGCAAAAGTTTTATTATTAATTATGCACTTTATCTGCTCCACCTGCATGTTTTATGTCGGTACTTGCGATAATTATTTACAAGTACGGACATAAAATTTTTGTGGTGCACTCATAGTTAAAAATTCTGTACAATATTTTTGTACAATTTTTCTAAAGGCATATGGAAATTAATCTACTGAAATTATTTTTGAAGCAATTAAAAGTTTTGAAGTTTTAGTTTTGAATTTTAGTTCGTAGATGTACATGAGTAGTCAATGATAGAAAGTCATCTGACATCAAAGCGTCTCGAGTAACAAGGAACTTCCAAAAGGAGTTTTCCTAATTGAGTTGGTAAATTTCCGTTGGCCAACTTACAAGCAATATGTTTCACAACCACATCAGTCATGCTTGATAATAAGTGGGAGAGCGTACATATGTATCTGATGCGTACAAGTGTTCTTACCGACACGCAAATCAATAATATTATTATGAGTTTATAATTATGCTTATGTGGAGCGGGGTTAGATCTCTTTTTATTTACATCATCTATGAACTTGTTTATTTTAGGGAACATGTCGTCTGAAGTGAGAATGGCCCCTCGTCCAGCAAAATCGGCTTGTCCAGCATGGTCCCATGGGTTGTTGCCCTCTCCCATCGATGACCCCTCCTCATGCTCAGATAATGCATCTGATAACTCTGACAAAATTGAGAGCTATTGTCAGTCGCAAGCGCAAGGAAATGGGGGTAAAAATAGGAAGCGGAAAATTGTTGGAAATGGGGGAAATCCTTCTTTTGTCAACTCTGGGGGTCCAATGAATGATGGTTCAAATCAGCGAGTACAACAGCAACAGCAGCAGCAGCACCAACAACAGCAACAACAACAGAAAGATGCCAACAATGAAACGAGAAACAGTCTCACTCAAGGTGATTAATTTGGATGGTTATCTAATCATTGGATTATCGATCTTGAGCTAAATATAAACCAGTTTGTTTAAAAAATACAGGACTTTGGACTGATGCTGAGTTAGCCGCCGATTTTGACGGCTCCCTGAGTGGGCTAGGAGCCGATTTATCTACGTCGTCATATGACATGTCAGAGGCACTTTTGGCCCTTCCTACCATTTACCATCAACAAAGGGCGGCCGCAGCTGCAGCAGCATCAGCAAACAACAATACCCAACAAAATCAAAGCATGGCGTAAGTCTGATTTGTTGAAGGATGTATGATAATTTGGGGTATTATTAGCCTTAGAGGATCAAAATGGCCATGCAGTTTGCAACGGTGGATAGTGTAGTGTGATACTTTTAATTTCCAGCATTGTGTTGAATGAATCTAATCAGTGAAAGATTAAACGTTCTGGTGATGGCGTTCTGCTGGTGTCCCATTCATTTCGAACCAGTTTTAACCTCTTTGTTTTCCGTAGCTCCGGATTTCTGAAAAGTGACTCTGGTCTCACCCCCCTTGCTTCATCCCATGTTCATGGTGGGTCCTCTGTTTCCCTTCCTGGAGATTTTCATTTTGATGGTCAACAACAACAGCAAAACACCTGCCAGCAAAATAGCAGTACTGGTACCAGTCACCCTTTGCCACAAGAAACCATGCATCTGGATTGTGAACGACGGTAAAATTATTGTCCTGGCCATGCATTATTTTATTGCCTAATTTTTGTAATTGTTAAATTCTTCAATTTTCCTTGTTCAGATTTCAGTACGTTCTGGCGGCTGCGACCTCCGTAGCGACGAAAGTGAATGAAGAAACGCTAACATACTTGAACCAATGCCAACCGTATGAAATTAAGTTGAAGAAATTGGGAGAATTGACAGCGTATCGCGGCGTGGTTTTTCGCACAGTCGTTCGGTTATGTTTTCACGATCGGCGGCTGCAGTTTTCTGAAAGAGAACAGCTCGCACTTTGGGAGGATGCTCATCCAAATGATCGCATACTGCAGGTACTTCATAAATCGTAAAGTAGCAGGAAGTTGGAAATTTTGTTGGAAATCAATATAAACTTTATTATTTTCGTTATTAGGTAGACTTGCCACTTTCTTACGGGGTAACCCTTGTGCCGCCAGGCTCTGAGTACAGTTCATCCAATAGCAACTTGATATCGTTTTTTTGGGAGCCATTAAAGGAAGTTGGGCTTTACATCAAAGTGCGTGATGCATACGGACAAGATTGTTGTTTTTTACTTTTAATAATACCCGTCATTCGTTATTTTTTATAGGTTAACTGCATCAGCACCGAGTTCACTCCAAAAAAGCATGGCGGAGAGAAAGGTGTTCCATTTCGACTCATGATCGAGACTTACTCTCATGATAATATTCGACTGCACGCTGGGGCTTGTCAGATAAAAGTTTTTAAACTAAAGGTAAGGTAGTGTGATTCTACTAATAATTTGTGAGTTACGATACGTATCTAATCATAATACTAAATAATTTTAAAGGGCGCTGATAGAAAACACAAGCAAGACCGAGAAAAGATTTTAAAGAAAACTCCTGGAGAGCAAGCAAAATTGCAGCCGTCTTACGACTGTACAGTTTTGTCTGATGTATGTTGCAATTCGGTTATATGTTATGTATGAGTCACAGTTAATGAGTAAGATAAAGTATTGCACGGTGTTTTTTCTTGTAGATCTCGCTGGAGTCTCTCGAATCCCCTCCACCGGCGATTCATAATCAGAGTCATCAAACCTTATCACCCTCATATGAAGGTGAGCTTCAATTCCCTGGATATTTATAACTTGATTAAAATTGAATGAAGGAAATTAAATCATAAGAGTATTAAAAGATACTAAGATTTAGTACAGATGAGAGAAAATTATAAAGATATTCAGAAAATGTTGAGGCTTATCTAATTAATGTTTCAGTAGTCGTGGATCTATTTTGCATATGTATAAGCCTCATGTTTTCCATCAACAAATTCTGCTTTATAAATTCAATTAGTGAATTATCATAAATTATTGTAATACAATTTATTTCTATCAGACCATCCAATTGTGGATTCCCCTGAAAACAATTCAAACAATTCAAGCTCAGGAAATGCCAATGGAAATAATGGCAATCATGGTAGCACGCAAACACCTTCAGGCGTAGCAAGTACCGGACCAACAAGTTTTTCTGCGCATTTTTCGCCAGAATCGGTCAGAAGATGGTTAACTAAAAATAGGTACACGAGTAAATATATCGAATTAGTAAAGAGTTGTTTGCCTGTATTTTCATACGTATGGAAAATATGTACCTAGTCTGCTACGAATTCTTTTGTCAAACGTTTTTTAGTATATGAAAATAACGGGTAATAATTTCTATTTAAAATTTACCACATGGATGCATAATATACCTATATATATTATAAAAATACAGAGTTTCAAAATTTCCTCTTCTGGAGTGCACAAACTTATAAAACCTGACTGCAAATTAGTCGCTCGGATTACGCACGGTTTCCATTGCAGATTTATCTCGAGCTCTGCGTAAATTTAGCAAGGAAAATAGCAGAATTTGCACATGGCAAAAATCATACATACCCCTGGGAGTAAGAAAATGTCGAAGATCTCATCCCCCTATCTCTGTGATGGCTTGGATTAGAACAAGTCGGCAGGAGAACGCGAGACACTGTTTTGTTCCAGAAACGGTTACGGTGGAGGACAAGAGTTATACGAACAAAGCTTCCAAACCCACTGAAAAACCTTTGAAGTCCGACCTATTAAAAAATGTAACTTGGATTTCAAAACAGGTCACGGCTGAGTCATAAGGTGCAAAAGTTATCAAAAATTGGCTATGAGCTCATTTCATCGATTTTATTTGGTCACAAGAAATTTATCGGCAATGGCAGACCTTAATAATCTGAATTACGACTTGTGGCTTAAAATTGAGACCAAGGCCTGGACTAAAACTTCCAGTAGTGCAGAAGTGCTCAAAAAAATTTTTCTCTACGCGTGTGACAAATTTCCACTGGAAACCGTGCGTAATCCGAGCGACTAATTTGCCGTCATATTTTTTAAGTTTGTGTACTCCAGAAGAGGAAATTTTGAAACTTAGTATTTTTATAATATATACAGGTATGTTATGCATCCCTGCGGAAAATTTTAAATAAAAATTATTACCCGTTCTTTTTATATACTAAAAAACGTTCGTCAAAAGAATTCGTGGCGGACTAGGTATAGTTAACTTTTTAGCCCGAGTCAGGGCTTATGGAACCATCATGTCCGTCCGTCCGTCCGTCCGTCTGTCCGTCTTACGATAACTCTCGTTAAACTCATCCTATCGACTTGAAATTTGCTACACATGTAGTATGGGGCAAATGAGGAGTTAAGTTCGAAGATGGGCGAAATCGGTCAAGTGGTTGACCAGTGGGGGTCATATAGGTGGATGGGGTATTATGCATCAAAATTTCAAAATTGTCATAGAAGGCAGAAATTTGGCACTGAGGTTGCTAATGGTGTCTAATGAAAGAGTATGAATTTAAGTTGGAAAAAATTTTATTTTGAAAGACCCTAGGGGGTGATCCATACTGATTTGTCAAAATCGTCATATCGAGTTGAAATTTGGTAGATAGGTTGCGTATGGGGTTTAAGGAAGAACATTAAATGAAATTGGTCAAATTTTTTATCTGGAGGGACCCGAGGGGGTGACCCATATCGATTTTTGAAAATCATTTAATTGAGCTGAAATTTACCATTGACGTTTCTAATAGCTCCTAATGAAATAATATGAAGTTAAATTAGTAAAATTTTTATGTGGAGCGATCCTAGGGGGTGGCCCATACCGATTTTTATAAATTGTCTTAAAAAGATGAAATTCGGTATGGTGATACTTAATGGTCTCGTATGGAAGTATATCAAGTTAAAAGCGAACAAAGTGGAACCAGAGTAGCCTAGGGGGTGACCCATACCGTTTCTAAAAGTAGCTATTTTAAAAATTGGTAACTGATATTCGAGAAATTGGTCATACTTGAATTGGCGAGATGAGAAGAAATAAAATTAAAGTGAAAGCTATTCATTGCGTTTTCTATACAGTTCAAAAAGGCACGCAAAAAGGCAAATAGGCAAATAGGAACAAATAGCAACAAGGCTGACTTTTTGCACACACTGGTCACCCCCATTGGTTTGGAAAACGGGCGTAGACGACTAAAAGTTGGCGTGGTCCTGCAGGGTTAGATTAGCTTAATAAATGTAAAGTAAACTTTAAGATTTTTTTGCCAGGAGGACCCAGTGGGGTTTTTGGAATTGGTTAAAGAAGCTGCAATTTTGCAGCGACGATTGCGAATAATTCGCAATCGACAAAAATTTCCCCATAATGACCGGTACCAACTACTATTAGTAGTTGGTTTGTACCGGTCACTTGACAAACATTTGGAAGAGGACTCTGTCCCTGACTCGGGCTATATAAACACTGCACACTGTAGGTTTTTTATTTACTAACTATTGCTTTTTAATGTTCAGATTTTCTGCAACCAAAACGCTGTGGGATTTCAATGGGGTAGACTTGCTTCGTCTAGGTAAAGAAGAGCTCATAGAAATATGCGGATTGCCAGAAGGTATACGTCTGTATAATGCCCTACACTACAAAATTACATTTTTCATTCTGCTCGTGACGTCTGGCAAGGTAATTTCAAAATCTTAAATTTATTTTCCTAAATCATATATATCACTAAATGTACATATGTGCATTTTATATTAGGATGGCCACCACGATGCTTCATCCAGTCCCTCACGAGGCCTCGCAAGCTCCGAATGTGACACAGTTTATCATCCCATTTGCTTATCGGCACCTTCCATAAATGAAATGACTTCTGTAGTCGCATCAATGTTTTACAATCAATTCCCGAACGATTCTATACCCGTGGAGCGTTTGCTTTTGTCTGTCCTGTCTCCAGGTGGAAATTCCCGAATCCGTGTGTATCTCACCGAACAATTACTTTCAACTCTCAAGGATCAAACCGCTTTTAAAGCATTCAAATGTGGAAGTGAGGTTCATTTCGAAATAGTAGAAGGTTAATGTTATAGTTAGAGCATAATTGTTTGTACTTGTAATTCCAATGAATGTTGACGTGGTCCAATAACTCCAAGCATACATAAATGTTACTCATCACATTAATATTTGAATCAAATGTCATTTGACAATATATTAATTCTATTCATTTTTGTACAGTTATTTGCAACACGAATTTTAAAAGGAGGACGCACCCTTCTTATGAGAAAATCCCCCCCCCCGTGATATTTGCCCCAAATTTTGATATGTTGTACACCTCGAGGTGCTGATCAAAAAATGTATTGGTCCCTAAGCCCTAAGTGACCTGGTTCGACCGGAAACCGAGGTCAAAGGTCAGTGCACTTTTTCGCTCGAAACCCCACAAACCATATATTTTTGGAAAGCTACGGACCTTACGAGTCCGAATATACACCATAATAGGGTCAAAGGTCAACTCTTGACCTTTCGAGGTCAAGCAAAAAAGTTGCAAATGTGTTTTGCTGTTGCAAATGTGTTTTGCTGTTGCAAAACAGTTGCACACACAACAGCGATAGAGTCGACTAAGCTTGTTGCCATGCACTCGGCTGACCGGAGTGCAGCGGAGGTCCGTGAGGTCCATAAAAGGTCACCATGCCCAAATACCTGACCTCCAAAGGTCAAGGGTCGACCTTTGACCCTATTATGGTGTATATTCGGACTCGTGAGGTCCGTAGCTTTCCAAAAATATACAGTTTGTGGGGTTTCGAGCGAAAAAGTGCACTGACCTTTGACCTCTGTTTCCGGTCGAACCAGGTCACTTAGGGCTTAGGGACCAATACATTTTTTGATCAGCACCTCGAGGTGGACAACATATAAAAATTTGGGGCAAATATCACGGGGGGGATTTTCTCATAAGAAGGGTGCGTCCTCCTTCCAAAAAAATTGTTATATGTATGTGTGTATGGCGTAGGCTGCGTTGTTGTACAGTAGTCACTGCAACGTAGTTAACTAAATACATATACTCCAATCACTTTTGTCGATTTTTATTTACTTTTGTCGAATGTGGGAAACAACAATGAAACAAGGTCAGATGTAAGTGTATGTAGTTGATAAAATGGTAAAGCTTCAGGGAGTTTTAACTGAGATAATTATTGTATGTACCTCATTCTAAGTTAGTGTTGTCCTTAAAATTGTTGACTTGAAACGAAACGAAATGTGCTAGATAAGTACCTTAATAAGGCAATGTGAAAATTATATTTCTAATGCATTTGTCAAATTATATATGTGACGGAGTTATGTTGTCTGTCACTATTATCGTATAATTATAAAACTGCCGTTGTTTGGAGCAAAAACTGAACTCGCCTTCGAGTTTAAATTACAAATTAACGAAAAAGCTATTTTTGAGACAAATTATAAAAATCGTTCCAAATAGCAAGTACAATAGGTTGTCTCATGCATGCAATACGTACAAATTTTATTTCGAAGTGTGCTGATTTTTATTATAAGAGTTGTAAAAGTTGATGTGCTGAAATGTTGGTGTCATTAATTATTCCGTCAAACAAAAAAAACTTTCGTCCAACCAAAACTAATCAGTCATACATGCATAATCGGAGAATACTAAAAGTCGAAATAGTTAAGCGGGTCAATGTTGTTGTTGTTGTACGTACACAATATTATGTTTTATGTATGTTGGATCTTGTTTTTATTCTTGGAGTAAATTATCGGACAGTACAAATGTTTTTCTTACGTATTTCATTTTAAATCTCATATTTAATATTGCATGTTAACTGAGGATGAGTGATTACTCAACCAGGTCATCATCGGAGGCATCTTTTTCATCGTCTTCGTGAGAATGTGCATGTGGTTCCAGCATCGGCTCGTTCGGTATAAATTTTAATGCATTGTTCCGCCTCCCTCAGCATTCCAACATTGGCCTTTGTGCTCTTTGACTTTTTTAAAATGTCGATTAGCTTTATCAAATATTTTACTTTTTACTGGAATGAACAAGTTCCAAAAATTATAACCAGGTATACATAACTATTTATTTTGCATGTACTTATTTGAAAATATTTCGTGTCACCAACCTTCACACTTGGCCAATAAAATCTCTGGATTCATTTTCCAAATATTGTCGTTGATTTGGGTGCTTCGTCATTGATTTCCATATATCTTGGCCAAGTCAAACTTGTTTGTTTCTGTTGGCATTTTGTTGCTTTTAGATAAAATTATGCATGGTGTTCAAATTCAATCCGAAATAACAACGACCTATCTCGTGAAATAATTAAGCTTTAAATATAATACAAATTTTGATTATGAATAATAGTCAAGTTATAATTATAATTATATTTATCTCATTACCTCTCAATAGGGGTTTTCGTAATAGAAGAGCGTGAATCCCAAATTTTTGCCCCTTCTGCAAATGACCCTTTTAATGCATGGCTGCGTCCCAAGTAGGTAGTCCAGGGCTATTGATTTTGTTTCAGGCAGTTTGCTTAAAAATTATGTAAAAAAACTCTATGCAACCCCGGAAGTGTACATAGATCTGAAATAATGTGATGTGCATACTTGTCCGAATTCTTGAAGCGCTGTTGCAGCATTGTCGTAGTTTTTTCAGCTTCATTAGTGCCAAGCCTTTAAAGTGGAGAATTTCCATGAGAAATTCAGGTTTTCGTGGGAGAAGTGCACTTCCAATTTTAAATGCTACAGTCAAGTAAGTTATTACTATTCGCATTTTTCAGATAGGTACATAGGATTTTTCAAACCTATGTGTGAATAAAAATCATAACATGCTCGATTTGTTAAATTTTTGCTTTAATTTTACTTACTCGATCGAAGTAGTACTACGCTTTTCTGAAATGTCCCGCACGGAAATGCATGTTACCTTCATCGGAAAAGGTGGTGAAGGTCGATATGGGCAAAGGGGGGCAAAGGGCAGTGTGGATATTTTTTAAGCCTTCCGTCAATCTCTATTCGTTCAAGTTATATACATATATGTATGTTTAAATTACTTTAATGTGGAACCTTCACAATTAGATATCTTTCACTATTTACTCGCCTTATTGAAAGAAATGGCTATGAAAATATCAATTCTTTAATTGACGGGCAGTGAGAGCGATGTATGCTTCTGGATTTTATTGAATTATAGTTTTTGACGGTGGAAATTAAACAAGACATCTATAGTTATGACCCAGTTCTTCATATAATAAACACGTTTTCAATATTTTAAAATTTTCTTTTAGTCATCTCACGATTGTGTTTGCAGTTAAGTATTTATGCTAATACAAGATGTTTTGAGTATTTACATTGTGATTGTTAAATCGAGAGGTTGTTTTTGGACGTTAGTGACTTTTGGGCGGTTACTTATGAATCCATAATCAACTGTGGGTGTTGGAATTCCCGTATAGGATCGAAATTTCTTCGTCATTGCCTGTTCTCCATAAAAAATGCACTTTTTGTCGCTTTGTTCATGAATCGAGATTTCAGCTAATATTATGACTATTCCAATGACATTACCAGCCATGTACAGTAAAAAAATTGTTCCAGTATTTCCGGATAACTGAAGTGGTTTATAAACGTTTCTTGTAGAATCTGTCGACATAAATTTCATATCCCTAAAATTCTCAATGTTTATCCACTGGTTGGAAATACCCGACTCGTGAAGGGAATAGAATTTCATAAAAGCGTTTCTGTCTGGCCAGTTATAAATTTCCCAGCCATGATGTCGTTGATAAAGGTTTTCGTTACCTATTCCCACCAATTTGTGACCTTTTATTCGGGATCGCAATTGATTGTGTAATGTCTTGAGTTCGTCTTTCCAGCCAGCTAAAGCAATTTTGTCGCAAGGGGCGAGTGCTTTCAAGAACGAGAAATTTGACTGGCTCAGAATAATTGCGAGCGTTTCATTGGGGTGGAAGTGTACATTCTGGAGAATATACTTTGCAGGGGAAAAAGAAACAATGTGTTCTTCGAAAGGATGTATTTCTGTATAATCCTCAAGTACTGGCGACGTATGTATTGAAGCCGAAAATAGCTCAGATATACTCTGTTGTAAAGTTAAATGAATTTTGCTGTAAATTTTGTACTCTGAACTAATTAAACTTTTAAAGGTGTCCGGTGGTTCTGATTGAAAAGGTGCAGAAATTTGGCTAATGTTTTCCCCTTTGTATTGATTTCCAATTATGACACACATTGCAAGAGATGCTCCCCAAATGCAATAAACGGCGTAACTTTTACTCCGTGTAGCATTATTTATTATAATGGCATTACTTTGTTCCAGGAAAAGCTTTAAAGCTCCAAACAGCGATTCTGACCAAAATCTACGGCTCCAACAATCTAGTTTCTTGTTGATAAGGGAAATGCAAATCATGGTCGTTCCGACGAGACATAAAGCGATGACTGCCCAGGTTTCCACATCAAATGCAGAAATAAATCCCTGAAATGACAATGCGGGCAAGTTCCCTTCTCCGCAAGAGAGAAATGTGAAATATTCGGATTTTCGAATAAATAAGAGTCGGCTGAACGCATCAAACTTCACTGAAAGAGGATGAAACCCGTTGCGACAAAAAATTTCGTAATTTTCATGATTTGGTACATTTAGCTGTTCCTCTTTTGATTCTCTGATGCAGCGTGTGAACGACTCTTTGCTGTTAGCAAATGTTACATTTTGAAAGACAATTCGGAAAATTATTTGATCACTCGATAGTCCGAAGAGAGTCTCCAATTTGGGAAAGTCGTTAAAGGAAATTTCGCCCTGGTGTAACTTGAATGCCTCATTCCATTTTAGAATTTCTTGATTATTCAAGTCGTCTTCAACCTGAACTAAGGTCTCTTTATGATATTCATTCAACAATTTCAACGTGTCCTGAAAGTTTTTCAAGTTAAACGTAGACATATCATCCCACTGAATGTAAGTTTGCTTAAAATAGTCGCACTGATTACAGCCGATGCTGACTGACGCTATTTTTACATCCAGAGTAAAAGAGGAACTTTCAGTCACTAAAATCAAAGGGACGATGACAGGGTAGTAGTGCACGATTCGTCCAATTGCTCGTCTCCACATTAATGTTTGGGTATTCTTTTCCACGACTAAAATATGGTAGATGCTACGAGACCAAATCATAGCCTGAAGATTATGCAACCCAGTGGTCTGCCGTATATTGTTGTAATAGTGGAAAGGAATTTCCAATTTCTTCCAAGGATTCTCCCCCCGATTAAATAGGGAGTCGGAATCATGCGGAGGATGGAGATAAAAGTGAGCGTCACATGGCAATCGCCATCTCATAACTTGTAATATATACGTAAACTCGGTCTTGTTGTTGGCGTCTTTAGTGTACGGTCTTATCAAAAAATCTATTTTCGTTCTATTATTGAGATTCATAAAATATTCGTAAATAATATACTTGGATATAATCAGAGGTGTTTGAGGAACCCCAAAATTTTCACCAGAGTAATTTATTAAATGTAACAAACAGTGGGAAAATGCCTCCATTTGTTGAGAATAATTTGAAATTTGAAAATCCTTAATGCATTATTGGGGATGTACTCGCAATGAGAGAGCAGTGCCAAATATGAGATTGCTGAAAACGTGTTATGCATGCCTATTTGTAGGAATTAATCAATAATGTCATTATTTTGAAGCACAGCGCAATTAGATGAGAATAGTATATAAATATTTTCTATTAGTTCTTTCAAGTTGCATAATAACATTTTTCGAGCATGCAATATTGTCAGAATAATTCATGCTCGACGAACTTTGGACGAAATCTTTTATTTTTTATAGAAATAATTGGATAACCCCTTGAGAGTTCCATCGTGTCATTGTCTGGTGCACTCTACACGGTCAAAGTTACAATACAATCGTTCTGGTCTTCAAATTGTCGAAGAAAGTCCAATACTATCCACATTCCGATTGTTTTGAAGAGAATTGAACTCAAAACTATAGTCATTTTTCTTGACGATAATGTTAGGGTCCAGTTGGCCATGAAAAGAATAACTCCACAACCCACAAATACAGCGATTTGATAGATTAGCCACAATTTGCACATTCCCATATTTCTCTACCATGTATTTCAGAATGTTTTTTATGCATAAAAAAGGTACTATTTGTCTCAAATTCCAATAATAATCTTACATGACGGACACCATCCAAGAGAAGTATTCCCATAAGCAGAGGTAGAAGATACGACACTATGGTATAATACAAATTATTAAAAATCTAAAACTATTTCTAAGCTAACAAGGGAACCTTAAGTACTGTCACACTCGATTTCCTTTCGGATGGTCTTAATTGATAGTAAGATAATTTAGTGCAACTTAAACTTTGTCATACAACATATGTACTGTGCAAAATCACGCTTTTGCTAAATATTTGGTGAAAGCTGCACTAGAAAGTGCATGTTTTCCAATGCTTTTAACATATGTCGATAACAGCCTTCGGACTAATGAAATGAAGTTTATAAATTATATATGTATGTACCTGTCCGTAATTTCATGCAGATCACCAATATGTAAAAAATGCAAACGTTGACCAATTTTTTCCAAATTGCGAAAATCTGCAAAATTTTTAAGTTTGAATTTCGTCGTTTTTTGAAATTTTTGGGAGGGACCCTATGGGGTCACTCCCACTATAGCATTTATATAGGACGGTATAAATATAGGACGTCCTCCCAGATGCAATTTTTTCCACTTTTCCAAAAAGCTTAAAATATCGAACGAGGTGTGGAAAAGTTATTTTGTTGAATATGTTAAAAGCTGAAGATATCAATTTATAAAATTTTTTTGCAACTTGCAAAAACAAATATAGCCAACAATTTTGAAAAATACATAAAATAGACTAGCATTGGTCATTATATCTTTTTCATGAAAAATTGTGAGTTTCAATTTTTGAAAATTTTCGCCCATTTCGTTGCACTATGAAGAAATTATTGTTGAAAACTTTTTGGCAATGCTTTAAGAAAAGACGTTTAACATTTAAATTTTGCCAAAAATTTCAAAAAACGACGAAATTCAAACTTAAAAATTTTGCAGATTTTCGCAATTTGGAAAAAATTGGTCAACGTTTGCATTTTTTACATATTGGTGATCTGCATGAAATTACGGACAGGTACATACATATATAATTTATAAACTTCATTTCATTAGTCCGAAGGCTGTTATCGACATATGTTAAAAGCATTGGAAAACATGCACTTTCTAGTGCAGCTTTCACCAAATATTTAGCAAAAGCGTGATTTTGCACAGTACATATGTTGTATGACAAAGTTTAAGTTGCACTAAATTATCTTACTATCAATTAAGACCATCCGAAAGGAAATCGAGTGTGACAGTACTTAAGGTTCCCTTGTATTATGCTAACTGAAAAATCCAAGCAGTCCATAATTCCATTTTTCTTCATCGGAGTTCACAGGCCCCTCTGCTGCTGCCTCTGTTAGAAATCCTAGCAGCCAAAATATACGCAATGCCTGAAAACTCGACGACACTTTCTGATTAGTTTGAAATATTTATGTATAAAGCTTAATTAGAGGTTATGAAAACTCACAAGATTGAAGAACGCAAATATTTCTGCTTTCGAAATGTTTGAAAAATATAAAAGAAATGCAACGGTTCTACCCATTATGGTTCTACTTGTACGCACATATACGTATGACCGACAGGTATTACTACATAAATAGTTTTTGTTGGATCAGCATTGGTGACAAGCTTTTTGAATACAGATTTTTACTGCTGTTTTTTATTGTAAGAGTTCAATGAAAAGCTACATACATACTTTTCCTGTGTGTTAATATTAAAATATTTACGATTCAGATTATTAAACAAAAACAATACCTCGACAATCATAAAGTTCGGTTAAGTGAAATCTAAAACTATTCGGCCCTATGCATACTCTTTCACAACATGCTCTACATACAACCAATTAGATCATCCATACGAATACATCCTATACATCCATTCTGTGGCGGCGGAAGTTGCGGGGACATGTGGGGATATTAACATTGTGGGATAGGAGAAGGAGGGGCTTATTAACATGGGCAAGATACGATTTTGGCGAATTTCTGGGGGGAAAATGTCCCCCTGCTTCCGCCGCCACTGCCTATACAATAAGGTTCAAATCGTAAGTTAACCAGCCAAGATCAGTGTGACCACCTGCTTAAGTCCCCTGACCAATATTTCATTAGTGAGCCCCACCTGTCAACCATTGTATAGATCATTCCCATCTTTGAACTCATCCAAGACCTTGTCGAAATCACGTTGATTAAAATTGGCTCAGTAGTTCGGGCGCCAACATGTCACAGACAGACGGACATGATGGTTCCATAAGTCCTAATGTCTCTGGCTAAACACAAATCATGCTCATACATGAATTAAATATACTTAGGACATACTTTGTGTACCATTTTTTGATTTGCACTTCCTCTGCATATGAGCATCAAAGAGGGACGACTCTAACGCATAATTTAACTCACGGCCAATGTCCATGTCCCATTACTAATCTATGTACTTTCAAAGTTACAAGTTTTTATTACAAACACCCAAATACATATGAAATATGTTCAAAAATTGAGTCCTAATTCTTGAGGATAGAGAACAAATACTATAATTGTTGCAGGGAACTATCACATTTGCAACATCAACCTCTTCAAAAACCCATGAAGGGAGATGATGTGGAAGTCAGTGGAAGCAGAAATACACATCTCACAACAGCAAATATGTACTTAACAGCAACTCAGGTGCAACAATACCCTATCTCAATAAGTAGTGAATGGAGGAAATTTTGCTAAAACGTAAAGCCAACTTATTACCATTTGCAGCTTTCCATGCATCATCGTAAGTATTTTGTCTAAATTAAACTGGTATATCAAACCGTTCTACAACATCATACACCTTCCGTGCATGATTAATGGATTACATAGACTAATTTAAAGTGCACACACAAAACTTGAATAAAGAAGCATTCTCATAAATTCGGATTTGTGTCAGTGTGTTGTTGCACTTGTTGCAAATAAGTGAAAGCAATTTGCAAACCAGAGTAAAACGGGTTCCAATCAGGTTTTACCATGCCTAGAGACAAGTATAGATAAAGAAAGTGGTAAGTGAAAATTGCACGTTGACATAATTGAATTAATAATTAAATTATGTTTGTAATGCAAACTTGCATTCAAATTTTTATTTTAGTATAAATATATAAAACTAATAGGACACAAGTGCATTAGATGCTTTTATTAGTCTGGGATTAAAATGAGAATTTTCCTTTCGCTTCACAGAAGGGATAAATGTATTTAAATTCATCTCGTGTGGTATTGACCCTTTTAGTGTTGAACACCATCACTCGAATTACTAACTAACGAACAGCAGACAATGTTTGATGCATTTACTTTAGTGTGTCATCGGCCTTCAAGCTATATTCAGTTATAAATGACATGTATCCAGGAAAAATAATTGTCGCATTCAGTCCATGAAAACATCCTTACATAGATGTTGTAAATTCAAGATTCAAGAACTTTGACTACCTATTTGCTGACTACTTGCACATTTTGTTCAATTACGATTGATAACACGTCTTAAAACAAATCTTTAGTAAATTCAAATCTTCGGTGATCCCATTGCTATTAATTAATTCACACGGAGTAGGCTTGACAAAAATCTTGAATGAGCTTGTGTCAAAATTTATTTGTATATGGACAACGTTTCGATTATCATGGGAAAACTGCACTTGTAAAATAATAACAAGCATCACCTTGACCTCCCTTTTTCATCCACTTCTGACACCATTCTTCATAGTCCAATTCTGCGAAATAAAAGATTATGCAAAACTTAATTGATATAATGAACGCCCACCCATCTTCTCTTGGCAGGCTTGTCAAATATCGACCTGTGAATGAATTACTATGTATATACTTAATACTTACTACCTCGTAGGTTGCACTCCACTTGTTCAAATTGGATGCACTGTATATCTGTGTACCTCATAAATTTAATGGCAGATTGGATTCGTTCAAGTAAATAAGAGAAAATGAAACGCCAATCTGGTGGTATTACATATTTATGTACATAAATACATATTCTCAGCGGTAGGTAAATCCCATTAAAACAAGTGACAGGTCCTGCTTGAATGTTATCAACTTTAATATTTTAAACATTTTCAATTTGTCACGACTTAACTTGATTTTGTCACAAAATGTAACGGAAGTTGCCATGCTGTGGTTGAAGTTAAATCAAGCCCCATTATTGTCATTTTCTTCATTCCATAGCGAAAGTGAAGCTTAATTGTTTTGCGGAAGATGTCCGCAAATCTATTTTCCTTCTCGAATTCTTGTATGTTGTCTTTACATTGAATTTACTCGAATAATTTTATTATTATTTTTCTACCTGCTAATGAAATGAACCTGTTATGTTTGGCTGTTTACGTCTATGTGTCATCTATGTATATCTATTTTTAGATAATACTTAACCTATATACCTTATACATTTATAATGATTTCCCCTTAAGTATTTATTAAACTACGTATTCAAGAGCTTTATTTGGTCTCTGGACGGATATGAATCATTTCGTGCGTAAACTCTGTGTCAATCAAAGTCTGTTGCATTCTGTTTGCATTTTAGAGAATATTACAATTATACTCGGTTCTCCGTTTAATTTGACCTTCTGTTTTGTAAGGTTGTGGTGATGCCGATCGACTTTCAAAGTCGTGACACTTATTTAAAATGGCACGGTCTGTACCGTCCAGATCTGGCAGATTTTGATCTGACATCAATGGTGGCCATTTTGGTTACTGATTTTTGGCTAAATTAATACTATTGCATAACCAAGTGGAAGATGTCAAGTAACGATTCGTTACACATTTTACACAAGTCACAAATAAGCGGATGATGATGAATATGCAACTCCTCGCCCGTACATCAGAGCGACATGGCACAGATTGTCTACAATAATTAGCCACGGTATACTACTTATTACTTGACGTGATGTTTCTATATTATAAAAGTGACTGAGGATCAGGAAAGCAAAAACTCAAGTCCATTATGCAGGATACAAATATGCGCAAATGTTATTGCTGGCTCATGCACACAATTACATTTTAGCATTTTTATTATTATTAAAACCTCTATACAGGAAAATGGGAATGGAAATGTTAATCAAGCTTTTGAGTACGATGGTCCTCTTCAAAATAACAACAAAACGACATCGACGCAACCCAATTTACCCAATGTACGTGGACAGTTGACCTAAACGGTGAGTTGTTGTTGCTGTTAAACCACAGACAATGAGGAAAGGAAAAGCAATGATTAATCAATTTTTTACGACCACAATGTGCATATTTTTCGGGATATCCATAATTTTAGGTGGTACAAGGACCATCCGATCCAAGGGAGGAGTGGGATAGCCCACTCGAGTTCCATTTATCATGCATAGCAATGTCCGTAGAATTAGGAAACATGTGTATTGAGAACAAAATTTCTTCCTGAAAAATTAACAAAACATTGATCGTTCTAATTAATTAATTAATTCGCAGGGCGCACTCTAATGGCGGCATTGGTCGTATTCGTATGGGTTGGATTGGGTTACTTTAGCGTAATTTAACAGGTGGTGCCTTTCTAATACCTTATCTGATTGTACTCTTCCTGATCGGGAAGCCGATGTACTTCTTGGAAATGGCAATGGGTCAATTTTCAAATTTCACCATTTTTCAAAGATGCGATGATACAGATATAGTAATGAGAATCTCATTATGAGATATCATGATTATTAATTGCATGCATATGCAATTCATTTTTTGTAGGAGTTGGGTATGCCTCGGCATTTGGCATTTGCGTTTGCAGCTATTATTGCAGTTTAATGGCTATTACAATATTTTACTTTTTCCAATCCTTCCAATCGGTGCTCCCTTGGTCAGTATGCAATCCAGAATGGGTGTCTCACAAACTGACCTGTGGGCCGAATCATACTGTGATTGGTTCCAATAAAAGTTTACCTGAACTTTATTTGAAGTAAATAAATTACTCGAAACGAAGTGTAAAAATGTTTAGGCAGACAAATATCCGTTAATTTTTACTATATTTTAGGATTGACGTACTTCGAGAGATTGACAGTATTGATGACGGCATAGGCTTACCCGAGTGGCGTCTTAGTTTGTGTCTCCTGGCTTCTTGTGCCAAAATTTTGTTTTCTTTAATAAAAGGAGTGAAGAGTCTTGGAAAAGTTTGTGGACTTGAATTACATAATTGGATCATTGCAGATCCAATTTAATCCAATTTAATTTACTGGATTTCATTATAGGTTGCATATTTCACATCATTGTTCCCATATTTTGTGCTCATTAAGTATTTTGCTGGTGAGAGGATTGACATTATCAGGAGCGATTACCGGAATTTCGTACTTTTTAGTCCACAATGGGAAAAATTACTGGACCCTTCGGCTAGTATCACGAATTAAACTTTCAATCAAAGGTTACTAATTATATTATTATTTTCAGGTTTGGGCGATAGCATTTTGGTTCTCATTAGAAATATCAATTTATTTTTACCTAAAATCAAATTAACTGACACCTTTTTACATGCACCAGCCGCAGTGACTCAGTGTTTCTTCAATCGCTCCACCGGATTTGGGCCCATAATCATGTTCAGTTGGTATAATAAATTTTCGCACAATGTGTACCGAGATTTAATGATAATCAGTATCATGGACACATTGATGAGCATTTTAGCAGGAGTTACCATTTTGTAATTTATTGATAAGCATTATTACTTATATCATGCTTTAGCGAAAGTTATGACATTGTAATTGCAATTTCAGTTCTGTTCTTGGGAACCTAGTATTCGAGTTGGGTAAAGAAATTGAAGATGTTGCGTCAGCAGGACCTGGGCTGGTACAGCATTTCATTAGTATCAAAATATCAGGAAAATGTATAATATTCTTCAACCCTTAATTTTTTTCTACCAGGCATTCGTATCATATCCAGAAGCAATCAGCAAGTTTCAGTTTGTCCCACAAGTACAAATCTTGCACATCTAATTATCATCTAATTTGAACCTTAAGCCAATTCCCTAATTAATTTTGCTTTCTTAAATTTCAGCTATTCGCCGCATTGTTCTTCTTGATGCTTCTCACACTCGTTAGTCATTTTATTCATGAAAAATGCATTATTACATATGTAGTGCTTCTGTTTGCGTATTTAGGGAGTTGGAAGTGCCACTTCGCTTACTAACGCTATTATAACTGTTATCCATGACCAGTTTAGTAGTATTGAGAAAAAGTGGATAACAACAGTCGTTTGCATACTCGGCTTCTTCTCTGGCCTAATTTATGTCACCCCTGGAGGTACATACATACATATCTGGATGGAATGCATACATATACATGTGTATTTTTGTCTGCAAATTCAGAAGTGATCCTTAAATTTAATTAACTTTGCCAAATAGGTTAATTCATATGGAACTAGTGGATACATTTGGAGCTGGATTTGTAATTTTCATTGTCGTTCTTCTCGAAATGATCGGATTTGTCTGGGTTGAACAACCTTGTGCTTGATATCGAATTTATGCTGAACACAAAAATAAGTTGGTACTGGAAATTCTGCTGGTCAGTTTTTATCCCGATTCATTCACGATACGAAGTACTCTGAAGTACAATGGCGTCAGTATCCCTCCTGAAGCCGTTGGTAAGAGCATTGTCATAATTTCGTGTTTTACACATATATGTGGTCGGTACTTTTGAAGAATTTAATTTTTCTTGCAGTTTGCGGATGGATGATTGCTGCAGTGGGCTTATTGATCTTACCTATCGCAGCGTTGCATTCTGTGTGGACAAAAAAAGCAGGTTCACTGGATGAGGTATTAAATAATGGATTAAGAAATCACATCTATTTACATATAACCATGATCTACCGTGGTAATCTCATTTGACGATCTTTGACAACTGTACTTTTAGAAATTCATGGAATAGTTCCGATTGGGGTCCGGCGGACACAAAAATCAGTGAAAGCTGGATGAGAACTCGTCCTGGCAAAAGTGCTGTAGTAGAACTGAAAGGAATGTATCAAACAATTAAGAAAAGGACAGTTAAATAATTTTAAAATTCCATTCACGTGATTCTGTGTAAAAATGTTTATTGTGAACTTGATTTTGTATTGAAGAATTTCAATTTCGAATCACTTCGCAGATTACTCAGAATCTTTGCTTAAATAACTCACAACGATACCTCTGAATGTTATATACAGGTATATGTATGTAGGTATTTGATGATATACTTTTTAACCTCAAAATGATGTGACATGTTGACTGACTGTGAAAAAGTATGCATATACATACGTAAGCAACTCGGCTATTTTATATATAAATGTTTTAACTAATTGTTAAATAATTTTAATATCTGTATATTCATCGAAAAAATAACCACATAATCTGTAAGAACATAAACATACTTCAACAGAAAATATTTGGAGTGCTATATGAGTATGTATTTTGCCGATTTTGCATGATGACAATTAAAAATTACGTAAGATAATTGGATTTATTTAAATACGCATTCTGAGAAAACGCATTCTGACGTCTGACGAATAATATTTTCGGTTAATGAATGGAATTACTAAACTAAATAGCAACAACTTCGTAGGGCAAACGTCATGAATGTGTGGTTGTCGTGGTCAATTCGGTTAATATGGTTTCCTTTGACCAGGAATTTGGTTCCTTGTTCAGTGTTAAATAAATATGTGCAGGAGGTTAGTCCACTTCTGATGTGTCATTAAAATACACATTTATTTTTAAATGAACACGGGAAGATACAAGATGAAATCAGATATCAATGTACGGATGGTAATACTTTTATACCAACGTCTGAAAACACGGTCATTACATAATTCTTGTACAAATTTTAGGAGCATTCACCTGTTGACAACAACTTGGTGGTGGTTGATAAAGACGAGTACTACAATAAAAATACCGTCGAAATACCGCTGGATGATTTGGATGAACGTGGAAATCCTGACGTAAATAATTTTAGATGATTGAGATGAATCTAATATCTCACTCACAATTAATTTTCAGCAAACTGAACAACATCCCGACGCTCCTGCTTCTAGACAAACATGGGACCGACCCGTAGAATTTTTGCTTTCATGCATAGCAATGTCTGTAGGATTAGGGAACATATGTAATTAAAATTTATTTTTGAGATCAATAACAATGCAATCTTTCTGTAATTAATTAACAAATATATTTACAGGGCGTTTTCCATACATAGGTAAGTACGATTTATACCTTACTTACTTTACTGTCATGCCAATATAAATTAACCCGGCGGAAATCCCCCAGCATTCATCAACGGGGGTGGCGCCTTTCTGATCCCATACCTCATTGTGCTTTTTGTGTTTGGAAAACCTCTGTATTTCCTGGAGTTGTCAATTGGCCAATTTTGCTCAAAGGGGTCGTGTAAAGTTTGGCAAATGTCTCCATTCTTTAAAGGTACAACAAAACTTTCTAAGCAATAGATGGCAGACAGATATTTACCGAATTACCAATATTTATCTACCCGTAACGGCATTGGATACGGCGCGGCGTTCGGGAGTAGCTGCGTTCTCAGGTGGGTTTGAATTGTTGCGTCTCAACTTTCCTTTCTTCCATATATTCAAATGGCGATTTTGAAACCTGTTCATCTCCGTGAGTTTTTAGCCCGAGTCAGGGCTTATGGAACCGTCATGTCCGTCCGTCCGTAAACACGATAACTCTCTTTAAACACAAGCTACCGACTTGAAATTTTTACCATGTGCATATTGGACAAAGTTAGGAGTTAAGTTCGAAGATGAGCGAAATCGGTCAAGTGGTTGACCGGTGGGGGTCATGTGAGTGGGTGGGGTATTATGCACCAAAATTTCAAAATTGCAGTAGAAAGCTGAAATTTGGTACAGAGGTTGTTAATGGTTCTTAATAGATAAAAATGACTTCAAGATGGAAAAAGGTACCCTATGGGGTGACCCATACTGATTTTTCAAAATCGTCATATCGAGCCGAAATTTGGTAGAGAGGTTGCTAATAAGTCTTATTTGAAGAATATGAAATGAAATTGGTAAAATTCTTATCTGGAGCGACCTTATGGGGTGATCCATACCGATTTTTAGATATTGTTTTAAAAGCATGAAATCCGGCACGGTGATACTTAATGGCTTCTCATGAAAGGATAGGAAGTTAAAAGTGATCAAATTGCAACCAGAGTGACCCATACCGTTTTTAAAAGTTGTTACTTCCATCTGAAATTTGGTATGGAGGCTAAAAATCACTTCTTGATAACACATACAGCTTTGGAAGTTCAATATGTCAAAAAGCCCACTAAGGAGGTTGGCTATATTATGTCGGCCAATTCGGAGAAAAATTTAGATACGTAGGACTCACCGAGTCCTATGGCTATATGGAGTCTGCACTGTAGGTTTTTTACAATATGAAGATTTTAATGCACCTAAAAATCGATAATTTTTAGGTTTACAAAGGTAGGATGGAGTGATTTTCATTTTTCTCTTCCATAAGGAAATATTTAAGTTCTACTGATTATTTTTCGTCTATTTTATATTTATTTTCCCATGGAAGAAAAAAAATCAAAATCACACCATCCTAAGTTGGTAAAAATCGATAATTTTTAGGTGCATTAAAATCTTCATATTGCAAAACCTCACGGAGATGAACAGGTTTCCAAATCGCCATTTGAATATATGGAAAAAGGGATAGTTGAGCCACAACAATTCGAACTCAAAACCTGCATACTATACCACCTTTAGTTTCTACGTTGCCCTCATGGCCCTTACCGTCTTCTATTTCTGCCAATCCTTCCAATCAGTCCTGCCCTGGAGTGTTTGCAACCAGGACTGGCACGTGGACGATTTAATTTGCGTCAACAATTCGGCCTTGGTGAATGGGACCTCGCTGCCGATTCCTGAACTTTATTTCAAGTAAATCAATGTAAATCTCATGAGAAATTTAGCAGAAAAATACATTATTTTGCATAGAAATGAAGTCTATCATGAAAAAGAAAGCATTGATGACGGAATCGGAAATATTGATTGGCGACTAGCAATTTGCCTGCTCGCAAGTTGGATTTTTATTTTTATTTCTTTAATCAAAGGCGTTGAAAGTGCAGGGAAGGTAAGTCTGAAAAACATGTTTGATGGATGACTTTCAGATATTTTGTAGCGAGCAGAAGTTAAAATTTCTTTTACTTTAGGTAGCATATTTCACAGCTTTATTCCCTTACATAGTTTTGTTCATATTTCTCATTCGAGGCATCACGCTTCCTGGAGCATGGGATGGTGAGAGTGATTTTATTCTTAATTCGTGTGACAAGTGTTAATTTTTATCGTTATTAGGCATTAGTTACTTTATAAGCCCGCAGTGGGGGAAATTGCTTGAACTAAAGGTATTACTTTATAAATATATGAAGAATAATGAAACCACACATTGAACTCCATTTTAAACGACCCAAGTTATTGTTTACAAGGTCTGGATTGAGGCAGTGAAGCAGTGCTTCTTTTCAATGGTACAAATAATAGATCCACTTTGAGCAATATTAGTATATCTATGCATAATTGTTTTATTGTTTAGTCCATCGCCTTTGGCCCAGTCATCACATTTGCTTCATACAATAAATTTTCGCATAATATATACAAGGATGCCATGATTGTAAGCTACACATGAAATATTGTACTTATCAGATGAGATTTATATAGGAATTCCACGTGAATATTTATCCAGGTGAGCTTTATGGACACGTTTACATCATTGTTGGCCGGGTTTACTACTTTCTCCGTATTGGGAAATTTGGCATACCAATCTGGCGTTGATGTGAAGGATGTGGTTAAACCTGGACCTGGTATTATTGATGAATATTTAGTTTTTTATAATGCAAATTACAGATGGTAAAAGATGCATGATTTTAATACGCTCATTTATTTAAGGTCTCGCCTTTGTTTCATTTCCTCAAGCAATTGGCAACTTTCCTGTTCCTCAAGTACGTGAAATGAGTGGATTTCCTGAATTTTAAAATCAAATTTTTATTGAACTTGCAGTTTTTCAGCATATTATTCTTTCTCATGCTGTTCAGTCTAGGACTGGGTAAGGGCATAAATGCTTTCCTGATGAATCATCCCAGTTACCGCAGGATCAGTGTTATTTAATACAAATTTTAATGCGTAGGGAGTGCAACGTCTCTAGCTGGGGGTCTCATTACTGTCATTCATGACAAATTTACAACAATTGACAAGAAATTGATCACTATTGGCGTTTCAATTTTTGGATTTTCTGCAGGGTTAATATATGTCACTCCTGGGGGTTTGTGGATGGTAATTTATTGATGCACATTGTTGAGGAAATTATCATACAATATTGAAAATATTTATTTATGACAGCTTTCCTTGGTGGATTTCTTTGGTGCGGGATCAATCTTATATGTCATTGCCATTTTGGAAATGACGGGGATGATTTTCGTAAGAAAATTTGTAAAATTCGCAAGAAAACCGGGTATGGTAATTTATTGTCTGTTTATATGTGAAGGTGTATGGGCTTCCGTCAATCGTTCGAGATATCCAATTCATGCTAAACAGAAAAATCAGCCTGTATTATTGCATTTCAAATTGTTTTCAAATAATGTAAAGGAATTTATTAACTTTGTTATTGGTTGATTTATTTTCCAGATACTGGCAAATATGTTGGGTGTGTACTCCCGTTATTCTACTCGTTGCGTTAATTTACGATTTGGCCACTGGTGAAAGTTTGAAGTACAATAATGAGCCTTACCCAAAGATTGCAATTAGTGAGTTGATTGCCCATTAAAAAATTATACAAAGTTAGCAATAGTGACGGTAATACATGCTGATGCTTCTTCATAGTTTGTGGCTGGCTGCTGGTTGTAGTGGCTTTATCAATGCTCCCACTGTTTGCACTGCATGGAATATTTCAGCAGAAATCCGAAGATGGGTTTATAAATGTGAGCCACCATTTGGAAAATCCTAATATTGTTGCAGCATTGTAATAATATTGATACACGTTTTTATATTCCAAGAAACTGAAACAATCCTTCAAACCACTGGATGAATGGGGACCACTAAATCTGGCTGATAGACTGAGGTGGGAAGAACACAAGGAAGTACAGGCAAGACGGCCATCCCTCGTTGGGAAATTCTTCATTAAACACTGAATTATTTGTGAAAATAAAGTATTGCCATAATTTGTATGAAGTGTGTAGCCAATGATTAAAGTTTTAAAATTGAAACAAAGTATGACTTTATGATCACGTCATTTGCGATGCATACATATGAAGCCACAACTAGAGTGTCGATGCAATTCTGGGTTACAGACAGGGTGCGGCTTTGTGGCGATATCATATCATCGTTTAAAATACGTACACAAACGAGAACAATATTTTACTATGTTACCTTTGCACGGCAGGAGGTATCTGTATCGAAATATATTATTACTATACACATCCTGATCATACTAATTTTTTTAAACGAGTTATCTCAATCTGTTTTATTCTAAAGATTTATTGCTGATTGTGAGAATAGTGTACAAACTTTATCTATAGACCACGTAAGTTGCTGTGAAAAATGGATGAAAACCTGTTAGAATTCGTTTATGATCCCAGTTGGAGGCTCAATTTAATAAACACATGAGAATGGATTTTAATAAATAAATATTTCAAGATACATTTTAATAAACATGTCCAAGCCATTTTCAATTAAATAATCTAGTCTACAATTTAGACGAAATTAATAAATAAATCAAGTAGCAAAGATTGATAATTGATGACATAAATATCACGATGACGAGATCAATCAATGCCAGGTATGTATTCACTACCAGAATTATGTATAACTCAAAGTTCCATTCGGCCTTCTACATATGTACCCATACACACCTATGTTCAATCGGCAATAAAGGATGAGGATTTATTAACCGACAAGCAATTTTGTGAAAATTTTTATCATGTAATCAATGCTCGGGTGCTTTCATTTACTACTTGTGTGAGTAATTTATACCACACGTTTTAAACACTCATGCACGAAAGCTTTAGACTGCCCATTTATACATAGATCTACATGCCTTACTGCACGAAATTCTAAGTATTGCAATTTTTATGATAAAAAATATACCACTAACGATAAAAATTATTATATATTTAATTTTATCAATATCGTGATATGGATTCAGTATGTATATATTTAAGCATTCGTTTACGAAATTCGTAATACGAATTATACAGTTGGGGTGAACCAATTAAAATTTAAATAAACAAGTTATACACAATGCCGGATACTTGATATGTATTTACATGGACATACAGAAACATGTGAGCAGAATCAGAGGGCATAAATAGTTTTTCGGGCATACTATTTCTTCATACACTCTTTATTGTCAAAGGATGTGATTTTTTGCAGCATTACATTGCCAAATGAAGCTGCAGAGTTCACTAACTCGCCAAGCTAACCTTGTGAGCCAAAGAGGACTTGCAATTGCAATTTACTTTTACATTATCAACCGTAACAAGAATCATTCAATTGAAAAGTCTGAATTGGGTGCTAAATTGAATGGATGGATGGCACGAATATGTTTTACTTCCTTCCTTTCTGATCTTACGCATCCAAGCAAAATCTTAAACTGAATGAAAACTTAAGTGATCGTGAGAAAGTCATGACACTCGTCGCGGTGCATACACATTCGTTGTTCTGATACGCATTTTCACTCTTTTCTCAACATTTTGCTCTACACAACTTATAATTTGTGGTGTTTAAATAAATGAACCACTGATCCTTGTAAAAAACCCTATATTTTCCTATGAAAATCTGCATATTGAGGTAAAATCCTAAATTACCTAAAGCTAATAAATGCCCAAATATTTCAAAATATGGTAAAAATTCATCCGAAAACTGTTGCATAATAAAGAATGATTAATCTTTAGAAAGGCATTTTTCATAGGAAACGAAATTATAATGTCATCACCACTACGTACGCAATGCTGAATTCAACCAACTGAAACTTTGTTCGCATTCTGTACTTTTCATGACGTGAGTCTGAGGACGGCAGTGCATAGAAGAAACTGACAATGTCAGCATTTCTTATCGAAATGGAAATTATTTCCGGCTTTGGGTCCTGTTTTTTGTGTTGTCTTCATTGTGTTTCTTAATTTGCAGATAAAACTTTAATCCAATCTTGTGCTCAGCTTATAATACAATCTCCTCACCTTCCCGTTCCACTCGACGCTGCACACGAACAAAGTGTCCCATGCCAATCATTATTGTCTTGTCCATTCGTGAGAAGAGTCATCGGATAAGACGCGATGCGATGCAGTGGATCCTGGCATGGTCGGATGTCGGATATGGCATCTTCTCTTATTTAATCTGTGGAAGTGCTGTGTCTGACAGATGAACATTAATCTAATCCTCCTACTCCGTGTGATGGCGAAACTTGACGAAATAATCGTGAAAAACTGATTATTTTTGTTGTTATTACAATAATGGTCGACCACATGCCGCGCCCTACAATACTTATTAGATTTGATATAGCTGGGTAACAAATAACAGAGGGGATCAGTTTTGATACGTTTGGAAATATGGATAATTTGCCCGTACGTACATGCATATGAATCCTATACGCGATGTAGATGTATGTAAGCCAATATTGATATTGGAAGAAACAGTACAGAATTTATTTACCAGTGCTTTGTCAAAATTTCTGCGTGCAGCTAATTCAACTTTGATACTTATGATTAGTGGATACGCTGGCACACATTTCATTTGTTACATATTTAGATAAAAAATTGGCTGGTTTGCTGTTACAACAGCTAATTTATGACTCTCGATCTACAAATTTATTAAATTTTATAAACCATCCAAGAATGTAAAAAAAATTGTGTCGAATTCAACTTCACAGAAAAATAACAGTACTTGCCGATTTTATCTTACCAGAAGAATATCAGCGTTTTATTAGATTTGGCTACACCTCCATTCATGATTTTTGTGTCGATGCACACAAAGATAATTTTTGTCAATATGCATAGTTTACTGCATAGCACAAAGGGATACGGGTATGGATTTTTGACAGTTCTAGTAGAAGAACATATTGCCAAGAATGACCGACTTGTCGGAAAGTTTCAATGTTCATTAGTCGTTAACGAAACTGACCACGAAAGCCAAACCGCACAGCAACCATGCGATCAACGAAGTATACATTTGCGACTATCGAGTAAATTGTGTTGCAAACAATGTGCAACGTTTTTTGAAAGTACCGTATATATTCCGTTGTCGTTTTCAAGCTCGTCAACCAGTCCGTTGGCACGCCTTTCTGGAAATAGCAACGGTTTCAGGTAAATCTGGTCACATTCCTTTTCTTTGGTTCTTGACTCAACAGCCATCAAATCATCAATTTCTCACTCTTGCTGGCTGCAATTGATGCCGTGAAAAGAGCGTCAAAACAGATTAAATTGGTTCTTGTCGAACCACTAGAAAACGTGAGCGATATTCAGGCAGCTATCGTAACATGCTAGTTGCTTACATCGTTTTGGTCGTTGTACAGCGGAGAAAAACAGCAGGAGACAATGAGCTCCAAAGAGGAATGACAATGCGTGAATTTATCACGGGTATCGTATCAAAATCACGATCCCGTATCTTTCTTGGCTTCCAAATGGTTTAATCATCAAAGTACTTATAGAGTTGTAAAACTTGCCGCTGCTCGTTGATGGCTTGGCCTTTCTCATAAAAATGTTTTCCATTCAGACATTTTTTTCACTGTGCTTACAACTCATAGCTTTAGCATCTAGATAACAAGAAATTAATATAGATGTGTGTTTGCTACAATGCTTGCCGCTTGTGTGCAAGGAGGACAAACTATTTATAATGCAGAGCGACAATAAAAACCTGAAGGATTTATTATTTGAAAGACAAAATTGATTGAGATTGAGTGCGACGACACAAAACCTCAGTTGAAGTCGTTACCAAATCCAAGTTGAAATTACTTATTTTATTAAACAACTCATCTTTTGAATCATTCATCGTTGGCAATTGGCGATGCAATCAGCAATCTTAAATCGGACCCACTACATGGTTTTCATTACATGAGATTGCATTGCTGGGACGAAACTCAATTATTGCTATTTTACTCTTATTTTATGCGTTGGATGTCCGGTGAGAGAGTCGTTTAAAATTCTCAATCTGACACCGCTATATCGTCCAAGTGATGATCAAATAGTAAGCATAATACTTCTATCAAGTTAACATGCGTAACATTTATGCGTGTAGATGTGGATTTGTACTGGAGGTTCGTTACATGTTCGTTTCATTGAAATTGATTTACAATTTTACTCAAGCCGGTTTAGTTTATGACATTTCTCGGTATGTTTTTTACGGTTGAAAACAACCATACAAATAAATACGTATATGTACATATTCATCTTGATTTTTTATTAACACTATTTTTTTGTGTCAATTGAAGTGCATCAAGAACGGAAGTACTGATGTACTTGTGTACCAATTAGAGAATAATATATTAATTACATCAGGATATCCCACCCAAATATGTTAATTTGTACTCTTTAAAAGTTTTTGAAATTAAGTGACATTGATCTCCTAATAATATGCATATGTACAAGTGTACAATTGTCGATACGTCCATGTGCCGTTTATTACCACCCTTTGTGTCGGCTGTCATAACAAAAGTCACGACATTTTACTTTAATTATGCCCCCTGGCTGTTTATAATTGTCGTACTTGCAATCTGTTTCGCCCCATCAATGAAATCTATCACGTACTGTAACAGTGCGACATGGAATGAATTAGTTGATATAAGTTTCTCGGAAATGAATACAGCAATTTAATAAGCACACCATCAAACAACATAAATTATCTTGCGATTTTTTTCGAATTAACGAACGAATAAAAACTTGATTCGCTCTCCAACTCCATGTTTTATTTGACAAGTCGTAAAGTTACGAGGGATCAAATATTTCAAAGTGAACAAGCTCACATCACAATCCAAAGCTCGGTAGTTGTGGTTAATTTTTTGTATTACATACGTATGCACATGGATGGGATAAGCCATACTTATATTTTGCAGTTTCTTTCACAAGTTCTCACACTAGTTTGTCGTTTCTCTGTTCCATCACGTCAGGTCATTCATACAAATAGTGGGACCAGTCAAATCATAAGATGAAAAGCTCTTCAAATCTAAAGCAGAAGCACTTTCGCCCTCGTTTCCATTTTATGCATTGTTCACTTCAAACAAGAGATTGTAAGCCAAGAACCAAGAACCAATAAACTTTTATTTGCAAATCATCGCTTAATCCGCGTAAGATTTAAACTACGCATCGCTAGGCTTACTAAAAATGTATAGGCAATTGAACCATCAATTTTTCATGCCAAACTTTGATAAATAAATGCAAAGCCTTAATAAACAACTCTCGTCTCCATAATTGAATAAAAGTCAAAGTGCATTTTTTCACGATGTACATATGTATGCATATACGGCAATGACGGTCCAAGTTCCACTTTGTAATATGACTCAAATTATAAAGAATGGAGAAGAGGAGTAGATTTATGGGGGCTGGTAAGATAGTGATGGATTAATCCAAGATAAATGCACAGCTTTATTTAACATTGAATTCCACTTTAGCTCAAAGAATGAACAAATTCCCATTAACACCAGTATGTACAACATACAATGTAATCACCTACTATGACTCCTTCACTATCGTTCATAGATTAAAATGTGCAAGTTTTTATGCAAGTTGGAAACGACTTTTGTGCAAAGTCTTCTAATTGATGTAATAAGATTGAGCAATTTAGATTCCATGAAGATGTGAGCCTGAGAAAGGAGCACTCGAACAGAAGTTGTTTTGCGAGGCTCTGCATTTATGGTATTCGACAACTAGCGTTTTTATCAACCAACCACAGGCCACTAAATCATTGATCAGGTCGTAGTTTGAATTGTACAGTAGTTGTGTTGTGTGAAATCGATCTCACCATTTCGTTGCATAAATTTGAATCTTTATGACGGAATAGCAGGAACAGAGCTATGAAATAAGAAGTATTTACATGCATACGTATGCAACTTGACATGCCTATTTTTAAGCAATAAAGCTACAATTTGAAAAATATATGTAAACGATTAAGGACAAGTACGTATTTTGTTATGAGCACATCCTTGAGTAATCACAGTACACTCCTCCAATTGTCAAAAGAACCGATTCTCACATTATTTGCCAAAGGAAATACGGTAAAGTCGCTGAAACTTGGTCCATGACTAACTTGTCATTTCATTTGGCAACAGAATATTACAAACTCATTCCCATGTCGTGTCTCCTCCTACCTCAAGACATATCTGCTTAGAATTATCTTATTTTTGGCGTCAGATACCATCCCGTTGGGTTCAAAATGTGATGTGTACTAATCAACGGGAAATTATGTGGTCATAATTTTAAATTGTTTACCTCTTTTCTGAGGTTTCCTCATCAGCAATATTTTTACAATAAAAACCAACTTGCAGTTTGTGACGGATCCCAAAATTAAAAGATTGTGAAATTATTTTACTTCATGTAATATCCGCAAAAAGAAATATAATTTTATGCATGTGTCGAATATATTGGTTTATGAATTTGAACTTTATTTATGCAATTGTTTGCCAACCAACTGTATTATTGATCTCATGGACGAGTTAAAATTAGAATAAAGCAGGAGGAATGCATCGAGAGATGAAATGATACCTTCTTATCTCAATAGCAAAATCGGACAATGCTAACGGGAAGTTCTTTAAACCCTTTAATAGCCATTATAATTGAGACATCCAATTCCGTTTATTCGCAATTGAATGATTTTTTCTCTCTCAGCTTTTCGGTATCTCACGCATCTGCCTCCACAATGTTCCACCAATTGAACTCGCCTATTTATTTATGCCTGCGTTATTTTTACTTTTACGACTCTCATATATCTATATTATTATATTCCACGTCAAAACAGCACAACTGCCATTGCCCCCACGCCACATACATGAATATGTGCTGTGCATACCCTTAAATGTGCAATATGCCATCATAACATTATCCTTCTTGCTTATTGCAGAGAGTCAATGTTCAATAAAAATAGAGGTTTGCAAAAGGATTTGGTTTGATTGGAATTAATACAACTGCTCAAAAATCGGTTGATTTGAATGTTAAAGATATATTTACTGTATACCGTACACATTCCCCCATTAAAAGATGTATCAGTCATCGTTAATAAAGAAAGCATTCTTGAATGGCACTTGGGAATCACTGGGAATGATTTGCAAAATCAGCCTTGTGTATGTCTTTGAGGAGCAGTGTTGTCAAAATATTTTGCATCTCAATGCGTCCCATTTGTTAAGAAGAGCACGCATTATTGGTCATAGCTGATTGCATGTCCGTGTAATTGAGAAGAGCCGTGTTAAATAAATAAGGAAAAAGTAGAGTTCCCAATAACGGTTCCATTCTATGTTTGCATTGTTTCACTATTTTCTCACTCGTTGTCATTTATTTTTCTTTATTTGACGGCATAACATTTCAGCGTGAGTACTTTGTGTGCAAATCCTAAGATATCCTGCATTGGCAGTGTGTGAGTCACGTTGCGTCATACATAATCCACAAACTTCTGATTGTGTCTCAAGTGTTTTCTTTGCACACTTTTATAATGTGGAATCGTGAGTGTTTTCAGGTTTAGAGTGTTGGTGAATTGACATTTGTTATGTCAGAAACACTCGTTGAAATAAGGAGGGTGAATGCCAGAGACGTGTAATTAGTGCGTACCTATGTGTACTGTACAAATGACAATTGAGGCATCCGAATGATAAACATGTTATTTAAAACTGTGCCATGATGATGGCACAACTGAAACACGGACCGGTCATCTTGTGTCCATGTTGTAATATGTTATTTCGCATGTCTCAATATGTTACTTGAAAGTATCATAGCAAAAAACAAACGTCATTAACACGTCTTTTTTCTGGCCTGACACGACAAATTCCATGCATTTTCATTTTAATTACACCTCATCGCACCTCGTCCAACTGTACTTGCGTATGAAAAGCAATAAAACAGATTCTGCTCTTGGTAATGACTCTTTAATCAATGGAGAACAATAAAATACTACTTAACTATTTACTAACAAGGTGCTAATCACATCCCTCTTGTACTTTTATAAGAATCATAAAATAAAAATTTGTTAAATTTGACACGCAAGCACATTGGGAAGACTTCATCTTCTTAGCGCATCACGATCACACACTTATTCGCAAAAAAAAGAGCAGATGAGAATCCTCAGTAGTCAGTCATGTAGAAAACCGAAGCAGATTGTCGTGGGAATATTTATTTTAGGTAATTTTATCAAAATAGAAATCACATTTTTAGTTGTACATTATTTCAGTTCCGAATATTATTGTCTGCCCCAAGCTTGTTTTGTCTTCCGCCACAATTGGTTCATTTCTTCTGAAAATTTTGGACCCCTCTCAACATGTGTAATCATGAATGGGAGTTTGGACGAGCGAAGATTATTGTGAAAATCATTGATGTCGCTTGTTGTGGTCGAATGATCGGATCCATTGTTCTCCTTGTAATTGAGCAGCCATTTTCGATACCGGTCTGGTTCGTACGAGTATCGGAGATTGAGATAGAATGGTTCCACGCCTGCCAGCTCCCTGAGTATGCCAAGCACGAAGACATCATCGATCCACAGAAATTTTACCTTGTCACTCAAGTCCAAAATTCTTTTCACGACATCTGGGGTAATTAGATAAGCTAGTCCCCCACAATACTTTGGATACATGGAGAAGGGATACTCTGACAGGTCTACAGTCCATTTTTTACCCTGAGTGTCGGAAGCTCGAACAGGTTTCGAACCTTCTGGGAAAACATTGCAGATCAATGTTCCTGGCATGGGTTTGATCCCATACGTTCTGGAGATGAAGTCAAAGAGTTGGAAAATGTCAATGAAAGCGTCATCATCAGCTTTAAGAATAAAGGCCGAGTCGGGACAAAAGCTGACGGCCCATTTGTAGCCCAAAAGATGTTTGTAAGTTAAGTTCTTATACGAGTCGATAAAGGACCCGGTTACAATATCTCCAAAGATTTGGCTCTCACGAAGTATTGAGCTCTCCACGAGACCAGCTTCCTCGTCTTCTTGGCTCGTCTTGCCCATTAGGAAGACCAGTTTAAAGGCCACGTTTTTGAGAGACTTCAACGAACCCCAGGTGGTTCTAATGGCTTGACGAGCTTCAAAATGAGCAGGAGCAGAGTGGATAATTATCATAAAATAAATCCCAGCATCATCTCCGCCAAGATGAGGATGATTTTCTGGCGTTGATTTACATACAGAGTCGTTATTGATGTCGAATGGGATGCTATTAATATTTAGTACAAATTTTTCAAAAGATTTCGGCATCTCTACACTTTGAACAGTTGTTGATTTGGGGTTGTTATCCGAACTAGTCGTTGAAAAAAGGTCGGATTCTCTTTTAATCACCACCCAGGACTGCAACTCCTCATTAATATTTACAAAGCGGTTGCCAATTCCCTGAGACAACTCGTCCACATCTCCGTCATAAGTGCGGATGAGGTACTTGATATTTTCGACTAGAGCATACACACTAATTCCTACGATGAGGATGCTGAAAATCTGAAATATTCAAAAGAACGGAATCAATTACCAAATTTAAATGTCAATATTTCATTATCGCCCATCATGAAAAACCTGTTTTAATAATATTAATATTTCTGAATTCCTGATGAGCCAACAGTTTTCAATTACTTTTTGTAAATATAATTAGGGTACTAATTCTCACACGCACCTGGAAGCATCGGTAGATGAATTTTCTACGACCTGGTGGAGTTGGGCTTGAAGTTGTTCGATTTCCTGACCCCTTATGGCTTCGACCATGATGTGACGAAGGGAAGTTGAGGGAAAAGAGAGACTCTTCGTCGACACATCGCGGTCTTGGTCCTCGTCCTCCTCCAATTTCCTTCCAAGACCTTGAGAATTCCCTTATCGGTTTTGTTGGTTGGGCAGAAAAAGGTGAATTGCTTCTGCTGCTGGTGGGTGGTGGTTTCCTGTGGGACGAGGCTGGTTGATGGGAAGGAAGTGGCAGGAAGGATTCATTGGAATAAGCGTATGGAGCAGCAGTATCCTGTGTAAGATTAACAAGCAAAATAAATTAGAGCCACCGTCATCATCATCGTAATAATCATCATCAATTCTTTATTTCGAGTTATATTCGAGAGATAAGGTCTATTAGTTCCGTTGTATGGAGACGACGACAGTGTTGTGACATGAAATAAAAGATGAACTGCTTTATTAGCGAGAGCAAAAAATTCAATCTATTAAATTGAATTGGCACTGAAGCGGTAGTCTTTGGAATCTCTAAAATACCACTTTTTGTCAAATACTAAAGCCAAGTTTAATGGCATGAGAGAAGATTTTGTATGTGTGTAGTAGCGTATATGCACCAATGATAAATGATGATAAAGCAAAAGTTGACTCACATACATAAGATAACGGATTGAGATTCGAGATTGTATAACCCAAGAAATTATTTGTATTTGAAAAGATTGCATTTCTTAATTTTTTTAGCAGCCAAAGGTTTTAAAGACGAGTTGCCACAAAGAAGCAGATGACCACAAAACAAAGCGACATATTTTGACTCGCAATAATCAGGTTGCTTTTTTACAAAAGTATATCTACAGGGTAAATCATTTGGTGGTCTGGGAAATCGTAAACCACAATCAATCATGCCGGACTTGACCTTTTGACACCTGACAAGACAAGTAGATGCGATGCAGGTGATTACCATGTTCTACTGTGTACAATTTCAATGTTAATACTCCCTGCGACACGGGCAAGTCTCATTTTGCCTCGCGCTTTATATAAAACATCAAAACCAGATCATGACAACATTTAAGACTCGAAACATCTCATTAAATTGCATTAGCAGTAATTATTTTGCTCATGTTACTCCATCAAAACTTGTCTGCCGTACAACCAATCATTAAATAATAACGAACATGTAACGAAAAGAAAGTCAGTCGGCATGAGGAAAAGTGTGAAAAAGTAAAGGATTCAGCTCTCCTCGTCAGTGCAGAGATGTATATAATCTCATTAAAAGTACTCCGCCCAAGTTACGACAAAGCAACTGCGATTGAACTCGTTATAAAATGCCAAGAAACATTGAATCCAACCACATCCTAACAAAATGCCACATTTTGGAAGAACAGCCTCAGGAATTATGTACATACATACGTCCGTCCGTCCGTCACCGAATATTTCAAATGAAACGAAAAAATGGTCATGTACATAGCCACATGTTAAAAGTTACGTGTCTTGTACAAGTTCTGGAATTTTCTCCTCTTTTATGACTGCGACGAGCACCTTTTTTGTGAATTCTTTTACATTTCTACGCAGACAAGTTTAACCCATTTCGTCATTCTTTCCTTTATTTTTTCTTCTTCTTTGGAAAGAATTGAAACTGTCGTTTCATTGTTTGAGACCGTTTCTCATTCCTCATCCGCAATTTTGTATAATTCTTCTCGTCACCCGTTCCGTCCTTCCAACTGCTACTCCCACCACCTATTCACACTTTTGGATCATCGCATTGTTCGCTGGTTTGCAAATTGCGTACATACATATGTCTGTTGTATAGGACGATTGCATGTGGCTGATGATTTGACCAAAGCGTAACTGGATACTTCGAACTTGGTCGTCGTCAGTGATTGTGAAGAAGACGAAGGATGAATTGACTTTGTCTGCGACTACCTTCATTTAAGAACGACTCGGTTTCTGTTTTTCTTCTGCTGTTTACGGTAAACTAGGAAAAAGTGGCTTGTCAAATCCGGGGAAATGCATTGCACAAGTGGAATAACATGGTTACACCACCACAAGAATGGGAGACACAATAGGAGTGAGGAAATGGCAAATGAATTAAGTTAACAAGAAGAAGAAGAGCCAGCAAGGAACCCACGACCAGACACTTGTGCCACGTTTTTACGTTATCTTCTGCCGAGATATTTTGTACGAATCCTTTTCTTACGACTGTTGTGGTGTAATAATGAGAATTTGAGAAATTGGAATTATTGTACAGTGTAAATTACCTGCACTATATAATATGTATACTATGCCTTGCAGAATTGTGGATTTGTGTAACATTGTCTTCTTGCCCCAGTTTTTTCTTATCCGTTTTCCTGCAATTTATTTCTGCAGCAGCACCTACATATCTACCACCTACTCAAAGGTATGGTGTGTATTTATCATGTATGTACAAATGGAAGAACCACGTACCTTCACATTCAATTTCTCGTATTTTTATTTGACATGTGGGAATGCGAAGGAAGTGAGTTATTACGTATGCAGAAGTTACTACTGGCGTTGGATTCATATGTTTGCCATTGCCCCACATTGATATTTATTTTTATAGTTTTGCCATATTAAGCTCTAATATCGGGGCAGAATTGTGCTATGTGCGGAACATAGTATGTTATTATGCAAGCTTATGGGAAATGTCGGTCGCTCGTACAGCGAAACCGTTTGACCTACAGAGATATGAGATTTGGATATTTCGAACCATTTTCAAGATATTTTGTAAAAGCTGTTTTGTCAGGTCCGAAATTCGGATTCTTTGAATTAGATGCATGATGCATGATAAACTGTAATTACAATTATGCCGAAATACTCCAGCTACAATATTATTCAGCCGATATCTACGAACCAGAGCTTTCCTGAGGTTCTAGGATGGAATTTGTACAAATTTTCGACCAGGCGCCATTTTCAACACTAATTAATTTTCAACAATTTTTATCGTACACGCTACATTTGTATGACAAGAAGAAAACATGTTTTAGACGTTATAGGAAGAGTTTTCCAGAAAACACAATTATTTGGATCTGCAACGACTGATGAGGTCAAATGTGACAATCTCAGAAATTTAGTTTTATACGCAATTTAAGGTGGAGAACTCAATATTCTGTGTAATTTTTAGTTTTTGCCACATCCCACGAGCTTCATAGCGATCACAGGGAGTTTTCCAAAATAATTTATTTTTAACAAACTTTGTGTTTTTTCGCAACTTCTATGTCACATAATAAAAATAAGTATGTTGCGTCCTGCAGAAAAAATAGCGGTTTTACTGCATAACTTGCTATATAGCTCATGTGTTAACCGATGACCGACTCTTGTAATCTGTTGTAATTATTTGAATGCTATAAATGTTATTCTCTATTCAACAAGAAAATTTAGGTGCGATAAAAAATAAAATGACAGTTTAAATGGAATGGTTATTTTTATCTGTGTTGTATGCACTCGCATATCTACGTACGCACAACTGACAACGACAAACCTCTTCGGAACATTAATTCTACTCATAAAATGCTTGAGCAGATAGAAAAAATATTTAACAGCTCGTTCTAATTCTTGCTGTCTGTTATAAATGTTTAGGTCCGTCCAATGCAAATTTACACACCTGTGACGCTCACAATAAATAAATTTTATAATTTTGCTCATTGGGCTGAATAAATTTAATTACCATTCTACAATGATTTTTCCACGCCTATTAGCGCAAAATATTATTTAACTCTTAACTAAAATTTGGGGATGCAACTCAGGTGCAAAGAATTTTCTCTCCGGCAGAAGATCACCATTGCCGATAAATAATGTCTGATTAAGAATGCAGGGAGGGTGCAAAAGTAGTGTGTGGTTGGTGTCAAAGTGTTTAACAGAATTGTATTTGATTAAAGAGAGTGGCCCCACACGTCCACCTTTGTTGAATTTGTGCAAGCTCAAAAATTAAGAAAAAATAAATGTATTCAGCAAACATGGCTGATTAGCATTATTGAAAAATGGTAAAGTAGACAGAAATTGATTGTATCAAGAGTATAAGGCGTCACAACCTGCTGGGTTTTACGGCTAGGGTTGGAATGTCTGATGCCTGTGTTTTACGCGATTACACATGATTTATAGGTAAACGCATGTATGGTGGATGCTGGAAGGATGGGAAAGAAAGAGCGACTCGCACAGAATCCCTCTGCTTAATAAATATGTATTATCAAAAGACCAATCACATTCATTTTTCAGAGAATCGTACAAAACTTGCGAACTAGAAGATGCAATAAGAATGTTGAAGCTCAAAAGAGGTGCTAATAATAATTACTGTTGTTCCATAACAAAAACAAAATAATTGCCAGATCCTGGATGAGATTTGAGAAGGAAACGTGATCTCTGAGCCGTGTCTCAATAAATCTTTGGCGCACGGGATTTATGATTACACGTAATGAAAAATGTAATCACGATTGATTTTTGAAAATAACAGACAAGTTGTGACCTTTTGACTTTAGCTAAAGTAATATCGAGTAATGGACGTGAACGAACACCTAATTTTGCACCCCATTTGAACCCTTTATAAAATCATGTAGATTGCAAACTCTACGAGTATTTCACACGCGTACAACTTTATGAAAGATTTTCTAATTTACTTTAAGTGCTATTACACAAAAAAATGTATAGTCTTTGGTCATGGACGGCAATAAGTTTATAAAATTTTCTTACAATATCTGGGCACGCGACACTTAGCAGCAAACTTTGTCCATAAGTTTGCTTACTCGCTGCCGCCCGGTTTTGTCCTCTTGATCCATGCATTTGTCGTTATTATCCACGAAAACGGTCAAATATTCACAATCAACCCATTAGATTATGTACTATGGATGTACTACAGGGGAGAAGCACTTATTATTGGTAATCACACCACGCCAAAATTAGTACAACTGTTGGTTGAGGTTAAAATTTCTTGAACAATCCGAAATATAATTTATCGTGCTATTGTTAGAAAAAAACCAGGTGCTGTCGACCCACCCACAAATTATTTTACACCAATTTAAACTTGAATTGAAGAAATAGACGTGCAATCTTTCGTGACATTTATAATTCACACTAGTCACTGCACCGACTAATTCTGGTCTTTTGAGTCGTCCTCGTCGCACAACCACAATACAACTTGTAGAAAATAATAATGTTGAACGACTTGATACTGGTCTGGTTCTCGTGGTAAATAGCACAACTTGGAATTAGTGAGGAAAGGCTTAATGATATGATCGTGGCATTGTGTTATTGTTGTGGTGGAGGTGAGAAATGTGAGAAATTTGTACCTGGGCAAATTAAGACACTCGCCGATCTCACTCCTCACTTGTCTCTCCTCGACATCAGCAAAGGCAAGTGAAGGCAGACCACATAGTCGCAAAATATCCCTGGTTTGTTGGGTGGATGCTGGCAAGACTTGATCTCACTATGCAATCACAGTAAATAAACCTGTTGCTCAAACATTAGAAGTTCTTTCTGCTTACATGAACAAAACTCGGATTTCTCAGTTTCCCTGTGATAAACAAATACAGGCTGAAATCGGAATAATGCTGCCACAAATCTGGGCTCATGTCAAACCGTCTCTTTCAGAATAAAAGTGTTGAATTGTTGATTGTGAGGTGAGACAAACTCAGTGGGGAGCTTTAGGTGCTGGTTCAACTCGTGCTTATTTTTGCGAATGGCATATTATTTTACGACACGGTTTTGCATGCCTGTGGTTCACTGTTCATCTGAAATATCTATTTTCATCGTTTACTGGCTTGAAACGTGACTTTGTGCAGGCAAAAAGAATTATAAATTGTTGCACTAATTGTATACAGTTGAGAGTGTACTATGTATGTATGTCCCGTTGGGGTGGATATAACCTGTAGGGTTGGGTCCATGAGCTGTTTACAACCAAAACCATTTTATAAAGAAGAAATGCTATTACATAAAATATGAAAACATAAAAATATGCTACTGTTCAAGTTATAACTTATTGTATCAAGTACTGGGAAATCCAGTGTCATTTTCAGACCAAGAATTTTGAAGACTCCATTTTGACTCAAAATTCCTGCTGTGGGGCATTGATTAATGTGTTACATAATGGTTCTATTAAGGATTTAATTTATAACTTTCTTAACAAGGGTGAAGTGGAGGATGTTAAGAAAGATATAAACTGTTTGAAAATTAATTAATATTCATTCAGCGTCATATTTACATTAAACAGGTTTTACATTTTTGGGGGATAGAAAACATCAGTCCAGTTGTTAGTTAGTCTGCATAGTGGAAATTCCAAAAATTCAAAGTAATACGAGGAAAGAATTTTTATTTTTATGCATAATAACGCATAAAATGTGCAATCTCATCGTAGTCCATCGTCACAACATCTCCACAAGAGCAACGAAATCATTGCTGGTGGCCAAATTGTTTTTGACAGTAGCAATTTATAAAATATTTAGCTTGTTGGTAGAATTCAAATGAACGAATTTGTAGAATTGTGCAATTACTAAGATGATAGAACCACATTGTGAAGTTAATGACTTATTTACTCGGCGACAACACTGTCCACTCGTTTTTTCGTATCTGCTTGATAAAGGCGAAAAAATAAATAAATATTTATGTAGGTAAAACATCTGCTGGACGGACCTCCAAAGTTGCGTACAAAATTTCAAACGCAGCAAAGTATTTTGATGGTTAAAAAACTGAATTTAATCATTGCTTTTCAACATGGATTTTACAAAAGGATCTAACGAGCATCTGCTAGTCTTTTTTGGCAGAAGTAAAATCTTAGCTAGAGAGATGAATTTGTAGTAATTAGCTACAAAAGCTTTGGGTCAAAAATCGGTTTAACAGTCAGAAAGTAAATGCAAATCATGTTAAATTAGTGCGATTAGATTTTCATCATTGAACTGGGAGGGGTACTTCGCTGGCTACCAGAATGAAATGCTCATCCTGAGTCTCATTAACATTTTTGCTTATGCTTAACCTGTCATTATGGTATTTTGTGGCGTAAATTGTGTAAATAATAATTAGGAATGATTATTTTGCATTTAAAATTGTTGCCTACACTTAGTTCAAAGACTTTTAGAGATTCCATTATAAAACAAAATTGTTTACTGAATTTTTGTAAAGATTTGATTTATGCAGTTTAATTAAAATTAATTACAAAGCAGAACTCAGGGCTGATAGAGCGACTCGACTGGAGCGAATTGCCATAAAACGAAATCATATTATTCTCACGAGCTACAACTTGACTCGAGATAACTCTCATCCTCAGAACGACGAGACTAATAATAATATTCAGACCACGTTTTGAAAAGGAAGATGAGAGGGCAGGCAAAGGAGGAAAAAGCTAGCTAATAAAATCTAAAATCCAGAAAATCCCAACTACGCCTTCACTTGAACTTGTTTGATCAAGATAATATTATCGTAGTGCTGCTTATTAATGCATTTTATTGTTTTATCCATCCTGGGTTAATCTTAAACAAACTGGCACAACTTTAATTTTAATTTAACCGGAATGAGGTTTTACGCATGAATTGATAGAGTAGCGTCAAACGTGCTTTTTCACAAGTGCAAATGTACATATGCACATCATTGTAAGGGAGCTAAAGAGACGCCAAGGTGAAATAAGATTACTTGACGATAAGCTGGGTAATTTCATAAGCATGACCATGAGAATATTTTTCGTATTTGCGAACTTGTACGCTGAACAATGTGCATACTTATGTATGTACACATATGCACTTGTGGAATATCTGTACACAGTTGACAAAACACAATTGGTGCAACCCCCGTGAGCTAATCCGGCTTAAAAAGTTTAATTAATTGCCACTCCCTACGGTGCTTGTATTCGTGATATCCGCTTTTCGGTGTCTTCAATTTAAATTTAATTAAACCATTGACGCGTTTTCATTAGGCTAACCAATCTTCATTTGACGAGTTGATACATATGAAAAATATTTGTTGAATCCAAATATCTGCATTTAACTTTCAACAAGTGATTTCAATTTGCTAACTCGTGGAATCAGTTGTTGACATACGTGCATAAAATCGTACTCAAAATACTGAAAGGTTTACGCTTTCCCTGGAGAAAGTGGTTCCGAATTTGAGATTGAGACATTACTACGCTGAATAGAAATATATCGGATTCTGTAATCCACTGGTTATCCAAAAGACTTTAAAGTTTTTAATTTCATTGATTAGAGCAGATTTTAGAATTCTCTCCGCGTAACGTTGTTCATCATCATGCTTCCAAATGAAATATATACAATTTTCTTGTAAATTGCTTTGTCTTTGACCACACATGTTCTTGCCATTAAAACCAACAGAGGCTATTTTTCGGATCATCCCTTTATTTGTTTTCGCCTCTCAACTTTGCATATAAATTGTCAATTACGTAAAACTTTATGAAGTTTAGGATCACCCCCACAAAGTCTAATTTATCTAATGGCACAGGAAATAAACCGCTAGATATGTTAAATATCTTGGTCACGTTGTCTCAGCTGCAACTGTGCCATGAATTATTGAAAGACAACCACAATCAACGTCGTGTGAGGATGTCGACGCCATTTGCTGGCAATCCGTAGTCCTTTGCATTGTCGTAAAAAGAGCCATTATGTGGAAAACTGAAAAATTAACTCACACGGTGACGAAATAATATTCTACCAGGTGAAACATCGTTATATATTTATGACTATCTCGAATGCTTGACAATTCAGTGTGCTTTCGACACTTGAGAATATTTATTAGAACGGTGGGAATATTTTTAATCAGAAACACAAGCAGCGTGTAATATCTGTGTTAGTATATATCATTATATTATTGCCCAAGTTCAACATCCTAATTGCACCAACGTTAAGATTCTGATAGTAGAGAGAAAAGTTACTAGTTCAATGCAATGCGTTAATATTTTTGATTAAATGTAATTGGAAACAATGCATCGAGAATAATTTATGATGCCTAAACATGAAAATTCCATATTTGTCAATCTTGGCAACTGTTTCACTTACTAAATATGTAAGTGAGCAGTTAAAACTTATCACCTTTGACCGACTTACATACATATTTATTAAAGCAAGTAAAATAAGCTCGCCCACTGAACAATTAAGCACAACAAATCTCTAATTAATTTCTAGGTTAATTTCAAAAGCTAGCTTTGAAACAATGCGCAAATTAGAAGGAATTATCATGTTCCAAACAAAGAACGGGGTTCGTCTTTCTTGTGGTTACAGAATTAAGTTTTCAACAATGAAAATAGTTAAGCAAGAGTCACGACCTTCACATGGTGATTACCATAACCGTAACAAAAATAAGAAGATTTGTATGCAAATCACTAGTGTGGGTGACGGCATTAGGACGTCGAGAAAATCCACCGTATTTACTTGCAAAATCTTTGCACATAGCCGAACTTTGCAAAATGCTCTGATAAGTAATATCTGCACTTTACGAGAGTCAATTAATGGTGGGCAAATGATGCAGGTACAATAATTGTCTTTCATCTAAACAAGGGATACACAATGCAGGAAGGGAACAGCGAAATATTTACATATTGTGATGGTAAGTAGTTTTGCAAGCTAGTTGATGTCCAAACTTTGCGAATCAACCTTCCCATAATTCTTGTGGAGAATAAATTAGATATCTTATGGCATAAATTAGATGTCTTTGGAGGGGTGAAGGAACAAGATGGAGCTTACGTACATACATATGTATGTGTATTTATTGGATATGAAAATGGAATGGGCTAGGTCAATCCTGCCGTACATAGATCGCTTAATATTTGCACACAGGTTTGCTACTAAATCTTGAAATATGGATAACATTTAGCGCTATTAAATGACCAGCAACACCTTAGTATTGACCAACTAGTGTTGTTATTTAATCGTCTCGACTTATTGAAACTTTTAAGTTTTGTTTTCCTTGCAAATATGTAAATGCCTAGTATAATCCTGAATTCCTACAAGACTGAGAGTACAAAGAGGCAATCATATCATAATGCATACTCGGTTGACGCAAACTAGGTACATACTATGTACATAATCATAAGACAATTATCAGACTTGCAATTTTCTTGTCTTGTGGGATAGTCAGCTCGGAATTTCTAATTTTTGCAAACCAGTCCACTCTTTAAGCCACACAATAGATTAATGTATCGTATTAATTAAACATTACCTTTTTGTGTTCATATGCCAAAAATTATATTTTTGAGCAAGTTTTCATTGCATGTAATATTTATTAACAACTCAGTAAATTATGCAAATTAAGTTAAGCAAACATTCCTAATTAAACAAGCCAGACACGTATAAAAATGAATAAGCGACGAGGTTTCATGTGATTTATACCTTGTTGAACTAGATGTGATCACACTAGTAAAGTCGTCAA